ACTACGTGATATTAATTCTCACCTTATTAACTATATCTTAGCACTATTCCCTATCTCCTTAATTAGGACCCTAACTATTATAGTAACCTTTATTATCTTGTAATAGCACCTCGTTACATATTCCTTTAGAGTCTCGCCCGCTTTTACCTAATTAGGGTTTCTTTATTGCTACTAAACTCTATTTTACCTAATTAAGGTTTTCTTATTCCGGCCTTAGCGCTCCCTATTAGAACTATATTAAGTTTCTAACCCTTACGCTAATACTATGTAATAATAGTAAGAGATATTCGAATATCCAACTATAGGGTGCGATTCACTATATCTAGCTCTATAAGTCTATAATATTTTGTTACTCTAACCCTTACGGTCTACTCTCTATTCCTAACCGCAACTATAATAATGGAGAATTAGATAATAATACTAATACTATCTCTAAATACAATCTAGACTTAAATACCTTATAGAAATATAGTACTTAGAAGAAAGCTACTTTTATAGTTTAAACTTAATACTTCTTAGTATTTAGATCCTCTATTATTCTAGAATTATATACTAAGTTATATACTCTACTTATAGAGTCTTCTTTCTATTTTTCTTACTATATCTTCTAAATCTCGTGCAATATCTTATATATTAACTAATTAATTAAGTTTCTACTATAGTAGTGTAGGAGGTTTATTATATAAGAGTTAGTATAGATTAAGTATACGAAGCCTTAAGGGTCTTTAAATAATTAACTACTAGTTATATTATAGTATTAAGTAGGATTATACTTATTCTATATACCACGTAGCCTTATTAATCTACTACTATAATAATATTACTATCTTAATAGTTCTACCTTAATATCTTGCCTCTATAGATATATATAACCTACTCGCCTAAGTTTATACTCAAATCACTTACCTCTAATACTATCTTAAGCCTTTCTATATTGTAACACTTAGCTTTATAAGAGTATTCTATAGCTACTAGCTTTTTTTTTACTAAGTAGGTTCGAAAAACATTGTTTTTAATATATAGTATATAGTGCTAGTTGTTAAACTTATAGATCGCTTGCATAGTAGTTCTTATAAGAATTATTTATCTACTTTTAAGGCTAATAAACCTCTTACTAAGATATTGAAAGCTATTTAGAGCTTTCGAAGTATTCGAAACTTGAATTAGGCTTGATTTAATACATAGAGAGTATAGTAGTACTAAAAAGAAAGGGTGGTAATAGAGGTAATTAGAAAGTAAGGTCCTTAGTAGTAGCGTTTTTTTTTCCTGACGACGTCGTGGAGTGTCCCGCCCTGTAGGAAGTTACGTTAGTCTTTAGAGGGGTTAGGTCGCGGAAAAGCGGGGTATTACGCCACGCTATTAGGATTATTAGGCTATTCTCTACGTTGTTATCATGCCACTTAAGTAAGATATGCACGGTACCGGTCTACCCCTCCTGCATCTCAGCTGAGGTTACACCACTTCTGAAAAACCTTCAGCTCTTGATCATTCAGCAGGCAGAACGGAGACATGACGCTATCGTGAGATCATAAAACTTGGAATGCGCGTGATTCTCCTCCACATCAGACGTATAGCTACAGGGCACATCTTAGGAGGATTGTTTTCACAACAGTTCAATTTCAAGCATGTCGTTTGGCATCGGTGGTGGGATTGCGTCCATTCTGCAACTCTGTTTTGTCACATATCGCAGATGCAGAGATGGGCCTACTGAAATCCAGGAAACCGCTCATCAGGTTCAAGGCTTAGGCATTGTTCTTCGTCGACTCGAAAGAACGGCTGCGAGTGCGGAGTCAACACTAGCACAGCCTGATGTGCAAAATGAGCTACAGACCCTCATAAGGAACTGCAGGAGGCCCCTCCAAAGATTGTTTAGGATAGTATTGCAACGTCAAAAGCTAACCATCTGGGATCGGATTCGTGTTGATGCCGACGAACTGCAAAGGATTCGTAGCTCCCTCCACTTACACCAAACGAATATCGACATGTTCCTTAGAGCCCTTCCCACACGAACGATTGAGCGCATCGCTGGTGTTCCAGTCCGGATCGATGTTATACACGCACAGCTGGAGAGTCTTATAGAGGCTGTTTTCTCCCAAACATCAAATCAAGTCTACGGCCAGTCTGATGCTAGGATTCCAATCCAAGCAGCTGCCGAAGGCCTCAGGTCGTCAGTAGTTCAAAACATTGAGTATTCGCAATCTGAGGATGATGGTGAATGCCCCATAGTAACGCAGAAGGGTTGATACTGATCTTATCCCAACCTAGATTTTCAGCGCGCCCAAGAACTGTACAGTGACAGTCAATTACTTCATGCCGCTGCTGCAGAATCACTTCAAGATGCTCGTCAAAGCTCTACAGGGATATCGTTAAACAACTCAGTCGAGGACAGACCCGTGGATGAAGTTGACGACCGGGCCTGGACCATGTATCAATTCGAAAGCACCCAATTGGAAGAGGTCCGCGAAAATGAAGAGCACCAGAGGATGCACCAAGAGATAAATGCGCTCGAAGATGCCAGTTCTCATATTCATGAGCTTGAATTGAAGATTGACAGGGTCCAAGGGGAGAAGAGACAGCTCGAGGAGGATTTAAGAGGCATGGAATCCATATATGGAGTGACTCGAAGGAGGCTTGAAAGAGAATTAGTGGAAGCAAGAGGCACAACAGCTGAGTTCCAAGCAGCCCTTGAACATGCAAACCCGTCATCCACTGCCGCAGCGGACACAAGGGTTGAGAACCTCTTGGTTCAATCAAGGGTCCCTGATATGGTAAACGGTGGTTGGCGTTGCTACAGGTTACCGTCCTCCTCCAGATCCGACCGGGACCAGCTCGTCTTCATCGACGTGCTCTGTTCCCTGGACCGGCGCCGTGTGTTCCGCAGACCACCAATACTTGAAGGATCCGAACATCAAAAAGTTCTTCCTCTGCCAGAAAGTTGGAAGCGCATTGAATCGAACGCAGGCCGAGTCTTTTATCGGCATTCTCCGAGTGGATACTGCATGTATCAGCATCCAAAGAAAAGCTCACGAGTCGATTATCGCACGGGGCAACCGCGAATTCCATCCGAGGCGGATTTGGGCCCCTACAGGAGCGTGTTGTTCGGCAAATGGATTCTCGATGACATAAACGCCGCCTGTCAGTTATCTCGCACCCTCTTCCGCGAAGTGCGGTCTACAAGTACCGCTGAACACGAGCCAAGATCGGCATCTGCCGCCAAGGAGCCGTCAAAGTTCACGGGTCTTCAACCGTGGACCGGTTCGGATGCAGTCTCTTTGGAGTGTGACGTGGGGGAGCTTCAAAATAGATTCATCGAGCACCGATGGCGTGGCTCCTGGCTGTACAAAAGCGTCCACGAGCCTGTGTGCCTTATTCCACATGAGTTGGGAAAGACCTGTACAAATTGTACGTCCAAACTTGAATCACATCCGTCCAATTGTTACTTCCGAGAGTGGTCTTCCGCTCCCGTTCAGTCCGAAGCAGCGTCTTCAGCTCCAACTATCTGAATTGGACGGCTTTCCAGCAACTGAGAACTATGACACAGTAGGTATATAGACTGCTCATGTGCTCATAGTTCGTTTTGTTGATATCGACTTTCTGGAAAATCCCTTTTTCGAAAACTTTGAGAGAACTCCGACTGTCTATCCATTATCGCTCATGTCAAGCTACCCAATTTGTCTCTATTGATTCACAAACTTCGTCGAATAATACCTGGTTGACCGTTAGCACGAGAAGAACCCACTTCGTCTTAAGTCGATCTTTAAGTGGAGTTATGTGAAAGCCTTTCGCATGTTCAAGAAGGATAACATACAGCGCTTGGTCGTTTACTTTCATCGTTGATGGCAGATGAGAAGCACTCCACCGCGACTGTAGCGTAAGATACTGTTAGTAACCGCTTTATTACTCCGCTTTCTCAAGTGATCTAGGCCGCTTGACTGATCTGCTAAAACGGGTGATGTTCCCAGCCTTATCTGAGGTTAATTAACCTTTAGCTCCCCTGGATAATGCTGTATTGCTTGTGGCACTCAAAGTTGCTTTAATAAAACAATTATTAGTTAGCTAAACCAAGCTCCGAAAATCAGATAGTACTATAGAGAGAAAACTAGGCTTTATATAGAATATAGTAGTATAATAGTTTTACTTTCTTTAATTATTATATATAGTAATTAATACGTAAGGTTTATATTACTATATACTACAGTAGTAAACTAAAATACTAAAGCGTGGTAGTTAATCGATTATAGTTAGAATTGCGATCTCTAGTAGTAATAGTGGCCCGGCTAGTAGTGCAGCCCGGCTAGTAGTAAGATATATTATAGAGTGTCGCGGGATCGGGCGCAGATGCAGGGGAGGAATAGGGCGGGGAAGGGAGAGATAAGATCCAGCGCGGGGTAATGTAATTAATAGCTTCTAATTATGCGGGTTATAGCGTTGATAGCATTTGCATTTGCTTAGCGTTCGAGGGTTTTGCTTGGGAGGGCATAGAGCATAGTAGCGTGGTAGCATGACAGCGGGAGGAAGGGAGAATAGATGTAATAATGGCGATGTTTGTATTTTGCGTACATGCGTGTGGGCTTTCTGGTTTCTTGCTGGATGGAGTGTGGCATGGGAGACTTCCCCACTCAGTCCACTGCGCTTGTAGCAAAGACCTTGGAAGAAAGACGGCCCCCCTCACACTATCTTACGCTGCTCGCGCGGCTTCAATAATGACATCTGCCGCCTTCTCGCTGATCATATATATCGCAGTCGCGAGGAATAGGCCTGGGATTTCGGGGAAAACGGAGGCATCCACGACTCGCAAACCATCCGTGCCGCGGACTCGGAAACGGGAGTCGAGCACGGCGTTGGGATCATCATCGGTCCCAATAGGACACGTACAGGATGCGTGATGGCCCCAGGACTGACTCGTGATGAACTGTTCGATCTGCTCCTTCGTGTTCACATCGGGTCCCGGGAAGACCTCAACAAACGGCGCAGTGGTGGTGGTGGTGTTTTCCGCTTGATCCTGCCGAAATATCTCACGCGCAAAGTTGAAGCCCTCGTACATAGCCTGTAAATCTTTCTGGTCGGCGTCATCGTCGACGGTGCCCGCGTCGAAATAGTTGAAGTTGATGTCCGGCACATCCCGCGGATCCGCAGACCGGAGCCTGACGGTTCCTCCGCGGTTGCGCGTGTGCGCCTTTAGGACCTGCCACGTGAAGAAACTGTTGTTGCCGGGCTGGTACAAAGAGAAGCCGGGGAAGTACCCGCTGAACCAAAGACCGGAGTTAAAAAGGATGAGATCGACGTCGCCTTCGGCAACAGAAGATCTCATGGTCACGGCGAGGCCTCCGGCTGTGGTGGTGTAGAATCCTTGCCCCTGTTCGTACTGCTCGAGGCAAGGATCTGGCAGGCTCTGCAGGAGGGTGCACTGGCGGCTGATGTTGTAAGCTTGGGTACTTTCTCCGATGATGCTGATTTCATAGCGGTCCTGGAGATTCGTGCCTACACCGGGAAGATCAACCAATACTGGGATCCCAAGATTGTTAAGTTCTTCTGCTGGACCGATTCCGCTTAGTTTGAGAAGCTGCGGACTGTTGAACGCGCCCGCAGAGATGATTACTTCTCGAATAGCATTAACGCTACCAGGGATTCCAGCAATCGTTAAATTTGACCGAGGATCAGCTCTGTACAGGCTCTGCCCCTCGAGAAACTCCACTCCAGTTGCTCTTGGTTTGGTGCCATCATCTGCAAATAGTATCCGGGTTGCTAGAGTGTTCGTTCGTATATCTAGATGATACTTTCGCGAACTGTTAGGATGGGCCGCACCCGCCGTGTCAACGACAAATTGACGAGGGCTACTCCGCTTGTTGTCATATGTCGCGAGGGGCATTGAATAAATATCCGTAGCGGAATCACGGTTGGTAGAATCGTTGTTGATGTCAGGATTCAAGAGCGCAAGGAAGTCGCCGAGACTGGTAATCAGTTTTCCGGCCGCTTTGCCCAGCGTAATTGCTGCAGCAATGCCCTGCGATAGATAATTCTGATCCCCAAGGAGGGTAGCGGTAGAAGCGGTTGATACGCCAAGCCATCCATCGAAGCCATGGCCAGCTGTACCTTCGGGAAGATACTCGTTGCGCTCCAGGCGTTCGAAATACCGTCGCATGGAGTCAGCAGACCAAGAAGGGTCTTCGGTGATATTGGCAATGTAGTTCCAACCACTTTGATGAGGATAAATTGTGACCAGTATATTGTGTGCTGCGCATCCGCCAAGGGTTCCTGCACGTGGATACAGGACACCCAATGGAGTGGAGCCGTCAGGAGGATTCAGGCCAACGAACCTTTGCCCCTCAGGCGTCTGCCAAACAGTCCTGTAGTTTTCAATCTGCCGGCTATCATCCGCATAATGGCGAACGAAATAATCCCAGCGCATTTCTTCAACTTCAGCTGCGAGGTTGACTGCACCGGGGATTTGTTCTTGAAGCAGAGCTCCTTGATCGGATCCCGCTTCGATCAACAGGACGCTGTAGCCACTTCTTGCGAGCCTCGCAGCCAGCGGACCACCACCGGCGCCAGATCCTACCACAATGTACTCGTATTCTTGAAGGATCGAAAACTGAGTATCGCTCGTAGACACTGTGAGATTGGGTCCCCATCTTTGAGACCGCACGACTGTGGATCTAGGCTGAATAAGCTTATATCAGGATTCTTTGCGGCCTGAAACTGACAGAAACTGACAGATGAACGCAAGCAGAATGACGAACTTCGAAAAACGTAGCAGAAGAAACCGAGTAGTAAGCATAATTAATAGGACTTTGCTAAGTTTGACGATTCGGTGGAGGTACAAGCGGTAGAAGAAATTAAGCAAGCGTTTTTACCCTGATGAAGTCTGAATAGGGGAGTTTAAAGGACGAATGTTTTGGAGGCCGGAACTATATACCGTACAAAACTGCCTCACTTGGGTCTCAATGATGTACGGCATCGGCATGGGTTGATTGAGTAAGCTTGCGTAATGCAGACGCCCAAATCCTAGCGGCTTCGGTGTAGCTGTGGATGAGATAGTAGGCAGCAACCGCTCGACAATGGGGGCTATTTAGAGCGGCTTATCCAGCCAGGTTTTTCCATTTGACGTGGTGCATGCCTGAAGAGTTCAGGTGCTTCTAGCCTGCTGTTTTCAGGCCAGCAATGGGGGCGGGAAGTAGTGTGGACCGTGTGTGGCCCGCCGTTTGCGCCATGATGAGCAGCTGTACTATGGTCAGCACCAGCAGATAGCGGCATTGTTGTTTAGCGGCAGAACTTGTTAGTTGCCGAAGGATCAGTCTGTTGGTGGCTGAAGGATTAGATTTAGGATCAAGGCGTGGGGGTGTGACCGGCCGCAGCACGGCTTCGCCCATCCACATCGATCCGTCAGCCGCACCACTTATGCGCTCTCCGGCGTGGCTTTTCGGTCGAAACATCCTCTATCCTCTCTCTACTGTTCTTTAGTGCTACTATTCTAAGAACACTAGTCGAATAGCGGGCAGTAGCGGTTGTGAGCAGACGATCTATGCATAAGCGCTGCCTGAACGGCTTGCCGGCATTGAGCTTTCCCCCCACTACCGCCTTTATCAAGAAGGTCTCACGAGATTGATAAACGAACACCCAGTCCTATGCCGATGTAGTTGTTGCAACTTGCAAGCTATAAATGTGTACTACATAGCCCTCTAGGTGCCAAGGCACTTGAGGCATCAAACTAGCTACAGGTCAAACCGTAATAGAAACGAAAAGTGGCAAGGACAACACAGCATGAGCCGATCCTAGATGAGTGTGTCAGACCAGTGTGGCCCCTCTGGATGAAAACCCAAACGCCAAAAAGCCCGCAGGGAACAGTCTGCTCGTGTGGTCGGCCGAATGAATACGGCGAGAGTATTTTGATTCCATTATCACTCCTGCGATCGATTAGCCGTCTGTCTTAGCCTATCGGGTCAATGGCTACTTACGGAACATTCACAGAACCATGGTGTCGGGCCTACACCCGGAGAGAACGGGATATGCGTCGTGCACCGACCGTCGCCGCCGCACCCAGCGTGGGACTTCTCCTGGCTGATGAAGCCCTGTGGTTTGCACGGCGGGGGCGGGTTAGTGGGTGGAGGCGGGCTGGCGGGTGGAGACGGCGGCTTCTGTGATCGATTAGTCGTCTACCTCGTCCCATTGGGAACGCGGCTACTTACAGGGCACTCGCACCTGAATCGCGGGGCCCAGAGGCTACCAAGAGGGACAGAGTATAGCGTGCACGTCCCGCCGGTGCCGTCGCACTCAAATTGGCACTTCTCGAGGCTCTCCAGGTCGTTCTTGTCTTCGCACGGCCGGGGCGATGGGTTCTGGTTCTGTTCCTTTGGGGGTCCACCCGGTGCGCCCGGGACTTTGGTGTAGTCCACCCCGTTCCAGAGCACCTTCCTACCCTCACTTATCCTTGGATAAGCCGCGTCGTACAGCGTTTTGCGGAACCCTTTCACCTCCACTCCCGTGCCTAGAAAATAGGCGGCTAGACCAGATACCGTTGCAGCAGCTATGGAAGGTGTGTCTCAGCACCGTTCTATAGCCCTAGATGTTCAAGGAACTGGGAAGCACTTACCGTAGGAAGTTCCTGCTACGCCTTTCTCATAGTCACCTCCATTATCTCCTTTTCCCTTTTCGCTGGCACACACACTATCTGTAGCCACTCCGGATATCTTTATGTAGTCCGCGGTCTGAAATTTGCCCTTATATCTATCCGCACCTGCGTCTCCGATCACGCCTACGACAACTATAAGTTCCTCGAACTTGGGTCCAAGAACCGCCGGTGGTGTTTTAATCTCGACTCCCTATTTTAGTTAGCGGAAGATGCACAATCAAATGGGTTAGTGCGAATAGATACCTCGTCATTATTGCCAGCTGGCGTGACCAAAACTACATTTTTCAAATCAAGCAACTCCTGAATGACTATTTCAAAGGACTCCTTCATAGCCTCGTCGTAGAGTTCGTTCTCGAAATATTTTATCCTCTAGGACGTATCAACGACGGCCTTACCGTTCGGGTAATAGTTTTTTCTCGACGTGGCTGTGAACTTTGATAAGTCCTTCCAGCACGTACTCGTTAAGACTATTTCCATCGTCATCTGTGTCTCCGACTATTACTATGGTCGCCTTCCTAGCGACTCCTGTCTAGGCGCCCGTTATCCTTCCAACTACGCAAGTGCCGTGCCATGTGTCCTTGTCGCCATCTCTATGACCCGGGGCTGGTTCCGGCCCAGACCAGAGCCACTCTTCAATCTTAACGTTTTTAAGATCCTGGACTTCTTAGCAAATGCGGTAGTTCTCGAGGGGCTTGGTAGAGCGAGTAGATTGCTGAGCTTGAAAGTATGCATGAGAAGGACATAGTTTCCCGTATCACTCACCTCTGTGGAAGTGTCTGCGCCACTATCAATGACATAAACCACGACACCTTCCCCATCGGAGTCATGGCGGTAGCGATAGCTAGGAACCTTGTCGAGACGCACGCCCAGTGGGTTCTCGTCGTTTTTTGGCTGCGAGACGTACTTCATAGAGTCCCATTCGGCGGGATCCCATGTAATGTGATCGGCTGTGGGGCCTGGGCTGTTGGCTTGAGGTTCGCGTGATCCGATGCCTTCCGGTAGGCGTGGAGCATCGACTGCCCGCTTGCCCATATCGCTGGAGGATTGCCGGATTTGCGGTGGCAAACTAGGACTAGGGTGAACCGAGGTAACATCTTGCCACGTCCTAAGCTAAAGAGACATCAGCATATCTAGGAGGAACCGAAACATACAAGATTCTGGTTCTCTTTTCCGAACTAATCAGCTGCAGAAAGCTCAAGATCCACTAACCAGAAGAATACATGTTTTGAATTCTTTACGGTGGAAACATCTTTGTTAAGATTTCTGAGGCCCTAGTCAACTATACCGCGGCCTTTGTTGTTCTCCATGTCTTTGGCACAAAGCTATATTTCTTGGGTTCAGCGGTAGCCAGACTTGCAAGCAGCGCTATAGTTAGGAGTTTAAGATAATACATCTTGCTAGCAGATAATACAAGGGAGGATTCTAGCACATATATATATATATATCTTAGACGCTGTTTTTCGTAGGAGGGTCTCCAGGGAGACATCTTTGGCCCACCAGAAAGGGAGGGGGATATCTTTGGATAATTATTTGGTAGCAGACGAGGGCTTGGTCAAGACACTATTATCGAAAGCCGCAAGCAAGAAGAGAAGAGAGCGATAAAGAACTCAACAATTACTAGAATAGAAAATAAGGTGGGAGCAGCATTCTACTTGTATGTTAACGGACTTATCCTGTGCTATATGGATGTAACAATCCACCATGGACCACGGTGGCTGAGGCGGCTATAGAAGGAAAGTTATACTACATTAAGCGCAGGAAGAAGACTAACTATGCCGTATTAAGTGCTAGGAGAAGATCAGCTACGCCGCACTTTAGCTAATACTCTTCGCCACCTACTCCTTAGCCCACGGCGCGTCGAGCTTTGATATCCTTTGCCAGCACCTGTTTTGTAACGTCTCCGTTTCAAATGCCGCCGTAAGAGGCGAAGCGGAAAGTCTAGCGATTCCTTGCAATCTAATAAAAGCCCGCTCTTAGGCATACTGTACGGGTATTTAGCGAACCTCTTCGACAGTGCGGTGATCTGCAATAAGAGACAAAGGAAAATGATGCCGAGACGTAACAACCCTTACAAAGGGATTACCTAGGATAGACACCCTGGGTTTAAAGCGCCGCCAACTCGGTCTCGAGGTGAGAGGCGCGGTTACAATTTGTGATGACTAGCGCGTGGAGGGTTGAAAGGTCGTTTTCGATAACAAGACCGGAGCTATCTAAGGATGTGGCGGCTTTGGGGCGAGGGTATAAAGGCGGCTGGGCGATAGCAGAGGAATTCTGCGCTGGTTGGCTGGGCCGGGAAGGGGAGAGTCCGGCGACGACAGAGTCACTAATCCGGATAAGAGCGTTAAGGTTAATAAGGTCGGGGGCCTGCGGTGTTCTACATATCTTCTTAATGCGCTCGGAATCTTTAAAGACCTACCGCTAGTCAGCAGGGTAATTAATCCTTCTATTCCCTTACCGTGTACTTACCATAGACTGTTCCTAGACCCCTAAAATCTCCCGACTACCGGCCGGCACTAACGACGGGGCCAAGGATTGCGAAGGCGATTCATCGAACTTAACTAAGTCTCTAAAGCTGCCGATTGCGGGAAGCCGCCATTCTGCTTCGTTGCCTGTGGTGTTGCGCGCGAGTTCCTCTGCTGCGGCGATAGGCCTAGAATAGTCATCCGGCAGCTTCCTAGCTTCTGGCCTCAGCTGGGCGGGATCCAGGACGAGCGTCAGGCTGCTGAGCCGGAAGTGGAGAGTGGGGAATGGGACGAGTTGTCGTTGTCGGCACGGAAGGCTAACCGGAAGAAGGCACGATATGTGTCTAAACTGGAACGGTCTTTGAAGCGTGAGAGGAATAAGATACAAGAGATAGTAAGAATTGAGTGACCATCGGCGTTATAGAAGAATGATATGGCTGGTGACTACAAGGCCCCTAAGGATCGCGATGTATTCAAAGAGGCACTAAAAGAATTGCGCTGGGAGTAGGTACTCAGAGATATACCGAAGCCACTCGCCTAACTAACTGTTCCGAAAGCAAATGAGATAAAGGTGTGGTTATGTCTAGGAGGCGAATTGCTCTAGAGGCTAGTGACAGCAGAGGCTCTTACGTCGCTGCGTAACCTGATCGAACAGGATGCTCATGCGCATGATGAGACAAGCCGACAGCGCCTACAGTAGTTCGCTAAAGCCGCCCAAATATCCTTTGCCGAGTGTGCCCTCCTTCAGAATGAAAATTAACTCTTGTTCAAACAGAACGACGAAGCCAAACGTCGCAAATCAACCAAGTCAACGGTAGTAGGGAAGGCGATAGTGATAAGCTACGAGGATATTAAGGAGGCACGACGGAACCGTGCTGCGAAAGAAGTTGCTAAAGAAGTCGCGGCGGCTCCAGGGAAACGTGGTCGGAAGCGTAAAAGCTCTGTACCAGCTGGAAGGAAGGCCGAAAAGGTACGGAGGAGCGAAGTGGAGGTTGTCGAGGAAGAGATTGCAGCAGGCGGGATGGAGAATCACTGCTCCGTGCTATAGATCTGATATTCTCCTCCCTTATCGCATATTGATCGAGTTGGAGTTCGGCGCTCCTATAGGGTGGTCAAACTCAATTTTCACCTCGCTCATCCTCCCTCTCCCTATCTGTGGCCTCCTATACTTGAATCGAGACACATAGGATTTACCTGTCGCATTGCTTCGGCCCTTGCAGCTAAATCGGGGTAAATATTTTGGAGTCCGCGGTGATTGTTGTAGTAGGATTGGTGATTGATTTCGCAGATATCATCGGCGTTTCCTTTATGGTTTTCGCAATATTCTCGGTTGCATAGAAGGCATGCTCGCGTTGAACCAGATGACCTGATATCGCCATGCTTTGGAGGACGGCGTTGGCGCATCTGCTCGCAAACAAAGCAGGGAGACGCCATGCGCTGCTCGGTTGCCATTATTGGGTTGCAGTTCGGTGTTGCGCCTCGATTGACGAGGGCTGTGAAAGTGGGAAGCTCGAAGGTGAACAGCAATTAGAGCTGAAGAAGCCCAGCTATGCCCGCATACGCTTGCGGAGAAATAATAGTCTCATGAGTTGAATGACTAATCCATACCCCGCATCGATCCAGCTAATAGTGCAAACCAACAGAACGCAGCAGAATGGGCTCCCGCAATAAAATTAAAGGGAGAATGACTCTTTTCGAAGCAGAAAAGAGTATGCTAGTCTGGGGGTGGCCTTTCCGGATATTCTAAGCATTGTAACCTGCCATATAGTGCTTGCCCTTAATTGGGTTCCATAACGGTAAGGCTCTGTCAAAGTCATGGCAGTGGGAGCTCTAGCTTGATTCTCTGAAAGCATTCTGCTGACAGCACTTCGTCAGATCACATCGAAACTTCGCTCTGATAGCGAATACCTCTCGATCCCCCCGACGCAGAAGAAACCTTTCCCGGTCCAACTTCGTTGCAAAACGCCCCAGACTCGATCCATCGGAACATGCGAATTATCAATCCAACCGTATTACGACTGTTCTCATACCTTAAGATCGATTCGCACTACGAAGTGCCTTTTTATACACTGAAGGAAGTGGATCGTTTTGGCTGCCAGCTTATGCTGCATCTCAAGAATTCCATGATACAATTCCTCTTCAGACATAAAATACGAATCTTCGTGGAGCGTAATGCACTATGCAGTTAGACACGTTCTACTGCGACCGATGCAGGGCGCTTTCGTACAACGAGCTCATGTCAGATTCTGAGCATGAGAGGTATCACCTGTACCACGATTCCTGGAAGTCGCTTGAGGAATCAGCAGAAGCTGGTTGCGAGTTATGCGGATTCTTTAGAGCTACAACGAAAGACCGTAACTCTCCTGATTCCGATGGACCAGTCGCACTACACATTTCATCACCTTCATCCTTCGAGGACCTCATGACCTTCGACGACGGTCCGCCTCGACTCGGGATATTTACTACCGACACTCAGCAAGGCGAATGCCTTGCACAACAACGCTTTGGCCTCTTTTTGAAGTCAGGTATTGTTTCTTGTATCCGGCACCGTCCCAAAAGCTTGTGCCGAACACCTAAAGCACCGCCAGACTCGGTGGCTTCAGAGATCTCAGGCCGCGACATCGAGCAAGACCGTGGATCAGCGGCAGCCCTTGCAAAGATCCAACATTGGATACGAGAATGTAAATCGGAACACAAGTCCTGCCGTGGCCGCAATGTTTCGTCTCTTCCCACTCGAGTAGTTGACGTGCGTCCCTCCGACAAGCTGCAAGATATCAACTTGATTGAGAGCAAGGATAAAGCGGCAAAGTACGTGACATCAAGCCATTGTTAGGGCAGACCACCGAAGAATGCCGAGATGGGGTGAGGGATTCTCCTATAAATCATATCTAGCCCTTGTGGCATCTTTCTGCCATTTATTCCAGCGAAGGCCAGCGAAAGATTCCGAAAGTTTGCTGAATCATAACTGGTTAGTTTTACAGATTGTTCAAGTGTAATTTGTCGAACTTTCAGGCTCTACTCAGAGGATTTCAACTGTCCACGCTTCCTCCTCTATATAGAGATACTGTCGAAATCACCCGAAAACTCAACATAAGGTGCGCAGTCGACAATGGGCACGGTAGCCCGAACATTCCGGATTCGTCGCTGACTACGATTAGCTACCTATGGATAGATTCTCTCTGCATTATTCAAGATAGCGTCGCTGACTGGGAAAACGAATGTCCCGAAATGAGTAACATTTATAGCAATAGCTACCTGACAATATGCGCCACTTCCTGTAAGGACAGCCTCGAAGAATTTCTTAAGTCAAAGCTTGAAAATATGCCTCTGCAGCGTCAGCTTTGCAGGGTACTATACTATCCTACTATTTCTGTGTTTGTTTGACCGGCGGCTCAACGATTAGATGTTCGACTACACAAAAGAGGTTAGGTGTTCTAGGAATTTATCCTCTCGCCCCGTATCCTGCAATTCACTTCTACTCAGATGGCTTTCGAATGCGACGAACACTCTGTCGTTGAAGGCGGTCAATATAACGATCCCATGCTTTTACCTGCATTCTCCAACAAGCGACTGCTTTACAATGCTTCCCACATTTCTGAGGATTCAAAACCGTATCAACGGTGGCTTGAACTTGTTGAGGAGTATTCTTCGAAGAAGTTAACATACGACACGGATAAGCTCCCAGCCTTGGCTAGTCTTGCTAAGGTTTTGCAATTGCAAACGAAAGATGAGTATGTTGCTGGCATGTGGAAAGCAGATTTGTGGGCTAGCTTACTGTAGAGAGTGGAAGCTAAGGAAACCCATAGCCGATCTTCAGGGTATATCGCACCTACATGGAGCTGGGCCTCCGTTAGTGGCTCGATAATGTACTCTGCTATCGACAGGCGTCCGTATCTCAGACTGAACGTCCTCCGTGCTGAGGCTCAGTTATCCGGCTTTAATCCCTTCGGTCAAGTCTCAGACGGTCAGTTAGTCATTTCCGGGCCTTTCAAGTCAGTCAATACTAGCGAACTGTCGAAGTGCAAGTTTGAGTTTGGGAGGTATAATCTTGAGTGGAGCGGACCAGGTTACGATAGGTTTCGGTTTGACAGTGGTGAATCTCCAGGTGGCGAAAAGTTCTCATGCTTGGATTGTGTGGTGAAAGATAGAGTTGTTGAAAGGCGGATGGTAGCTGAGAGCATTGGTGGCGATCCTCATGGTCTCCTGCTAGAGAAAGTGGAAGAAACTAGAGACGTCTTTAGACGTATCGGTGTTTTTGAGGTTAACCTCGAGGGTCTACACTAGTTTGAAGATTTCTGCGAAACAACATTGACAATAAAATAAACTCTCCGCGTCACAGTCTTAGGGGCACAACTTTGCTCGGATACCTTGCATAACTACAGTCGCTTGCAAAATGCAGGCCTGTTTTCGCGACGAACTGATGTTTTTTAGCATAATGCAATTCTCTCGCATTCTTAGCTGGAGATAAAGTTATGCGTCCCTAGGACGACATCGCAAAGGTAGCTTTTCTGAAGCTATTATAGCTTAAGCTAATCTAGCTTGTAATAAGATATTCGTATAGGGCGGAACATTCTGTCACTAATATCTAAACCTAAGCTATTAATATTAGATTCACTACTATAGATTAGATAAAATTAGTAATAGAAGATCTTTATACTATACGAACTTAGTGGAATTACTGAGATGCAACTAGTAGTGGAGTTTACTAGTGTTAAACACTCATCTGATTACAAAATATTCGGATACCCTCTTCCCTGCCTCTATCTCCCGGAAGACCACGCCATCCATCATGCTATGCACATAGCAAGTCCCTTTCATTGTCCAGATTGGCAGCTCTTCTTCCTCTTCTTCTTCCTCTTCCTTCTTCTCCGCTTCCTTTGCATCCTTATCCCGAATATCCTCTTCCCGTACAACCACCTTTTCTGGTACCACTGCCTCTTTCGGCACCACCACCTCTTCCGGTATTACACCCTCTTCCTTTACCTCTTCTTTCTCTTTGTCTTTGGTTACGGCACATCTGTCGGCTTCTCTCAATACAAACGGCACGCTGCCGCCCCGCAAAACGACAATTGTATCACCCACCTCCGCAGCCTGAGGCACCATGCAATAATACCCTCTCTCAGTAGTCGCAAACCGCATCCCAAACGTCGTTCGATGTAGCATAATCTTGAATTTCTCCATATTTGCGTCTAAGCTTGAGGCCCAATAGCCGAACTCGATATGCCTAGCAAAGGCGAGGTAGCACATGTCGTATTGCCAGTAGCGCCCGTCATCACCAACCTCGGAGAAGCGCCACGTAGGATATCTTTTGTCTGTCAGGAGCGTGCGCCAGTAGGCGCGAAGGGCAGTTTCCTGCGATGTCTTAGACATCAAGGACACTTGACGGATGCTATTAGGCTCCCAAGCACGGACTTGGTCCATCCAGCTGTCATCGTCATAAGCGGAGAGTGGAATGAAATCCGATATGGAAGCGATGACATCGAGGCGCGCCCCTTCGCCGATGAAGAGTTCTGGGTCGAGGCGCCAGGGATTGGGGAACATGTAGACGAAGGAGAAGTTTGTACGACCATCAGCGAAATACAAATCGCGCTCGCTTTCATCGTCGGATACGACCCAGGATTGCCAGCCTCGACTATCGCTGCGGCTCCAGTCGGGACACCAGGACGGAAGCTTTAGTTTTGCACTTTCGGGAGTGGGTGCGTAGCCACGGTGATGCCGGCAAATGATATTGAGGTTCTCGTTGTGCCAGGCATGTTGGCGGGTGACATCCATGTAGACTTCTCGAGTTGAAAGATTGTAATCGGCATAGATGCGGACGCCCCGCTCAACCAAACCAATGAAAGCGAAGATCTTGTCTCTGGGGTCAGAACACTTGAAGCACCCGAAGCGTATCAGATGATTAGGGAGCTGGTCGAGGCTAAGAGTGCGCTTGTGGATTTCGTTCCAGCCCATGTTGAGTTTTGTCGTCCAGAGATCAATTACCTTAAGTTGTTCTCGGATAGTACTTGGCAACTGAGAAAAAGGATTGTCGGACTCGCGCACGAATGACGAGGTCGAAGTCAGCAGGAGACTGATAGTCCGACCCATTACATCCCAGGACACTGCCTTTGTCCCACAGACAAAAATGCATTGCCGAGCCATGAGCACTTCCTGCACAATCCAGCTGCGAGTCCACCACGTCCGTTTCAACAGATGCCGAAGGGCCTCCTGGGCTGCTGTCTTTTTCCTTGTCCCGAGAGACTTGTCGAGGTCGAGCTTGTGGTACCTTTGGTCAACGTAGGTGTTCAACTTGTCCAGCTCTTGCGACCAGTTCACTAATGCATCGTACAACTCTTGAAACACATCAAACAGAAAGTCGCTGCTCTTAATCTTTCTTGGCCCCTTGTTCTGGTTCTGCGGCGGAGTCGATAGTGCCTTCCTAGTTTGATCAGCCACGAGCTCGGTTTTATTCCATTCGGCATACGTTCTCAATCCGTTATTACTCGGAGGCTCATGTTTGTCCTCTCCATTCCCTTCAAGCGATACCTCCTCCATAGACGCCTCCCCCAGCCACACAACCACCTTTTTCGCTAACGCATATATCCTCCCCATAATCATGACCTGCTGCGCCCGCTCTTCCACATTGCTCTGATCAATACATACTGCGTCAGCCCACAGCATTCTTGGCCGGTCCCTCAACCTCAGATGTTGCAACGCAGAGTACAGATTCACTGTAACCTGCAGCTCTCCCTCCTGTCCTGCTTTTCCCTCATTGCTAACCCTAATTGCCTTTCTCACTTTCGGATCCCCCCAAACATAACTTAAGGCTTCATAGACCGGAGGCTTCGGCAGCTCTTCACTTCCCTTGCTAGACCCAGTCCCCGCAAAAAAGCTCGTCCTGTCCATCTCCTTGCTCAATATGTCCTGTCTTATCACAAACGAGATTGGAGCGTCAATGTCCTCGCTCGGAAGCAGCTTCAGGAGCCGAATTTGCGATATGTTATTCTGTAGCCACCGTCTATCTCCGGTCGCAAGCGGAAGGGGGGTATAGGTATAGGGGATAGGAGGCATCGTGGGTGGATGAGGCCGAGCCTAGAGAGCGAAAAGAAGAAGCTTGATATAACTTCGCGATAGGGTAAACGATATTGTTACTGAGCTAACTGACCCGCCTAGGGGGGTTAGTGGTAGTTGCAGGTTAGCTGAGGCTAAGAACTCAACTCCATTGTGCGTAAAACGATTCGGATAGCTTAGCGCCAAGTAATAACAGCTGCGCTTATAGTTTATCAATAACTGCAACTAGTTATTAGATCTATTACTCTCTACTATATTTTAAAGCTGTAATCTATAGAATTTAAATAGTCTACCTTTCTATAAGATAGATTTAGTTTAGGGAATTCTTATATATTATAATTTAGATAAGAGAATTACTTAGAATAGACGCTCTAGGTCTAAAGCGCTACTAATCTAGTCTTAAGGTTAGAGACGTAGTTATAATTTATACTGAGTCTAATAACTAGCGCGTAAAGGGTTAAAATATTGTTTTCGACAATAAGACTAGAGCTATCTAAGGATATAGTAGGTCTAGTAAGTTTCGGGAAAACTTGTGCATATGAGCACGAGGCCTGACCCAATCAATGGGATTCCCAGAGGTGACGCCCGTATAAGTAAACCCCGGGTTTACCTCAGCCTGCGCCTTCGCGTGATCCCACCCAGTGCGGCGCTGTGCGTGGATGCCGTTGAACTCGGGCAGCCCGCGGACGTCGGGGCCCCAGCCGAAATCATCGACGATGAAGCGCTTCACTCCTGCAGCCTCGGCAGCGTCGATTATGGCGACCTGATGCCCTATGCCGGACGGGCCCACAACACAAACGGCGGCATCTTACCCCGCCAGTGCTTTGGTCAGCTCGTCAACCTTGTACGCCGTTCTGATAACGGGTACTCCGGATGGAAAGGTCGCCGCAGACTGGACCCGGGTGATTATGGTCACGTCAAACCCGGCGCTCATGAGGGCCGCTGTGATGGGAGTACCGAAGTTGCCTGAGGCCGGCGGGGTTGTTAGTGACGACTGATTCCCAAGACGTGGAAACACTTACGCCGAAAACGGCAACTTTTTTGATGGTAGTCATCAAGTGTTTGTGACTCTTTGTGACGCGTTAGTGGGCGAGATAAGGATGGTGGACTTGGCTATTTGAGGCTAGCTGTACGGGAACGCAGGAAGTAAGTGCACGGTGGGGGCTGCAAGCTCAGCTCCTCCTTAAGCGCTCTAATAACAAGATCGCGGGACGAAGAGGCACAGCAACACGTATCCCGTCGGTCATAGAAGTCCAAAGTCATCCGCGCTCGAGTAAAACGCACCGTGCTCTCCCACTATCACCCGGCATTATTAACGGCCCCTCGATACCAAAATCGCTCGATGGAGCGGGCGAAGGCGGGGGAGTATCCGAGATGAGGTAGAAAACCTTCAAGTCGGCGGCGGTGAAGCAAAACGCAACTCTCCCACATTCTCTACCTGAACTAAAGCTGTGCATCTCTAGGACGACATCGCAGAGCTAAGCGGAACGTTTGCTGCTCTTTGCAGAATGTATCGGAATTCTTAGCGCGTGTGGGGCACGCGTTTCGGACGCGCCGGGTTCCTTACTGTGCTTGCAGATAAAACCGGGAATTTGCCACTGAACGCCAACGCCTCCCCGCATTTCATATAGAAATCTCTATGCGATAACCTGAGAACGTCTAAAACGCCGTGTTTATCAAAACAGTCTAATATCCTACCCAAAACAGTCAATTGTATAGAACTCTTGGTATTTTAGTCCAAAAGACATTATCACCGTCCACCGTCTACCGGCCACCAGCCACTAGCTATTATCCACCAGCCACGTCTACCGCAATACCGAAGCGCAAGGAGGTTGTTAAGGTTACAGCTACTAATACTAAGAGAAAACAATCAAGAAAGACACTAGCTGCTAGTGGTTTAAGAGCGGCTAGTAGTTTATAAGCGGCTATACCCTTATCAGCTCCTACCTAATCCTCTCATCCTCGATCCTCCCGTCCTTAAACTCAGACTACTCCTATATTTATACCTCTATTAGCTCCTACCCGATCCTCTCGTCCTTAATCCTCCTATTCTTAAACTTAGACTACTTCTATATCTATACCCTTATTACCACGCGCTCCTACCGTCTCGCTATTATCTAAGTAGAATAACTAGCACTCTATATCGGATACTACAGCCAAATAAGAGGAGGAGACTCTAATATTCGCTTATACCTACTATCTATAAGTTATTAATAATAAGAAGCTACTTAAATCGCAGACGCGTATCTATAAGATTAATAAGCTAGTATCTTGTCTCTTCTACTCTAATATAGAGCGGTTTAAACGCTAGGTAATAGAGTATACTTAACCCTAGTAGTTTAAGCGGCTTAGTATTTAGGCTTCTTTATCGCAAGATAGAGGTACTAGTATTATTTAGAATATTAACACTTAGGAGAGTATTAATAAGGCTGAATAGATGCTAGTTACCTAGTATAAGGCCTACCCTAAGTAGAGCCTTCGAGTTAACATTATAATTGAGGTTAAAAAGATTATTAAAGAGATTAATCTATTAAATTCAATACTAGTTACTAGCTAGCCACTATAATAATAAGGTCGACGCACCGCTACCTCCGCTTAGCTCCTTAATCTTCTAAACTATATTACCGCTATAAGGGCTACTAATAGTTACGCTTATAATCTTAGCTTTTATTAGTATTATTAGAGCACTAGCTATCCAAACTATAGTAGAAGTAGCAACCGCATTTACTATTTAAATAGCTCTAATACTCTACTAGATAACTATCTACCTCTTAACTCTAAAGCGATAGAGATTTAGAACCGAGATATTAGATAAAGTTAGGCTAATCTTAACTAGCTAATAGTTAATCTACTAATAAGGCTATTTAGTTATAAGCGCGTAAAGGAGGGTAATAGATTATAAAGAATAGGTTAATTAACAGCCTAGTAAGCGCTAGTAGCTAGATACCCTTTAGCTCTAGTCTCTTAGATACCTATACTAATAGTATAGCCGCCTACTCTCTTAATTAACTATAATTCTTTATAATTATTACTAGTTTTAGCTAAAAGCAATCTAGATAGTATACTAGCGCAGTTTATAAGCTAGGCTAAGAGTTAGTAGTGCTAGAAGGCACCCTTCTCGCAAGTCTTTCTTAATTAGCTAAAGAATAAGCTATCTAAAGATAGTTAAAATCTTAAGGAACTAAAAAAAGATATAACTACCGAGTAGTAGAACGAGTATAGCTTTAAACTAAAGTATCTCGCCCGTATTTATAGGGAAATTAGACCTTTTAAGGATACCTAGTATTAGATACACTAAGCGTAGCGTTTCTACCTCTTCTCTATTAAGATCTTATTATTAATTAGTCTATATAAGCCTAGGAGACTTAAATCTTAGTATATTATTACACTCTTTTTTACTTTTTATATCTAGTATTCCTTATTAGAGCTGGTTGTCCCGCTCTGTCGACTAATTAAAACTAGGCGGTTAGTATTAAATATAAGCCGGACTAGCTCTAATAATTCTCTAGTAATCTATTACTAGGTTAAAATTTTTTTAATACTAAGTAGTATTTAGTAGCGCAACATTTTCTAATTATATATTTAAGCGGCAGCGGAGTTTTATATATATTATATCTTAGAACCGTTTTTTTTTATAAGCGTAGCTACAATATTTATAGAGTATCTAATTTAAACTAAAAAAGATAATAAGTCGTGCGCAGATTCTTTATGTTTCTATATAGAAAGCTATAGACTGTATCTAGTATACTAAAAGTAAGTAGTAGCGTTCGTACCGCTAGCTATATAGATTACTAGGTGTAAGAATACTATAAAGTCTATTATATTATCTATTAGCTACCGCTAGCTTTTTATCCACTACTTCATATCCGTAAATAAGGCCTTAATAGGGTTTAAATCTAGTAAGTATAGAAGAAGGTAGTTAAAATTAACACTAAACTCCCTAAATAGCTCTAGTATCTAAGCGCTATAATAAGTAGTAATATTATCTATTATAATAACCGTTTATCTAAGCTGCTGCTATATTACTAGTAGTAGCATCTACTAGAGCTAAGCCTTAGAGATTTCAGCGTTTATAGCTCCCTTAATAATAAGGGTGGCGTCCTTAATATAGCTCTTAATTACTAGTACTAGTAAAACTAAGTAGACTTTAGAGCGTCTTATAGTTATAATATCCTCTACCTTAATACTAGCCCTAGACTAGCCGTGTTATCTATAGGGAGTATACTTATTATTAGCAGTCTTATCTATAAAGATAAGCTCACTTTTATTATATTATAACTACCAAGCTATCTAGGCTATCTAAAGCAGCTTGTTTTATTTAACCGCGCGTCGTGCTATCTTCTTTTAAGTCTATCATACGCGTATTAGTGTTAAATAGATAGTACTAATTAATAGTTAAATACTAAACTACTAGTCTAGCTAGGTGGCTATATCTTTAAGATATACAGTAGGGTTTAACTAGAGCTAGTTAAGGAGCGCCTACTCTATAGTAGTTAGCATCTATTGCGGTTATCTAGTAAGAGCCTAAGATCATCCACATCCTCTTATGCTACTATAAGTAGCTTTAGACGGCCTCGAGCCACAGTTAATAGAGGATAAAGTTAACTAAATAAGTCTAGGCTTAAGCGCATTTAGTATATAGTGGTTTTCGAGGCTTAAGTAAGCCGTTTAATCTCCTTAACTGGCGTATTATAATTCAAAAGATAGATAATAGTATTAATAATATAGCTAGCAAGTTTTCGAGCTATTGCGGCATTAAATGGGACGGTGGTTATATTAAAAACCTTATTAATTAACAGTTGGCTATACCGTGTGGTGGGGGAGCCGCTCCAGTGGCAAATTCCCGGTTTTATCTGCAAGCACAGTAGTGGCCGCAGAGCCGCAATTCCCGATCGTCATTATCGCGAAGCTTACCTGCAGCTCTCCCACTCCACCGCATTCCATCCACAACTTCACTCATAACAACAATGTCTTCCAAACCTGCACTCCGCCTCCTCCGCCAGCCCCTAACCCGCTGTCTCCGGCCCTCAAAATCCTACCACCCACGCAATGCCTCCACCCTCCGCGCCCTCACCTCATCCGCAGAAGGCCCGCCCCCATCTCCCCGCAATCCCCTCGACCCCCTAACAACCTCTCGCCTCGAAGCCGCCCGCCGCGCCTACTACACCCGGCGCTCCTACTATGCGAGCGCAGGCGCCGCAATTTGCATGCTGGTCCCACTGGTGCTAATCAACTTCATGGACGCTGAGAAACTGGACGCATCTTCCTCGTCCTCTTCGTCTTTCCAAGGCAAGCCAGTGGTACTAGCGCCAGGTGGGGAGAAGCTCGTCGCTATCTCCGAAAAGAGCGGAGAGCCTGTGGTCGAGGTCGTAGAGACAGGGACGAGCAGCGTGCCGCACTTCCCCAAGACAATCCGCATACCAACCCCCGGAGGCGTAGGCAATGAAACAGACGAGGAATACACCCTTCTCGGCCTCGGCATCCGCACCGTCTCATTCCTCAGCATCCAGGTCTACGTCGTCGGCTTCTACGTCAGCACCGCCTCGCTCGCGGCCTTACAAGCACGGCTAATCCACCACGTCAACCCGGCGGCCTCAACGCTGATTCCCGGGGAAAAGGAGAAGCTGAAGCAGGCGCTATTGAGTCCGGACGAGAGCTACGATATCTGGGACGCGGTGCTGCGGGACAGTGTGGAGACGGGGACCGGCATCGGGGGTGTGAAGAGTGCGTGGAGGGTTGTACCGACTAGGAACACGGATTTTGCGCATCTGAGGGATGGCTGGGTTAGGGGTATCACGGCGAGGACGCAAGAGGCTGCTCGGAAAGCCCAGGCGCTGGCGCAGCCGCTGGTGCTGGGAACGCAGCCGGGTGAGGCGTTGGATAGGTTCGATGACGACGGGTTTGCGGACGCGATGAAGAGCTTCAAGGCGCTGTTTGGTGGACGCGGCAAGGCGCCTAAGGGGAGCGTGGTATTGCTTACAAGGGATGAGAAGGGGAAGCTGGGCGTGCTGTTTCAGGAGAAGGAGACGCAGAGGATGGTCAATATGGGGGAGGTTGGTGATGAGAGGATTGCGAGGCTAGTCTGGCTAGGGTATCTGGGTGGGAAGAATGTAAGCTCGGAGGGTGCGAGGAAGGGTGTTGTGGATGGCGTGATGGGATTGGTGGAGAGGCCGGTAGGGACGGTGGAGACGAGGGTAGAGTAAGTACAGGGTTGTGGGAGTAGTGAGAAAGCGTAGACGATGTTTCGGCGCCATGCCTACATAAGCGCCTCGGAAGTTGATACTGCACGGCACAAGCTGCCGGTTATGGTACTACTTAGTAATAGAAGGAAAGCTAACTATACCTTGCACGGAGGAACCGGTGCAACAGGTTGACGAGCCATATTTGGGTCAATGGGATACTGACATCACTAAGCTTCTACAATGCTGTACTCTACGATGCGAGCTAGCTCCCCTTCTAGTCCTCTTCTCCGCGGCTATACATAATCGTCTCGTAAACGCCTCCTCGGTATGTCTCAACCGAACCCCAAGTCTTCACGTCGATACTTGACAATATTACCGAATGACCTTATATCCCCGAACGCCTTATTCCTCCCCCGCATGCAGCCTCTCCGCCCTCCCGACCAAATCCTCCACCCACGCCCCAAACTCTCTCCTCATTTCAATCGGCACTACGTGCCCCTGCCCCTCTACTAAATGCGTCGTAACCCCTCCCTCCTCGCCCCCTAAACCCTCCAGCAACACCTTCGCATGCGGAAAACTAATCATACGGTCCTCGCTGCCATGCACAACCATAATCCTCTCTCGTCCAACCTTGTCGCCGAGCTCTTTGAGCTGGGCAGCGGACTTGTGGTGCCAGCCAGCCGCGATGGCTTGCGCCATGAAGCCTTTGCGCTGGAAGCCCTCCTTGTCGGACCGTTTGGTTATCTCGGCGGCGGCGAAGCGGTCGCCGTTTGTGGGGAAGGGCTGGATGGTGTATTCGGATTCGTCTGGTGCGGCTAGCCACTTCTCGGAATAGAGATTTCGCTTGATGTTTGCGAGTTGGATGTCGAGGGCGCGGGGAATGCTGTGGGAGGTGGGATTAGTGGGAGATGAAAGTAGAAGGCGGGAGTGGAAGGCGAAAGTGGAAAGTAGAAGGGGAAAGGGGAAGAAAGGGGAAATCGGACGCAGGCGGGAAAATATGCAAACGACTTACAAGAGGTTCACTCGGTTGCGGAGATTTTCGAAGAAGCCCTGTGGAGTGGTCAGGTTGATGGATGGGCTCTGCGGACCGGCTTGGCGGGCTTACGACTGTGTTGTAGAGGTATGCGGCTGTGGAGACGAGTGAGAGCGAAGCTATCCTGTCAGGTACGCGAAGTGCCTGCGAGGATTTAGTGCCATGCATCCTGTCTTGCGACTCGGCCTGACGTACCAGTTCTTGCGCGATCATGCCTCCCATGCTGATGCCGATCACGTGTACGGACCGTTGATCGGTCCATCCCAGATGGTCCAATATCTCCATTGTGTCTTGTGCCATCGAGGAGGTCGAGTATCGCATCAGAGGTTTGCCTGACTCGCCGATGCCCCGGTTGTCAAAGATCAGGGAGGTATATTGATCGCCCTTGGTATGTCCGAAGTCTTTCGTCTGCCGCTGCCATGCCGATTTCATGCCGCCGAGGCCCATGATCCACTATATTTTACATGCCAGTCTGAGCTTATGATCTTCGTAAAAGGAAAGACTTATGTATATAGGGCAAGACTAGAGACAAATCCCTCATAGGAAGTATAGAAAGTGGTACGAGGAGCATAAAAGAGCAAAATTCACCTACCACAAGATGTATTGGGCCGCGCCCGTGGACTTCGTATGCAATATCATACTTTCCTTCGGCAATAGAAACTTTCCCCTTCGCTGTTGGCTTCAAGTCCCATGTCACATAGGGAAACTCTGGATGCTCTTGCAGCTCTGCAGCGGTCAGCGGCCGAGCTGGTGCAGCTGCTGTGGTCCTTGATAGACGTTAGTTGCGAGTTTTGCGGGCACCGGTTGTCTGGTATCTCATACATGCTAGATCGGGAAACCCTTGCGGACGGCGAATGAAGGGCTACCAGAGGATCCAGGTACACTCCTACTCTGCAACAGGAGGGTGGTCCTCGCGAAGGTGGCTTACTAGGCTGCACGCACACGCAATCCTTGAGATCGGAGATTGGGAACCTGGAGAAAGACGGTTCGAGCAGAACTCCAGAAAGAATTTGTGTACAGGAAATCTAACTATACTCTAGTTTCGCTGCCTCAGTGTTTTTGCTGCAGTTAGAGTACAACAATAAAGAAGTGTCGACTGTCCACACAGCACGCTCGTGACCCCAGACAGGCCGAGGCTCAAAATTCAAAACCCCCTGAGGCCTTAGGCAGCCCCCCCATCAAGCCAGTGACGCGTGTCAGCGGCGGGTTGATCGACGCTGCAGCGTGAGCGAACCCGAACCGCGCTTGCATCACCGAGAACCTGAACCCTTGCTCTGGCCGCAAAGTGTTCACACAGCGAGCGATGCGCTACAGTAAACAACTTCGCGATACATGCCAGAACCCTGATCAGAACACGGCTTACGCCAGACTTGCCATGAGTCGCGACTGCCTAACCACCACCACAAGCTCTATCTCAATAACCTCTGGTACCATACTGGTTCCACTACGATAGCCTCAGCATCACTCTCGAGTGCTGCCTCCACCAACCCTGCTACAATGGACTCCTCCCCTGTCAACCAGGGCAATGGGCTCAACTTTCTCGCACCGCCGCCTCCAGCAGTGAACCAACCGCCCATGATATTCGGGAGCTATTCCGCAGACGGCTCGCCGGTGCCAGCATCGCTGTCTGCGCCAATCTTTACAGACGATGGTGCATCAATGGGCATGGAGGATGGCACCGACCAGGGCGATGCGAAGAGACGGAGGATTGCCCGGGCATGTGACATGTGTAGGAAGAAGAAGATAAAATGCGACGGAAAGATGCCGGCGTGTTCACATTGCCTGAATTACAAGACAGAGTGCATTTTTACGCAGGTCGAGAAGAAGCGTCAACCTCCCAAGGGCGCAAAGTATATTGAGGGCTTGGAGAACAGGCTTGGCCGCATGGAGTCCTTGCTAAGGCTCTCGGGGCTCCTTTCGGAAGGCGATGCGCAAACCGACTTGGGGACCTTGGAGAAGAGACTTGCGGACAAGACTACAACTGGCAGCAAGACCGCGACACCTTCCAGGACATCTGAGGTCTCAGGCCCAGCTCCAGAAGCGCGCTCTGAAAGCATACCATCGTATCAAAATACCCCGCAGCAGCCTAGATTGGCCAGTCCGACAAGTGGTATGGCCTCTCCAGAGCCGCCGCCGACAAACGGCTCTCAGCGAAATGGCACTCAAGAGAAGCCCGAGCAAGAAGTTGACTCTCTATCTGATATGATGTGTTCTTTGGTGACGAACAACTGCGGCGAGACTCGATACATAGGTAGCATCTCACCGCGCTATAACACCCAAAGCACGCTGACCTTCGTCAGGCTCTTCATCTGGTTTCTCCATCTTCTCGCCGAAAGGCATACAGTGGGTAAATGAGAAGACCGGAGACACTGCCTTTCAAGACATGATACAGTGCGCCGCGGTAGACGACAAATGGATACACTGGAAGCCTGACGTATTCCGTGACATCTTTGCCAGACGTGTGTTCAAGCCTCTGCCACCAAAGAACGAGGCTCTGTCCCTGCTCAAAGACTATTTCGAGAACTTTAATTGCATGTTCCCTCTGTTTCACGAACCTACCTTTATGCATCTTGTCGACAAGCACTACTCCAATGATCCTTACGAAGGTTCTGGCTGGTGGGCGAGCTTGAATGTTGCTCTTGCAATCGCCCACAGATTGAGAGTCATGAGCAACCTGGTACCCCAAGACGAAGACCAGAAGGCTTGGGGCTATCTGAAGAATGCTTTGGCTGTTCAGACAGAGCTCACGATCCGAAACACAGATCTACTCAGCGTGCAAGCTCTGCTAGGAATGGTGAGCTCATTCGACATCTCTTTCTCCAAATGGGCCTGACCCGACATCTATAGGCCTTGTTTTTGCAAGGAACTCCTAATCCGCAGCCTTCCTTCTTCTTTGTCGCCGCCGCCATCCGGTTGTCGCACAGTATAGGATTGCATAAACGAGGATCAGGCTTCAACCTCAACCCCAGCGAGATTGAACAGAGGAAGAGAGTCTTCTGGATAGCGTACATGGTGGACAGAGAGTGAGTTCGATACTGCAGAAAGGCCTTGGAAATTTCTGACGGCCGTTTAGCGCCTGCTTGCGATCTGGACGGCCTCCTATACAGGATGACGATGATATGAACGTTGAATTGCCGAGCGAGGATCCACCGGATAATGTCGGCAACATTCCTCTTGGGGACGGCAAGGGCAAGGTCAATCTCTTCCGACTAATGTGCACATTCTCCGTGATCGAGAGCAAAGTATACAAACAGCTATACTCAGTAAAAGCATCGAAGCAGTCAGACGGCGAACTGCTCAACACTATCGGCGAGCTAGATCGCGAGCTCGAAGAGTGGAAAGACGCCATACCCATAGACTTCCGGCCTGAGCACGAGATCAAAGCATCTCATACGCCACTTATCCTGCACGTGGTTGTCCTGCACTTCGCATACTACAACTGTCTCACCACGATACATCGCATGTCTGTGCATCATGGCTACTGGACTAGCCGGCTGTCCAACTATGCGATACAGGGATTGAACGCCAGACCACTGAATCCGAGGGTCTTCTCGTCGGCCGCGCTGTGCGTGCAGGCAGCGCGCGCCTCAATTCATCTTATCAAGTACATTCCACAAGGCGACTTCGCCTGCGTATGGTATGACCACATCAACACGTTGATCACAGCACGAAGATGCTAACTTGCCAGGATGATCATCTACTTCCCCGTCTCAGCCCTCGTAACCCTCTTCGCCAACATCCTCCAAAACCCCCAAGACACCCGCGCCCGCTCCGATCTGAAGCTCATGAACCTAGTCGTGAGCTTCCTGTCCATGCTCTGCTCGGACGAGGAAAACGGCAGCAATGGCAGCATACGGCGTATGCTGAGCGTGTGCTCGGAATTCGAGCGCATCGCCAAGGTCGTTCTCGACAAGGCTGACAAGGAGTCATCTTCGCGGCGGAAACGCAAGCAGCAGCAGGAGCAGGCCCAGTCGTTGAACGGAGGATCGCAGGCTCCGTCGACTCAGCAGCAGCAGCAACAAGCTCGGGTGTGGCAACAGCCGACGGCGCCACAAACACCTGCACAGCAGACGGGTAACCTACCCAACCCGTTTACTCCCAACTTCGGCAGCGATCTCAGCGATCAAGTAAGCGTCCACGCCCCTGCCCCTCTATGTACCCAGCATTCCTCTAACCCATCCCACCAGCCCTTTCCCTTCACCCCCAACCCCCCCACAACCCTCCCCACCACCACAAACTGGCTTCCCGACTTCTCGCCGCCCCTAGGCGGCTCCTCCCTCCTCTCGCAAACGACCTCCTTCGCAGACATGCAATATACCCAACCAACCACCAACGGGTCCGGCATGAACGGCTCTGGTATGAGTGGTTTCGGGGGCTTAGGCAGCGGGCTCGATATCGGGAACACATTTCAGCATCCGTTTGTGCCGCAGGATCTGTGGCAGATGCCTATGACGCTGGAGTGGGATTGGGCGGATATGACCGCGGGGGCGTTGGGAGGGTTTGATGACGGGATCAGTATGAATGGAATTAATGGGGGCCCGGGTTCTGGTGGGCAGGGAGACAATGAGGGCGATGCGGGCAGACAGCAGGAGCAGAGGTAGCGGGCATGAGGGGGGCTTTGTCATGGCTGGATTGGTGGTGGAGGGTGAAGCATATTGCTGATAAACAGGGGTTAGGGACTTTTCATGGCCGAGGATGGCTCTGTGGGGCTGAGGGAGTTCTGGTGTAAGACTACGCGGCCGCGAGGCTGTAAGGATGGTAATGGCGATGCCACACTCGGTACGTAAATGTGAGTTGTACAGAGCTCGGGCGTGTTTTTGTAACATACCAGATCCTGCGATGGCTGTGCTCGGAAGTTTCTGTACAATACCGTCCACACTGAAAGATTCTGCCCAGGCAAGTGCCGAGGCAGCCTCGTTTAAATCCCCCGTGACACACCACCCTGCCATCACACTTCTAGCCCCCGAGTGGTGATATATGCCTTCTCTTCCCAAGATCTAAACCCAACGCCACCCAATGCAGCCAGCCCGAAACGCCTTGCTAACCCAATCACCCCCCATATTTTACAGCCACTCTCATTCCCACTCGGCTCAGGCGCCTACTCAACTCTTCTCCAACATCTCCTTCGCCTCATTGATCTTCGTCGCCAGATACGGACTCCCGCCCCTATCCGGATGGTTCAGCAGCATGAGCTGGCGGTGCCGCTTGCGGATAATTTCTTTGGTTACGCCGCGTTCCCTATCCGCTTGTCAGTCCCACATCTCCCTCAGTAGGCACATCATTTCTGTGATTCCCCGACTGACGAGGGAAGCGGAAAGGAGGAACGAGGGTCACATACGAGACTTCGAGGATCAGAGCAGCTTCCCTCCGGTTGATCTTGGGCTCAAACCCGCCCTTGTAGAAGGCTTTACCGAGCGCGTTCACGCCGCCGCGATGGCGGCGGAGGGCTACGAGGCCGGCGCGACCCTGGGGATATCTTTGTTAGTGAGTTTTCTTCCGGGGGAGCGCTGGAGAAGGACGGGGGGAACACACGAAGAAGGCGGCTGCGGCGACGCCGACGCCGACGAGGAGGACGGATGTCATAGTCTCGAAGACAGGTTGATGCCTCTTTTGGCGAGTTCTGCTGACGGCGTGCTGGTAGTTCGAGGAAGGGAGATGGTATTGCGGATGCGCTTGAGAATGATGGATGATGTTTTCGCCTGAACAAACCTCAAAGCTCGATGTCACATGGATGTCGGGCGCTTCGGCGATTCCTCTGGACTTTTGCACTTTTGCGCCAAGGCCGCCGCCCAGATCCCTGCAAGCGAAAGCTCACCTCCAGAAAAAAGGTCCAGGTTCGTGGGGCTTGCATTACATCTTGCGAACACTTTGAACGACGCCCCACTGCGCATTTACGCTTTACGAAGAGTCAGAAGGCGCAGAAAAGCAGCCTTAGTCTGCGACTAGACCGTCAGATCTTCTGCGAGGACACGACCAACCTCCGCCGCAGCGCCCACCGCGCTTCACAAGCAGCCTCCCTGCTGCGAAATCCGAGACCACAACCCCTTAGAACACAGGATACCCAAATTGCATCGCCACCATGAGGATCGAGACGTGCTACTTCTGCTCGCGGCCCGTCTATCCGTCAAAAGGCATAACCTTTGTGCGCAACGACGCGAAGCAGTTCAATTTCTGCCGCTCCAAATGCCACAAGAACTTCAAGATGAAGCGGAATCCGCGCAAACTCGCGTGGACCAAGGCGTTTAGGAAGGCGCATAACAGTATGTCTCCCTCTTCCCCTCTCCCCTCGCGTCCTCCCCTCCACCATCCTCCCCTCAGAAGAGGAAGCGCTACGTGAAGGATAAGTTTGCTGATGGAGTATTCCAGAGGAAATGGTCGTCGACAGCACCCTAACCTTCGCCTCCCGCCGCAGCATCCCCGTGCGCTACAACCGCGACCACATTGCCACCACCCTCAAAGCAATGCAGCGCGTCGCCGAGGTCCGCGCAAGGCGCGAGCGCCAGTTCTACAGGAACCGCATGGCGGGCAACAGGGCGGCCCAGCGAGCTGCGGACAGGAAGCTTGTCGAGGAGAACCAGCATCTGTTGCCGCCGGAGGAGAGGACAGCGATTCTGGCGCATTTGGAAGAGGAGGAGAGGGAGGTGGATTTGTTGGATGGGGAGAGGGAGACCATGGCGGAGGAGGTGTTGGAGGCGCCGAAGGTTAAGACGAAGGCGAGGAGGAGGCAGAGGTTGGTTGTGGGAGGGGGTGTGGAGGAGATGGATGTCGATGGATGAAGTGGTGCTATAGAAAAGGCGCGCGGCCTTTGCTGATGTCGCTACGATGTGCACTTGGAGTATGGCGTCTGGCAGTGGGCTTTGTTATAGTCACGGTCATGGTTCCCTTTGCGAAAATACATGGCGGAATTCAATCGACCGACTGTCCGGCAGAGAAAGCAAAGAGGCGTTTCTGGAATGCAAAATGCCATGTCATCATCGTTGCGAGGGATTTATCAAGAGAACCAAGCCGTGCGTGGTTCAGCCAGCTCCTAGCCAATCAAACCCGCCTCCCTTCCTATTGCACTCCCTCTGTTCTCAAGTCTGAGCGAACTCAATGTCCCCCGGCAGTTCTTGGCTCCTTCTCACTCCCGCTCTCACGAGTCCCACACGTTCCGCACAACGCGCAACGAGTCCGCTGTCTACGCAGCGTCTCCGGCAGCATGTCCGCACGCCGGCATGAATCTTGCTGACGCACTGCTGCGGCGCATACCTCGGTCAGGAATCCTGCTTTGTGGACGCTGTGGGAAAGAAAAATTGAGGAGCTCGATGTATGTCTGTATAGGTGCTTTTTATACAAGTGTTTTGATGGTATGCAGGAAAACCCGCTGTTATTCAATGTGTGAGTTAAGAAAATTGAGGATGGGAAGCAACTTTTCCTATAGGAGCGGGCCGGCCGCTTCAAATATTAATGCATACATGATGATTCTCCCGGTCCTGCCGGTGAGTCCAACATCCCCTGAATCAGATGCCTAGTCATCGCCATCCAAAAGTATCACTTCACTCCTCGAAGCCACCACTCGTGACCTAGTACCAGCATCGAAGAACCCAGCCCCCCTTTCACTCGCCACCACCGCCACTATCTGCGTCTCTCTCCGATACCACCCTCACCACACACGGAGCAACAGCTCTGTGGCTGCTGCTTCAGTGGAGGAAGCCATTCCCTAGACTTGCACGAGCCAGGCTTCTTTATTTCGACGGGACAAGGCGCGGCCATGAGGTACTCGCGATCGCCGCAGGCGAAGTGGATTTCTTGTACTTTGCACATCTGGTGTTTTTGTTGCGTTACTTCTTTCTGAGTGTTCGGGTGGCGACGTCGGGCGAGTGGTTTTGGGTCGTTGTTTCAGTTCCTTGAGCCGGGTTGGTGAGCAGACCGTGCTTGTTTGAATAGTGAATTTGAGGTTTGATGTTAAGAAGCTGTTCAAAGATGGGGCTTGGCCATTTTATAGATAGAGGTGGATTGAGTGACAGTCCATATGCAGCTGGTGATGATAGCGCCTCGAGAAACGTGTCAGCTGTATGACTGCCACTGACCGGGTATCGACATATGAAGAACACGGTTCTACTCCCTACCGCTAACCAGTCGTAAATCCAAGTAACGATAGTAGCAAGCGGTCTGTGGTCATTGAAGAGCTCAGCCAGCATCAGCACAGTCAAGAAGCTTGTCAGTGACTTTTGATTAATCTCCATCTCTCATACAAAACTCACAATAGCGCAGAACGATGCAAGGTATTTCGCGCCTCCAGCAATCCTTTCTATCCTCCGTGCTCAAGTCTTCGTGACTAACCTGCAAAGGCGTGAAGGGTCTACTTGCCGCGTTCCCCAAACTCCGCCAATGTCTCGTCAACATTCCCTCCCTTTCCAGCGCAGCGAAACTCTCCCCAATCCTCGCCCCAACTACGGCTCCGTATGCATAGCGTCCGTAAAGCTCTGCGCAGCTGTCGTAGCGAAATACCTCACATCGACATCATCGTCCTGCTGCAGCTTCTCCAGGTTCGGTAAGATGTGCTTCTGAATGAGATCTCGGCCCTTCGGCGAACCGGCGGGCGGTAGCTGGCCAGCCTTCTCGAGCGCAATGATGGTGCCGGATTCGGGGAGGCGGCGCAGGACATCGATGAGGACTGCGTAGGACTTGGCGACGTTGAATCGGATGTTGGGGATGTCGTCGTTGACGAGGGTGTCCATCATTGGCAGGATGGATTCTTCGATTACAGGGAGGGAGAGGGCTGGTGCGAGGGTCTGTGTGTCTGATTAGTATACTGCTATGTGGTTGCTTCTCTTACTTCTCCTCGAGATGTCCTTACAGAAACAGCAAAGCACGTGGTCATCCGGTAGAGATAGTTCGGGTGCTTGCCCATCATCATCACCTTCGGCACGATTGCGTCATTCGCCCATTGCACGCCAAAGACCTCGGTCAGCTTCTTCAGATTCTGAGTCGAGGCTTCGCGGATGGAGAAGACGGTGTCGCCGAGCCAGCTCATGCACAGGCTGCTGAGCTTCTCGTCGAAGAACTTGACGCCCAGCTGGCTTGCGAGGAGAGGAACGTATTCGATGATGGCTAGTCGGACGCGCCATTGCTTGTCTTCGGCGAGCTGGACGATGGCCGGTAGAAGGGATTGAGAGAGACGCTCGATGCCGATGACTTCGAGATGGTTAGCGGGATACTCGATAACGTTGCTGCAGGGTGCCAATACCGTTATTGACAAGCTCGAGCTTCGAGATGATATTCAGGCGGACGTCGGGGAAATCATCTTTGAGCATCGTAAGGAACATGGGGAGGAGGTGCTTGATGGTCCTGGTTGCTCCAGATTAGAGAGATCCAAGCCAAGCAGCCAAAGCGAACGCTTACTCGTCTTTGCCCAGGATCGGGGCCAGCCCACTGATCTGCATGCCGAGCGCGGCCCTTACGTGCTGAGACGAATCTGTGACGAGCTCTTCTATGCTGTTCATAACGTCATGCAGGAGAGTGTCCTTGTCCAGTAGGGCGCAAAAGCCTGCGGAATGTTAGCGAATGCAATCGAAGTCAAGGGTGCCAAGAGCCGGCATACCAGGTATCTGTCCTGCAATTGCACTCCGCACCTCGGCCTCTGTGTCTTTGAGCAGCTTTACGAAAGCCGGTACTAGGTCTCTGTTCACAACCTCCTCGTCCACTGCTTTTGCAATCTGCGCGCATCAGCGTCCGAACCGAAACTCATCCATAGCCACAAAACCTACCTTCTCAAATCGGTCCGCCACCATGTACCGAACCCTCCAGCTCTTATCCTCGAACAGGCTCCGCAGGGCTGTAAGCAGAACCCCGTGACTTGACTGTTGCTCCTTCGGTACAACTTCGGCTATGGCGATGAGGATGTCGACCGTCAACAATCGGACGCTGTCTTGATCGTCGCCCGCCAAATGCTGGAAGAGCGGAATCATCTCCTCAATCACGATCGTGGCCGGCATCGCCTTGACAAACTTGGCAAGATTGCTCGCCGCCTGTCTTCGAACCATAGGTGTATCATCGTGTACAAGGTGTCCGAACTGCTGCCTTAGGCCTTCTTGCGATGGGGGGGTCGCCCTGGTGTATGGGACGTTGTAGAGACCGGTGGCGGATATCTTTGACGTAAACCAGTCTGCTTTCGACAGCCGAACAACTAGGGGGATAAAGTACTCCTCGACTTGCTGCTGGGTCAGCTGTTCGCAGATCTTGTTAAGAGACTCCACTGCCTGAAAGATGGTCAACGATTGCCTCTCCAGGCGCTGCGGGGAACCTTGTTTACCTTCTCGCGGACTAACGGCTCTTCTATTGCTGCCAAGTTCTCCAGCGGAGAGAGCAGGACATGACCGTATTCCGGCCCTCCTACGTACTCGACGAAGTTTCCAAGCTCCTCGCTCAATGCGACGAGGACCTCATCTTCGTCTTCCACAGATTCTGCAACTGTGCGTCAGCACTCGGACGTGGCTTGTAGTGGGCCCCATACCGTCTAGGAAGGGTATGAGCTCATCTCTGGTCCGCTCCGGCCCCAGGGCTAAGGCGATTGTGGAGAGCCGGTGAATGGCATTCAACCTAAGCACAAGCTCGTCGTGCTGCCCGAGATCAGCGGCATAGCCACGAGGTGCTACCAGGCTAGAATCACCTTGAGCTCGTCCATGAGGACGGCAATCGGGTACAGCTCGTCATTCTGGTTCTGGCCCTCCATTGTAAGTGATTGTGGTAAGGAGCGTAGGGCGTGAGTCCGTCGGAGGCTGTGGATTTGGAGTGGTACTCGGTCGTGGCTGAGGTTGTGCGGTCGAGGCAGGTGTATCGCGGCGCGGGTTTCGGACGGCAGGAAGGGTTGAAGCAGCCGTCCACAACGACTAGCAGGATGCTCGAGAGGCGGGGATTGTATTATGGGGCAGGCGCAGGGACAGGTATTGTGTGTGTCGTCGTTTTGTGCTCGTGTATCGTGTATCGTAGTTATGTCTTTGACACCTGGGCAGCTCCAGATTGTTGCGTCGACAGCGAAAGCAAAGTCGGGTGGCTTCGCAAGTGGCTTTAGCGCGGGGCAAGCCACAACCACCAAAAGTTTGGAGACGGAGCGCCGTAGTGACTCAAAACTGAGATATCAGCTTCCAAAAATCGCAGGGACAGAGTCTTGATCGCGAATCCGTTTAAACCTCGCGAGAGCCTCCTTGACTGTTGCGCGCATCTCTCTCACCCGCCGAAAAGCGTCCACCGCAAACCGCGAACCGCGCAAAAGTCCCAAAGGAGCTCCACAGAGGAGCAGACAGCAAGCGACATGCCTACCATTGCGGTGGACAAGGCAGAGCTGTTCAAAGAGCTAGGGAAGGAGTTCACGACAGAAGAGTTTGACGAGCTATGTTTCGAGTTCGGCCTCGAGCTCGATGAGGATACATCCCAGACAAAGCGGCCCATCGTGGACGGCGTAGAAGAGCCCCCGCAGTTGAAGATAGAAATACCAGCAAACCGATATGACATGCTTTGCTTCGAGGGCATCGCCCTTAACCTCAATGTCTTCTTGGAGAGGACGTCGTTACCAGACTTCCGAGTTGTTGCTCCCCCGAACGGCGAGCTACAAGAGATCCACGTGAAGGAGGAGACCATGAGGGTACGGCCCCTGGTGACTGGAGCTGTGCTGAGGAATATCGAGTTCACTCAAGCCCGATATGACTCTTTCATAGCCCTACAAGACAAGCTGCATCAGAATCTAGCACGGCAACGGACGCTAGTATCGATAGGCACACATGATCTCGACACAATCAAAGGACCCTTCACATACGAGGCCCTACCGCCGGAAGAGATTGAGTTCGTCCCTCTCAATCAGGAAAAGAAGATGAATGCGAAGGAGCTGATGACCTTTTACGAGGTCAGTAGCACCGCATCGCCAGCTCCATCTCGAGTAATAGCCCGGTGCATGTACTGAAAACTATACAGAAAGACAAACACCTCGGCCGCTACCTACATATCATACGGGACTCACCCGTGTATCCAGTAATCTACGACTCCAACCGAACCGTGCTTTCGCTCCCCCCAATCATCAACGGCGACCACTCCAAGATCACGCTCGACACCAAGAACATCTTCATCGAGGTCACTGCGACCGACAAAACGAAAGTCGAAATCGTAATCCGCATCCTAATCGCGATGTTTTCACGCTACTGCGATGAGCCCTTCACCGTCGAGCCCGTCAAAATCATCTCCCCGCACAACCATGAGAGCCGCGAAACGCCCGACATGACTCCCCGCGAGATGCAAGCCGAGATATCCTACCTAAACGACGTCTGCGGGCTCGACCTGTCTCCCCAAGAAATCTGCGACCTGCTAAAGCGCATGTGCTACCACGCCACCCCGTCCAAGAGCTCACCCGCCCACCTCGACGTCAGCGTCCCCGTCACCCGCGCCGACGTCCTGCACCAGGCCGACATAATGGAAGACGTCGCCATTGCGTACGGCTTCAACAAGCTGCCGCGCTTCTACCCGAACAAGACCGCCGCTGTCGCCGCGCCGCTCATGATTAATAAGCTGGCCGACATCGTGCGCCTTGAGGCGGCCATGGCTGGGTGGACGGAGGTCATGCCGCTAGTGCTGTGCAGCCACGACGAGAACTTCGCGTGGTTGAACCGCAAGGACCACGGGAGTACGGCGGTGCGGCTGCAGAACCCCAAGACGGCGGAGTATCAGATCGTCAGGACGAGTTTGCTGCCGGGGCTGCTGAAGACGATCAGGGAGAACAAGAAGCACAGTGTTCCGATCAAGGTTTTTGAGGTCGCAGATGTCACGTTCAAGGATCTGAGTCTGGAGAGGAAGGCCAGAAACGAACGGCATTTCGCCGCTGCGTGGTACGCGAAGACGAGCGGGTTTGAGGTCGTGCATGGGTTACTGGACCGTGTTATGTTGATGCTGAAGAGCGCGTTCATCACCAGGGAGGCGGCAATCACGGGTGATGAGACGATGAAGAAGTTTGGGTACTGGATCGAGGAGCTGAATGACTCGACATATCTGCCAGGCCACGCCGCGGCTGTGCATATCAACCTTGAAGGCAAGGATCGGGTCATTGGAGAGCTGGGAATATTGCATCCTACTGTTATGCAGAGATACGAGCTTCCGTGAGTCAGCCCAGCCCCTTAGAACCTGTGATGAGTTTTTCTGGTGATTAACGGTTTCTCTTGGCAGATTCCCTGTCAGTACCCTCGAGCTGAATCTGGAGTATTTCTTATAGACTGGAAACTTCATGCCCGCGGTATTCCGGAAAAGCATTCTCAGCCGAAGCCACCGCATGTGCCTACAGCGTAGTAATAGACCAAAGACGGGCGGCGAGGCTTTGCTTGTCGCAGTTACATATAGCGCCCCACCCATAAAAGAATATAGAGTCTCTTCTAGAGATCATGTGCACACCTGTCCATCTACATGATCCTGTGATGGCCTTTTGAGTTTTTATGCCTTCAGAAGAGTGCGAACCTGTGCTCCTGTATCTCCAACAATACTTTCCTGCTCTACCAGTCCGAATATCACTGCGGCGAAGCCCTCGCTTTCCTAATGAAGGGCTCAAGTTGGGTTTGGCATTTATGAAGGGCACTGTTGTATTCTCCCTACGCCGGTCTGGGTTGCACTTCTATCGAACTCTCCCTTCAGCATCTGAGACTGTCGGCAGAGCAAACGCCCACTTTGACGAGTGGACTCAAATGCACCCTGCGCAAGCTCCCGCACCTCATCTTACACTCTTACGCGTACATCACTGTGTGTCAAAGCCCTCCAGGGCCACGTTTGAGCTGGCGCGCCGGCGGACTGGTGTCACGGCTCTTCCCCTATTGATTCACGCAGTGCTTCCAAGGTTCTAATCCAAGCTATCCTGTTCCCCAATAGGGTCTTCTTCCTTTGGCTAAATGGAATCTCAACTAGAAAGTATCAGCGATCAGTCTTCTCAGTAAGAAGACCATCAAACGCCGTGACTCATCCTTGCTCGCATTGGGCGCGCGTCCTCCTAAGAATTCTCTACAGTCCGGCAGCGCCGCATATGGCACCATCAAACCCTCCCACAAGACGCCTGAACGGTGCAGGCTGATCAGTCTTGTAGCAACATCATCCACCGTCAGAGTGCCACCTTTATCCCAGAGTCCTGGCTTGTCCCGCGTTGCAAACAGCTTGTCTCTGCGCTCCCTTATCTGCTCTTCGAAATGCTCTATTATTGAGTATGTCCTGGTGACCACATCCATAACCTCGCCATAGGTTCTGTCAGTTGCCATGTCTTCGCGTTTCTGCTCGAAGGTGTTGAAACAGGATAAAGAGTACGCGCATGATTCACTCCGATCGATGTGAACGTCTGTGTGGCCGAAGCTTTTCCTCCATAAGAGAAACCTTATCATAACGGTAATCTCGGTTACCTATAGTATCGACCAGGTCAGACTTTGCAAACTGAACTAAAAACCTCTGGGGCTGCTTACCTCTGTCGTGGTTACTTCGCTATGGGCCCGGGAGTATAGGACACCGGCCTCCGCACCGACAACGATACCGTCGATAAAGTAATCTCCATAGTTCTTTCTGAAGTCATCCTCTCCATCTTTCCCCCTAAGGGTTAGCTTCGCGGCGTCTGAGTGCTGGGGGGTTGGGAGCTCGGGGATGGGAACAACGCGGCACGCCTGCTCAGAAGAGACGGGTCAGATCGTCGATATTCTTCTCTAGAGGAATGACGGCACGGACAGTCTATATGGCCGCGCACTCGTAGAAGCTGCTGATGCCTTGCCGCATCCCTTGCTCGTACTCCCAAAGAAACTTGCCCTGCATCCCGCTCTCTATGATCCGCTTCCTGACCCAGACGTCAAGACATCCAATTTTGTCACCCCCCGCCCCGCCCGGCACCCGCACCGCAACCCTCGCCTCAAAAAACGCAGCCGCATCCGCCCAGCCGACCTTCCACCCGTTCTCAAACCGCCAATGCTCGAAGTAGCCGCCCGGCGCAGTACGGTCCCAGTAGCCACAATGGCTGCCCACACCCTCCGCCATCTTAGCATCTCGGCGTGCTTGAGCGTTGGAGAGCCTGACGCGGACGCCGTCGGCGGATAAGGTCAGATTTGCGGGGGGTGTGATGGCACCGGAGGCGGTTTGGGCGCGGAAGCCCCACTCCCCACCGGGCATCCAGTCCATCGCGTAGGTCCAGAAGAAGGAGCCGCCGGACCGGGATTGGTAGCGGGCGGATTGGGCGGCGCCGAAGTCGCGGATGAGGGTATCCTGATGATTGTGTCAGTAGCTTTCTACGGAGGAGGTTGCAGCAGTCATGATTATACTAATGTGGAAAGGAAGACTCACTCTCGAACATCCGCCCTTGGCCCAGCTATCCTCTGTCATGACGCAGGAGTACTCGCCAACAACGACTTGGAAGGCACCACGGTCGACAACGCTGCCGTCTCTCCCGTCTAGCTCGCAAAGTTTGGACCATACTTCGGAAGTGATTTGTTGCGGCGACTTGGCCTTGTCATCATCGGTGAACGCCCAGTAGAAGTGTGTATCCACAATGACGGGGTTAGAAGGTCCCGGAGACGAAAGGCAGTTCTTCTTGCTAGTGTAATCTAAGGCTTTCGACGAGTTCCACCCGTCTGAGATGTAGATGGGAATGCTAGCATCAATGCAGCCGATAGCGGAGATGGCGGACTCGTACCACTTGTACATGCCAGCAGAGTCCCAGTCAGCCTCGTTGACGATTTGCAGGCCGACGATGCAGTCCATGGAGGTGACTTCTCGAGCGAGGAACTCAAGGCAGCGCGTGGCGAGGGCGAGGTTGGCTGCGTTGTTCCACAGCTCGGCTTTGCCGGAATTGGTGCCGCTGTGCTCGCCACAGTTGGCGCCTCCAGGCAATGCGTGGAGATCGATAAGGGTGCCGATGCCACGGGCTCGCGCGCGGTAGATGAGGTCTTTTACAGAAGACCATGCATCGGTGTAAACAGTGGCGTATGGAGCAAAGGGAGTTTTGCTGCAGAAAGATGGCCCAAGCGTAAAGTAGCCTATAGGTAGACGGAGGGATGTACCTGCGTAATGTTAGGTGTCATGACAGAAGTAGATCGCCGAAGCAACAGGGGCCAAGGTCAGACCGTACACGCATCATACACGCATCATGCCATTGCTCATGGTGAGCTTGGTTTGAGAGTCGTCGAGTCACTTACAGCGCGCATCCGCCAGCCAGTCCAGATCCGCGTCTGAAACAGTCCTCCAATGATTCTGAAACTTTTGTCGAGTTTCGTCGAGGCCAATGGACTGCACGGAGAGTTTGACAGCTTCGAGCTCGCTTGACTGCTTGTTAGACGCATTGGAAGGGAACATCGACGGGTGAAGCCACTTTTCAAGAACGTATACGGATCCGATGTTGGTGCCATGATGGTATCGGTATCGGAAGATGTCTAGTGGAGTCGGTGCTTGAATGGTCGATGGTCTTTCTTGACCGATGGGCTCTTGTGATCCGTCGAATCGTCCCGGAAATTGACTGAAAGATCGGTCATGGAGGACACCGTGGACCTTGGACTTGGCTTTCTGCAGAATCCGATCCATAGCTAGTAGCGGCGATATCTAGTCCTTTCCGAAGGATAATCGAGGTACCTCTCGCCGCAGATTGCGAAGAGAACGAGGAAGAACGCGAAGAATAAGGGGAACATCAATGTGCTCGAGGGGAGACCGATATGAATTGAGACTAGAGTGTATTGCGAAGACTATGTAGGAGTTGTGAGGTGTGGAAATGTTGATGAGAGAGCGAAAAAAATTAAGTAGAAACAGACTTGTTGATGCTCTGACACCTTGGAGACAACACTCGCGGCAGGCGCGCGGCGTGCGTGGCTCAACGGAACTGACGTCTCGGCTCCACCTAAACAGATGCCGGTACGGAGATAGAAGTAGTTTCGCAGTATCCGCGTGGAGCATCCAACTTTTACTTGCCCTGGGAGTTATCCTCCTGCCTCACTGAATCCTCTCAAGAAAGTAGGCAAGTAGGGCCACTCTTGCCTCGATCGTACTCACTGATTCATATTTCAAAAGAACTCACCAAATCGTCTGAGCCCTCACCACCAGACATTGGGCCCCAAGTGGAGTTGATCAGTGCAAATGAATCAACAAAGTGAGTATTTCGATTCTTAGTGGTTCATATAATTCCACGATTCTCTATAAACGGAGCGTATCACGTGACAATATCGATCTGCGTTCCAATTGAATATATCAGAGTTTTCCCCTGGCGCCAGCGACGGAACCTTAGGTAGAAGTTAGGAAAAAAGACAAGCGCACACTATCATAAGCTCTTCTCCACCTCCATAACCTCCCTAATCCCCTCCTTAACAGCCTCCACCTGCTCCTTACTCAACCTCTTAAGCGGCCGTCTCGGATATCCACCATAGCCGTAGTAGCTCTCTATAGCCGCTTTCGTACCCGGGATAGCCGCCTTCGTGAGCACCCAATCCCCCTTACTCAATACCTTCTGCAGCTCAATGGCCTCCTCATATTTCCCTTCCGCCCACAGATTCCATACCTTCACGCACGTCTTCGGTATGACGTTCGCACCGCCGGCGATGATGCCCGACCCGCCACTCGCGGCCGTCTGTGCCGTGAAGTCTGCAATGCCGCCGAAGGCCATGTATCCGCTGCCCTCACTCTTGGGCGAGCATGCATTCGTAGCGAGCGCCACGCGCGTTAGCTTCCCCGTGCTGCCGCACGTGAACTTCGTGCCAACGATATTGGGGTGTTTAGTCAGCTTAATGATGAAATCACTGTCCATATCAATGCCAGCCACTGCGCCAGGGTAGTTGTATAGAATAATCGGCAGCGGTGACCCGTCGGCGACAGAGGTGTAGTACTCGTACAGCGCGGCCTCGTCCATGGCGTACCGGTAGTAGCTCGGCGGCACAATGAGCACGTATTCGCCGCCCGCGGCCTCGGATTCTTTGCACAGCTCGATGGTGCCGCGGATGCTGTTTTCGCTGGCGCCGACGATGACGGGGACGTTCTGGTAGCCGGCTTCGTCGAGGGCGGAGCGTGTTTCGCGCGTCACGGTGCTCTTTTCGGCGCGGGTTAGGTGGACCGCTTCGCCGTTTGAGCCCATGGTTACGATGCCGACAAGACCAGCGTCGGCGAGGCGGACGGCATGTTTACGGATGGAGGGAATGTCGAGGTCTTCTGTCTCGGGGTCGAAGAAGGTCATGACTGGGGAGTATATACCATGGCGGAGAGGTGTTCTGGACGTCCTGTGTCCGTTGCTTCCGTTGGAACTGGAGCCGTTGACAGGTGCCATGATTACAGGTGGAAGGGAAATGTGGTGTCAAGTAGGTAGCAAAGAAGACAGATAGAAGAGGTGTTGCAGAGACGGTATGAAAGTTGCATCAACTCCAGGCGGGCAGTCTTACCTCTATATAAGCAGAACATACAGAACCAGGGCTAGCAGATCCTCGGACAGCCTTGAACTACACCGAGACCGACACGTTCCAGTCCAGCTCAATCGTTCTCCGCATCACTACCCGGCTGGGCAGAAGCCGGGATCTCAATAGCAATCAACAAGTAATGGTGGAAGCCGATAACCTTGGACTCCGGCGGAAGCTGATGGTGCGCGGGCGGACAGTTCAGCGACCGTTATTACTGGCGCGATACACGCAGGAGTATGCCACAATGGCCAAGCTGTATTACGGCCGTCCAGGTCCGACGACATACGAGAGGCTGACAGGCAGTTTTGTTGCATCACACTTCAGAGCTGTGTCCCTTGGTATTCGAGCTCAAACGGCATCAACGTCGGAAAAGCTTCATTCCACGAATCACGGAGAGAAACCCGCGTGGGGGTCGGCGGGGTGTCGATGGTGGGGCAGCCCTGGAAAGCGTTCTGCATGCAGTAAAACGGCTCGACTTCTCTCCTGCGTCGGGTGAACTGTCTCGCGCCTCTTTTCCAATTGTTCCGCCGAGCGAGTGTCCCTGCATGGCGGGGAGCTTGAGCTTCGGCGACTGATGATGGCGCCGCGAAGCTTCCGGTGTGCGCTGTCATCGGGTTCAATCGCCGATATATCTACTGAGAGACCCAGACTGAGGAGAGGAGACTCTTTCGAACTTTTGGCACAGCACACTCAAAATATTGCCTTGAAACAATAAAAAAAATGGCGCCTCTCAACGTGCTGATGGTAGGTGGAAGCTCCGCAGAGTACGCGATGGGCCTAACATCCTCTGCAGGTCGGGACTGGAGAGTATACCACAGGATTCGTGGGTGGAGGCATGTCAGGTTCGGACAAGAAAGTTGGCGTTGTTGGCCTGACGATGTTCGATCTGCGGCGGAGAGGGAAAGTTGGCAAGCTGAGCATGGTGGGAACGTCAGGCAATAAGTTTCCAGCGATCCGTGAGTGAGAACCCCATATGTGCTACGGACGTGCTCTGACCCCATACAGGGGAACACTTGGACAAAAACATCACCCAAGTCTACAATGGCCTCGACACATCCTTCGACTCATTCCCCGCAAACGACCAGCGCGACCCAGACGCATACAAGACAGCCATCGATGCGCTGTCACCCGGCGACGCCATTACAATCTTCACGCCCGACCCGACCCACTTTCCCATCGCCATGTACGCCATAGAGCGCGGGATCCACGTTCTCGTCACCAAGCCCGCAGTCCACAAGCTCTCCGACCACCAAAAGCTCGTCGAGGCCTCCCGCAAACACAACGTCTTCGTCTTCGTCGAGCACCACAAGCGCTTCGACCCAGCCTACGCAGACGCGCGGCACAAAGCCAAGAACCTTGGCGACTTCAACTACTTCTACAGCTACATGAGCCAACCGAAGAGCCAGCTCGAGACCTTCAAGGCGTGGGCGGGGAAGGAGAGCGACATCTCGTACTACCTGAACTCGCACCACATCGACGTCAACGAGTCGATGGTGCCGGACTTCAAGCCCGTGCGGGTGATGGCCAGCGCGGCGAAAGGCATCGCAACGGATCTGGGATGTGTGCCTGAGACTGAGGACACGATTACGCTGCTTACGGACTGGGTGAAGAAGACGGATGAGAGTAAGCGTGCGACTGGTGTGTATACCGCGAGCTGGACGGCGCCGCAGAAGGCCGGTGTGCACTCGAACCAGTACTTCCACTACATGGCTAGTAAGGGTGAGGTCAGGGCGAACCAGGCGAAGCGTGCTTACGACGTGACGGAGGACGACAGCGGCCTGATGTGGTACAATCCGTGAGTTCTCCCCGCAGTCGTGTGAATTGCTTCTGCGATCCTAATCGCGAACTATTTGCCAGATTTTACATGAAGTACGCCCCAGATGAAGAGGGCAACTTTGCTGGCCAGACAGGATATGGCTACATCTCATTTGAGAAGTTCGTAGACGCGGTGACTGCCCTCAAAGAGGGCAGAGTTACGCTGGACGATTTAGACAAGCGTGGCCTTCCAACGATCAAGAACACGATCGCAACGGGCGCGATACTAGAAGCAGGTCGCAGATCACTAGACGAGCGGCGGCCTGTCGAGATAGTGGAAGAGGATGGTGTGTGGTCTTTGAAATGAGGCCCCTAGGTAGTTGACTAGCCACGTAGATATAGCTCAGCAACTACGGTGTGGTAGTTCTGCAGAGTAGGAACTGTCTTACAGAATATCACGTGATCATAGGAGTACTTTGTATTAGTCTTCGTGAAGTATCACAATCACCCAAAATGGAAGGTCAACGATATGCCAGGAATACGAACCCGCCAACATCCTCACAACATAGCGCCTCTCTCTTGAAAGAATGCCAAACCTAATGCCGACCGCCGTCTAACCTGTCCAGCCCACCTGAACCAATGGTCTCAACTCGCAGCCAATACTCCACAACCTTCCCGCCGTCCCAACTCTCCCCGTCTTCACACTCCAGCGACTCACCCTCCACTCCCGATCGCGCCCCTACATCCTCCGCCTCTCCTCCCTCAAAACCGAAAGCATGGGCCCACACCCCCGACCACCTAATCCTCGCCTGGCTCCTCGTCTCCCTCCCGCTCGTGCTCTGGGACACCCTCTACGTCTTCCTACGGCCCCATTCGATGCCCGGCGGCTTCCTGCACTCGCCCCTCTGGGTGCCCTACGCGCTGTACGGCACTGTAGACCACGTGTACGGGTCCCGGGCCTGGGAAGCGCATAACGGGTTCACGGCGGCGCAGAGCGCGCTGAATGCGGTGGAGACGGTGGCGTATGCGACGTATTTATGGTGGGTGTGGAGATTTGGGAGGGATGGGGAGGGGCGGGTGGGCAAGAGGGGCCCAGGGATGCCGAGAAAGGATGGCACGGTGGGAAGGGAGGTGATGGCGGCGGGGAAAAGAGTTGTGAAGGGGAGGTGGGCAGGTAGGGCGGTGCTGGTGGGGTTTGCAGCGAGTATTATGACGGTTAGCAAGACGGTGTTGTATTATGAGTCTCGCGGCCTTGGTCTCTTTGTCGTTGTTAGAGGGCCGGTTGGAGAAGGACGGGGAGGCCTGGGACAGGATAGGGTGTTCTCCGCTTTGGATATCAAGTTGCTGACGCAGATCTTAGGGCTGAACGAATACTACTCCGGGTTCGAAAGCATCGGAAATAACGATACTTTTTCCCTCGTCTTCCTCTGGATCGTTCCCAAGTAAGGATCTTTGTTGTTCGGCTTGCGGATGACGTGATAACTGAGATTTTCCAGTGGACTATGGCTCGCGTTACCAAGCTACATGACATACGTATTCGGACGAGACATCCTTCAAGGCTTGGATTTTGCAGCTGGGGTAAGCACGAAGAAAAGCCAGTAGTAGGCTACGATGCTCCGTGAGAGGCCTCTTATGTACAAATTTGTCCGCGACTACATCCCACCTCTGAGTAAGTACCAACCACGCTCCGTGTCAAAGAGTTTGTCGTTAAACCCTACTGTGCGGTAGACTACCGGACGTTCACGGACTGGAGCTTTATCGCTGCTGGACTGCTCAGCGACAGTTAAACATGTACGAAACGCCAAGCGGATATCTGTGCTGTGTGAGTATTTCTCCAAGAGCAACGGAAGGCTCGGCGGAAGTTCTCCGTATGCCTTCACTCTCATCGCCGGAGGAAGTGTGAGGAGAAGAAGCGGTTTCGTGAGAAAACCAGCGTGTCTCAAAGCTACTGTGGATATGCGCTTAGACTGGGCAAGGCAGCAGGCTTAGTCGTTGTGTTCCTTCGGCTTCTGCCATGATGGCCGATGATGCTGTTTCTTTGTGGATGATGGCATTGACATCAGACAGATTAAAGGGGAGATTTCATCGATCTTGTTAACCGCTAAGACTCAAATGTATGGCAGTGGGAGAGCAAGAATTGACTACAAACTACACGATGATAGGTAGCCACTCGTGATTGTTTCCTCGGAGAGCAGCTTTGATGGATCCGTTCCTTGCAGGTTCTTGCGCTCTTCCCGGCGAGAACACTCTACCACAAACGGAGCTTCAGATTCTACTTGCTTCTGTGGAGGGATATGATAAGCTATTCGCTGTCATTCTACCTCCATACTTGCTTTGTTCCATCTTAAGATCTCTTAGTTGACATCGCGTCTAATCCGAGTAGAATCCAATGATAAAACACAAAAGGTTAAATGGAGCTGACCTACATAGACAGCAACTCTGTCCAGGCTTCCAAGCTTCTCAGGAGTAACATGCGTGAAGCGCAAAGCGTGACTTTGCGTTTGTCCTACGTCACCAGGCACCTGCAGTGAAGCGCGTCGCGTTTGTCACTGTGATATCCCGTGAGGCCAATTCGCTCTCATCTTCCCTCACTTCCATCTACTCTCGGCTCCGCCTTCTCTCACTTCCTCTTAAGCAACCTGCCAGTCTCCGCTCCTTGCATCTGCCTACAAGACCTTGAGTTCAAGAGGGTTCACGCTCAGCGGAAGGTGTATCGTCCAGATATCGTCTGCGGACACATAACTGTTGTCATTGTCCACTCACGCTCTTATCAGTCTCACGCTCCAACTGTTCACCATAAACGACAAGATGGGCGCTTGGGGATATGGTCTTCTGCAGTCTGACCATGACTACGACTGCGCCGGCAACCTGTCCGACGAGGCCGGCATTGAACTTTTCTACCCCGAAGACCCTGAAGCCACTCGCAAGAAACTCGACGACGGAACGCTCAGCCGCCTGTTCGACAACCATGAGAACCGCACGTTCTCTCCGAAGTGCACGACGATCATCCTGGGTGTTCTAGCCATGCAAGTCGGTGCCAAGATCGAGGACAGACACCTCGACCTCCTCCGTTCGATCTACAGGAGTGCGGGGCTCTATGAAGAGGGTGAGCGGCAGATGCGCAAGGCTCTTGAGCGCTACAAGAATGATGGGACGCCATACTCCATCGACAGCCCAGGCTTAGACCTTACGGTAGCGCTCAAGGGTCCTATGGAACGGGGCGAGATTCCTCGCTTGTGCACAAACTGCGACAAGTCCGAGACGGAGCTGGAACTCAAGCGCTGCGGGAAGTGCAAGGTTGTTCTTTACTGCTCCCCCGAGTGTCAGAAGGCGGACTGGAAGACTCACAAGCGGTTCTGTCGGCCGGCGCCAGACCCGCAGCCCGTGACGCAGAGCCCTTCTGGCATTATCGGACTGAATGTCGACCCGTTCCACTCCTTGCGGGACTTTCGTTGACAGCGTCAGTGTAGCTGTTCGTTCTTCAAGCCCTGTCGCTGATTTTGTCCGGCCAGGTTACCACATGTGCGCCGGACAAAGTTGTGTCACACTTCAAGGCGACTTCATTCCCTTATTACGAGGACATGCATCTGCTGTGAAGCTTTGCTGCAGATACCAATGAACCCTTACTCTGCTTCGTCTTCACAGCTGGCTAAAGTTATGACACGGACTGCTTGAGGGATTGCTTGCTTGAGGGATTGCTTGAGGGATAGTGATGGCTGGCGCTTCCGTGGTTAAACATCTCTGCATAGGAAGCCATGGTACAAAACTCATGCACACTGCTACCGCGCAACATGTAGCTAGCCTCAGGCTGTTGCACATCGGTCTGTCGATGTGTGCGGCCGAATGGAAGGCAAAGCTCTTAATGGGTAGTTCATCAATGGAAAAAGGCACAATCAATGTGGATCCTGTCAGTTGCTCTCTCGTGACTGCTCATTTTCCGCTCATCCTCCACTCTTGTAACTTCTGTGGCGTCTCCATCGCCTCTCACATCTGCTTTTGTATCTGAATCAAAGTCGAGACCACGCATCTCACATAGGACTTCGAAGTCTCCTTTCGGCATTTTGTAACATGCAGCCATTTATGCCCACATCTGAGCCTGAATGCCATTGCAAAAACTCTTGGATCGCAGAAGTCGCCTTAGAATCTCTGCATCTGCCCTTGCAAGCAAATCATTCACAGACTGCCCTCAGCCCACGTCCTCATCTTGCTTAACACCTCCTCCGAAGCAATTTCTCCCGCTTCGGAGTCTCTCCTCGCACTCTCCCTCGTCCCAAACGCCTCCAAAAACTCCCCGATCTTGCTAAAACCCCCAGTCCCCTCCCTCCCATACACATCCTTCCCCACCTCCCCCTCCCTCGTCATATCCCTTCCATAACAATCCCCCACAAACTCCAAAAACTGATACAGTACAATCTCGGCTACCGTAACATCTCCGCCCCCGCCCTGCCGCAGCCGCGCCATGTCTCGGTCCTCCTCCTGCCACCAGCTCTCGATCGTGGCCAGGGACCTGTAAACCCATCGGGCCATCTCCTTCGACGCCGCGGGAAGAGACATGGTGCCGGCGCCTGAGCCGAACATGCGCACGGGGTTCCAGGCTATGGTGCATTCGTCTGCGAGAGCCAGGAGCTCGTTATGACGTGCTCGTGCGAGGGAGTTGGCGCCGCGCATTGGGTACGTGGAGAGGGGGAAGCCGGAGGCGCCGGCGTCGCAGAGCTCGTCAAGGTAGTTAATTATGGCGAGGGACTGGCGGATGTAGATGAAGCCCCCTTCGTTGGGGATTGCCAGGATTGGTAGGCTGCCTGGAGGCTTTGGCGGGTATTCAGGTGGCGCCTTGCTGCCGCGCTGCGGATCTGAGACTGGGACGACGGTGACGAGGGAGGACGGAATGTCCTTCTCGCGGAGATAGATGATCACGCGACGGGGGTAGGGCATCCAGGGGTAGACGTAGAGGAGCCATGGGTGAGAAGGCATTGTGGATGGTACAACGAGCAATTTAGACTTTTTGTGCGGAAGGATAAGATGATAAGGAAGATTGCTAGAGACTAGAAAATCGAGTTCGGAGAAAGAATACGAGGCACCTTTTGTATCGATTCAATGCTGAGTGAGAAGAGAAGGCCTCTCGGACTGGGTGTTGGTTCCTCCACAAATGTCTCCGAAATGTCTCCGCTGTTTGGACAGAGGGTTTTGCAAACGGAGAGTTTCGAAAGGATAGTTCTCGGTACTACTGGTGCTATCTAGCTTTTTGTTCTTTCGATTGGCAGTCCGTTGGACGGATTCGTCCTCGGAATAAGCCGAGGTGGGTTTGCTCTGATGGCCTGGACCATGTGAGAAAGAATGCAGCCTCTTATGAAGATCTCAGTCCCATTTCTCAACTCAACAGTAAAAATCACTCACTCACTCTCGTCATTGCCCGTCAATCGCCTGCATAGCCGCCGCAGCCTCCCTCACAATCTCCTTCGTGGCCTCATCAACTTTCTGTCCCTGAATCCACTCCAGTCTCCGCTTCCGGAACTCCCACCGCTTCCTACTCATACCCTCCTGCCCCTCCCAGCATCTGTATGCCTTCTTGTAGGTCGCTGGTGCGGCGCCAGTCTCGCCAGCCTGTCCAATCTGCCCAGACGTGACTGAAGTCGGGGGAGGTCACCCCAGCGAAGCTCGGTCCTAACACCGTCGGAGGGATTCTAGTGTTTCTTGGACAGGTCGGTCGGAGGAAACTGCTGGATGGCTTGGATCAACGTGACCACTTTCGGTCGTGCTGGCGGTATATCAGTCAAAATGTCATGGAGAAGTTTCCACTAACACTCGAGCAAGTAGCCTGGGTTGTCGTCGTTGACCATCTTGCTTGTGATTATTCGACTGGTCTCGTTGACATTTATACGGTTGTGGAGGTAGTCTTTCAGCACCTGGGCTTCTCTAGGCCCGCATGCTGCGCTCCTGACTCTGTAGTCAACCCAGGAATCAGACATGATGAATGTAGGGGGACTGGAAAACTGAGTTGTGGTATGTATTTGAGGCTATGTGAGATGAGTGCTGGTAAGGACCCGGGTGATGTGGGCGAGCATGCGCATCATCACCCAGGTTGTGGGTGTGGTGGCACCTGCCTCATCCAGCTCATCTCGTCAAAGCGGTATCGTTCAGGTTTGGGCAGTTGCAAAACATGAAGAGAACTTGGAGGAGCATCAACAACATCGCGATTCAGGCACACCTTGCTTACGCCGTGATCATGGTTCTCAAAATCCTCTGACCATCCGCAAAGCATGACATTTGGTTCCGCAGCAAATCAATCCCGCAAATCTCCTCCGCTACTCCTGATCGTAGCTCTCCTGCGCAGGAGCCTCGTCGCCCTGCTGTTCCTGCTGTTCCGCCTGCCTCTGCTGCTCTGCCGCCTGCTGAGCAGCCAACGCCTTGGCGCCGTAGTCCTGGCTCATGGGCTGGACAACGGGCTGCTCCTCCTTCGGCTCGATGATGGTAACAGTGTCTGGCAGCGTCTTCTGCGGGCCAGCCTTGCCCTCCGGATCCGAACCGCGCATGATCTTGACCTTGATACCCAACACACCCTGGCGCAGCAGCACGTGACGCGTCGCCGAGTCGATGAAGTCCTTTGCCGGCTGGCCGGAGTGGATCATGAAACCGTCCTATCCGATATCAGTACCTCTCTCCAAAAGTCCAGTCGTGGTGTAACACACTGTGAACTTCATGCTCTTGGCACGGGCAGCCCTCAGCTTGCCGCTGACCACAACCTCGCAACCCTTGGCGCCGCTCTCCATGATGAATCGTAGCACACCATAGCATGCCCTCCTCACAGCCAGACCGTTGAGCAGCTTGTACCGCAGAGACTCGCACTGGGCGACGGCGGACAGACCGCGGTTCTGGACCTTGGCGGCATAGAGGGAGACGGAGTTCTCGGGGAATTTGAAGCGCTTCTGGATGAGGGAGGTGAGTTCCCTGATGCGGCGGCCCTGCTCGCCGAGGACCTCTTGTGTGTGTGTTGCGCGGATGATGATGTCGGTGACGGTGGGTGTGACGCGGACTTCGACGCCGGAGTAGCCCTCCTCGGCCAGCTCGCGCTGGAAGAACTCGTTCAGCTCGGCGTAGAACACGCCGTCTGCGCAATGGGATGTTAGCACTCCGATCGCTTCACTGCTTCTCCGCTCGATATTGATATTTGTGCGAACGCGCCGCTGTCCCTTGCAGGCCAAGCGACCACGATCCCCTCGATTCTTCTGGGCTAGTCGTCTTGCTCGGGGGTTTGCGTACCTGCGACGAACTTTCTCCGCTTGGAACTGCACACAGTCAGTCGCTAAATTGCGGACCGTCTTCCATCATGAGACTCACATAGCACCTCCATGAGTAGCGGCGGCCATGTTTGCGGTGTGAGAAAGGTAGCTGGAGCTTCGAGGATCGGATTATCGGGAGGCTGATGCGTGGACGTGATGCTGTTGTCGCCGGCGTAATTTGAGCTGTGATAGCAACTTCGCTGGAGTGGTGGGTGCGCCAAGAGTCGCTTGGAAGGCCGGCAACGGAAAATGCCGCCGCCGCCAGCTCCCCGCCAAAGCCAAAGATGATGTGCAGCTCATCGGCAGGGCTTGCAGTACTCATGTGAACAATCGGTATCTGGTCAATCAACAACCTCAAGTGTTGCTGGCAGCAAGCAGTGTCGAACCCCAGTCAAACACCTCACACGATCTTGCTTTGCATCGTACTACACCGAGTCTCCAGTCAGATATACAAATGATCAGCTCATCCGACCGACAACCTGTCATATAACACTATATGGATAAGATTAGAGTCTCCAAGGCAGGACCCCAAAGAGCTTCAACTCAACCCCCTTGCTAACCTTCACTCAGGTGGAGGATGTCACCTTGTGGAGACAAGGCGTACGCGTCGAAGGGACCCTCCACCTAACCTCCCACCACCTCATCTTCAGCTATCCACCCCCTCCACCCACCGACCAAGCTCCAGCTGCAAAGCCACGTCCGCGCGAGCTATGGATAACTTACCCTATGATCGCCTTCTGCACCTACCGTCCCGCTCCTCCAGCATCCCACCAGGCGCCATCCATACGCCTGCGATGTCGTGACTTCACCTTCGTAGCTTTCCATTTCCTCTCTGAGGGCAAGGCGCGCGATGTCTACGACAGTATTCGGTCCCTTACGTGTAAGCTGGGAAGAATAGAAAAGCTGTACGCTTTCAGCTACAAGCCGCAGGGTCCAGAGCGAGAGATAAACGGGTGGGACATATACGACGCAAAGCGGGAACTGAAGCGGCTAGGCGTCAGCGCAAAAGACGTTGACAAGGGGTGGAGGATATCGGAGATCAATGCGGACTACCAGGTATGTATTCTGCATGGACTTCGCCGGCGCTGTACTTACAAGATACACAGTATTCGCCCACGTATCCAGCTGTGCTCGCTGTTCCGTCGGCAATCTCTGATAATGTCCTGAACTACGCTGGAAAGTATAGATCGCGAGCAAGAATACCCGTCCTCACCTATCTGCATCCCGTGAACAGTTGCTCGATCACACGGAGCTCACAGCCGCTTTCTGGCGTTGCCCGAAACCGAAGTGTGCAGGATGAAAAGTTAGTCGCGGCAATCTTCTCGACCTCCAAAGCCGAGGTTGAGTCACTCAGCTCTTCAACATCTACCAGTAATTTCTCCGATATAGCTCCGACAACGAACACTGCACCTGCGCCTCCATCCAGTAGCGACAGTTCGTTTGTCGCTCCGGAAGTTGTTGAGGATGAAGCGATTGATAGCGTACGGGAGGCTTCCGGCGCAACGGCGCCGAGGGTGTACGGTGCCCAGCAGCACAATCTCATCGTCGACGCCCGGCCGACAGTAAACGCGTACGCGATGCATGTCGCAGGGATGGGCTCAGAAAACATGGACAACTACAAGTTTGCGACCAAAGCTTATCTGGGAATTGACAATATACACGTGATGCGAAACTCGCTAAACAAAGTTATTGAAGCACTCAAGGACTCCGACGTCACGCCGCTACCACCAAACCGCGAGCAGCTAGCGAAGAGCGGCTGGCTAAAGCACATCACAGGCCTGCTAGACGGAGCCGGCCTGATCTCGCGCCAAGTCGGCATACATCATTCCCACGTCCTAATTCACTGCTCCGACGGCTGGGACCGCACAAGCCAACTCAGCGCTCTCAGTCAACTCTGCCTAGACCCCTACTACCGCACCCTCGAAGGCTTCATCGTGCTCGTCGAGAAAGACTGGGTCTCCTTCGGCCACATGTTCCGCCACCGGTCCGGCTTCCTCAGCCACGAAAAGTGGTTCGAGATCGAGAACGAGCGCATTGCTGCCGACCGACACAGCACGAACGGCACCAGCAAACCGCACGGCTCGACGGCGGGTAATGCCCTCGAAAACGCGCTCCTCAGCGCCAAAGGCTTCTTCCACAAGAAGAACGACAGCCGCGAATCCCTCGGTGAGTCGGACGGCGAGATGCAGTCGATGGAGGCCTCGCCCTCGGCAACGAGAGATAGCTCGGCCACCCGCGCGGCGGCGGAGAACAAGGTCGTCACGAAGCCGAAGGAGACAGCGCCGATTTTTCACCAGTTCTTAGATGCGACGTACCAGCTCCTGTACCAGCATCCGACGCGCTTCGAGTTCAATGAGCGCTTCTTGAGGAGGCTCCTCTACCACCTCTACTCCTGTCAGTACGGCACGTTCTTGTACGACAGCGAGAAGCAGCGCGTGGATGCCAGAGTCAAGGAGCGCAGCCGCAGCGTCTGGGACTACTTCCTCGCGCGCCGCCAGATGTTTGTTAACGAGAAATATGACCCGGCCGTCGACGACACGGTTAAGGGCCAGGAGCGACTGCTGTTTCCACGCCTCGGTGAAGTGAGATGGTGGGCTGAGGTCTTCGGCCGCACGGATGCCGAGATGAATGGCCCGGCTGCTGCAGGCGGTGCGGAAGCCCTCCAGGATGATGCGGATCTGCCGGTCTTGACGGGCGTGGAGAGCGCGGAGGCTGTGGTCGGTTCGACGGCGACGAGGCAGCCGAGAGCTGATGGACGGGCGTCTATAGGAGCGTCGACTTCGGGACTGGCGGCTGGGTTGGCGTCGTTGGGTATCGGCAGCTCTGCCAGTCCAGCTAGGCCGAAGAGTCCACGGGGGCCGGCCCCGATGGAGGTCGAGATGCAGTAACTGGGACTCGTTAAGACAAGCATGGTGTTGGCGGGCCTGGTCGTCGCCTGACTGTGGCTGTGGGGTGTTCGGAGCCTTGTTTGGGAGCGTGGCGTTGTCGGGCGTCTGGGATTACGACATGCAGTAGCATGGAACAGTCAGAGGTATGGTTCGCATTGGGCAAAGTGGATGTTGTATTGGCTCAGCTCCATGGTTTTTTATGCTCTCGTCAAGATCAGAACTGCTTGAAAAACCTGTGAGCTCTATGGCACAGTAGCCCGCTTAAGGGACTTCTTCATCCGCGAAGAGGATCTGCTCCACACTTCTCGAACGACTATAGCGCATCCTTAGGGCAATAAACGCCTACAACTGTAATAATGTCCCTGTTTACAGGAGTCTGAATCGGTCCATAACTAGGTAGAGAATCTTGGCTGAAGAGCATGGGGCCCAAGCTTCCCGAGCTCTCTGCCTTGATCTTAAAAGCCACCTCCAAGTCTGTACTCCGTAAGAACAAATCACCTCGCCTTGATACCTCAGCAATCTCAAATCGGAAACTACACAGAGCCCCCTGTCTCAACTAAGACCCGCGTATACTTTTGTCGAACCTGTATCCCACCCAGCACACTCACCTTGCGCCGCTATCCTGTCAGCGCGCTCCAAGAAACTCATCCAGCTTGCAGACACCAGCTTCGAGTTAACGTAGCATGCCTCTCAACCCAACATCATAACACTCACTATCCACCACGTAAATTACGCCCACCATGCCCTCCCTCGACATAAGCATCCCCTCCGCCAGCACCAACAGCACCGGTGCAAAACCCTACACAGCCTACACGATCCAAATCCGGGCTCCCCTCCGCACACGCAGCCTCCAAAAGCGGTACTCCGACTTCGTCACCCTCGACAAAACTCTCCGTGCCCAAACCAACGCCGCACCACCCGCCCCGCTCCCCGCAAAATCCTGGTTCGCACGCACGGTCGGCAACGACGCCCTCACCGAAGAGCGCCGCAAAGGGCTAGAAGCCTACCTCCGCGCCATCGACAGCTCCCCCGACGACCGCTGGCGCCGCACACCCGCCTGGCGCGCCTTCCTCGAGCTGCCGGAGGAGGGCTCGGGGAAGAGCAAAGTGCTCGGCAATATCGGGCTCACGGCTTCCGGCGGCGTGGTCGTAGATGCCGCGACGTGGCTGGACATGTACGGCGAGCTGAAGAACCAGCTCCGGGAAGCGCGGTTGTATCTCACGAAACGCGAGCAGGCACAGCAAGCGCAGGCGCAGCATGAGGCCGGGGCGAACGCGAAGGGGGCGCTTGTGCAGGCGAGCGCGCTGATTAGGGCGCTAGAGGAGGGGCTGAAGGGGTTGAGTGGAGGTGGAAGGAATGGGGATGAGGGCGCGTGGGGAGGAGTGGAGAAGCTGGGGGACGGGGAGATTAGGAGGCGGAGGGATATGATTGGGTCGGCGAAGAAGGAGCGGGATGGGCTGGAGAGCGTGTTGAGCGCTATGTCGGTCAAGAATGCGGCGTCGACGTCGTCATCGCTGTCGGGAACTACGGCTATAGCGTCCGAGGGAGATAAACAGGGGTTGTTTAAGGGTGGTGCGCCTGGTGGGCGAGGACGTGTGCTGGGTGCGCCGGCGAAGGAGACGGAGAGGACAAGAGAGTTGGATAATGAGGGCGTGCTCCAGCTTCAGAGGCAGATTATGCAGGAGCAAGACGAGGACGTGCAAGATTTGACCAAGGTCGTGCGTAGGATGAGAGAGATGGGCGTGGCGATCAATGAGGAACTTGTTCTGCAGAACCAGATGCTGGATCTGCTAGATAATGACGTGGACAGGTATGCAGCACTTTCATTCATTATCGCTACGTCAGTCGTGGTGGGCGTGGATGGAAGCGCTAACAATTCAACAGAGTACAAGGAAAAATCGACGTTGCAAGGAAGAGAGTGGACAAAATCCGATAGAAAGTCTGAATCGTCGTACCGCCTATTGCTATCCTGTTACATTAGGAAAACCCCGCCACATCTCCAAGACGCCACATTCATCCAATGCTCTATCTGATCCTCTCGCCCAACCCGTTGTCTTCTTCCGGACCTTCCAGCAAGCCCCCCTGATATCTCAATACTAGATCATATCGCCGGACCAGATGAGAAAACCGCCAGGCCCGACGGGCACCTCCTCATTCTTGCTTCTTCTTTCCATTCTGGCGAGTGGACCGTCTCCTGTCCGGTGGACCAGTCTCGCGCTCGGTCTGTACTTCTGATAACGGACCGAGTTTGGCCCTGCTCTTCTTCCGATGCACGGGGGGCAGAGTAATGGTAGCTTGGGGGTTGTCCCCTTCTTTGTTAGGACCACATGGATGTGCCTTCGGGGAAGTCTTTCCCGCTTTAGTGAGGCCCTGTCTTGCAGACCTCCTTCTTACGATTGGGGGCTTGGATGGAAGAATCGTGTCGCCAGCGTCGTTGGACTGGTCATCCGCGTCGCTGGATCCATCATCAATGCCGCTGGCCGTAGCATTCGCATCGCCGCTTTTCGACGCCGTATCCTCATCGCTGGTGGATGGTGCATTGCCACCAGCCCCTGGTTTCCCTATCTCGGCGTTCTCGACTGCTTTCTTCCCGGAAGCTTTTTGCGCGGCTCCACTAACGCTAGCCTTGCACGTCGGACATTGCTTCCACGCATTTCGCGGGTCGATGTACTGGCTGTCGATCCTCGGGGTCACGCAGTCCTGATGATACCACTTCCCGCATTCACAGGCGACAAGCGCATTGTACTCCTCGCTCTTCTTGTCCTTGCGGTACGAATGGTTACTCCCCTTTCCCTGGCAACTCTCGCACACGTGGTCGCACCTCTTGCACCAGAACTGGTCCCCGCTCTCCGGCTCAGCGAAGGCGTTGTAGATCACTGGATCATGGCATTGCTGGTGCCAGTGATCCTGACAGCCGGAACACTGCACCAGCTCGTTGTTCTCAAGCGATTCCGTGGTGGTGCACACTTCGCAGATTGCGGCGTAGGACTGTCGGAAGAGGTTCTTGTGCACCCAGATGGAGCCTTTGATGGCGTAATCGGCGAGGTTCCAGGACTGCCCTTGCTCTTTCTGCTGGTTCTGGGCGGGTGTTAGGTTGTGCTGAGAAGGGGTAGGTAGTGCTTACTTTGATGTCTTTGCTGTTGGGTGGGGGTTGTTGTTGGGTTTTGTTCTTCTTGGGGGCCTTGGAGGTGTCAGTGGTTGTGGTTGTGGCGGACTGAGTGGCGGACGTACCATAATGCCTGATTGCCTTTCTGCCTCTGTTGGTGCTGGGATGAAGCGAAGCTGGAAAGCCCTTCTTATGCGTCTGCCACAGCATTCTCCATTGTCTATTCACCATTGCCTGTGGAAAGTTCCAGTAATGTCTGAGTTCTAAACAAAACAAGTCACAAATTTGCATTTCATGAATCAGGCTTTGTACACTGCACGAAGATTCGTCACACCACTATCTCTTGTATGTCAACCTACTGGAATGAACGATTTTCTCCGTAGTGCCGGTTGAACCGTGTTTCGTGTGGTGCTTAAGGTAGCGGCATGAACAGAAGGCGATCAACGGCCAGCAACCGGTCTTCATCTTCTCGAAGGCAACAAGAGACGGATCGAACGCTGGCCAGAACAGGCGGAGGTGCGGCCAAGCCACGCTGAAAGCTGTGTCAAGGTAGGGTTGTACGGTCCTGTACTTCCCACACAGGCTTGGCCATGCGAAAGTTTGTCCGACGAGGATTCCTGCTCCTACATCAGGGTAGAGTCTTGGGAGTATCATCAATCCCTTCATTCAACACACGGATACACCTTCTGCGGATCGGTTCAGGGCGTCTCTGAACTACAACAACCGTCCAAAAGAGAACCTGATACTCACAGCCCGAGAACATGACAGAGATCGTCCACGCAGGAGAGTCTGGGTGACACTGGTCAGGGTCCGGCTCAGGTCCATATGAAGGAGACTGCCCGAACTGAATCGGAAACTCCATTGACGCCACACGGCGGCTGTCCGATCGGTTCCTCTCCATACAGCAAGGCAACAGCTTCCGAGCCCAACCCACGCAGCAACGGACAGTCGCAGGGTGGCTGCAGGGCCGGCGAATGATAGCCGCATATCAAGCCCAATCGAAAGGACTCGATCCACCACGAAAGTCTACAACACACACGGATTGAGGTGATGTGTTCTAGAACAACAAGGGCCGAAGCCATGCCAAACACCGGAACATCAACCGGGTACGAGAACTCAACTACAACAACCGTTGAACTGACGCCGCGAGACCAACCACGTTCGGGCACAGCACTATTGCCGATGTCTTAGATGCACGCATCAACAGCAGTTGATGACAGGGTGTTCATTAGGCCGTCTGACGAAGCTGGACGGTCGGACGGACGGGTCATGTATCGGACCGTCGGAGTGAGAGCTTAAGCCTCGTCCGATCACCCACGTCGGGCAGGGAAGAACTTGCACCGCAGATATCAACTTTAGTATATAATCACTCTAAAAAAGTGCTTAAACGTGCGATAGGGTATAGAGAGTAGCTTAGAGCATTCTAAACCTTGACAGCTTATAAGGGACTGCTTTAATAGTAGTAAAGAAGGTGGTAAGAAGTGATTTTATAGTGCGAGGAGTGATTTTATAGTATAAGGAGCGATTTTACGGTGTAAGTTCTTCCCTACCCGACATACCCATCTAGCCTTATCGGTCCGTCCTTATAGCGCCTAGAGCCTAGTCCGTCCGTCTAGTGGCGCGCCCTTACTCTATCCAACCGTCCGAAAGCCTCCGACGAGGACGAACCAACTAATAGACACCCTAATTAGACCTCGCAACCAGCTTCGGAGCGTTTCACTCACTAGAGGCAATGTTGGTTACAGCTAGCGCGATACAGCCAACGCCTCTAATTAATACTCTAGGGTCTCTGAGATTGCAAAGCTAGTCTAAGCATGGCTATCAAAGGTAAATGTCTGTCTAGGTGACTAGGTCTAGCTAAACGTATGAAATCGTGGACGACGGTATCTGGATTTAACAGGTCCTTCACGCTTTCCTCGTACACGGATCCTTCACGCTTTTATCGTACACGGACCTCCTTGGCCTTGGGCGCGATAGCTGGGGTTCACTGTTCAATCTCTGCCGAAAGGCCCGGCGCGACAGCTGGGGTTTACTATTTAATCTCTACTAAAAGGCCCAGCGCGACAGCTGGGGTTCACTATTCGATCTCTGCCGAAAGGCCCGCCGCACCGATTCTTATAGGCTTATGTTCCTCTTTACTACGCTTGCTTTCAGCGGAAACATTGGACAGATCCATCCTCGGACACTGCTCGGCAAGTGTGTCCGCCATCACCTCGTCTTCGTCCCCTGCCGACTGCTTATCCTCCAACGGTTCTGATGCCTCACCGCCCTCATGAGCTATCTTCGCCTTCTTTCTAAGATTGACCAGCGCCGCCAGCGCCGGCAGCGCCGTAGGTCCTTTGCGCTTTTGAGATTTCTTCGCCCTGCGGTTGTTTTAGCAGTACTTCTGAGCATGGTTGAGATCCGCGGTATTGCTTACTCTGGTGGCTTCTTCTTGCCTGCCTTGCCTTTGCCTGCTTTGTCTTTGCTCTTCCATGCCTCCGCGAGGGTCTCTTGGGCCATGTCATCCAATATGGCGGCTTCTAATGATGCGTGAATCTGGTCGTACTGGATGTGAATGGACGTCTTGTCCGTGTATGCCCTCTGTCCCATACGTTCACGATACAAGAGCTTAATCGCTCTCCGGAGAACCGGGGTGTTATCCAGATCATGTTCCGTGTACTCGTTGATGGGGTCAAGGTCAAGGAGGAGACGAAATTGCTCTTCTTCCTCGGAATATGCCGCCGCGCCCACCTCAGTGCCCAAGTCCTTCGCCCGCCGGACGCGGCGGATGAGAGTTCTTTCGTTGTCTTCCTTCGGAGGCCCAGTCTTCGTGTCATAATAGTCTGAGTCAGGTTCTTTGTCCGTTTCGGCATCTGAATTGCCGTCTTCAGCAACTTTTATGCGGGGCATCTGCTCCAGTGGGTTTCCAACGTATGCTCCTGTAGTGGCAAAAGCTTCATCCATGAAGTATTTCGTTTGCTTTCACAAGCGCTTCGGCCTCGAGGCGCCTGGCACTTCCTGCAGCTCTTGAATTGCCTCTGCGTCTAGATCGTCCATCGTGCCTGCTAAGCCCTCCACGGGCTGCTCACCAGGCCTGTTACGGCGTGGTTTGCTCTTGAGGATCTTCTTTCCTTGGTCGGAAATATGTGCGGCGCGAACATCCTGTCGGTGGCTGTTCAAGAGCAGAACAAACAGGTCCCTTAAGGCGGGGTCGTGAGCGCGAGAGGGTTCCGCCGCGGTAGAAGAAGATCGTCTTTTACTACGCGCCTCCAAACGTAGGTGCGAGATAGCGCTATGTTAGTCTCACAGTCTAGATCTCACTTTCCACAGCGCCGGTACAACAGCGCCAGTGGCCTGGAAGAACTTTTAGCCGTCCATCGCCTTTATAATCCCGTCACTGTAGACCTCGTATGATATCAAACAGCGCGGCTCTTTCTCTTTGGAGCCTCACGCGTCAAGTGACTAGGTCACTATCTGTGCTTTTTCGCCACCTGATGACAAAATCATGAAACTCGCAGCTCCTGTTCAAGCTTTTGCAGGTGTGAATGGAGACCGGGTTCCACATGTTACGATACATCCAAGAACCCAGCTGTGTCAATCTCTCACGCATTGATTGCCTTGAGTATCGTTGACCTGTGAACCTCGTGCCAGTAAACCAGCTTCATTCTCTCAGTTGTCTTCTTGCATGGAATCAGTATCAGAATTCTCGCCATAACAATGCCACGATTCCAGCTCAGCCGCGTCAATACCGCGGGTACGGTACATAGCATCTTGTGTCGACGGACTATGCGTTCGGATTCGTCAATGGTTCCATCAAGCACGAAATGCCGTAAAGCAGCAGGCAAAGCATTTCCACTGCACTAAAGCCAGCGCCATGCTGGCGAGGTGCTTCATGGTCAGCAGCTTTAATCAAAAACACTTATCAAGGGTAGGCGGACATGATGTTTGTGACCACCGGCCTAGGCAATAGTATGTTCGACAGCTACCGTGGATCAAGCATTGGAGATATCCCTGGTCTATGAACCGTCATGCGAGTAAGTGAGCTCAAAAGTGGTCTCGCAAAGACATGTGCGGGGTCGACGGCCGGGTGTTTAACAGCAAGTCAGTCATTCGTAAGACAGGTCCGTGAAAGCAAAGAAAATAGGTATCAGAATGTACCACATCACCCAGTTCAAACACGACATGGAGGCAGCATGGGATATCATCGGGTTCTCATTGATTCGTGAAGCAAGTCTAGCTAAGAAACCCGCCTGCACGCCATAGCCATGAATGCAAGCCATCGACCCATGAGATCCGGCCAGAATCCACCCACCATCCACTTCCAACCCATCTTCCCCAGGGGAACCATCCTCTATTTCTTGCTTGCTTTTTGTGCGGCCTTGGTGACCTTGCCTACGGAGGGTCAGTATACATATCAAATCTCGACATCGAACAAACTTACCGGCACCCTTGTCCACCTTCTCGACGGACTTGATGACGCCTACAGCGACTGTCTGCCTCATATCGCGAACGGCGAAGCGGCCTATTTTTAATTAGCACAACAGTCGTAATTCAGGAGTTCGGAAGACGCTTGCCAAGAGGGGGGTACGCGGTGAAGGCCTCCTGCATTCTTTGTTAGCAGCGGATCAACCGAGTGGAGAACATGGGCAGTGACTTACAACACACATCGGCTTGGACGGCACCATCTTGACAATGGCGGCGTCACCGGACTTGATGAACTTGGGGCTGTTCTCAATGGACTTGCCGGTACGGCGGTCGATCTTCTCGAGGAGCTCGGAGAACTTGCAGGCGATGTGGGCGGTGTGGCAATCCAAGACCGGGGCGTAACCAGCACCGACCTGGCCGGGGTGGTTGAGGACGATGACCTGGGCGTTGAAGGACTCGGCACCCTTTGGCGGGTCGTTCTTGGAGTCGCCGGCGACGTTGCCACGACGGATCTCCTTGACGGAGACGTTCTTGACGTTGAAGCCGACGTTGTCGCCCGGGAGACCCTCGGTGAGCTGCTCGTGGTGCATCTCGACGGACTTGACCTCAGTGGTAACACCGGCGGGGGCGAAGGTGACAACCATGCCGGCCTTGATGGTACCGGTCTCGACACGGCCGACTGGGACCGTGCCAATACCGCCGATCTTGTACACATCCTGGAGGGGAAGACGGAGGGGCTTGTCGGTAGGACGGGCAGGCGGGTCGATGGCATCGATGGCCTCGAGCAGGGTCTTGCCGGTGGTCTTGGTCTTGGTCTCCTTCTCCCAGCCCTTGTACCACGGGCAGTTGGAGGAAACGTCAATCATGTTGTCGCCGTTAAAGCCAGAGATCGGGACGAAAGGAACGGTCTTCGGGTTGTAGCCGACCTTCTTGATGAAGTTGGAGGTCTCCTTGATGATCTCGTTGTAGCGATCCTCGGACCACTTGGTGGTGTCCATCTTGTTGATGGCGACGATGAGCTGCTTGACACCGAGGGTGTAGGCAAGCAGAGCGTGCTCACGCGTCTGGCCATCCTTGGAGATACCAGCCTCGAACTCACCAGTGCCGGCAGCGATGATGAGAATGGCGCAGTCGGCCTGGGAGGTACCAGTGATCATGTTCTTGATGAAATCACGGTGACCCGGGGCGTCGATGACGGTGACGTAGTACCTCGGGGTTTCGAACTTCCAGAGAGCGATATCGATGGTGATACCACGCTCACGCTCGGCCTTGAGCTTGTCGAGCACCCAGGCGTACTTGAAGGAGCCCTTGCCCAACTCGGCGGCTTCCTGTGAAAGGTCTTAGACAATGTTGCAACGGCGGCATGGCGGAAGACAAGAAAGGCAGAACCAAAACATGACATGACTGATGTGGATGATGAAGAAACCAATGATGGTTTGGGTTTTCGGTACATGCGTCGTGTGCCTCTGCCTACCAAAAGCGGGATAGTGCGGGACACTCAGCCCCACCATGCCCCTCGTCGCGATAAGGCGAAAATGCGAAATTTTTTGAAGCGGCAAAGAGAGCGAAGAAAGAGGCTGCAGTCCTTACCTTCTCGAACTTCTCAATAGTACGCTTGTCGATGCCACCGCACTTGTAGATCAAGTCTGTACGCCGCGTGAGATTGTAAAGGCTAAGCGGGCGCGAAAGGAAGGCTTACGTCCGGTGGTGGTCGACTTGCCAGAGTCGACGTGGCCGATGACGACGACATTGATATGAACCTTCTCCTTACTGCAGCAGACTGTCAGACGATGTCCTGAAGTTTTGCTTACGCGCGAGGAGTCGTGATGGCGGAGCGCGATGCTGTGATGAAGCCGAGAGATTCGAGTCACTTACCCCATGGCGTCGGTTGTTGCGAGGTTGAAGCTTGAGTGGAAGTTGAAGTGAAGTAGGTTGAAATTGCTAGATGCTGTCAGAGATGCTGCTGGTTCAAGCGTCGAGGGCGCGCATCTTACTCAGGTACGAATGCAGAACGATTCGAGGTGTGACAGACGAGGAAGAAAAAAAGAGGATTGGCAAGGTGACGGTGGGGGATTATATGGTGGGACAGCTCGGCTGTTTGGATTAGGTAAGGCGCCAAACCACGGGCTACTGGTGAAAGCTTTTTCGCACTGCCCAACGATCATTCATCACTTTGCCTCAAGCGCCCAGTTTTTTGCTCCACAGCAGCAAGGCTACCGCTCAGAACGACTGGCTGGAACTGGCTCTCGACCATATGACTCTGCAGCTTCACCGTGCTATGCTCGTTTGGGCCGACAGATTATCTGTTCTGAAGCATCAAAATCTATCCGCTTGCCACTGTGCGGCATCCTTGAGGGCGGAAGCGGAAGGCTTGTCCCGAGGATGATGTCAGTACTGAGTTTCTAGAGCAGTTTTGGGCCCGACCTCTGACTGCCTTAGTGAGTCGGATTGTTATGACTGTGAGGTTCTGCCGGTACCTATTCTGACTCAGTGCATCTTGTGCCTTGGCATGTGTTTCAATCATGGAAGTATGATATCAAGCGGACCGTAAATCCTACACAGTCTCTCATGAGCGGGCTAGATGTCCTCCGTGGCACGCAGCAATCTATTAAACAGCAGGTCAGCAACCCGGTGTCTTAGGCTTAAGCATGGAACAGATGCTTGAACGAAGCTACCTCACTAAACGTGTAGTCATGGTCTGGAGTCTTTTGGTTTCACATCGGCTACTTGAGTAGTTAACATTAATCAAAGCTCCGACCGATTTCATCTGCGATCCTTGAATACTTAGATTTCCTTCTCCCTGGTTGAAGATTCTAGAAAGTATCCAACTAATTCCTCTCAGCGGATGAAAATTCTCGAGATTATGAAGGGCGCCCAGCCCGTTCAAACGGCATCTTTGTAGTCCTCAGCGGCTTGCGAGCGCTGTAATTCGAAACTGGCATCGAGCTACCAAGCGGAAAATCGATACGGAACTACCTGATCTCAGGGTCTGGAGGGGCCGTCCTGTGTGCGGTATCTAGATGTGCTGTTAATGTCGGGTGACGTTTGCCATGTGCGTCTCTATATCTCACCAGCGTAATAGTCCAATTGTGGTCGTCGGAGAGGGCTGTGGACTAGAACACAAGATGGGAGTCCACTATGTACAGAAACTGATACAGTAATGGTTTGTTGTACATTCTACAGCCTTCCTAATGTTGTACATATCCACCCTATGCTCCAGAGAACTGCCCAAGCTCAAGCGCCTCCCAATGCTGCTACTCGAACACCGATCTCGCGCTTTAAGGCCTAAGAAATCGCGAGAAATCCGCTATATCTGTCATCCACCGCTAAACTCAGCAGTTCCGCGTGCTAGGACGAAACTCCTCCCTCCCAACGAGCTTCCGAGCTCCCTTCATCGCCTTCTCCTCCTGCCTTCCCCACATCATCTGATATACTTCCACCAGCCCTCTCCGCAAGCCTGAACGCCGCATCCACGAACTCCCTCACAGCGTCCTCCTTCGCATCCTCCTCAAGTCCTAACCTAACCTCACCCCGTCTCCCCCCCAGCTTCCCCCCCTCCACAGCCACATACCTCAGCCTGTGCCCCTCAGCCCCCACCTCCACACTCTCCCTCCACTCAACCCCCTGCCACAGATACTCCACCTCCACCGTCTCCCCATCCTTCCACTCCCGCACCCTCTCTTCCCTCCCCTTCCCCTTCCCGCTCTTCCCACTCCCACCCCTGCCCTCCTCGCCCGCGCCCGTCACCGTCCACGCCGGCACCCCAACCCTAACACTACTCGGCGCCCTCAGCCGTCCCTGTCCACGCACCACCACCCCAATCTCCCCCACCAGGCCCGCGAACGGCCCGTCCTCCCTCTCCGCGCCCGCCGCGAACAACATCTCCCGCCGCGCGAACCGAACATCGACGCCGCGGTCCGGCATCGCGACATCCCTGTACTCCTGGCCCAACGCCAGCGCCACGCTCTCGAGGCGCGCCTGGTCCTGTGTCGCGCCTGCAGGGATCGCGAAGGTGATGTGCAGCTCTGGGATCGCGGTCAGGGCTTTGAGCCCCCCGGGCGTACTGGTGGTGGCGGTGGAGGTGGACCAGGGATTCGGGATATAGCGGAAGAGGAGGTGCGCGCCGGTGTTTGTGGGGGTGGCGGCGGTGGGGCTGGCGCTGAGGTGGCTAAGAATGGTGGGGAGGGAGGGGGTGTGCGGGCTAAAGGTGTGGGTGCGGGGGCCGGAGAGGAGGATTGAGAGCGGGGTGGGTGTGAGGACTCGGGTTGGTGGAGAGATAGGGATGCGATGGAGGATGTGGCCGAGGGTTGCGGTGGTTGAGGTGTGAGGGATGGGAGACCAGTTGTAGGGGCTTCTTGAAAAGTCTGATTCGAATTCTGGAGCTTTGGATGTCGAGGTCCCGGTTGTCGGATTTTCGAGTGGAGTTGCAGGTAATGGCGCTTCGGAGGGTGGTTCGGAGGGTAAGGTATCGGGTGCTGAGGTTCCCGGCGTCGATACGTCAGGCATCGGGGTCGAGGTTGTCGAGCTCGAGGCGGAGGTTGAGGTTGAGGTAGCGGCAGGAGGTAGGACGTCGATTGGGAGTGCCTTTAATGAGCTGGACTGCTGGAGAAACTTGATAACCTCTTTACGAACCTGCCCAGGCCGCGACGAACTGGCATCTCTAATACTTTCTGCAGAGTCTTGTAGTGAGCCTCGCCGAATTGGGAAAGACCATCTCCCAAGGCTCTTCCGTTGGTCACGATACGCCAGCGCTCTCTTGCGGCCGTGAGGAGAGAGTATACCAAGCTTCTTTATCGCGCTAGTCGTGAGGATCTTTCCCTCGCTCGTGGTTGGCAGATCGAGCATCGAAAGGAGGACTCGCCGTCCGTCTTCGGCTTGAGCTGCATCCAGGCCGCTGACAAATACACGAGGACCGCCTGTATCTGACCTTCGCAGGAATGCGCCACTCAGTTCGGATGCCAGTACGAGGTCTTCGTCTGTGAACAGTCGCTGTGGCCCCTTGGTTCCGGAGTTGGACAGCGGCTTGAAAGGTGCGAAATCAACGGTCAAACTGTGGCAAGCGTGCAGCGCGGTCTCGATGTCGTCGGCAGCGTATTCGGCGCTGTCTTTAGGCGCCATGATCTTGATGATGCGAGAAGTCTGGTTCACTGAGATAGTTACTCTGCGGTGGTTTCGGATCTGATCGAGTTTCGAGGGTTCTAAAATGCAACCCGTGAGCCACCATACCACTACTCCCGTAGAAATACGTACCGCCTGCCACCAATAGTCGCATCTGCCACCGCTGAACTCCACTAATATCGAGCTCACCGGGCGACTCGATCTCCTCAAGCACGTCGATCTTCCAGTTGATACGGAGTATCTTGTCGATTATACCCATCTTCTTCGGCGAATGTGGCCTCTGAGCGGTGCTCTGTGCGCCCTGTGGGATGGGCCTGACGCCAGGTGTCCAGCTTGATCTGGAGACGCGGTGGACAGCTCCCTTCTTATCCTGCTCTGTTGGAGCAAGCTCCTGTTGCTTGCGCTCGTCCACAGTCCCGGCTCGGTCCGTCCCTCGATCGAGATAACCCAGCAGCTGTGTAGTTGTGAAGCCATCATGCAGGATGCTCGCTCTAGTATCGAATTCGTCTTTTGGCAGCACTAGCCTTCCACCGCGGCTACCTCCCTGCCCTGGTTTCAGCCCCTCTATCTGCTTGTTCACTTCCTCCGGCCCCAAGATGTTGTTCTGCTCAGTGATAGCCCTTAGAATTTCGTCTTGACCGGGCTTCGTCCCTTTGTTTGGGTGGACTGGCCGATTATGACTGGATAGGTCTCCCGCTAGCCCTTTTTTCACGTCCACTTTGCTGGGCTTAGGTGGAGGCTTGATCCCCGCATCTTTGAGTATAATGACTTGGCTCGGTTCACCCAGGGAGTCGATTGGCAACGGCACGGTGCCCTCCCTCAATGGCGCTTCTTTCTTGCCGCGGATACGACCGAGTGGATAGCTGTATTTAGGCACTGTCGGCTTGCGCTTGATGTCATCGCGTTGGGGTCGCGGCCTCTGTGTTTCTCGAATGATTCGAAGTTGAGCGTTGCGGCTCGACGAGAACTGAGAGGCCTGTTGTATACTGAGAAATGGACGGTGGTGGGACTGGCGCGCAAGTCGAAGCTGAAGGCGGAGTCTGCATCGGAGGCATACAGGGGCGCTGCCAGATGGGCGCGCGAACATGAAGTCAATCGGGAATTAGAATTAGATATTACTTTCTTCAGATCTGTCCCATTCGCAGCTCAGAGCTCCATAGCGGAAGCTGTTCGGGGGAGACGCCGCAACTTTTCTGCCACCGCCCTGGGCATGGCCGAAGGTTTTCAGACACAGCTCCGCACTCCACCAGACCGTTATCCACGCCAGTAAAGCACACCACGCACAATGGCGCCCAAACGCAAGCGCGACGCCGACCTCCCTCCATCCTCCAGCTCTGCCATCCACCCCTCCCGCAAGAAGCTCCTGCCCGCCAGCCATTTCGCCTCCTCCTCACTCTCCGGCCCCAAGTCCAAGAAACCAAACCCCTTCCCCACAGCCCCCTCCCGCAAGAAAAAACACGCCATCGCGCCCCTCAAGCGCCGCGTGCGCGATCTCACACGCCAGCTGTCCCGGCTCGAGGACCTACCGGCCGATGTGCGCATCGCGAAGGAGCGCGAGCTTCAGGCTTGTGAGTGGGATCTTAGGGCTGAGGAGGCGGCGGTGAGGAGGAGAGAGATGATAGGGATGTATCATATGGTGCGGTTTTTCGGTGAGTAGTCTTTAGAGCTACAGTTGGCGGGACGATGAGGAGAGGGGAAGAGGGGAGAGGGGAGAAGGGAGAAGGAGGGTAGGATGAGGCATTAGTATTCTGGGGACTGGAATGGAACAGGGGGCTAACTGATTGACGGGTTAGAGAGGCAGAAAGCGACCAAACGGCTGAAGGCTGCCAGGAAGGCGCTTGCGAATGCGGAGAAGACGGACGGCGAAGGCAATGATGCGGCAGCCCTCGAACAAGCAGTTAGAGACGCCGAGGTTGACCTCAACTACACATTGTACTACCCACTCGCCGAGCCGTATATCTCGCTATGGCCCAAGGCGCCGAGACGAAAGACGAAAACGAAAGCGGCCGAAGTGGAGGAGGCTGAAGATGAGGAGGACGAAGTGAACGGCGCTGCTAAAGACCAGAGAGATTCGAGGGCAGAAGCTGAGCTGGAGAAGGGGCCGAGAGGAGACTTGGCCATGCGGGCTCTAGTCGAGAAGGCGATGCAGGAAGGGCCGGCGGCGCTGGAGGCACTTAAGAATGATCTGCCTTTACAGGGGACAGAGATAAGGCCAGCCGGTGCGAAACAGAGAACGCGGGCGCTAAAGATGCCAGCGGAGCGGATCGCAAAGAAGACGGAGAAAGTGCAAAGGAATGAGCAGGGCATGGGAAGCGAACAAGAGGAAGACGATGTAGTCATGGAGAGCAAGAAGAGGAGAAAACCTGACACAGACACTCTGAAGAAAGCGAAGATTCAGGGTGTCGAAGCAAAGAATCGGCGGGAGAGAAGAGCTGCAATGAGGCAGTTGGAGGAGGAAATCGCAAGGGAGGAAGAAGATAGTGATGGCGGGTTCTTTGAGTCGGGTCGATGAAGCAGTCCATTTGGCACCCGCACAAGCAAATCTCCGATTGGGGAATAGGTACAAGCGCTTGGTTTAGACATATCTACAAGCCGGCATGTGCCTCTAGACAGCTCAGAGCTACCACACTCTATCTCTACAGAGCTTTATACACGAGTAGGCAGGCCGCACGCCCCATAAGGCGAAGGGGCAGCGCTCCAGCACGGGTTGAGCAGTATTATCGATCGAAGCCAGCTAACTGCCCGCAGAGCACGAACAGCTGCTCATTCTCCTCACTTCTTCCCTCCCCCTCCACCATCACCGCCCCCACCCTCCAAAATCTCCTTGATACTAACCATGCCACTCCCCCTCGGCAGCGGCTTACTCTGATTCGGCCCCTCCTTCCAGCCAATCATATAGATCAGCCTAAACGTCGCCGGCAGTTCCTGTCTGCCCTCGGCATGCAACTCCCGATATATCGCCTCGGCCGCAACCAACACATCTCTTCTGATTGGCCCCTGTTCCCGCCCCAGCACCGCGTTGCTCTCCCCCATGGCCTGCAGATCCGCCATCAGCGCGAAGCTGGAGGGATACTCGACGATGATGTCGTCGACGTCGACGGTTAGGAGCTTGAAGCCTGCGCTCTGGAGCAGGCCGCCTACGTCGCGGACGTCTGCGAGGGGAGAGGTGCGCGTGCTGACGCCGCCGCGGAGGGAGAGTTCGGCGAGTTGCAGCGAGGTGCGCAGTTCGTAGAGGGAGTCTCCGCCCAGCATGACGCCGAGGAAGGGCGCGTCGGGTTTGAGGATGCTGTTGATTTGGGAAAGCACGGAGGGCAGGTCGTTGATCCAGTGCAGCGAGAGGCTGCTGATGACGGCGTCGAAGGTGTTGGCCGCGTAGGGGAGTTGCTCTTCTGTGGGGAGCACTTCGCGGACGATGGGGATGGCGCTGTTGAAGGGGAGGGAGGCGTCGCGGTGGAGGAGGGTGCGGGAGGATTCTGCGCAGGTGAGCTCGCCGATGCGGTTGGCGAGGGGGGCGGAGACGGGTTTCGAGGGGTCCGGGTCGGGGTTTGGGCGTGTGAGGGCGGCGGCGATGTTGCAGGCGTTGGCGCCTAGGTCGAGCACTTTCGGAAAGTGTCTGTTTATGTCCTGGGCTGGAGGCTTAGTTGGCGCTTGTTGTGTCGAAGTTGTTGCTCAACAGTATCGACTGGAGCTGGGGGAGCGTACCAGTAACCGCTCACACAGCCTTGAAGCTACTTCGTCTCTCAGGTAGTCGGCCTGCCGACTTACGTCTGCATTGGATGCTGCCCGCTCTTTCTGTAGCCATTTCTGAGAACGGCTGAAGACCTCGAGGGTGGGTGCTCCTGGCGCTTGTACAGCGTAGTGCCTTCGGTGTGCGCGGATGCCATGACGGATTGACGGCGGGGAGATGAAGGCTCGCGGTGAGAATGGCTTCATTGCTTCTATATGGCGGGTCTCATTGAAGAGCTGGAGATTTGGATGCAAGCTTCAGTCATACAAGCTTCCGCAGAGCTGGTCGTATGCCAGTTTGGAAGTTCTCCAGAGCTCTTGCATGAATGACGATCACGTCGGCAACAATTTCCCCGATGGCACGTCCTTGCTCAATCTCAGCCTTGCAACATGCCAGGAAGGTGCATTCATAAAGTAACTGCAAGGTTAAAACAAGCTGCTAATAGTTTGAACGATGCTAAAGAACGCTCCTCACTAGCTAGAAGCTTTGAGAACAAGTGATTTACTTTCAAAATGTTCAGAGATAGTTGGCCGCAGCATTACCTCCCTGATAACCACATTTGGGCAAGCGTGCCGGAAACTCTTAGGGTGAAGGAGGACTGTGTCACATTGTATACTCTAGCTAGAGGCAGCCATAATGGAAAACCTCCGATTCAGTCCAAGTCGAGCTGGTCGTGTAAGGCATGCTGCACTGAACAGCATGGATGGAGATCATCAAATCAGTGCACGACTCTAGTCTCCAGTGAAAACATGCGAAGCTATCTTTTCCCTACTATGGAGTGAATCTATTTTAAACGGCTACAACATGTTGACTACACATGCTAGATACCACAATGCCTACTACTGTAACACAAGACTTGCATCAAAGCCAATCTATTTACGAAGAAACGGACAAATCTAGTTTCCACCACTCACCAGTACTTGTCCTAATGCATCTCTCGCTCTGAATTGACCACTTCAGCGCCAGCACTCTGGTACACGACACACCCGGTGCACGACCGGAAAACACAAGGTTGCAGACGGCAATGCCGAACACGAAAGTCGATAGCGAAAGCAGAACCGGTCTAACAACTGACAGGACAGGAATAATAAACACCAACGCTTGAACGCAAAGATGTCGAAAGAATGGTCCAATAAAACACCCATACGCCATTCACCAACCTACTACGTCTTCGGGACCTCAGACGCCGTACTTGGTTTACACCCTTCCTATGCTTCCAAAGCATGAGCTGTGTAGCAGTAGCCCCGCCCGTGAATCCTCCCCAGCAACGCTGGCTAGCAGCTAACGACTCGTTCTACGTCTGCGCCGGGCACGACTCTCAAGCATCCACGAAGGATACCCAAAGGCGTCGACCACAGCCAACCTGAAAGGACCAGACGATCCGTAGCTCGGCTCAGCTCAGCTCATGCAAAGGTGAATTCGGTCGAAGGCAGCTCTAAGCCTCGCGCCCAGCCGCCGGATACGCTTCCCCTGCACCGCGCGTCAGCAAAGGCAGCCCAATGCGCGCTCCTTGGAGCTCTTCAGGCGGTCTCTGCCTCGTAGCCCTCCTCCACCTCACCCTCACGCCGCCCATAGGGATGGTCCATCCTCTTCTCCTCGACCAAGCGGCTCCAGTTCGCTTCCAGGATATCGACATTCTCGATCCCGAACCCGAAATCCATGACCAGACAGCGCCCGTCCTGGCTCGTGGCCACGATGCGTCTGTAATCGGCTTTGGCGCTGAGGATCCAGCTGGTCGTCCAGTTCTCGTAGTGCGCGACGCTGTGGCCCTCGCGGAACTTGTACACGCGGATGCTCTGGTCGTACGAGCCGGACAGGACGCGGTTGTTATGCACGTCCAAGAACAGCGAGCGCACCAGCCCCGTGTGGCCCCTGTACGTGTTGACGATCTCGCCTGAGTCCGCATCGAACTTGTAGACGACCATGTCATTGCCGCCCGCGAGGACGTATTTGGCGTCGTCGCTGAACTCGACGGCGGCGAGACCGCGGTCGTGGGACACGAGTTCGTGCAAGCTCACGAACTTCTTCATGCACCAGATGCGCGCCCTGCCGTCGCCGGAGGCCGAGACGAGCTTGTCGCCGCGGAGCTGGACGGCGTTGACGGGGCCTCTATGGCCTTCGAGCACCTTGACAAGGTCGCCGGTTTCGCGGCACCAGACGCAGATGGTCGAGTCCTTGGAGCAGGAGATGATGTATTTGGCGTCGAAGCAGACATCCAGGACGCCCGCTTTGTGCTTCTCGAGCCGGTGGATGGGCTCCCATGTCTTGATATCCCAGACGATGCACGAGGTGTCGCTGGATCCGGTAACGACGATCTCCTTGTCGAACTGCAGGCAGAGGATGGACTGGGTGTGGTAATAGGCAGGAATGTGGTAGATTGACTCGCCGTATTCGGTGCCGTTGACGGAAGGCCGGTTGCCGCGTGATAGGATGTGCTTGTTCGAGGGGTGGGTTTCAAGCGGCGTCGGAGTATTGGAAAGCGGCCTGGCACCGGGGCCGCCGATGACTTGGAGGCACTCGTAGGTGTGCAGGTCCCAGACACGGATCGTGCGATCCCGGGAGCCTGTGATGATCTTATCTTCGTCGAACTGGCAGCAGTAGACGCTGTCCGTATGGCCGTTGAGATATATGGCAACGGGGCTGCCGGCCAACCAGCGGCGCTCGATAGCCCGGCGGATTTGGTACATTTTCTTCCAGTCCTGGTACGCCCTCGCCTCGCCAAGACCAACGCCGCCCATGGTGAAAGAAGGGGGCGACATTGGTATCTTTGGCTGATAGTGAGCCACAAAAGCAGCACGCCATATCTGGCCATTGGTAGCTACATAATTCCACGCCTTGCTGACTCGTTCGGCGCGCACCAACAATGTCCGGTCGAAGTGGCTGAAAATCTGTGCTGCAATCTCCCAGGGAAGCACCCGAACGGGGTCTACTTTTGGCTCAGGCTCCTCAAGCTTCTTTACCGAGTCCTCTGTGTCGTATGTCGAGTCCAGGCAGATCGCGCTCTCCGAGTCGGTGATCATCGGGCGCTTCATGGACGTCTTGGTATCCTTCCTGTGGAGCATATTGGCGTTGTGCTGCGCGGCTGAGGCTCTGGCTGCAGCGCCTTTGGCGGGATCGTAAGATGACTTCAGCGGGTCCACAAAATGCGGCAAAGGAGGAGCTTCTAGGTTGAATCGAGCGAAATCCCCCCTGTTGCCGAATCCGGTGGTGGCAGCCGCGCGGCGCCTATATTCCCTCCTTGCCGCTTTCAGTTCCCACCACTGCATCAACTTTCTAGAGGATTTTGTGCCTGTTTGTGATGCCGGTCGTGGTCGACTGTTGTGAGCAGACGCTTGGCGAGTAGCGCTGGTGCCATCCATGACGTCCGCTGGAAGCCCGAACAACTTCTCTGATTCTGCAGGCTCTGGTTTTGGGCGGGGGTCGCGCGTGTCGTACTGACGTGTCGAAGAGCCCTCGGAGACACTGTTGAGCCGCCTGGCCTTGGGGCCATGTAGGCTGGACTTCATCGACGTCGACACTCGCCGAAACAGGCCTCTCGCGGAACGCGGCTTTTGAGTCGTCCCCGATACCGCGGATTGGTCCTCACTGGCATCGCCGCCCAGGCTGATGCCCTGTATCACCGCCACAATCTCGTCCTCCTCTGTGGGTGAAGCGGACGACTGCGAACTGCGTACAGGCTCTGGCGGTGTTGGGTGCGATTCACCGCTGTCCGCGCCGTCAACTGATTTCTTCCGTTTGAAGGATAGGATGGATGGTCGGCGCTCGACCATTGGGGTGGGTGGATCGTAGTCCACGCTGGACTAATGGGCGACTACGCCGCGACGCAAAGACCTTCGGAGCGTAGTGATAGGCGTGGTGATTCCGCCGGTGTGCTGAGGTACTGTCTGAGCGTTTTGGGAGTGGGCAGGAGGCGTTTGGTGGTAATTTCGGAAGGCAGCTCGTCGTAGGAGACAAAGAAAGTAAGCCGATGGCCTAAGCGCAATTTGAAAGCGAACAGGAATAGTAAAGACCGATGAGCTAGATGATGTTGCGAGTAAGCAGGACGACACGCTGGTGAATGAGCGACGTTGGTCTGAGGAACGTTGGTGGGCGTGGGTGGTGTTTAAGTAGTTGAAGCGGCGGAGTAAGATTAGTTAATGCAGGTTGAGACAGAGAGAGCGCTGTTCCCCAGGCAAAGAACGGAAGGACCAAGGACCAACACGAAAAAGAAGGATCTTGCCGGATCGCCACCAGTGTCCCGCTTGGCTTTTGCTGCTGCGGCCGCGGTTCAGGCCAGCCTCTGACCAAGGGACTGAACCCCATCGGAACCAAGAAGAGCACGTAGTCACGCGCTTGCACAAGACGACACATCTGCGCAATCTCTTATAATTGCATCGCAGACACTCGCTGTTGCGGTGCATCACGGGTTTCTTGCCGCCTCGCTGGACTGTCCGGCTTACATGAGCGCTGAACGTCTGCCCGCATCGGCTCCTCTAGAACACCAATACATCCACCTTCGATGAGACGAGTCGGATAGCCCTCCACCATGGCAGCAGAAAACTCCTCTTCTGTCGAGAGAATTACTAGTCTACCAGCCGTCTACAGCCTCTTCTTCCTCTGGATCGAGCCCATCTCGACGGTTCTTGGAGCCATCTACGCCCACTTCTTGCCTCAGCTCTACCTCGAGCTGACGCATGCTGCTTCGGCACCGAGCGCGGTATCCGGAGTGCCCGTGGGTACGAAGGTCGCGCTCACTCAACTCGGCAATCTGTACTTGGCCTTCGCCATCATCGAGGCACTGGTGCTGCGGAGCACGAACGACCTCGGAGTATGGCGCGTCCTGCTCTTGGGTCTCTTGATTGGCGATTTTGGCCATCTCTACAGCGTGTGGGAGCTCGGCTCGGAAGGTTACTGGAAATTCTGGGCGTGGAATTCCATCAATTGGGGTATAAATCAACCTTCCCATTGGGAGGCCTTCCACCCCGATTGCGCTGCTGATCGCTGTAATAGGTAACGTGGGCTTCGTGTACTGTGTCGTCTTGATAAGAATTGCATTCTTATGCGGAGTGGGTATCAAGTCAAGTCGAGATACTCAAGAGGTGATCAGAAAGAAAACGCGGTAGTTCTTATCCTGTCATCGCTATTCTGTCGAAGCGTACCAGGTAAAAGGCTTTGCTGAAACTTAACATTCAAAGCTCATCGAGCCTAAGGGCCAAGGTGGCCTTCACCCAATATCATTCTTGCTCTCATCGACGTTAAGTGCATTAATCAATCCACCTTACATTTGTAGACCGCTTCTAGTCTTCTACCCGATTCCAGGTACACTACGCTCCGCCTGAAAGGCGTGCAAATCGTTGCTTCTATAGCCTCACTTCAGAAACTACGCGTCTGAGTAACAAAGTAATGTTTCCAACGTAGGGTTTGATCAATCTGTGGCTGCAACTCTATAATTTCAGGACCATTCAGCCGGCTTACACAGTTCATAATGCTAAACAATAGACCTCACATACAGCTTAAGCAATTCCCGAAGCACCCGGATTCTTCCGATCCTCAGTTGAGCAGTAAATCTCGAACAACACGTGCTCTTGACTGCTGGCTGAACCGTGGCTACTTCTCCAGCAGCGTTTTGGAATACCTCATCTTCGCCTCCATCGGCAATCCCGAACATGTCAACCAGTGCGGGTTCCAACATTGGCGTTCCACGGTTCTCAAGCTCAACCTCGTAAGCTTGTCTCGGTCCGCCCCACATTTCCCCGCAGCTCACCTCTTGGGAGCACCGCGTTGTCAATATAAACTCAGACATCATCGCCAAGCCCTGTTTGTCACTTCCTTCTCGTCTGAACTTCCCTTCGTACACGTCGGAGTATCCCGCAAAAAAACTGTTGCTACACTCGGCCATTACAACTTCACATAGCATATCGATCGGGCGGTCTTTTCAGTAATGCCGAAGATGCGAGCAAGATCACATTGCCGGCTGCAGGGAAGACGCACCATCAACGGTGAGGGGCGCGATTAGATGTCAAGAACTTGCCGCTTCACAAAACCTACGTTTCTACGACAGCTACCGAACACCGTCTGAGCTGGACGAAGCCGTCTAGTGATAGGAGCCCACTTTGGTAAGCCTATCCACCGCGACGCCGTACGACGTAGCATAGTTGGCAACTACTTAACTAACACCTATACCAGCCAATGTCGCGGGGTAAAGAGTAATCTAGCGCTCACATGAGGGCTATTGGCGTGTCTTCCACTTTAGATCTCCGATCATGCGGAAACAGCAATGGAGATTCCTACACAAGAGTCATGACAATCGTCGCAAAATTCTCCCCAAAATAATAACGATTCCTCTCGTGGTTCGCCAGATATCCTATTGGCTCCTATGCATCCATTACACGCTCTGATGGCCTTAAGATTCACCAATGGCTGATACTCTTAGGGCCAGCGAGTAGTCCATCTGGCGTGCCGATGAAAGTGTTCGTGCTCTCGCCGAGAGCAGCTAAGGACTCATACCAGAGTCGTCACGATTGTCTCAGCATTTTCCCTCAAAAAGGCGCTAAACCTCTCACCAACGGACATGTATGCTATCCGCTCATATGCACCTATTACATGGCCCAACGGCTTCAAGATTATTTAATAAATCTCGAGCCATCCGTCTGCGGTTAAGTTGTTGTGTTCGCCGAGAAGCAGGCATCTGTATCCCTTAACGAACTCGTACGGCTCAGCGGCCAGCCCGTAATCCCAGCTGGTACGCTGTACGGTGATGCAGCAGATTTGGTTTCTAAACAAATCTCTTGCATCGTAGTGGCACGAGCCGAGACCATTCAGCTCGTTTCTGTCCTCCGGAGATTCGCCTAGGGGACGGACATTTAGCTCCAGAGGAGGGCAAGACCCCACACAGTTAGCGCCCCGTCTACTACTTTGCCTGTCAGGTCTGAGCGGGCACTTTCGGTCATCTTATCAGAGTTGAGTTCGACCATAGGTCCCAGGTCGCACTTCGCATCGAGAACCTCTAGCAACGGTTGACCGCCGCGCTCGAGCTCAACAGAGCCTCTGATAGCCGCCCAGCTCCACTATGGCGCGACATAGGTGGCAGGCCTCTTATCAGAGCCATAAGGTCTCCTCCATCCAAGGTCGTACGGTAGAGCAGCCCCTCCAAAGACCGGCAAGGTAAGTGTCATCCAGACCGAGCTGTCTTAACAAGTACTGAGCCCGCCTAGCAATCCCAGAAATGGCTGGCAACTTGTCGGTGCCAAATGGTAATTGGCGTCCAGTACAGGCTTTGAGGACACCATGCCAGGCCTCTTTGGATTTTCTCAAGGTCCCACTCGGTGTATAGGCTACCGAACGTTCGGTTGGAGGCAGGCACGGATGTCTCGGCCACAGCTGGCCCCCGACACTCGCACCGAGACGCCTCGTTGCACTCCCAGCTCATCTCTCCGTCCATTGAAGTGTAGTATTCGAGTGGACAGCATTCTCTCCTACAGCGTCCACCCCGACGTGCTAGCGGGTATCCGCCTAAATTCGAGTTACTGTAATATCTATCAGCAATCTCGAGCCCCGGTTTAAACAAGCGGGGGGTACTCCTGGCACTCAACAATGCACTGTCCCCACTAGGCCTGACACAGCTGATTGTCGCCGTCGGTTCCGCTAAGCCATGTTCCTGTAGAAACCCAGCGTGAACATTCGAGGCTGCATCCGCGGCTATCGTAAACAGCCTATTCCGACACACATCGCCCATCCTCGCTGACTCAGTCGCCCAGTCCCGGGGATCATCTTGAATGATTCACAGGCTATCGATCCAAAGCCATCGACACCCAATTCCGCGGACCACTTTCACCGCGTCTCGCAGACTCTCCGGCAACATCGACATTTGGATGCCAATCCTCATCTGCACGAGAGTCTCGCATGTCGTCTTGATCGTTTGGTCATAAACGGTTTACTGGAGCATCCAGGTCTGACACAACTTAGGATCGGGTGAGGCTGAAATGCAACGTCCACTTGCACCGTTAAAACGCTCCTGCATATAGAGAACTCTTCGTAGTTATAGCTCGTGGCGACGCGAGGTATCCAAATCTTTCCATGAATGCCTGCGAGAGGTGTTGTAGGCAGTCTGGGATGCTCATGTACAGCGAGGCTGATGTGGATGAGATGCGGCTGCGGCACGTGCCTGATGATCCCCAGGATCTTGCGGGCGTGGCTGGCGCTAAACCTTAGATCCCGTCTTTCCCGCCCGAACGCGTTCCAGGGTCTCCCAGTTTTGCGGACACCTCTGTAGCCGTCAAGCAACACCGGAGTCAACAATGGCACAGCAATTCCCATACACCTATTACGCCTGTTGCATCAACGCATCTTCATCAGCTTCACTAGTACAGAAACGCTCGTCCCACACAACGACAGCAGACGAAGAAGACGAGGACCGTACCTTCGACCCGCGCTCACCGCGCGCAAACTATTCCCTGTACCCGCTCGAGCATCTCCTCTACTGCGACGACTGCCAACAGATCCGCTGTCCGCGATGCTATACGGAGGAGATAGTGGCTTGGTACTGCCCGAGCTGTCTGTTTGATGTGCCAAATACTCAGGTCCGGACTGAAGGGAACAGGTAATTCAGGATGCCACCGGTCGCAAGAGCTGGGGACCAGTCGGTCACAGCTTTTGGGCAGGCAGAAAGGAGCTGATGCCAAGCTAGGTGCCAGAGGAATTGTTACAACTGTCCGATATGCACGTCGCCACTTCAAGTTAATCCATTGGAACACTCGAGCCACCTTGCGCCGGAGAGTTCAAACGGCGCGTCATACTTTCTGGGTTGTCCATACTGCAACTGGAGCTCCCTAGACATTGGAGTCGAGTTCGCGAAGCATACCGGTATCACAGCTCAGCTCGCGAAGCTCAAGACCGCCAGACAGAGCCAAGCAAAAAAAGAGCGAGAAGAACGAGCAGAGAACACGGACAGCAACGATAATAACGCCTTAAACGAACGTCCAACCCGCGACGACCTCTTCAGCAACCTCAAATCCTTCTACAAAGACGCTCTCTCCTCCGCCAACCCCGTCAACCCCCTCAGCTTCGATCCGACCCTCTACAACTCGCCCCCCTCCGTCACGCGCCTCATGAATCTCTACGCCCCTCCCAGCGTCAAACGCGCCAAAGCCGCCAAACCAACCCCCATGCGTGAAGCGCACAGCACCTCCGAAGGTCTGCTCCCCCTCTCGCCCGTCGACGAAGACATGAGCATCGCGCGCATGGCGCAGGCCGGGTGGGACAGCCTCAGCAGCACCGCTCAGCGCTCGCAGCAACAACATCCAACGACCAAGTTCGTGCAGGACCTCTGGCCCGCACAGACGCGCCTCCTCACACGCCGCGCAAAACGCTGCGCAACATGCCGGCACATCCTCACAAAGCCAGACTCCAAGATTAGCTCCACACGGTACCGGATCCGCATCCTCGCGCTCGACAAAGTACCGCGCCTCTCTATCCGCGCCCTATCCGCCCTACATACGCCGCACCCGTCCTTCCCTATCAGCGTCTCCAGCACCGCCGCCACCGCCCCGCGCTTCGAGTACGAGAACCTACGGCCGGGCGTAATGGTGCAGTTTCTATTGACGCTGCACAACCCGCTCTTCGAGCCGATAAGGGTGACGCTCGGCACCCCGGCCGTGACGCCGGGGAAGCTGGCGAGCAGGGTGACGGTGCTGTGTCCACAGTTCGAGGTCGGTGCCAACACCGACGTGTGGGACGAGGCGCTCAACTCCTCCACCACTCTCAGCAGCAAGGGCAAGATGCAGCCCGGCGACGGCCCTGTGCAGGCCGAAGCGGGAAAAGTGTGGGAACGCGGGCGGAACTGGACCAGTGTTGTGGTCGAGATCGTTCCCGGGTTCCCGGGCGGGGCGCCGACCGGAATCGTGCCGAGGACGGCTGAGGAGGAGGAGGAGCTTGATGAGGAGGATACGGTGGTCGAGGTCCCGGTGTTTGTTAGGTTTGAGTATGAGTATGAGCATCCTGATGCTGCTGTGTTTGAGAAGATGAGGGAGGAGGAAGGGGCGAGGGTGAAGGAGGTGCCGGAGATGGGGAGGCAGACGAGGGAGGTGGCGTTTTGGACTGTGTTGGGGGTAGGGAGGGTGGCTGGTAGGTGAGATGGGGATGCGGGAAAGGGATGGGGATGCGGGATGGGGAGAGACGGACTTTGGGATGTAGGCTTGAACGAAAGGCGGCATTGCGAGGATGTGATCGGCGTTTGTGGCGCTAAGAACTAAAGGCATTAATCAGGGTTTAGGACAGTGAGTTAGGATTCACGCATCGCCAGTGACCGATGATAGCGTGACACCAACTTGGCAAAGCACATCGGTGGTATGAAGTGCCTTAGTTCTTGCTCTAGTATTGTTGATCCAGTCTTGGGCAAAGGGGAACAAGAAGCAGCCTTTAGCTAAATATGTTATCAAAACGCACACCTCCAAGCACAATGTGTAAATTCCAGAAGCATTAAATAGAAAACATTGAATGGAGATGTCCCGTCGAAAGAGTTGTCCTGCCAGCGAGCAGAGTGGCAACATTGACAGCGGCTATAAACCGATGAAAGAACTTCATACGGCAACTGGCTCGGTCGTCCCATCTGGGAACCACTTCTTGGCCGCCCTCTATAAAGCTGTCAGTAAGCTGAACTGCGGGGATTGCATAGCCGATCTGAAGGAGTACGAGATCTCAATATTTTGCTGGTGAAAGAATGGGCAGTGCTGGACAGTTATGTGACACATCTTGAAGTAGCGCAAGACAGTGTAGAGGTGTTGAGCGTGTGAAGCGGTACGAATGTGACTTGCCTTATCAACTCCATGCATCTCCCCGAAGAAGCAGACACCGTAAGTGCAGCTTGGGTCGTACGGGCACACATGACCCCAGTAGCATTCAGTGTCTCGGCCTGCACTCAAGTCAGTACTTCACAGGTTAGGGTCACCAAAGGTGGAGTAGAAAGGACTGACACTCGTCATAGGAAGAGCACAACTTGTTCCTGGCTTTGTGCCTCAACGCGAGTTGCTCCATCGCCGTGAGCTTCGGCTCGTGTGAGAAAGGGCAGTGCTGCGTGCGGCACACGCCCAGGAGATGGAAGTCATTACAGACTTTGCCTCTGTTCGTTATACGATCGTGAAGGTTGTCCATGGCCGGTTTGTCTGGTCTGGGCAGCCTTTCGTCAAGCCGCTGGTCATCAGCGTTGAGCAGCACGTATTTGCGTAGTGCGGCCTTCCTAGGTGCTATACAGATATTCTTTTCTACGGTTCCGCTCTTGCCGACGGTCGCCCACGATGGACCAGTAGCCGAAGTGACTGACGGAGTCGGAGTCGGAGTCGGGCTCGTGGAAACTGGCGGAGGCTGCGTCTTCGAGCGTTGGGGCATAGTCATGGTGGTTGGCGGCGAACTAGACGGCTGAGATACGGCTGGGCCGGGTGTTGTAGACTGAGTATTTGACGAAACACTCGATCTTTGAGTGACTGCATCAATGTGCTGTTGGATTGCGGCTTGAGGCATGAAAGGAGCCGCGTGCGGAGACACAATTGGCCTTTCTGGAAGCGGATCGGTCCTAAACACAGAGTCGAAACGCGTCGTCTTCAGATTAAGCGCAACAAATCCTGGTTGAGCTGGGGTTGTCTCTAGAAGGCTAATACGGCTTGCACTAGCGGCATCGTGCTTGTATGGATCAAGACTGGGCAAGTAGCCATTGTCATGACATCCGCCAAATATGATGTGTTTACACTGGTGATTGCCAACGAACAGACGGAACATTTCTGCATCGAACCACAGTCAGCTCCTGTGCAGTAGAACTTTTGCGGTACATTTGGTCAGAAGAGGCATGACTGCCTGTGGCCTCTTTGATCACCTTCCTGCTCGAGCGTGCCGTCGGGACTGGGCCAGATCTGTTGGCTCAACTCCGCCCAGTGACTGCCCTTATCAGGCATTGCGCCCTGCCCAAAGCGCAGGGCATGTGCTTTTGATGTGCTACCAGTGCAGACCGGATTGCGATTGCGGTTTCGGGCGGTGCGAAGTTGCGATACTATAACAGCAAAGTCAAAGCAACTTACCTCTGATTTTATGATCCGCTCTTTCCTTACCACTTCCTACGTCGACGAAGCTGAACAACGGCTGATTAAGGCTGAAAGAGCGAGAGAATTCGTGAAGATCCGTCACGCTCTTGATAATGCCTACTGAATATAGCTTTCTCGCCAGGCCGTCAAGATTAGAGTAGACTTGGACCATTACCGACCAATGGCCTGCTCCCTCATGGCGCTCTTGCAAGTGGTTTCGGATTTCTGTAATCAGCTTGTGAGCGGCATCGGAGCCTCCCTCACGGCCGGCTGCCAGGATAGCATCGTGAAACTGCAGCAATTGTCAGCTACAGGCGTTTGATCATCCCCGTACTGCATGAAAGGTTTTCCCCCATGACTATTCAGTGAAAGATGCCTGAGAATCTCGGAAACCCTCTCTCCTACGAGGCTTAAAGAGTTCCGTATTGCTGACATGCGGAGCTCTATAGTATACTAAAGCCGGCAGCGTTCGGGTTACGACGTATCTTCCAAAATGAAATCTCGTGGAAAGAAGAGAACAACATGTATTCCAAAAGCGTGCAGTGTGTCGCGCGGTCCCAACTTCTACTAATGAACGGGAAGGATGACTTACCATAGCGCCATCTCCATCGATAAGGACTAGAGCGAAAGGATTACTCTGCATGCTCTGCTGCGCCAGGACAAGAGACCGGGAGGCATTTTGGCATTCGTTCTGGAAATGACGCCGGACTTGCTGTTCGCTCGCCAGATCGTTGCATTTTTCTTGATACAATCCTTCAAGCTCGGTGAGGCGTTGGAAAAGGTTCTACGGATACTTAGCATGTAGGACAGCAGCGAGTAGCAGCAACGTCTGTCATCAAGTACAAGCGCGACGTTTGTACGGCAACCGCATAAGCACGGCGAGCGCCTCTTCTCCCATGAATTGACGGACCGCACGTTCGACAGCGTGGGAAAAGAACCATGGTGTCCCAGGAGAGGACATCGAGAAGCTTACATGGAATAACGCATCCCGCTCCTGATCAGACCTCCGAAAAGCCTCGAGACGGGATTCTAAGGTGTGCTGTCCGTTGTCGCCGTTCATCACAGCCATCGTGAATTACTGTCTGCGTGGGACAGGTCAGTGTCAGGTAGAGATACAAGAAACCAGCAATGGCCTGTACGTCGTTCGACCGACTAGGAGATGAAGTTTTGGACGGACAAACAAACTCAAACAAAGCTGTCCGACAACCCCGGAGCTTTTGCTATCCTCCGTGACGCTGAAAACTGCAAGCAGCAAAGGCGATAGCGAAATCCACGATGGCGAACAGCTAGGCCAACCAGGCACAGGCTACGTACCTAGCTCTGCTTTCCAGAGGAGTTTCCTGAATGACGAAGCGTGATGAAAGAAACCTGGCGGGCCGTCTCACGCGAGCTCAGTTCTTTGTTCTTGGTGGCCTGCGCACTAGTGCGACCGTCCGAGATTTAAGCGCCTGCAAGCGGCTAGACGCGTCCATCTTTCCAACCGCGCTCTCGCCATGTCACGTGCGTGCGGATGCAGTCAACATGATGTCAAGTGGGGACTTGAGGAGAACGGAGTCTGGATGCCAGAACCCCTCTGCCGACTTCAATACACTGAGGCTCGGCTTGGGGATACTCTGTACATGCAACTACTGTCAAAGAAAACATACCCAATCCGTCTAATCACCCAGCGGACGATCTCCGTAAGTATCAAACTTCATACCTCGACCACCTCTCACAACAGATACTCAACACTATATCATCCCTTCCAGCGGATATCCGCAAAACAACCCCCCCTCCATTTCCGCTATTCAAACCCCGATCTGCCAAACATGACCGCCCCCTCCCCCAAACGCCCCCGCACCCACCCCGCCTACACCCTCCTCTACCACCCCTCCGTCCCCGGCCGCGGCGAATACATCCGGCTGGCCTTTGAAGCCTCCGGCGTCTCCTACAGCGACCCCGCCAAGGAGGGCACAGACGGCTACGACGAGGTGCTCGCCGTCTGCGACCCGTCCAGCACCGGCGACGAGGACGGAAATCCGCCTGTCTTCGCCCCGCCGGCTTTGCGTGTGCCAGGGGCCGGGAAGGACGGCAAGGCGCTGGTGATACACCAGACGCCGAACATACTGCTGTATTTGGGGCCAAGGTTGGGGCTCGCAGGGGCGGATGAGGCGGAGGGCTTTTGGGTCAATCAGTTGGCGCTTACAGCGCTGGACGTTAATAATGAGGCGCATGATACGCACCACCCCGTTGCGGTCGGGGACTACTACGAGGCGCAGAAGGAGGAGTCCCTCCGCAAAGCGAAGGACTTCCGCGAAAACCGCCTCCCGAAGTTCTTCAGCTACTTCGAGCGCGTGCTCAAGCATAACGAGAGCGCTGGGGAGGGCAAGTACATGGTCGGCGACAAGCTGACATATGCCGACCTGACGTTCTGGCAGGTTGTGGATGGGCTGCACTTTGCGTTTCCGAACGAGATGATGGCCCGAGCGAGCGAGTTCCCGTTCATATTCGAGAATTTCTATCCGGCCATCAAGGAGGAGAAGGGCATCAAGGCGTACTTGGGCAGTGATAGGCGGCTGGAGTACTCGATGGGTCTTTACCGCCACTACCCAGAGTTGGACCGTCAGTAGAGGACCGGCGCTGACAAGGGGAGTTACGGAAGAGCATAGCGGCATGCTTGAAGCTGGCCACGAGAAGCAGTGCTCGTCCCAACTGGCTGGAATAGCCACGAGGCCGATGGGCTAAGGGCTGAGAAAAGATAAAAGTCTACAAGTGTCGCTTATGAGGAACATCAAGCAAACCATTTAGAAAAGGTTGCTCTTGCTCGGGAGAATCTGGGATGGTAGATGCTACAAAGAAGTCTTTTCCGCGCCACGCTATTGCCCCCTTCGCACTTAGTGAATCGACCCCCTACCGCGTCTAATAATCAGCCACACTGCTCTGCGGGAACTCAAAGTTCACTCCCTTGCCCGTCAGGCGCTTGTACACCTCCGAATAGGTATCCAGCCTATAGTCGACACCACCCCTCTCCTTCTCGTCGAGAACAATCTTCAGCACCTTGCTGCCATCCTCACGCGTCCGCATGCGCTTGCCAACAATCTCAACCGGGTAGACCAAGTCGTGGAGAATGGCGTCGTGGACAGCGGTGAGCGTCCGGGAGCGCGGGCGCTTCTGGGTCTGGGAGGTGCGCGAGCGGTTCGAGCGCTTGGGGCGGGGCAGGATGCGGCGAGATGCGATGATCAGGACGTGGCGGTCGGAGAACTTCTTTTCGAGTTCGCGGGTGAGGCTGAGGAATTAGATGTTGGGTTCATTGGAAGAAGGGCGAGGTACTTACCGCTGCTGGGACTTGTGCCAGCCTTGAAGAAGAGGAACAGGGACAAAGATCACAATTGCCTTCCTGCCGTGGCCGACCTCGATCTAAGAATCCTGGTGTCAGCAATCTGATGCTGCCCAGTGCCCACCGCCTCTTCGGTCGTCCAGAGTCTTGTGTGCAGGAATCGGCCGTTGAAGCGTCGAGGGATTCCGCGGTTGAAGGTGGTTTCAGCGTGTAGACGCATTGTGTCTTACCTCGCGAGCAGACACGAATTGCAGAGGCCTCAAAGAGGCCCGCATGTCTGGGATGTTGGTCTCGAGGTCGTAGAGAGCATTGGCGATGCTGGTCTCGATTTCGGACGGGTTTTGCCTCGACGGGCTGTTGGGCGCAATCTTGTTGAGAGCGGCCTGCGACATGACTGCTGTCGAAAGGATTGTCGAGCGGATGAAGCTGGGTGTTGTCGCGGTTGGTAATTTGAAAGCGGTTTGGTGGTCGAATTGTGCGGTGTGCATTGATCTTGGAGCTAGTCCCGAAACAGAACTCTTAGCGAGACCCTTCAGATCTCACCGCTCCGCCGCCAAGAAAATCCAGATATCACAACTGGAATATCTCAGCATGAGTGCATCACTTATAATTTGATTCATTCATATAAGCTTACGTACTAGAATTTAAATTAGAAAATAAAATTCGTGTTTCCAATCCTGAATTCCGAGAATTTCATCTCTTAGAAATAATCGTAAAGTGTGCAAGAAAAGAGTCCTCGCAATGTATAGACTGGAACGGCTAAAAGAGGTTCTAGCCGGAATTGCAGAGGCAAAATCCCTAGTTCTGATTACTCCGACGTTATCCTCCGATTTCAATAGGCAGCCTTTTACAGATGGCTCGCTCTGGAAAATTTCACGCAGATTTAGTCGTTAGGGACATAGTGTAGACTCTGGTAATACTCGTCGCGATTGCAGAGACAAATTCTCCCATCGGCTTGATTATGCATGTTTGTCGCACTGGTGTAGCTACGAAAGTACTCAATCGTAAACCCATGAAGTCTCTCGTCAACACGGGCGCCGGCAGAACGCTAGTCTAAGTCTGTTTCACATCACTATTCACGACAACCGTTATTGATCTTTTTTTGGGAATAGTTCTTGAGATATCGTTGCAGACCCCTTTTGAGATTCTACTGTGGGCAACTACCAGACCCCTAAAACCGGTAATCTGGCACGTTGGCTAATACTACACTCAGTGGGAGATAGCACTTTTTGCTGTCACCCACATGCTCTCTGCACTGGTCAAGATTCTACCGACACTGTTTACAATCCCTGCCTTGGTGAACCACTTTCTCCCCTCCCGCCTGATCAGCTGAGATCGAACGTAAACGTTACTCGGAGTGACCACAGGAGCAGAATAGGATGTTGTCGTATTCACGGTGAAATGGGTGTCTCTCGGTCCCGGTTTGCAGATATTATTCTGATGCAGCAGGATCAAGAGCCTCGTGATTTCATCGAAGATAACGCATTGAAAGCCTCCGTGAACAATTGAAGGATGTGCTTCTAGGCCGCGGCTAGGTGACATCAAACAAATAACCTCAGGTGGGGTAGTAAGCTCCACTGGAGCGAGTGTCGCCGGCTGGTCTTTGGGGAGTGAAATAGATTCAGGCGTCTTGAAGCCTTTCAGTCGGAGTGGCAGAACGTGAGGTATAGCTGTGTTGGTGTTTACGGTTCGTGCAAAGAAACGGGTTTCCCCAGTGCGTTCGTTGAAATTACGTGAGAAAAATGGTATGATCTCGTAAGCATCGTTCTCTAGAGTTTTACGAGTCCAATTCACAGAGGAGAAATAATTCACTGTGCTTCGAGAAGGTTTGTGCCCTTGAATGAAACTAAGAAATTCGACTGCTCTTCCACACTATTTAGAATCGTGGAGGTGGAGAAGTGGCAACGGCTCGTTGAGATCCTCTGTGCGAATGGGATCCGGGTGCCAAAGGTGAAAAGGTACCGAGGCATCGTCTATTGGTGGCTGGAACCGGGAAGCGTAGCTATTGGGATATTTCCAATGTTATGAAATTGGTACAGAGAGAAGAGTTCGACCTGAAGCAAGCTTATAGTTCGGAGAAGCATGGAGCCTCGGCGCAGTTTAGTATCTCGTAGTTTGAGGCGATGTCTGCAAATATTTAAGCCAGGGCCCCAAGGAGGCGCTATGGGCTCTAGGCCTGAGAGCGAATGATGAAAAAGATGGCTAGGCAAAAACGGGGGCTCTCTAGGCTAGGATGCCAATGGGGCCTTTGACCTCCACACAACACCGACTCCGCCCGAACTCCGATCTTTCAGACCTCGGCTCACTTGACACGTTCAAAAGAGGACATCAAGACGCCTTCATCGTGGACTGCAGCTGCCTTCTCTCAGGTCTTCACTCGTGATTAAACCATCGAAACAATGGCAGCAAAGAAGTTTCAGTATCCCATCGTAGACGTCTGGGCCAACCCTCCTGGAGTAAGTAGTACTCTACCGCGTTCGACTCATGCGTTCTAACACGTCACATAGTTGGGTGCAGCCATTCCAGAAGTTGCCCGGCTTTTTGCATATAGCCATTCGGACCCTGAAATTGCTAACAAGAAGCGTTCACCCAAGGATGTGATTGCGTGGATGGACGAGGCGGGGATCTCGCACATCTGTCTTTCTGCCTGGAGCCGCCCAGGGAAAATGATCTTTTCGAATGCTGAGGTCACCGAGTATACTCGTGCTCATCCGGATCGAATCTTCGGCCTGGCTGCCGTTGATCTTCATGACCCAGTGAACGCGGTCAAAGAGCTGGAGCACTACGTTAAGGTCGAAGGCTTCGTGGGTTTGAGGGTGGTTCCTTGGTTATGGAACCTTCCTCCCACCGACCCTCATTATTGGCCTCTTTTCGTAAAGTGCATCGAGCTCGACATTCCTTTCCTGACACAAGTGGGCCACACCGCACCTGCCTGCCCGAGTGAGGTTGGCCGACCGATTCCATACATCGACACAATCGCACTCAAATTCCCCGACCTAAAGATCATCATGGGTCACATCGGATATCCTTGGGCGGCGGAGACCGTGGCAGTGGCATGGAAGCATAAGAACGTGTATATCGACACTAGCGCATGGTCGCCAAAGTATTATGCGCCAGAACTCATCAAGTTTGCCAACACGACGGGCAGGGAGAAGGTCATGTTCGGAACGAATTTCCCGCAGCTTGGATGGAAGGCATGCGTCGATAACGTCGATGAATATCTCGTCAACACTAAAGACGGTTTCAGAGAAAAGGTCGTGAAAGATTTCATGGGTGGAAATGCCCTTCGGGTGATGAAACTACCTCCTGTCAACTTGGGAAAACTCAAGTCTAACCTTTAAGATTGTCACGTCACAGTTACAGATAAATGATTGCATGTATATATTCTTGGCTTGGATCTCTAGAAACTTTGACCGCTGCCTCGACGTCTTGAAACAGGTGCACGATGAGATCCGTTGATGTCTGAGGAATTTGTACCTCACACTGACGCGGAGTGCTACTCTTAGCCTTCTTCTTGGGGCTTTCATTCTCGCCATCCGTATCCTCGTCTTCTTCATTCTTGCTAACGCTAATGCGCTTCTCAGGAGTCGTTAGCGTAACAGGAGTGGAAGGCTTCTGCCGAGTCTCCTCGATTCAGATATCACCAGCGGCAGGGCTTCCGAGAGAGGTATAAATGTAACTGTTAGATATTCGAAGCCTCTGTGGGGATTGTTCGGTGTTGAAGGAGCATTGAGGCTATCAAAGGGATTAGAGTGGGCGTCCGATATGCTGCTGCGTCGCGGACGTGGAAAAGATGGAATGTCAGTTTGTAGGAGATAATTTGATTGTCATCGGGTGGCCAATACTGCGATTGAGGACGGGAAACAAATTGCGGCCATGGCGAAGGTTATAGAGGGAGACTAAGGCTCGCGTGATTATTCCATATATCATGGAAGCCATTCGGAGGACGGATGCAAACGCTTGCTACATGGATGATCGCGCGCTGCCGCGACCGTCGTGCTGGGCGTCATAACAGGCCGAATTATAATACTGCGGAGGTTCTACACTGCTACTTCTATTATATATACAGCTTGTTTCGTAGATAAATATATGTTTCATAAGACATCCTTTTCAGATCCTCCGGATCGTTACTTGACAGAGTGTTGTTAACTCTGATATTAAGTCAGAGTCGATATATATAGACCTTTGAGCACCCTTTAGTGATTTCCTACGACTTGGAGATTGAGCTTATGCGTTCGGAGCTGCTTAACATTATGCTAGTCGTACAGGAGGACTCGACCGCAAATGCTCCAAAGGCCCTCGCGCTGCGCATAACAATGACACCCTAATTGACTTCTATAGACGTCTGATAAATTGCGACCTACGCTGAGACAATTCTCATCCGTTTTGGATATGTTGTTCTCTTGATTCTATTAGGTTGAGCACGTGGGACAGCAGCTGCTAAAATGGAATGTGGGATCTTCTTTGAAGGGCAACAGTCTCGTCAACTGGTGCGAGAGCATGATGTCAGGACGCTAAAGAACCCTGGCAGACACTGAGATGTATTCTTCAGCACGCTCGAATGAGACGGTACCGCCTTTTAGACCGCTTTTGCACTGCCCCGCCGTTGTATGTGGTTCGCGTAACATTAGCGAGGCCAGGCTGATCACACATCGCAACGCTTCCGTTGTGGGATGCTCGAGGGATTTATCAGTGAGGAGCACAATCGGCCTGGGGCCTGACGACGGCAAAGACGGCCGGTGTGAGATGGCGGACCACCGAAAGATAACTCTGACATACGGTTTGGTTGGATGCAAGCTTGAGGGGAGAATGTGGAGATGTGAAGGGATTGTACAAAGAAAGACGGAGTCTCCATCGAAGGCCACCTACCTGTCAGTATCACTTAGATGGCGCAACTCCCGGGCCCTAGAATGCACTGCCACGATTCCCATACTTTCGAACATTTGATTCGAGGAGGCGTGTTACCGCTTACCTCGGAGTCTTAGAGGATGGTGTCCTCGAGGCCTCGTCAGACAAGCCTTTCTAAGCACCCTTGAGATCGCCGTGGGGGCAATTCCTTTTGCGGCTTAGAAGTTTCTCAAAGCCCCACCAGTCCAGAGTTGTGGGGATGAGCCATTTGCCTGGTCACAGAGCAGATGCTGTTGCTTTTAGGTATGGTCAGAGAGTATCTCGTGTGCGACCCGAGGAGCTACCGCGTACTACTAGGACGCTTATCTGAGGCGATCTGTTAGTGTATTACGAAAGATCTGAGGCGGCGTGGATGGAGACGCTGTATTACTCAAGATGCGAAGCATCTCTGCAGCGCCTTCCTCGACTACAAGGCACTGCACGCATCTGACTTGAGAGTACGTCAGCCGTCAGCGAGAGGCTCGTCTTGAAACACGGCTCTCGGAACTCGTCCGTCACTGTCGCGGGCCCTACATTGAACGCGTAGACATGTCCGGCGTCGTCGCACTCCGACCACCGAACTGGGACTTGACATCTACCTTTAGACACAGCCTTGTGTACGGAAAGGATCGCAGCAAGGATCTCCTAGCCCTTGCTGACGCGCAATCTTCGGCATTGTCTGATTCGCTGGTCCAGTTCAGCACAACCTCGCGACGCAGCATGGGAACATCCGACATGGCTCCAGCCCGCGACGAGCATCCGCAACAAGCAGCGGATTCGACCGCACTCTGGACACACTGCCAGCGCTCGTCCTAGCCGCGTGGCAGCATCTTGATCTCCACTGACAGCCAGCCTTCGCAGCCGCCCCTTTGCCTATCTCGACCTCGCGGCCGCCACGGCTCCCCGCTTCGGACTAGCCCTCGTCCCTGATGTGCCTAGAGCTGATCAAACATGCTGGATCTTATCCGTCGGGTGAGACGGACAAAAGCCTCTTTTGCCGGCCATCTAATTATGTGTGCACCAACATGTCATTGACTGCCGTAGCTTACAGCCCGAGTCACTTAGGCCTAGGTTTCGCACTGTGCTCAGCTAGCGGTACGAATAAAGCGCAGCTGCCAAGAGGACTCCATTCCCCAGCCGCGGTGTTCTGAGGTGTTTGTTAAATCTATCTTGATTGCCGCGTACTCTACCCTCCCTCTGGTCGTATCCTCTCCGAACAACCCTATTCCAGTTCTCCACTCAATTCGCTGTTGAGCATAACCGTCAAGCATGAGAGCTCAAGCAGCAGCCCTTCTGGGCTTCGGTATGTTGAGATGACCAGACCTGCCCTCCCATACCACTTACTGACGCGAGCTTCAGCTTCGGCGGCCTACGCGCAAGTCGCAACCACATGCCCTCAGGACGGTGTCTGCTTCGGCCTGAACATTCCAGAGAACACTGCATCCTCGGGCAGTGGCGATATCTTCTTCCAGATCAGCGCCCCAACTACATACTCATGGGTCGCTCTGGGCCAGGGAAGTGGAATGTCCGGCTCGAACATCTTCGTTATCTACACGTCCGCCAGCGGCAACAACGTTACGCTATCGCCGCGCCTTGGACAGGGTTACCGCATGCCCAACTACAATTCGGCAGCTCAAGTCACACTGTTAGAGGGCAGCGGCGTGACGGACGGCGTTATGACTGCGAATGTCAAATGTAAGTGAGAAAACCTCGTCTCGCGCAACCCAGTGTTGACCAGGTTTCAGGTTCGAACTGCAACAGTTGGAATGGGGGTGATATGGACTTCACGTCCAGTTCCGGGGGTTGGATTTGGGCAAACCAGCAAGGAAGCCCTCTGAATTCGGACGACACATCGGAGAGCATTGTGCAACATAGGAGCCAAGGTGGATTCGCGTTCGACTTCTCCACGGCCAAAGGCGGGAACGGCGTCAACCCTTTCGCCAACTCCGGCGTTACGGTTGCTTCGGCGTCTGCTGGCTCGACCGCTAGCTGTACCCCGAGGCCTAGGACTTCTAGTGCTACACAGACTACCGGCCCGTCCGCAGTAACGGCAGCATCGACCGCTTGGCCCAGCGCATTTCCGAGCGAGTGGGCTGGAAGCTGGACAAGCAACATCCCGAGCAGCTGGCGCACAGCTTGGCCCACCGCTGCGCCGTCAGGATGGACCAGTCAGTACTATGCAGTTCTTCTTCATAATCAGCTCACTAATACGCTATGGGTAGAACGCGACACAGACGATGAGGAGGAGGAGGGCAACTACTGCGACGATGACAGTACCTCTACTACTACCACCACCACAAATTCCGGCGCGAACAGCGGCAACAGCAACGACGCGTTTTCGTTCCAGAGCGGAGAGATGCAACGCCGACGCAACATGCTGATCGCCCACGGCGTGCTTGCGAGTCTTGCTTTTGTCATCTTCTTCCCTGCCGGCGCCATCAGCATCCGCGTCTTCAGTTTCCCCGGCCTCGTCTGGTTCCACGCTGCCATGCAGGCGTTTGCGTACCTTGTCTACATTGTAGCTTTTGGCTTGGGAGTCTACATTGCTACGACCATGAGGCTGGTAAGAGGAAAATTCCACCATATTCAATGAAGTGTCCGCTAATCAAAGGCATAGATCGATGCATACCACCCAGTCATCGGTATCGTCCTCTTCATTTTTCTGTTCTTCCAACCCATCCTAGGCCTACTCCACCACGCCATGTTTAAGAAATATAAGCGCCGCACGTTCTGGTCTTACGCCCACCTGTGGCTCGGCCGCATCATCATCACCCTCGGCATCATCAACGGAGGTCTCGGTCTTCTGCTGGCGAACAACTCCCCATCTGGGGCTATCGCCTATGGAGTCATTGCCGCCATTGTCTGGCTTGTCTATGTCGCCGCTGCTGTGTATGGTGAGATGAAGAAAGCCCGGAGCGCGCCGCCGAAGTATTCGGAGAGGATGGGCTCGGATGAGGGCAGTCCGATGCGGGATATGAGCGGGCAGCCGAGAGAGTACTACGGGACGCCGAAGTAGACTTCGATTTTGGTGTTGGGAGGGCCATTCTGGGGGATCTAGTTCGATATTTGTGATACCACCGGGAGTAGAACGGAGGATTGAAGGCCAATATGGGGTCAATGATTATGAACTGCATTGTGCACAAGTTGTGCTGATCATAGAGATACTTCGTCGATTGACCGTAACGAATGTGAATTGCTACGCTCAACTCGCCTTGTTCGCTGCTGCTTTTCTAGTCGCCTTGATTTCGACCGTATCCACGATCGATTTGGACTCATAATTGTAACAAGGTCAACCAACGACACGGTTTCATGCCACAGCAAGCATAAGATATTCAGCAGTTTGATCCGTTGGGGCATCTCTCACCTAGGGTATCTACAGTCCATGAGCTACGTCCAGATTATCCAACTTGATATCCAGGAGTAGCTTTCAGAGCGGCAATGTATACTTACGATCACCTTTGCACGTGCGGATGGATGCATGGCGTTTTGATAATGAGGGAGGACCCCTGGGTATGTAGCGGGGCAGTGGTCTTGGCGTGATCGCCCTGACAGCCCGTCACCCACAATCTCATGCCAAGAGCGAACCACTGATCTTTCGAGGCAACAACTTGAGACGACATCCAGACAACCACCACAACAATACATAAATCCGCGTCCTGACCACAGAAAAGAATACATCGCCTACCGTCTCCCCTCCACGTGCACGCGCACAAGATACCGTTCCGCTCCAGTCTCGTCGTCAAGATATCTTTATCCCAAGATGGGCGAATCAAGGTAAACACAGACAACTGGCACCGTTTCCTCCCGCCTTCTGGCGCCGGAGAGCAGCTAGAGTGGAATGTCTGCTAACATTGGATGATGTCAGGCAAGAACTGCTGGCATGGCTGAACAACCTTCTACAACTCAACGTTACGAAAGTTGAACAGTGCGGCACCGGGTACGCGCATTCTACTCCCCGTACCTCATACATGGTTCGCCGCGCCGACGGTTCTACGCTATATCGTGGCATACGGAGACGGTTGTGGGCCTGGGCTTACGAAATTTGATACAGGGCGGCATTATGTCAGATTTTCGACAGCATCTTTCGTGAGTGCCGTCCAGCTCCAATCCGGCTTGGCCATGTAGCGCTGACAGCACTTCCAGTCGACGTCCCCATGTCGCGAGTCAAGTTCAACGTCAACACCGAATACGCCTACCTCCAGAACTTCAAGATCCTCCAAAGTAATTCTCCCCCCCTCCCAACGTACCTCTCGACGCACACGAGACACCTGCTAACCAGCGCACCCTCACCGTAGCGACTTTCACGAAGCACCAAATCGACCGCTCCGTCCCCGTCGAAGCCCTCATAAAATGCAAAATGCAAGACAACCTCGAGTTCCTCCAGTTCACCAAGCGCTACTGGGACCAGTACTTCCCCGGCGGGGACTATGACGCTCTAGCCCGGCGAAAAGCTTCCGGAGGCGCACCCGCACCCGCACCCGCCAGCGCGCCTACACCTCGCGCCGCAGCTCCAGCAGCACGACGGAGCGTCCCCGCCAGCAACACCGCGGCCCCGCGAACACGCACACCGCAAGCCGCCCCCGCGACGGCGGCGCTGAAGCAGGAGGTCACGACGCTGAAGGAGATGGTGGTGGGGCTAGAGCGGGAGCGGGACTTCTACTTCGCGAAGCTGAGGGATATTGAGGTCTTGATCCAAGGCGCGCTGGATGCGGAGGAGGAGTATGACAAGAAGGCTGTGGATCTGTTCAAGTCGATACAGGCGATTCTGTACTCGACCGAGGTGAGTGACCCTGTCCAGACTCTTTTGACGGTGTGGGGGGAGGTTGGCGATGGGAGCTGACAATCAACAGGAGGGCTTCGAGATCCCAGCGGAGGCGGAGGAAGGGCTGGAGCCGGAGCTTGAGGAGGAGACTTTCTAGACGCTCGTGGGTTGGTATTGAGTTCAGCGGTGTCGGCACGGGTCCGGTAGATCCGAGCGGCTTTTTTGATTCGGCGCGCATTGTTGGCATACACTTAGGGGCGGCGAAGGGTGTGGTATGGTTTGGGACGTGGGCTTGGAAGGCGCTGCTTCTGGCGGAAAAGTCGACGATAGAAACGACATATACTACCCCCAGGACCACAATGCAGCATGTTTTCTCTTGTTGCAGTGATGGCTGGCTCTAGCAGTCAACCTTGACGCGTGCACCTGTATCAGATTGTTGCTGTAACTGCTACGACAAAAGCACGGATAGCACTTAGTATATCTATACGAGAGTTGGAACATGCTGTGCCGTTGAAAGAGTCGCTATGTCTACGGTGATGGATACGTAGGAGCGGTGGAATGCTAGAAGCCCACTCAAACCCCTCAGTGCGAACGCGCCAGCGATGTGAAAATTAAGGTCAATGCTGCAATAGCAACACTGTGCTCCGCGCATCCGAGCCTAGGTCCGTCGTGTAGGGAATGTCGCCTCTAACCTTGAGCAATTCCAACACTGGTTGCTTGGTGGGGATTACACTCCTCCCCACATCGCTGCCGGCAGAACAACACAGGCTACGATTCTGACAACACGGTGTTAATATCCTGAGAACCCGTAAGGAGATAAGAGTTAAGACTCCTTCTTTTCTTGGCAATATAAAGGATGGTCACTCAATCAACTCTGTCGATGTTCGGTCTTTCGCATATGGTCCGCCAAAGTCCGAACCCTCGCTGCCAGTTAGTCGCAAATCCGATGTCGGTCTCATGGTGTTGGGTGATGTCGATATTTTAAATACAATTTCAAAGACCGCAATCTTGAGTCGCCTGCTACATAGGCTTAAACCATAGTTTCCACACCCGGTGGCTCTTCTGGAGTAAATAATGCCGGAGGCCTAGTCGCAGGAGTGTCGGTTCCGTCTGGCATAGTCCGTAATTGTATTCCGAAAAGTGACTACAAGATTCCTGTCGGGTAGACTCCTGACATATGAGGGGAGCGAATTGGGGATGCTGACGAAAGAAGGGGTGCCAGAATGCTGCTAGAGATTTGCAGATTCTTAAGAGGAGGTTGGTGAGAGGCTGCCGAGGAAGCAAGGGGGAAGGAAGAAAGCTGCCGTATGTTTGTATGAGGCAAATTCCGGCGAGAGACGGTTGAGAGAAGCAGGTGGACGGACAGGCTTCAGGTTTTTATACACGAGAGAGGCGCGCAAGAGGGTTTTAGAAGGAGGAAGGAGGATTGAGAGGTTGCCGGACGGATAGCTGAGGAGGAAGGGTTGGGTGGAAGGAACCTGTTGAGACTGCGGAGGATCGTGGGCTGGTCGTGTTGTTATAGAGGAAAGAGACTCTGAAAGTTATTGGTAGGTTGAAGAGCTGTAAGCCTGTTGGAGTCTGACAAGGATGTACCAATTCCGATGCTAATTGAACTGTATGAAGTGCATAAAATACATGCCAAAGAAAAGCCGGAGTGGCTGGCCGAAGCCATTTAGCAAGGATCGAGGACAGCTCACACTTATGACGGCATATCAATGATGAACGGTCTCTTCTAAAAGAACCACCACGGCCAGATCCTTAATATCCGAAACGGGAATGATTGTGGATTAAGGACATGCATACCGAGAAGAACACAGCGTCCCTGATGCTCACGATAGATTGAACATATGGTGGTAAGGGCCCAACATCGATCGTGGTCTGCGCAATACAGGCTTACTTCTTTCATTGATGCGCTGCCACTTTTTCTCTAGCGGGACGCTTCGTGAAATCTCAGCGGTACAGCCAACGGCGCAGTTGTAACGCTGTACTGGTGGAAAGGTTCCGGCTTGGTATCCAGGTTCTCGATACGATCAAACCGCTGCAGCATGCGGACAATCACATACCCCGCTTCCGTCAACGCGAATTGCTGGCCGAGACAGATCCGGGGGCCACCGTTGAATGGCAAAAACTCCCAGCCAGACTTCCTTTTCGCCCATCGCTCCGGCTTGAATTCGTTGGCGTCCTCGCCCCAGATATCCTTTCTACGGTGCATCACGTGCACGCAGTAGTTCACCTCAGTTCCTTTTGGAATGTAGACAGGTGCCATGCCATCAGGGCCGCCGCCACGTGGAAGCGACGTGTCTTTCGTGGCTCGGCGGCTGTTGATGGGGACCGATGGAAACAGGCGGAGCACCTCCGACATGACATGCTGGAGATAGCCGCAACCTTTCAACGTCGCAAAGGAGATGTTCTGCGGGCTGTCGTATGAGCCGAAGGCATCGAGAACAACGGAGCGTAACTTCTCGAACTTTTCTGGATGACGGGCAAGGAGCCAGAAGGTCCAGCCTAGCAGCCCGGCCGTGGTATCTCGGCCAGCGAGGAGAATGTTCAGCAATTGGCTCCGCAATTCGATAGGGTCTCTGGTGGCTTTGGCCAGTTCTTGTAGGAAGATATATCTTTCCTTCTTCTCTCCCTTCTCCAAGGTACCCTCGTTGGGCGATGACAGGCCCGTGGTCAGGGCAAGATTAACATAGTGGTCGGCGAATTTGTGCACAACTTTGCAGTCGTCGTAGAACGATTTGGGAGAATAGAGCCAATACAGCTCAAGAAGCCTTCCTCTGATACCGAGCGCATGAGTGCCGTTGTCGAACGAGCGGGCAAGAGAACTCCAGTCATGGCCGGCTCTGGCTGCAGGGTTCTTCTCCGTCGCCAATCCGTCAGGTAGTGCAGCAATCTGTGAATTCACACTTTGGCCGAAGAAAAACTCGGTCGCGGAATCGATTGTGAGACGGAACAGCAGAGGACTTAGATTTACATCTGGCGTCCAACCCGCTGAGTTAATCGCGAGATGCTTGAACATATCTTGAACGTGCCTTTCTTCGAGTTCAAGGTCACCGACTTGATCGCGAGAGAATTGGGGGCGGAGCAACGCGCGAGAGTGTTCCCTACCGAGCCGCTGTCAGCAGAAGAGCTTGGTTTAGCGGCCGTCCATCTTCCCGTCTTGCATCTGGTGCGGCTACTGCTCCACCGTACAGATGCAGTATACGGAAAGGGTACGCACTCACCAAGCCTTGCCATCACTCGTAAAAATGCCGTTTCCAAGCATCGGAAAAAAGTTTCCTCGTCTCAAAGGACCAATCTCGAAGTCAAGAAATTGCGTGGCCAGAAGCGCCTGGATGTTCTTCGGATCGACCGTATTATATGCAGCAGTTCCAAAGATGTACTGCTTCCAGGTGGCAACAGCTCCCATTTCGGCGAAAATCGCCTCGAACTCATTTGGGACTTGATTTCTCCGGTCGGCTTTGATCAAGCGCCATATGAAGTCAATTCCTCCTGGCAGTTTAGCTGGCCTGACTGGGACCGGTTCGCAGCCGAGTTCCTCCGCGCGATGTTCATGGTATCTCGAGCTCAGAAAGGATCTGACAAGGGAATACAGTATGTAGGAGACAAGCAACAGAGATGCTGCACGAACGTAGCTGTTCATGACGTATTTGAGTTTGGTGGATGAGGCCTTTACAGGAATGAAGGGAAAGCTATGCGTGATTTCGGCTGTGATGAGGTTCCTCGCAGAGAACTCGAGGTCAAGGTACTTATTATTTGATTGCGCAGCCTGTAGACTAAGACGAGGCTTAGATCATCGTTAAGCAGGACGCATGAACTGTAGCCTAGATCATGCTGTGGGACAACAATTTCCCCGGATTCTTGGGAGTAGGGCATGCAGGGGAATGATACCTCGGCAGTCAGATACAAGGGTGACCACAGCCAGCTAGTGAAACGAACTGAGTATTCCTTACTCAGCTCGAATAACATAATACGCTCGATAAAACAGGAAGGTAACCTACTGTTCACTCGCCGAATCAATACCCTCTCCGCCAAATACCGGTTTAACATGCGAGGCTCACCCATTCTCGGGACATCAATCTTGCCGCCGGAAATTTACTGGGCTACCGGACCGCTTGAGGCGGTCGAGCTGTTTGTGAACGATGCCTACATAGGGCACAGCAGAGAGTGAGAAGGGACTATCTTGTAGAAAGCTCCATTCTACAAGATGCTGAACGTCTCAGTATTGGTATCGAGTGGATCTTCCCGCTGTAAGGCTTCAACAGCCTCACCAAACATGATACCATGAACATAGCGTCCGCAAACGAGCCGGTAGCCAACCGCGACCGTGCGTAAGACATATGGTGTCCTCCCACCAAATTGAAGGACAATCAAAAGCGATATAGAGCTTGGCTCAATGGCGGAAATCGAAATCGATAGCCCATACGCCTCTCAAGTCGTCAATTGCAAGGTGGGACATCTCTCACATCTCATGTCTTGCTTCTTTAGTGGTCGTCTTGGGGAACTGGAATCGAGACCAAAGTTACTGATGGGTATCTCGTCACCAGGCTCCACCAATCGCTAGCCAGTCGAGCATATCGAGTGATGGAAAGACCACCCGGCGGTGATAGATAAGAGGGAGCAGCTTTGGATCGCTGACTGCCAGTAGATTGGGTGTAGCCCTAACAATAGGCCCGTACTTCTCATGGTACCTCAGACCCAAAGTGTGGGACTGTTTAGTATGCACGATCCAAAGCTTGAAGAAGTCGGACCGAGGCCCAAAATGGAACTGGAAAGTGATGAAGCGGGTGAAAGTAGGGGTTGTAGACGGCACGATAGAAGGCATACGCAGCGGGTAAACCCAGTGTGAGAAGCAAAAGGTTGGCAGTAATCATTTTCCCGAGTTGATCTTGCACTTTGCACATGACGATGTATGGAGAGGGCTGTTGTCATTTCCAAGGCATGCTATATGATATGCAATGGATGTACACTGGTCACTTGGAGATGTACAGCTTACGCAGACTGATTGTGAACTGTAGGACAGGGAGTTAAGCCGCGCGGCAGAGTGCAAGGCGGAGAGATATTTGAGCCGCAAGGAATCAGGTGCTTCCAGGAGTACTGGTCTGTGCATGAAGACATGCTTGCATTGGCATTCACCCATTGCAAGCCACTCTGTTCCTTTCACATTTCCGTTCAATATCTTCCTTCCTCGTCCTTCACACGCATCAGCGACAATCCATTCTCACCTCCTGAAAGCTCTTGCATGCACCGGATCTATCTCTCCTTAGCTACCATGACATGCGAACCGTCCGCTTCTCGGGAAGCAAGCCAGCTGCACTTCATGTATCGCCAACTACTCGTAATGCCCAAGCCTGTATCGCCTCAGAAGTTCAACCTCCAGGGCCAGACCGGCATTGTTACGGGTTCCAACGTCGGTCTCGGCCTTCAATGCTGCCGTCAACTGCTTGACCTCGGCCTCGACCATCTTATCCTCGCTGTCCGCGATGAGAACAAAGGCAGAAAGGCCAAGGAGGACTTGCAAAAGGGTGCGCCTGGTGCAAAAATCGAAGTCTGGAAGCTCGACTTGTCGACTTACGACTCCGTCACTGCCTTTGCTCAGCGCTGCAATACTCTATCTCGACTCCAGTTCGTCATACTCAACGCTGGCGTCTTCAAAGTCAAGCTTGAGATCAACGAGAGCACCGGCCATGAAGAAGTTATGCAGGTCAACTATCTCTCCACCGCTCTTCTTACGATCCTGCTTCTTCCGATTCTCAAGGAGAAGAATGCTCCGGCGCACCCCGGCCGCATTACGATAGTTAGCTCCGAGACTGCAGCCTGGTGCAAGTTCAAAGAGCAGGAATCAAACCCAATACTGCCTGCATTCAACGATCCCAAAAACTTTGAGAAGCAGGAGCGCTACTACACCTCCAAGCTTCTTGAACAGCTCTTCCTCGTCCAGCTTGTAAAGCGTGTACCATCCTCGGTTGCAGTCATCAGTTGTGTCAATCCCGGATTTTGTTACGGATCCAATCTGCACCATGAAGCCGCTGTCGGCGTTGTCGGAGCCATCTTCACCGGTATCAAGCGAACCATTGGACGATCTACCGAGGTCGGTGCCAGAACTCTTACAGATGCAGCTATCAACCATGGTTCAGAAACTCACGGAAAGTATCTCGGCGATTGTCAGATCAAGCCGTAAGTACAGCATGCTTTTGCTCTCTCATCTACCTTGCTGACGTATGGTAGAATGGCTCCCTTTGTGACTAGTCCAAAGGGTGACAGCGTCGGAGAACGGCTCTGGAACGAGACAATGGCCGAATTATCGTTCGCGAGGGCGCAAGAGACTCTTAACGATCTGAAGAGGTGATCTTAAAGCAGGTGACTGCAGGCTGTCTGCGAAGGACCTTGGCTGTCTTTGTGTAACAAGTTAACGTTGTCGGATGAAGCCGGAGACAGCCTTATGATGCTTTCCGTAATCCTAAACTTCTTTCAAGGCACGTATCGGTAGGAGAATGAACCGGATGGCGGCTCGGGCACTTTCTCTCGATAATGTCGCTCTCAGATTCGACTTTGCTGGTGCTGTTCATGTTTGCAGTCGAACCGAGCGTTAAGCTTCTTGCGGTATGGAATGGAACGCTTTTTCCAACCAATCACAACTTGAGGCAATCGCTGTGTGGAAGTCTGTCTTCGGCAATCGAACACCGAGCTAAATAAGCCCTGCTGTGATCGGGTCGTTCTACTACATATGAAGCGTATCAGGCCTCTTACCCATGAGACCGTATGCAATTGACTCTAAAACGAGATCCCTATGCTTTTCCTCGTCTCTTCGGATCAATATCTAAGTAGTAATTTCACAAGTAGCTGGCAATGTAGATGAATTAAACAATCGAATCTTCGCACCGTTGACCAACAGTAATATAATTGTTAGGAAGAATGAGTGATTGTATGTCTCTCACTTCCACATATAAGTAATATGACCGTGATGTGTAGCATAGACTGTATCTACTAGAGCCTTCGTCTCCTCTTTCCTTACAGAGTAACAATCTGCGGGTGCCGGAGGAAGATAGTTGTCTCTTTATATCCCACCAAGAATCCTTACGTTGGAAGTGTCACTAGGTCTGCTTATTGGAAAGATAGCTCAGATTGAATGATCAGCTGGTTGTGGATGTGCTGATTTGTAAGTCCGAGGACTGCTCCTTCGGTGATGGAAGGACTCACGTGAGACCCTCTACGCGGTGGTGAATCGCTGTACACGTGCGGGGGCCATCTTCCAAGGGTCCCTTGACTCGATCAAATCAGATTCCTTCAAGGAACACTCTTTAAAAACGCCGTAGCTCTTCCATAACAAGGAGAATCGCCCAGCCTGTCTCTGCTGTAATCTAAGTATTTACAGAGAGCGTAGTTCCTCCATCGATAATTCATCCGCTTCCTATAACGTAACTAGATCTTGGACTAGAAAATGGCGACGTCAGCTATCTCATCGGACTCAGCAATCCTCCCCATCGGTATAGCCTTTTCCATCAGACCCTGCAGGTCAGGGTATCCGGCCACTGCCCGTTGCACCATTGGTGTGTCGACCCAAGAAGGGCAAAGGCAATTCGCATGGATCTCGTGCTGAGCACAACCCAGAGCTCAAGTCGAAACAAGTTAGTTTGGAAACTGTTTAGCAAGTGCTGAGGGTAACTATACCGGCATTCCTTGTAACCCTAAGAACGGCATGCTTCGACGCCGTGTACTGAACAAGCTTGAGAGCCGCGACGTAGGAAACGCAAGAACCTAAGTTGATACCACGGGTACCGCCTCGTTTCACATCTCTACTGAGACGAATCTAGGCTTGGAAGCTCACGGCCCTTGAAGTTGTTTTCCAAGGGGACAAGTCGATCCAGATTGGGCGGTACCAGACATCGTGCGTGTATATCCTCGAGCAGCGCCGCTGCAGCAGGTGCTTCGTTGTCCTCGTCCACGCCTAACCAAAGGACGACCCATGAAGTCCCCGAATAGATATTTCTCATAGAGTTCACCTGTTGTGAGCGCTCTTTAGTATCTTGCTGATTGATGCAGAGCTGATCAACCCAGATTGTCTTGGTTGGCCGGGGAAAGCAAATGTCGTAATGCACTCGCGAGATTGGAGGTGGTGGTAAAGGTTGTCCTGTTGCAGAGCAGCTCCTCGCTGAAGGTCCGGACTCCCTACGCGTAGCCCAAACCTTCGTACGCCGGCCTGTCCTTTAGAGACACCGTGTTCAACTCAGACTCGAGTCTTTCTGCATGACTCCCTGATTCAATGCTTGCGAGACGTATGAAATCGCCTGCCTAAGGTTCGTATTGATAAGTTTGTCGTCTTGTTCATCTTCCTCACTCGGCTCATAGGAGCTTTCAAGCGTCGTGAACCAGGTAGCTGTGCCTGGTGGCTTGTTTTTCAGCCGCCTCCCTTCCAGTAGATAGCTGAATCGACAGAGACTAGTCAGCAAAGGTTCTTGATCTGTGCGTGGGGAGCGTATCTTTTGAGATCGACAATAACTGACCTCAATACCAAGAGCCTAAGCCTCTCTCTACCATGGTTAGCGGAACAACACCTCGCGCGACAGATCTCGCAGTGTGTGGTGCGCTACACTATACAATGAGCTGGGCGAGTTCCACGTCGCGTGCCGAGCTGTCATGCAATCAGATCCACGCTACGTAGCAAGTTACTGCTATAGTGACAGGAATCCCTAGGACGATTAGAACGTTCGGAAAGCGTGGTAGCACATCTTACAACATATGCGGCCGGTGGCTTGATTGGCTATATCGAAGACTTTTCGGCGGCAAGAGTAGCATCTCTTACGTAGACCACTCTCAGAAAGCCTTTAGTAGCGATGTCGGAACAACTGACCCTGCATGGTTGGTAGCACCATAACACGGAGTGCGCAAACTGCGTCCGTTTTAACTTTAGATGCATTCTCGTGGTGGCGTTTTGTTTTGTATTCTGATTGGCGTTATAATAACCGACCTCGTACTTTATCTCCACTTACCCATGTGGGGAGTTTCAGCTCTTTTCCTGGCTGTGCCACAGGACCGTAAGAGCATGCTCTCCGAACTTGGTTCTTCTGTCCTTCTTTGATTTAATTTGCCAGTTGCTCGCCTATACCTCCGCAGCTTCTCCGATCTTACACCATTTTACGAACACTCTTTCCCTACTACGCGCTCAGAGCCTGGAGGTACTGCTATACAACATCTCCTATCGCATCCACAAACAGACCAGCATTGGACTTTAGTCATTATCATCGGTACCGCTTCCACGGCTACCTGCCTTTACAGCCAAGGGGATGGGGCTGAGTAGGATCTGCGTGCCGTCCAGCCGTTAATTCTCCGATGCAGATCATTTCTCCAAGCGGCTCAACTAAAGCGACAATAAACGTGGGCAGTCAGGGAAGCCTCTATCCACTGGGCGCATATTAGCGAAGCACATGCAAGTAATGAAGTGCCGGAAACACGGTGTCAGCTCCGTTGACCCGCAGACGAGGCTGAACGCTACTCGTGAGTACCTCCGACGTCCTCAATATACCGATGTCAGCTACGAATATGTTGATAAATTTGTACCACGCCTCCTTAACCCCCTCCATCTTCTTCCGAAAAGAGACATTCCCTGTCTTACTTCCATCAGAAAATTGGAAGCTGATGAATAGAGAGTAGCTAGTTGGTAAATCTGAGATCTTCCCGGCGCTAAGTCCTCTGATTTACAGAAAGGCATGTCAAACCCGTCGCGGAGACGGTGGCGGGACATTGGTCAACACGTGGGTCATGGTCCGATCAAAAGGCGCACAAACGACGCACCGGTGGGTGTTTGACTTGCGCATACCGTCATCAATCTACCCTTCCCGGAGTCCTATCTCGAGATACGGTCAGAGCGAAGGTCGGCTGAGGATACATGAAGCTGCGGTGGACCGTGGGCCTCTGACGCACGGCTTGAACAGCTCTGTAAGAAGCAGTTCAACATCGTGGAGCCGGTCATGCCACCGTTGATGTATACGCGAATAGGAGTGCTTCACGAGTCCGCGAAGCATGTCTTATAAGAAGCAACTCCATTCGTGAAATCGGTGATGACGCCGCCGATGTATGAACGACTGCCGGAGCGCCTCACGAGCCCGCAAAACGAGTTCTGATCCTTGGAATGCATCTTCCGTATCCCAATGATGAATGCTGTGTACCGAACTTGCGAACTTTCTCAAGTTCCCCATGAGAAGTCGGGACGGAATTTGTGATGCTGATCACCCCTTGGATTTGCAGCATTCTCCACCCTCACTGTTCTCTCTCTTTACTATTCGACATACAGGAACCCGAGATCGCTTCGTGGCTCCCTCCAGACCGTGGGTCATTGGATGTGCGTTGTCATCGGATACCGCAAATCTCTCTTCTTCATATCTCATTGATATCATCAGTGATGAGAGATGACGACCTGTTGCAGACTGTCGGCGACAGTCATACTGACGAAGTTTCATTTGCTCTACATCTGAGAGCGCCAGATTGTCTATATAAGACTCCTTCCTTTCCTCCCAGAGTCCTCCCTCACCAGTACACAGCGATTCAACAATTCAAAGACTTCAAACACTCCAAACACTTTCAAACTCAATTCGAGGCTTTACAGCTCCAACCAAACAATCAATCAAGATGCACTTCTCCACCATTGTCACTGTCATCGCCGCCACCATGGGCATGACCGCCAACGCCGCTCCTGCTCTCCAGGCGCGTCAGAACTGTCCCGCCAACCAGCACGCCAAGTGCTGCAATGCCCTCGTGCCGACCCTCCTTGGGGGCATCATCGTCTCAGTCGGTCTCGGCTGCATTGATCGTGAGTTTTGCTTCAGCCGGCATATCAGTATCACCTCTGACCTGAACTAGTCATCGCTGGCTCCTGCGCCGCCCAGACTGCTTGCTGCTCCCAACAGAATGTAAGGCTTCAAGTGGTCATTGCTCATACTTCAAGAAATGGTACCTAACCCATACTTGCAGAACAACGGCGTTGTCGTCAACGTTTGCGACGTCCTCTAGGCAACTCATGAGCAGCTTCACCCTTGGTCTGGCTGCTAGATTTTGACTTCATGAGCGAACGGTCGAAAATTGTATGCTAGCACGCGTAAGGTGCGAGATGGGATGGTAATAAGAAAAGACAGAAATTGCAATGTACTTGTACTGTAGTTTCCTTTGTTAGTTTCTTTCTTGTCATGAGAGCAGTAGTGTCACTCCTTTCAATATAAATTGGTGCTGAAAAACTGGGTCCACACTGAGAAGGCGTGTGATGAAAATTGCGTCGCGCGAAATTCACCACACAGTATTTATAACAGAACTATGATGACTTCTGATGCTAGCTTGATGTGCGTGCTTCGTGACTCACCTTCAGAACTAGCTACTGTCATTTCCCTGAACCTGTACGCCCAACATGCCTCCGATGCAGGTTGCATCGATCGAAGGGAAACATTCTGGGCTCCTGCAGGCGTAGGAACGGCAACCCCTCCATCACGCAGAGACTTTCAAGCAAATGAAGCGATGTCAAGTCACATCAAGGATGCCGCCACCTGACGCCCATAAGACACTGGTGGTTCGCACCCTCTGTATGCAGCGTGGCTACGTGAGAGTTTTGTTGTGGAGACGAAGCGGCCCATCGGAGATCTTAGACCTGTTCGCGCCCTGGATGCTTTGCAAATTGCAACCGTCCTCAGTTGGCGTACCTGCCAGTGTTCAAGTGGGATACATACATATACTACATTCATGAGATATGAGGGGTGAGAAACGATACGGCAACACATGATACAAAGTAACTTAGGGTTATGATGCAGAAACCCTAAGAAACCTCCACCTCCAGCCCCTGCGCCTCACACATTCTCCAATACCACCCTCTCCTTACCAACAGCTCTTTGTGGTTCCCATACTCGACGACCCGTCCTCCATCGACTACAAAGATGCAACTCGCGTTCTTGACCGTCGCCAGCCGATGCGCAACCGCGATCGTTGTCCGCCCCTTCGCAGCCGTTGCGAGCGCCTGCTGCACAACTGCTTCGCTATGGCTATCAAGCGCGCTCGTTGCTTCGTCCAATAGCAGGATACTAGGATTGCGGATTAGAGCGCGGGCGATGGCGAGGCGTTGGCGCTGCCCGCCGCTGAGGCTCAGGCCCCGCGTACCGGCGTGCGTGTCGTAGCCTTCCGGCAGGGACATGAGGAAGGTGTGGATGTTTGCGTCTTCGCAGGCGCGGACAACTATTTCCTCGTCGGGTGTCAAGGTTGAAGGCATGCCGAAGAGGACGTTGTCGCGCATGCTGCCTTCGTAGAGCGTGGTCTCTTGCGAGACAAGACCGACTGTTGCGCGGAAGGCGGAGATATCGAGATCACGTATCGGACGGCCGTGGATGAGTATCTCGCCGGATGTAGTATCATAGAAGCGCTCGATCAGAGAGATGATGGTGGTTTTGCCGCAGCCTGAGGCGCCAACGATGCCAACGCTTTGGCCGGAATGTATCTTGAGGCATAGGGAGCGCAAGATAGGAATCGAGGGGGCGGTTGGGTAAGAGAATCGCACGTTGCGGAATTCGATAGCCGGGCTTGAATTGGGGTGGGGCGGAGGAGCGCCGGTGGAGGAGTTGATGGTGGGAATTTGGGAGCGGAGGTGCAGGATACGGTTCACGGCTGCATGGCCCTTCGTTGTATCGGCGAGGATGTTAGAAGATGCGTTTCGGCGTCACTGCTAGACTTACTGAGTGTGAAGCCGAATAAAAACCCTGCCGCTTGTCCGCCGAAGACGATAGCATCGAAGATGGCGAAGAAATTTTCAGCGCTGTAATACCCTTCCGACAGCAGCCGTCCTCCGTACCAGAACGCCAACCCCATAGCTGGATAGTCAGCGGTGAATTGCTGTAAAGGAATGTGGTCACCTACCAACTAGATCAAGACTGTCCGAGAGGCCAAAAAGGATCATCGTGACCAGTACGTGTCTGTAGAAGCTCTTCACTGTAGCACCAAGTCTATCTCCATACAGCCGAAGCACCTTGGCCTCCAGATTTAATGACGCGATAGTTCGAATGGCACCTACAGCTTCAGAAGCAAAGCGTGCACTCTCTTCGTACCTAGCGGCCATCTTGTCTTGGCTCTGCATCTCCATTCTCATCCTCATGAAACCGGCGAAGAATAATGCGGGAAGGCATCCGAAGATGGCCACAAGCGTTAGCTTCCAGCCTAAGATCAGGGCCAGTGTCCAGCAGCCCAAAATGTTGACGATCACAATGGTTATGAGGCCAAGGTTAGCCGAAACTAGGTCCTGCAAGGCCTGGGAGTCAGTGGAGAGGCGTGAGGTTAAGGCTCCACTCGCATTGCCTTCCAGGTCGAAGAATCCGATGTCCTGACGGAGCATGGCGTCAAAGTACTCGCTCCGGTAGAATTTAGCGGTGATTATGCCAGCTACGGTAAAGAAGAAGCCGAGAGACGCGTACGCAAACAGAGTCCCCAGCGCAAGGACAAAAAACATGAGCGCCCAGAAGCTTCCTCTTTCTTCCAGCTCCGCGCCGTCGTACTTGAACACAGTGACAAGGCGGGAGAAGAGGATGGCTGATGCAGGAAAGACACCTCCACCCGCAACTGCAGCGATGATGCCGCAGACAAAGTACAACCGGGCGGATCTCATTTCTTTTAGGACCAATGCCACACATTTGACGAGAGATATCTTTCGGAAATGATCGTCCGGCTTGGTTTGCGCGCTAATGACCGCGGTCGAACCTGTTGACTGAGTCCTTTCGAGTTTCTCTGGTGGGAGTTCTTGTACTTTGGCATTGTCATCAGATGTAGACTCTTCTTCGTCCAACGCCAAATGCAGGTTTTGAGCTCTGACAAGCCGAGCATAAGCACCGTTAGCAGCCAGCAAGGCATGGTGACTACCCTCTTCCACTACTTTACCCGAGCCGATGACAATGATCTTGTCGGCTTTCATGACAGTGGCCAACTTGTGCGCAATCACAATTGTGGTCCGCTTCTTAGAGACCTCATCTAGTGCAGCCTGGACTGCCCTTTCCGCAATAGGATCGAGGGCGGAGGTGGCTTCATCGAGGAGAAGGATCCTTGGGTCCGAGATGATGCTCCGAGCAATGGCTACTCGTTGCCTCTGGCCACCGCTCAGCACGGAGCCGCGTTCGCCCACTCGGGTGTCGTAGCCGTTGGGGAGTTTTCGAATGAAAGAATCTGCGTTAGCGTGGATACACGCCTCTTCGACGAGTTTCCGCTTGTCTTCTTCCGGGAATTCGTCCTTTGCAGTCCCGAAGAGACCATGAGCGACGTTGTTGTAGATAGTATCGTTGAAGAGGAAAGTCTCCTGCTGAACCATACCGACCTGGCTTCTAAGGTACTTGGTGTTCAGTTCCTTAAGTTCCTTCCCATCAAGCGTGACAGATCCAGAAGTGGATTCGTAAAACTTTTCGATCAGTGCCACGATGGTCGACTTACCTGAACCACTAGGCCCAAGTAGCGCGGTAATTTTCCCAGCTTCGAAATGCATATCAACGTCGTCAAGAACCTTGATGGTTGGTCTCTGCGGATAAGCGAAGGATACATTGCGCAAGGAGATATGGCCCGTGACGCTCTCCGGTTTGTTTCCTTGAGTATTGAAATCAATCTTGGTCTCCATCGCTATCGTGTCCAGGATGTCTTTCGATGCTGCTGCCGCTTTGGTGATCTCACCCATCGCAGGAGCAATCATCGTAAGAGAGGACGTTCCGATTATGATAGCGAACAGAACCCTACAACCATGAGCACGGGAGACATCCAGAGCATGAAAACTTACGTAACAACCTTGCCGCCATCACTGACATGTCCCCGGACCAACAGGCGAATCCCGTACCAAAACGTCAATGAGTAAGCGCAGTACATCATGAAGAATTCGGCGCTGTATTGGATCCCTAATATCGGGCCCCTCTTCACCCCGAACCCCTTAGCGATTTCCAGGTACGCGTCGAACTTCTTACGCAACTTCTCATTGGCACCGAACGCAGTTACAATGCGGATGCTGCCCAAGGCTTCTTCAACCAACCCCCCAGCTTTTGAGTAGATGTCAAGAATTTTAGCTTCGGCACGTGCATCCAAGGCAACGGTGATGCCAACGGCGATGACGGCGGCCGGCAGGGTAGTTGCGCCGACCACCGTAAGCTTCCAGTATTGGGAAAACGCTACGGCGAACGAAGCCGCAAGCATGGCGAGGCCTTGGAAAACGATTCCGACCTTTTCCGAAAGGCCGTTCTGGATGAGGTTCACATTGTTGGATATGCTCGTTGCCACGGAACCAGAGGTTCGTGTTTCGAAAAATGCGATGTCTTGGCTGAGGATGGCACGGATGTATCTCAGACGGATTGCCTTGGTGGCCCTGATTGCCGTGATTGTGAAGGTAGTTGTGTGGATGTATACACACTGATAGAGAGAGATGTCAGCAAAGATATGATTCCGATTGTATAAAGAAGCTCTGGATGAACAGACAGCCAGATGGCTGAGGTAGCCCTCCGCCGAAATCGAGAGTTTCAATCACGCGGTCCGAAAGTTGTCTTGGTTTGGCTTAAGGAACACCATGGATGGGGGTATTCCACTCACTCCAAATTTCACAAGAAACAACCACACAAACCAAAGCCTATTTCGTAGTGCCACAATCAGCACCCGTATATCTACTCCAATCAAGCCTATCGGCGGAGGAAGACGCAGTATGGGAACCTACGAATATTCATCAACCGCCTCCCTCAGACGTTCGGGATTTATTGTGCCCCTCTCCCAGCCATTGAACTCATTCACAAGCCGCCCGAAGACGATCGTCATAAGCGGGAGAGTCTGTGTTGCAAGGTCTTAGTTTCGAGAAAGCATTCTCGACTCGGCCAGGGTACGTACTGCGCCTGCGGCGCAAGCAGCAAAAAGGCCACAGAGCCGGAGTGCGACGTCGAGAGGCGTGGCGTAGGTCCATAGTTTCTATGCGGACAGATAAGCAATGTCTTCCTCTTGGGACAGTTGTGGGAGTCACAATACCATATACGTCCGCCATCCAGCCTTTGAGTCCGCTTTCGCTGTCTCCTTTGCCGCGTCCTCGAACTGTCTTACCGGCCCATCGCCGTCATGCTCGGGTTTCTCGGGAAGATGGATTGTGACATCTCCCGACCCGTCCTTCCGAGGAGCGGTGGAGCGAACGGAGTCCTTCTCGCTAACAATCTCTTGGTCTTTGTGGGTGGAATCGACCATCCTCAACCCTGGACCCGCTGCATGTTTCAGTCCACGCTCTTGAGAAGATGATATTGAAGGAGTGACATCCATGTTAAGACAACCAGAAGATGCTTGCAGATGGTCCAGAAACGTTCTGAAAGCGAAGAAGATATCCCAACGGACAGATACGCGCCCTCGCATAAACGAGGACTTCAGAGGGATGACGAGGAGGGGATTTCGGACATATTCAAAAAGAAGGAGAGAACCAATGTTGAATTCAGTGAGGTTGAGTCATACATCATCGCAGAAATGAGAATACCACGATTATCCTTACGCTTTCGCTTCAACTTGCTTCTCAGTCAGAGTCAGTTCGTGTTCCGCGACAAGAACCAGTCAGAACGTTAAAGATTCGCCGTCGCATCTATGGCCGCTCCAGGCAACTGCATGATATGTGCACCAGACCAGGGAGCTATACCAAGCCTCGTGTTTTACGGCCGGTAGAGCACAATATTGTCCACTACAACATGCGGTAAATGCGAGAAGGGAAGTCGCTCTGTTCGCAGTCCGCGGACTCCGCGCGGACTCCGCCGGCAAAAGTCTCCCGGCACGTGATTCAATGTGCTGGCCTGCAAGTTTCAATCAGGGCCAAGAACCACAGCAGCATATCATCGCTATATGCATCAGTGGTGTATGTAATTTTAATGCTTTGAAGTACTGCTCATGCTGTAAATCCATGCGAGCCTCCACATTGAGCGCCTCCAGACTCCTCTCAATAGCAGTACGGCTGCATACTCAAATGCTGCATTCATATTTCTTGTGGGAGTTCCTGTTTTATAATGCATCTAGTGAATGTGAAAGCCCCCGCGTGCATTGGATACTAGTGGGCAGCTTAGCGTTGGTCCTTACTTCCCAGCAAGGCGTCAAGCCGCGCTTGCGTGACGTCTCTTCAACTCAGTGAGTCGGGGACGCTCATCGTCCTTCACCACGTCGAATCCGTCAAAGCATGGCGTGAAAGCCCTGTCTGGTTGCTGAATAGCCTCCGAACCAGAGTCTTCACGGGATCACTCTTCGCGAATTGAGTAAGAGCTCCTCTGCCTATCTTTCTATCCATACATTGCCTCAAAAGACAATTTCAATCTTGCCGACAACCTTGGCGCAAGACCAATATGACTGAGACCCTTCTCATCTACCTGGGCGTCGTATTTGATCGGCGGACGGTTTTCCAGAATTTTAGCCAGCTGTGCATCTGAATATCCATTCGTGTGTGGCCCCAGCTCTAGAGCCATTGCCTCTGCAAGGTCTACGACGGCACGCCATGGCCCCATGGTGCGCCCTTTACGGGTCAACTCGGAGTTGTGCTGCGTGTCCATCCAGATGCAGTAAGTGCCAAAGACCCACACAGGCATGAGCGTCATAAGGATGAGAAACCAGCCGGATGCGAAGCCCCATTGGTATACTCCATCCGCCATGCAGGTGTACGGTGCTTCGCTTGCATTTACAGACAGCAGAGCACGGGGTACTTGCTCGGATGCACGGTAAAGTGGACCGTGGTTATCACCAGGAACCCCAGACACGTAGAACAGCGACGGCGGCTGGATATACCCGCTCGAGGCATCGATGAGGCTGGGCATCGCAAGTATGAGGACGGAAGAGAAGAGCAGCCAAGCCATGGCGAATTTGGGTCGCCATCCCCGTAGACTGTGAAGGCCCTTGACCAAGTGTGCCAAGGTGAACACGCCTGTCGGATAGAAAGCCAGGCCGGCAAACAGTTCGTACTTGACCGGAGTGGTTTCTGCTATCCGGGTTAAGGCGTTTGCGACGGCGTTGTAAGACGTGTAAGTCATGACTGCCTGTCCGCCTCGACCCAAAACGGTATTCCAGGCCAGGTCGATGGCCTTGGCTTGGCCCAAGGTGAAGTTTCCCATAACGGTGTCTGGCTCGAAGAAGCTGAATTCGCCTTGGCGCTGACTGCAGAATCGATTCACAGTCATATAGTATCCGCCAAGCGATTGTGCGAAGAATGCGACGGGAAGCCCATAGACAAATAAAGGCCAGAGCATCAGGAGGCTGAGGAAGACGCCTACGGTGACCTGCTGGCAGGCACGTGTACGCCTTGATTTGTTGGCACTGGCGAACGTCCGCGAGGGTAAATGTCCTTGAATCTCGCAAATTGCTGGACATGGTTCTTCGCCGGGTTGGGAGGCGTTTTTCGACCTGAACGGCTCGTAGCCGCGGGTGCTGGCGGACATGGTGTGGGTGCGCTGCAAGAGAAGTGGGAAAGGAATTGCGAAGCCTTAGTATAAGCGATGTCTTCTGCTAATGTACATATGTGGTGGTAGGAGGACGGAGACTGTGAGTTCACACAAGGTTTTAGCTGCATCATGCAGGCTATCTCAATAAGAACGTTCAGTCTTCCAATGAAGGATTCAAGGATTTGGCGCCGCGAGGGTTGTGGCTGTGTTCATGTATCCTGCGCGCCGCAGGATGCTATCCCCTGCCTCGCGTTTCGTCTATATTAAGCCTTCGGTCGAGTATTGCGGCTTGGCTTGTGAGTTGCCGCATGTTTTGTCGGGCTAAGCACGACGCGACACCGTGGCTCTGTACTTGCGTGCGGCCGATAACGAGGGTTGGGAGTTTTGAAACAACCGTGTTTAACATGGAGTTCCTCGTACAATTGTCTCACGTGATGAAAAATACACAACAGCGATGCAATACTCTATGCAGGCTTGATCTGGGACTATTGTCTATAGTGCATCGGAGAAGCTGGGGGCCACGATCATTATCTAAGTAGGCCTACCAACCATATCCCTTGTTCTGTTCATACCACTCGTCGTACTCTTCCCTAAGCGGTCTTGTCCAATACTTCTGTGTCACAACGTTATACAGGTCCATACCCACATCCTCCAGCGTCTTGGGCACCATGGACTCACCCTCCCTAAATCTAACCCTCATCTTTTTGATCCAGTGGACGGGCCCATTAACAAGAGGATCATCCGGGCTCCTCTCCACATATATGTCTGGTAGATCAAACCAGCAGACCCCTACAGAATCCTCCTCCGTAGCCACCCAGTCCCGCTCTTGGACCATAATTAGAAAATTAACGTGCGGATCCTGCGGCTTCGAGTAGCTAGGGAAGGTATGCATTGGCCAATTGCCTGCGCGCGCCTGCTTCTCGGCGCGGTAGTGCGCCATGCATTCCTCTCTTGAGGTGCCTTGGGGTAGGAAGAAGACGTCGAGGCGGTAATGCACCGGCTCTCTTAGGGGATCTACAAGAGTATGGAGGAGGCTACGGGGAAGGTCGGTGGATGCGGAGAGACCATTCGTCACGTAGACTTGGAAGGAGAAGGGTGGGGCGACGGGCGTTTCTGGAATGCATAGTTATATTAGTCTCCATGATTGGAGTCGAGCTTGGGGAGGCAGGTATCACCTCCTCGTCTACATTGTCCGTACCAGGCGCTTATTGCAGTATTGCCGATGTGGTCTTGGAAGGTGACTTGGTGGTCAATGATATGAAGATTTGGATTAGGCAGCGAACCGCCGGTCGTTTTCTGATCAGATGGTACGTTTCTCATGTTGCGCTGCAGAGTTCAGAAGAGGATTGATGACTCGCTTGTGGAGAAATCGGAGCAGAGCAAGGACGTTGTTCGAAACCCGGTACTGTGGCAATACTGATGCTCATTTCCTGCCGACTATCTTTACAAACCGTTCACTCTGGCTTCTGGAAGCCATTAACTTGATGGGGACTGTATACTATGTAAGCTTGCCGCATTAGATAACCTATCACGGCAGTGACTTGCCACCAGTTACTGTTAACTGTGTGCTTGAATGGCGCATATTCTGAGTCAAGCATACCATTCTCTGGGTCGTAATTGAATCTCACTCCGTTCGGGAACTCGATGATTGTTTTGAGAGTCTGATTATCCGACAACAGATATCATGTATGATGTTTTACGCTTTTAAGCCCGTGATTATGGTTCTTGCTCGTGCGTATGAACGTCAAATTGGTCACGCTTAACTGACTGAAGCGATCAAGGTACGTATTCCTAATCAACAGTACTCTATGGCTGAATACAAGCTGCAGTGCGAGCACCTCTCACACGCGGTGTCTCCATCCAAACCAAGCTTCTGAATAAGTGCTTCTGACAGGTCGTATCGTGAAACCAAGCGCTCGTGAAGAAATGGCTGCCGGGCGGCGCCGCACACTTCAAAGCTCTACGCTCTCGAACACCCAAGACTCCTCCCGCTAGCATCCCAACGCGTTAGAATATCTCCAGACCTTTCAAAAAAGGTTGCAAGACTCCCCGACCACTTCGATGCGCCCAAACTCCCATGACCAGCCCGGCTCCTTCCGCGCCGCGCTCCGGTCCTCGCCCTGACAGGCGCCGCGGCACTCTGGGTATATCTCGCTGTTCGCACTAATTTTCACCTTCTACCCTTGACCGCTCAATCATTCATCTCTTTGTCGTCGTCATCGTCAATCTCCAAAACCCGCCTCAGGACCTGGATATCCGCATGGCCCCTATAATTCTTCATCCGATGACACCACTCCACCTCGCCATCCCGGAACAAGAACTCCCCGCCAATCTGCAGCATGTTCCCGCCCTTGAACATGTTCCTCCTCGCCAGCTTCTTCTTCTTCTCCGCCTTCGCCCTCGCCTCCTCCGCCTCCCTTTCGGCGTCCGTAAGCGCCTTGTGCCGCGACTGCGGCCGCGACATGCTCGCGGGATCGGGTAGCGGCGTGCCCTTTCCCGCTCCTACAACCGCCCAGTCTTTGATCTGACCGGATACCCACTTGAGCTCGTTGATCTCTTTGCCCTCTCTGTCGACCATGTAGTCTGCTCTAGGCCCCATGTCGAGCGTCCAGGACATGCCGAGCACTTTGTACAGCTTCCGGCTCGGGTCGGCGAAGATGGGGAAGGGACATCCGGTCTGCGCTTTGTAGTGCGGGATCAGGTTCGGCGAACCGCACCCGATTATGATGATGGAGGTTGGTATCGACATGGTGAAGTACGTCTGGAGCGTTATCGATTTGGTGAGCGCGCGGAGGTATGCTTGGCAGGCCTAGTTATGAGGTCAGCTGGTTGTGTTACACAACCTCAAAGGCGGGGAAGTTGGGCTCGGGGGAATGCGGAGCACTTACGCCGCAGTAGAAGTGCCGCACGAAGAGCACGAGTTGCCGCTCTCCGATGACGTTGTCGCCTTCGTACAAGCTTCCGAACGCGCGACTCGTGCCGTCGGCTGCGAAGATGGGGATGCCTGCTGCCTCTCGGAGCGTCTTTTTAGATGGCAGTTCATCACTGATGTCCAAGTCGCCTCGGAAGCGCGAAAACCAGTCTTCCGGGTCCAGTGTGCAGGCGGAGGTGCTCGGCGCAATCGAAGGTACGGATTTTATTGATGCTTGAGCGCGATGTACACTGCTGGCTGTAGGGACGGTCGACTGGGTGGCGTCCGAGGGGTGCGACGAGTGGCCTGATGACGATCGCGAAGGCACAGGGTCGGTAGGCGACGAAGTAGCGGATGAGACGATGGGAGACGAGATCATGGACGATGAGGTGGTAGGAGTTGAGGCTTTCCGCCGGACTGGTAGGAAGGGCATGATGACGTGTAACGCGAATACGCGGCTTTGGAAATTGTGTCCCTCAGCGTCGGTAAGCAAGATAGGAATGGAAGTATCGACAGGAAAAGCTCAAGTTCGAAACAGTATTTGCGGCGCAACGAAAGGGATGCACGTAGGTGACGATGGCGAAGAGCTGAAAAAGAGGGTGAAGGGAAGAAGACCTTCTGGAAGCGGCGGGCTGATGTCAAAAAGCCATTATATTGGTCCGGCACCGTGGGCGACGGCGCCTTTCCCTCTCCAGTGGGGCCGTCCACGGTTCGTGCGGTTTCTGGGCCCAAAGATCGACCCGGCCCGCATCGACCAACGCCAGAACGCCAAATCTGCGAGCCGGGCTGTCAATCGGCCTACGCACGAGACCCTGGCTGGACCGTCCGGTTATCATATCCGGAGAATTTGATTAAGCTCGGCGATGGAGCGTACCGAGAGATTGTTTTCGTGCCGGGCCCGATGGCCTGAAATGAGGCGGCGTAAATGGCTGATGGTAGAAGTCCATGGGGAGAAGAACTGCCGCTGTAAGAATGCCGAGACAGCTGTGCGCAGGGTCCCCTTGACTCTGTCTGTGTGTCCTCCCACATCCGGGTTGGTGTGAGATTTGGCGCAGGATTTTGGTGCGGGCACATTCGGCAGGTACTCCCGCCGGCAGCACGAGTGTCGCGGAACCTACTCATGGAAGCTTTGGCTTCATCCACTGGACGTTCGAGCACGACGACAGACGTGATACATCTGGCTCATTGAGCTCGTTTCCGCTCCGAACAATCATGCGTTGCAAGACAACAAGTCGACAAACCGTCCTATGCTTATGGACCCCTTGTTGTTGAATAGCAACTTGCATCTTCCTCTGGCCAGTCCAGTCAAAGGAAACGAGGTATCTACCTAGGGGATTATCGTCGGCTTAACATCTCGTCACTCTATCTGCAGGAGAACGAGCGTGTCCCGTAGAGAAAAGAAGAGAAAAGACCTGTGGTCTACTCAACAGGTTTGCAAGTGCAAGGGATCCCTGACTTTGAGAAACTCCTACATAGCGACACCGAGAACGGCAGTGGAGAAAGCCTCAAAGATCAAGCCCTCAACGTCTTGACAGATTAGTAAACGGAATCGCAGAGGGGAGTTATTAAGGGTTGAGTTCAATCTTGTCTAAAGGTAATCTAGAGTGAATGCTGACGCCACAGGGCATGACATGCGTCCCTCGAGCTCGCCATGTGTTTTCCCCGATAACCGGACGGTTGCGCGTTAGGAACAACTTGCAAGCATCGTCCTTGCGCGCTCTGCCGTACATGAGCTTGCATGCCGTCATGAGACAGAGGGACATTTCCCTCCTGGCCACGGCAGCTGCTACATGCACCGAGGCTGTTTTTGCATGATGCTTCATGCGAGCGATGCCGTTCCCGATGACCAGATCTCCGTAGTGGATCTTCTCGTGTCACTGCAGTTCTGTCACCATCGATACTACATTCGCAACTGAGATTTTGCGGTTGACTCCCGGCAGTAGGACATGATGATAGATGCTATCGCGGTCTTCCTTCCTTGATCGGGTCTTTGGTCATAGCTGGCTCATATAGACCTGAGAGAATGTGTACGTCGAAAACAGTTACGGAGAGCTTTTACTTGGCAGGTGTATATTTAGCAATCAGCCTCTTGTTGAATATATATGATCTTTCAAAACGGTATACAAGTCGTCCTATAGTTAATGCTACGTGTCTCGTGCTGCCAGAACCGAGTGTCGTATGTCTCTCCAGAGGACTGCAGTTAGGATCTGTCATCTTCATTAGCGGGAGAATGCTTCGGCTGTTTGATGCTAGTCCTGTAACCAAAAGCTGTTGAGGATAAGTATATGGGCAAGACGAGCTGTGTGAAGGTATGTATGTCCGACTTGAGTGCAGGATAATGACATGTAAGTTGGACGGTGTGTCTTGGCACGTAGGCTGCAGGAGCTTTGCGGGCAGACGTTCAGAGACTCCAAGGTATCTATAGGTGTGTGCTCCCATTCTAAGCGCTCCATCAGAGGCTCCGCTTCTCAGGTAGTTGATGATTCGTTCTGCGGTTGATATAGCGCTTGGCATCCAACACTCTGTTCTGTGAGTAAGCCGACTCTCAAGTCTCCAGTCCGGCAGGCCTTTGGATGGCTTGGCTTCTGACCACCTGCAGCATAAGTCACCGGCGAAGGCGGCGTGCCATAGCTACATCGGGAGATCTTTATCCAGCTCTGCCCGCTTTAGGCAATGGCGAATATGCGAGTCAGCCGGCACATTGCGATGTTGCATCAGACCTTGCTTGCAACGTCAGCGCTCAAAGCACATGGAAGACAGTCTGAAGCGGGCGTGGCGGGCGTAAGAGATTGTGAAGTTTGAGGATGCTTGGAGAGCTGAGGAGTGTCGGGTATGCACGAATGTCGGTCAGCCTTATGGTGCATACCATGGCTGCATCTCGCGGCGCGCATGTGCTACGACGCGCTCTGCTCCCCACAGAAGAGCTTGCTGTCACCAGGCCAAGTCAGAAGGAGGAATGTGCCGTGCGGAGCTGTTGAGAGACGAAAGGGCGCTGCCTGGCGCTTCCTGAAACCCCTCATCGAGCTGCTCGCGCTCACCGAGACATCTCACCTGCCTGTGACTGGCGGCGGCCTCTTCCCCGTCCCAATCCTCCGATGGATCAGCGTGCGCCGCAAGACGGTGTCCCTGTCTTGACCGCTCGATCCCCCTGGATTCCATCCAGCACCTTCAACAACCCTTTCCTCTACTCGAGTACGTCTTCCACGACTTGCGGTTAACTTGTCTTTGGCTTGCTCAGCAGCAGCAGCACGTGCGAGACGTGTTCCGGTCTATTGTCGGTGAGCGCTAGGCAGCCGAGCGGCTCTGCGCTGGTTGGCACGGCTGGCACGGTTGGTACGGTTGGCACCACCTCATCCCCCAGACACGCCTGGGCGCTACGCAGGCAGACCCAAGCTTCCACCATTCTTACAGCCTCGCCAGCACACGACACGCTTCCTCTCCGGCAGCAGCAGCAGCAGCAGCAGCAAACCCCCCAAGCCGCACCACCGCGACCCTTACTATTACTACTACGAGTACAACCCCAAGTACGGCGCATGGGCTACAGATCCCAATATCGCTCGAGCACGCCCTTCGCTGCATATTGAGACGGCCAACCGCAAGCGGCTAGCTACCGTTACAAGATCAGGTCCTGGGCTCTCGCATCCGCCCAGAAGCGACACAGGCCCGCTCCACCGCCGGCTCTGCGTCACTCATTCGCAGTGTACCCGGTGATCTCGCGCCCTTAGTCTTGCGGATAGCCGCAGCGGGAAGGCCTCGTCCCGCCGTCCTTGTGACCGGCATCAAAGACGCATACCGCCTCAGATCACGTCAATACATCGATTTCCAGCGAGTAACGCGCCTCAGTTACTGCGTACCACCATCGCCGGCCATATATGCAGCTTCCCAACCAGTACCTCGCAAGCGACGGTTCAGCCTCACGACCTTCGCCATCCTCACACCAACTACCCACAATGTCCTCTCCAGCACCCCTCCTACGGCCGCCCATTCCCGGTGCCCGCTCGAACAGCGGCACCCGCACACCACGCCTGGGCCTCGCAATCCCCATGTCGCCCAATGTGCGTCCAGTCATAAACGGCACGTCCGAATCCCAGATCCAACCGCTCCAACCACTCCAACCACTCCAGCCGATGCAGCGCCCCCAGCCTCCACAACTCCGCCTCGCAACGCCCATGGGCAGCAACCAAACCCCACAAGAATCCCGCGGCCGCAACCCGCGCCTACCACCTCTCCAAATCCAGCCCGTAGGCGGCCCCTCAGCCTCCGGCTCCAGCGCCACGAGCGCCAACACAGGGAGCAGAAGCGGCAGTTTCGGCGAAGGCAACGGCGCGTCCGAGGGCTACGGCAACCACTTCCCCACCATGCTCCAGCAGCCGTCCGGCCGGCCGGGTGACCCGCTAAGTGCGGTCGGGAGCATATACTCCGCGGGCACGGGGTCGGATGTCGGGGGGACCGATATGGTGCGGGAGAATAGTGTGGGTGGCATTTTACCGGATCTGGAGAAGCTGAGCTTGGAGAAGGGGAGGCCGCTTGATGTGGAGGATCTGGATGATGGCGGGTGGAGGGCGGCGAGTAAGGAGGGGAAGATTGTGGAGTTGGGGAGTTTGGGGGAGGGGGCCGGTGGGGCGGTTACGAGGTGTGTGCTCAAGGGAGGGCGGACGGTTTTTGCGCTGAAGGTATGCACACTTCTCTTCCATCCTTTCCATAATCTCGGGGAAGGGGCGCAGACGAGCCGAGCGTCCCCTACGGAAGTGCCAGCGCTGACAGAAACCGTGCCCCAGATCATTACGACAAACCCCGACCCAGACGTCAAGAAGCAAATCGTGCGCGAGCTCTCCTTCAACAAAAATTGCGCCTCCTCCCACATCTGCCGCTACTACGGCGCCTTCATGGACGACGCAACGGGCACCATCTCCATCGCCATGGAGTTCTGCGAAGGCGGCTCCCTCGACTCCGTCTACCGTGAAGTGAAGAAACTCGGCGGCCGCACCGGCGAAAAGGTGCTTGGCAAAGTCGCCGAGGGCGTCTTAAACGGCCTCACATACCTGCACGGCCACCGAATCATCCACAGAGACATCAAGCCGAGCAACATCCTGCTGTGCAGGGACGGCATGGTCAAGCTGTGCGATTTCGGCGTCAGCGGCGAGTTCGGCACCAAGGGCGACGCGAACACGTTTATTGGGACGAGCTACTACATGGCGCCTGAGCGCATCACGGGCCAGAGCTACACCATCACGAGCGATGTGTGGAGTCTGGGCGTCACGTTGCTGGAGGTCGCGCAGCATCGGTTTCCGTTCCCGGCGGACGGCACGGAGATGAATCCGAGGGCGGGGCTGATTGATCTGTTGACGTATATTGTGCGCCAGCCGATTCCGAAACTCAAGGATGAGCCGGAGAATCGGATCAAGTGGAGTGAGAATATGAAGTATTTCATTGAGTGTTGGTGAGTCTGCTCTCTCTGCCTGGACGTCTCATGTTTCGGTCAAGGGGCAAGCGAGGCGGGGACTGAGATTGGGGAATGATGGGTTGGAGAGCACGAGCTAACGGCAAACTAGTCTGGAGAAGGAACCGACGAGACGAGCGACGCCGTGGCGCATGCTGGAGCATCCGTGGATGGTCGACATGAAGAGCAAGAAGGTCAATATGGAACACTTCCTCAAGCAGGTCTGGGACTGGAAGGATTAGGTGGATTGAAAGAAGCCTCATCATGCGCCACGAAACATCTTGCGGCGTCTTATGAAGCAGCTGCCGTGGCCAGGAGGCCCTTCGGCGAGCCCAGCGGATGGAAACGGGACCACGGAAACGGGATTACGGAGGAATGAGGGACTGGGCAGAGGACATCGCTAACGAACGCGAGGGAGACGTTGAAGTATTGCTTGCGTGGGAAGCATTGTCATGGCGTTTGAGCGCATTGCATGTATAGTACCGGAGCACGGTTAAGGTTCTGGCTAGACCAACTATTGAAACATCAACAACAGCAGCTTCGTGCACACGTAATGTGAAATAGTCCAGCAGCCTGAGGGAATCTATAGTTTGACGGTCTATATCTCCCGCATATTTCAGCCGCCCTACCATGGTAATCGCCCGCTGGCCAATCAGTCCTCTGGTTCTTCCCGTCGTGTCCTCTAGACAGCCCCGGCGGTCTGGAGCAGCTTCGGTAGCTCCTTCTTCTTGCTCTGCAGATCAGAGTTTCCGCCAATGTGCTTCTTGTCGATGAAAACATTCGGCACCGTGCGCTGATGCGTCATCTCCTCGAGCGCGTCCTGGATAGCGGCGCCGTCATCTGTTGGCAAAAACCGTCAGCCTTTGTTTTACACACACTCCACTCCCCTCCCCCCTTCCCTCACTCTCCCTTCGTCCTCCTTAAATGCCTCCGTCCTTTCCCACCTTCCCGCCTTCCCGCCTTCCGCTTTCTAGATAGGATTGCAGATACATACCAACCTGATCCAACTCAATAGCATAGAACTTAGCCCCCATCTCGCTCAGCAGCTGCTTGGTGGCCTTGCAGTAGGGGCAGTAGCTCTTGCTGAAGACGGCGACGGGGTTATCGTCGATGATGCCCTGGGCCTTGGTCTTGGCGGCGGACATGGTGGCGGGCGAGGTGGCGCGCTGGAAGAAGCGCGCGAGGAAGGAAATGGTGCCGGTTTGTGGGGGGGTTGGTGGTGGGCGAGGTGGGCTCAGGGAGGCTTGGGAGAGTTTGCGGAGGGGTGTAGGTGGATGCGAATGGAGGGAAGGTGTGGTTGTGGAGGATTGTTGATCTGACTGAGATCTGATGATGCAATCTGGGGGGCAGCGGCGGCGGAGACGGCGGCTGTTCAGCGCGGCTTTGTCAGCGGTACGGAATGCTGGTCTTGGGTTAGGCGAAGGACGGGAGCGAGGGAGAGATCGACGTCAGCCTTCCGCGCGGCGACGGTGCGCATCTCATGTTTCTTTTCGGGTTTGTTGAGTTCTGCCTTCCTTTTTGCGCTTTTCTCATTGCGCTTTTTCTTAGAGCCTCGTAAACTAGAAGCTTGTACTTCTCATACACAGCGATAACCAACACGGCAACCTCTCCCCAACACCGCGAAAGCCTCCCAACTTCCATGGGGTTATCACGAAGAGTCCTACGAGCACCTCACGAAGGTTGAAAGAAAGCTCTACACTACGCCTACAGGCCTTCGATAGCCTGGTAACTACACAGCGCGATCCGTGATTCTCAACCGATCCGGCCATCCCTTTTACTACTGTGCCGACTCCAGACATGGCGAGCTCCGCCGGCTCCGCAGTCAGCTTCGCATTCGCCCTCTTCATCATCTCCCTCCTCGTCCTGCTACTCCTCAGATGCTACCTCCCGCTACGATCGACGCCCGCGTACCTCCTCGTACCGGTGTTTCTCGCGCTTGCGCTGCCCGCAAGCATTGTCCTCCTCGTACCGATAGACCTCGCATCCAGCGCAGGGACGGATACCACGGCTTCTAGGGGGGTATGGCTTCCGGAGAGAGCGTTGCTGGTATCTTGGAGGATCACATACTGGCTTACGTTTGCGCTGACATGGTGGGTTCTTCTATGAGTATAGCCAGCTCGGCAACGGTGCTAACGCGACCGACAGGGTCATCCTCCCTCTCCTCGGCGAATACTGCGACTCGGGCTACCGTGAGCCCAGAGATCGCTTCATCTATTCCCTCCGCTCGAACGGCCGCTACCAGCTGATGATGCTCGCGACCGGGATCGCAGGCGCGATATACTTCTTCCTGCAATCGGGGTTTAACATTACGAATCTGAAGGCTACGGTCATGGCGCTCGCGTACGCATGGGGCCTCATTCTTGCGATATACCTGATGGGGCATGGCCTTGTCGCGCTGCCCCGGCGGCTGTATCGTAACGCCGACGTGAGTCGCAGACTGCGAAGCCTGCAATCAAGGGCGCCGAAGTTGCACGACAAGCTCATGGATGCAATCGAGCAGCTGGAGCAGTATGAACAGCAAGTCGCGGTACTCCGGCAGCGGAAGACTGGCATATCAAGAGAGTATCGGGAATGGATCGAGGAGCTTGCGGAGGCGTCCGCTCTCCCAGAGTCTCGTGGTTCAAGCGCACAGAGACCCACAAACACCACCGTCCCGCCTGTCGTAACGGACCGCTACCTCGCAGACCTAACCCGCAAGCTCAAGCGCGCCCGCCACAAGAAAATGCGCTTCATCTCCGAATGGGACAACCTAGTCCGCGCAGCCATCGACACGCAAGCAGTCCTCGACTCGGCCACCACCCAGCGTCTCTCGTTCAGCAGCAATTCCACCCTCTCCTCATTCCTCTCCAAATCCCACATCCTAACCCCCTATACCCGCCACTACCTCCACACGCGCCTCCTCCCCTCGGCCCGCTACGTCCTCGCCGCCCTCTTCGCCCTCGCCTCCGCCGCAGTAATCTGGTCCGAGATCACCAAATCCCTCGCCCCGAAGCTTTCCTTGATCGGCCTCACGATCATCCACCATCCCAACGACTTAGCGCGAGGCCGAATCGGCTTCGCAGGCCAGGCCATCGCCGCCGCATGGCTTAGCTACATGATAACCTGCGCGCTGCTCTCCGTGACCGAGGTCAAGCTCTGGGGCAACCGCGCGCTGGTGCGGCGCGGGACGTACGCCGAGAGCGCGGCTTGGTACGCTTGTCAGGTCGCGAAACTTACCGTGCCGCTGGCGTATAACTTCGTCACGTTTGTGCCGGGCGAGGTGTGGAGGGCGACGGCGTTCCATGGGTTTCTGGGCAAGCTGATTAATTTGACGCCATTGGGTGCTGGGTTCTCGAGCTATTTCCCGATGCTGGTGCTGCTGCCGGTGGCGGCGACAATGTTTGGGTGGTATGGGAAGGTTAAGGGGGTATTTGGTTTTGGGGCGGTCATGGACGAAGAGGAGGGTGATGAGGGGGGGATTGGGGCTGGTGGATGGAGAGAGGGGAAGGCGCTCATTGAACGCGAAATTAGTGGAGGTGCGGGGAACGCTCTTGGTTTGACGGCGCATAGGGGCGATGGCGATGCTGAACCTGCGGCGCCGGGACCGCGCCCGGAGCGGTATAGAGATGCGGATAGTAGGAGACCGTTGATGAATACGGGAGACGAAGACGATGCTGGAGGCGAGGGGAGTTGGTTCGATGACTTTTCGCACAGGGTGAGGAATACCTTTGATACGGCGGAGAGGCCGGCGTGGCTAGAGGGGCTCAAGAAACCGAAGTGGATGGGCGGGGATGAGGGAGGATCATCTAGCGGAGGAAGAGATGGGAGGGATGGATTGAACAGGTGGTTTGGTGGAAGGAGTGATGGGAGGGTGAGGTTGTAGCTGATACAGTTTTGTCTGGGTTATGCGTTGATCAATGGGGGGAGTCCAGCGGGACGACGTGCTGGTAAACACAATTCATAAGCTGCGTTAGTCGGCGTACCGCTCTGTCGGGGAGTTCGAGTAAGCTTCCCTTCAGCGAGGTCCATGTGATGCGACTGACTCCAAAGCTAGAAATCCGAACGATGACGCATCAGAGCTGGCTACCACTCCAGGATTTCCACCCAGTGTGCTAGGATTTCGGGAGGAGCCACGCTTGAAGAAGACGACTGAATCGGTACCCAAGCTCGGACAAGGGCATTGAAGATTGGCAAGACTGCATGCAGCGCAGTGATGGGTCAATATTGGCAGGACAATATCCGTCGCCGGCCACAATGATGAACTCTGCGAGGAGCTTAATGAGCACTGTCGTTGGAGATGAACTTTTAGCCCAAGACGTACCTATCCAGAAAAACCAAGCAATGCCAAACGATATAAAGCTATACGAGCACGCTCCGATGACCCACCGCCGATCCGGCGCGCTCTTCCACAGCAGCGCCATCAACGCAAAGATGTACACCCCTCCAAATGCGACAACGAGGATAGCAACAACGCCGAACATACCGCTGAGTTTTCATTGGCACAGCTTGATTCCCCAAGACTCGACGCGATGCCCAAGATCGCGAACGGAAAGCCAAGTACAGCCATCGCGACGTCCGCGAACAGCGCGTCCGTCGCCGGCTGTTTGAAAGCTTCTCCGAAGAACACGAAACAACCCACCAGCGACCACAGCAGCCGCGGCCGCGTGAGCCACAGAAACACCAGCACGCTGAGATTCGCGCCAAACCCGCCAGCCCGTGTAAGCACCGCGGGAAGTACGGCCACGGCAACGGCGCCGACGACAGTCAGCAGGCCCCGGACGGGCGTCCAGCTTCCCAGGTCGTCGCCTTTGCCGCCACCGCGCTTCCAGAGCTGGAGGTGCATGCGCGTCTTTTCGCGGCCGAGGAGCGTGTTCACGGCGATGGCGACGAGGTTGTTGACGACGAGCGGATACGATCAGGAGGATGGTGCCATGGCGCCTTTGGGGACGCAGGTGGGGGAGGCTGCTGAGACGCTGCCGAGGAGCATCGCTAGGATTTTTTACGAAGACTCCGCTGGAGATCATGTTGTGTTGATAGTGCTGATAGTAGAATTCAGGCCTGGAGTTGAGCTGGAGACCTCGTCGTTGTGTAGAGAGTGCTCTCTACACTGATTCAACACATCTCTCTTGACCGTGCCTCGAAGCGAAGCGGGATATCCATGTCGCCCAGCCGTACTGATTCGGTGCGGCCCTCAGCCCTTTCGTTCGCGGCTGCGGTCGTTTCATTTTGGTATAACGGGCGGGACAAGGCGCCAGCCTTGATTGCGGAGGGAGCTCCGTTCGATCGCTCTCCTGTAGGGTTTAGCCCTACGGTCTGTGTACTAAAACTGGCAAGCGAAGGGGTTCAGCTGAGGGGACCCTGAGAGATGAAAAGAGTGATAAGAAATGGGCGTTGATATCTCAGACCAAGGTGGCTTGAAGCAGGGCTGCGAAAACTTGTGATTGGATGTGGAAACCAAGGAAAAGGAGGTGCCAAGTTTGGACAGCAGCAGGAGCTCCAACCGTCCCAGCGGATGATTAACTTGCCAGCCGATCTTTATACTTTATAAAGAGATGAACGTCAAGAAACAAAACACGTTGCTTGATCTGAAGCCTCGCATCCTTCTCCACGCTTCTGATGAATGCAAGCCTGGCTGATGCCTGGGCGGAGTAATGGGTTCTCCCTGCTGTTGACCCGTCCGACAGTCCTCTGACCTACCAAGCAAGACCGAGTAGACGTAGCTGTCGTGCAGCCATATAGAACCGCATGAGGGCCTTGCCGAGTTTCTGCTGGTGCCAGCTGGAAGCAACAGGCCTTAGCGGCGTGGAGGCTAGGCCGGCGTCGCCATCACTCTACCTCGGCGCCGAAATCTCGAGATGCTCTCCAGCTCGGTTTGGTCCAGAGTGTGTACGGCAGACCCCCGTTGCGAGTCCAAATAATCATCAGTCTCTCACGCATGTCAGCGCCGTACATAGCCCGCAACCCTTACCGCAAAAGCCCAAAGACAGCTTCTTTCACTGCCGCCGAAATGTAAGATCTAGACTCCATGTCCGCTTGCCTAGTATTTCGGTCTTCTCATGAGGTTCCAGATGATACCAAGCTCTCAACCAATGCATGGACGTCTCGCAGATATTACTAACACCCGCGTTGTCCCGGACTAGCTTCTTATTAGCCCTTCGGTGCTGTTTCTAGTGTATCTTCAGCCCGCCTTAGTGCCTGTGTAGCGCGAGCGCTGTCTGTGTACGCGACCCAAGATCTGGAGCGGAGACTCACGTCGGACGCCGATGGGTCTATGCATCGATAATGGGTCACGGTCCGGAAGACTAGTCTACTAGATGCTTTATAGTCTCATCAACCAATGCACTAACTGAGGCTGCAGCTTCTACTTAGCTAGCCTGTAGGTGCGCGAACTGCTAGTACAGCCAGAGAGTTGCAAAGAGTAAGTCAGCTGCAAGCAGGGTAGTCTAGAGCATCGCAAGAGCATGTCGGTTAACATGTGCGCGGAACGGTAGGTCTCTTGGTAAGAATTGATGTCTAACGATTGATAACTCTCGGGCCCTTCTGGGAGTACACTCTATCCAAATCCCCCAACGCAAGCTATGCAGCCAAATACAAAGTCCAAAGTATCCGAGGCACCGAGTGTCATAGCAGCCAGGACAGACTCCTCGCTAACCGTACCCATCGTCCTCGTAAAGAGCGTGTGCGTCATCGATATCATGACAATGAAAATCCCGTGACCCAGCGTAATGCAAGAAATCAAAGTGCATAACCACAACATGACTAGTTGCGCGGTTTGTAGAAAGCTCCGGCCCTCATATCCCTGACCTGCACCACCCTCGGCAGGGCGTTGGTGCAGTCGATGAGGTTGGCAGATCCGCCGGGGACACCGAGGAGAGTCATGCGCTCCATACTGGAAGATCATGTCAGCGGCCAGTCTAAGATTGTAGATATCAGATAGAACTTACGCTTGAGCGTACTTGCCGTTCCACTTGCCCTGACCGTCAACAAAACCCTTGAACTCCTTGCCGACAATAGGGTGAGCAGCGAGGTTCCTGTCAGACTCGAAGACGAAGACGCCGTTTGGTGCGGGCGTCTTGAGCGTCTCGCTGTAGTACTTGACGTCCCAGATACCAGGCGTGCTGTCCTGGGATTGACCGGCGCGGCTGGGGTCAACGAAGCGCTGCTTGCTAGTGCTGTGGGCGCCAAGGAGTGCGGCAAGGTCGACGGCATCGAAACCCTTGTCTTGAAACAGGCGGAAGAGGCTCTCACCGGAGCCGCGGACGTCTGGGAGGAGGCCATCAGGGTTAGGGATGGTAGAGTCCTTGCGACCCACCCAGGTCTTGATCTTTGGGCCTCCCGGGCAGGTGACCGTGGCATGGTCTGTAGAGATGGAATGTCAGCTGTGCCGCTGAGAATCAACTCGAGGCGGTGCTGTACTTACTGCCTGCGAATGCGAGCATGTCTGCAACACCGACCTTGTACCTCTGGGCCATCGATAGAAGCGTGGCTGAGATGCCTTGCAACCCGTTGTTGTCCGGTCGGTTAAGCTCACCCGCTAGGATGAGAGATCCGTCGCAGCCACCAGTGTTGCCTTGCGGCTTGTTCCACGTGCCGCAGTCATGGAAGGATGCCCTTATGGCGGCGCGTGCGGCGTCGTTGCACTGACCGTTGGAGAGGAACAATCCCGTGAGCTCTTTGCTAATGGTCGTCCAGACCGCAGGGCAGCCGCTCTGACGGGTTTCGAGGTCACGTTTGGCGGAGAAGATGTCAGGGATGGAGATGGAGCTGATGGTGCGCTTTACGGCTTCGAAATCTCGCTTGGCTGCGGTGAGATCAGGTAGGACAGCGGAGACGTCAGGGAAGGATATGGCATGGGCTGTGGTGGCGGCGGTGGCCAGAGCGAATGTTGTGGAAAAACGCATGTTGACTGGTCTTGTAGGATTGGTAGTGAGTAGTATGGGATTGGTAGTGGGTAGTGAGTAGTGAAAGATTGATGGTGTGTAGCGAAAGACCGATGCCAATGACTGGCAAGCTGTTTGAACGAGAGATGTGAGAGGATGTGGATGTCCATTGGATAGAGGAGCGATTGCACAGTACATATACATGCTGGACGTAACAGACCTCGCCGTGACGGTGAGGCGTGTTCAAGAATACGCGGGCTCAAATTTGTCAAGATACAGCTGAGCACCTGGTCGAGGCTCTCCGCTTATTGTTAGAGGGCCGCTTGGGATGCATGGTGGGTGTGCTACTGCACGAAGATCGTGAGGAAGTTGTGGCCGAAGCAGCCTGTAGGCGCCGGTCATCGCTTGTGCAGATCGAGCCGACTGGATTAGCAAGCGGGTGTGTACCTGTGCGATTTCGAGCAGCGTACCCGCCCTTGTCTAGAGCGATTCCAGACCGGTGGCTAAGGAGCCGTAGCGCGGCCGAAGATGCAGGCTTTCCGAGTAGTACTACGCATCGGGGTGGTCTGGCGCCGGAGTACGAGATCCACTAAGAAAAAAAGGTCCGAAGCTTGTGAAGTCCATGTAAGTCTTGCATAACGCTTCTCGAAATTTCTTGCTCACCGCAGATGTACTGCCGAGCAACAAGCGGACGAGTTGATCAAAGTTGTTTCGTTTGTGCTCTTTAATCGTTGGATGATAGCGGAAAGAGATATCGGTGCCTTACGGCATCCCTAGACATGTAGGAAGCATCGGAATTAAGGCAAGACCTGATGTTACCTAAATAAAATGACACTACGCTCATCCGAATTCCCTTGCTGCAACAATCAGCGTTCGATCAGAGCCAAGTTGAAAGGTCGGTGGACCCGCCTAAAGCCTCTGCAGGACAGCCTCAATCCATTTGGTGCATCTCGTCAGAACGCCCACAACGACAATGACAAGCGAGGTCTATGCTTAGCGTCGTGTTCACCGACCATGAAGCGTGGCCGATTCGACGGCAGTCTCCAAGCTGCCGGTATCTGGGATTTTGTTGTGCCATGGAGAATGTCCAGACCGAATTCCAAGAGAGACGCGAGCCTTGGTAGAGCTCAAGTTAAGCTTAACTAGACTGACGGGAGATCAGCGCTTCTCCGGATGTGGGAGAGGCTGGATCTCTCTGGACAACCTTGGAAGATGTCGCGCATTTAGCGTACCCGGTAAAGCGTAATGAAGAATGCCAACGTCATGATTCGTTGAAAGTCAACCAACGATTCGACATCTCGGCAGAAGATTTGACAGTTAGTACAGCTAGGCCCAGCCGGCTTCCCGAGCTAGATCCGAGGTCTCCGCAAGTCGATCAGTGCTGAGAAAGAATATGGAATCTGGGCCAGTTACGTAGCCTCGATAGCCTCAATACTCACATATTACGGCATTTGAAGAGGCCGGTACGAGTTTTGTCGTGGCTGAAGGGACAGAGAGGCGTCTCAAGGACGCATGTCAAAGCGAGAGATCTCGGAACGGAAGATCTCTTGCGGACGCTCTCCCGGTTCTCCGGCACCTCGATCCAGTGGTGGGTTGACCGTTTCAACAAGCGTATACTCAAGGCAGATCGTTCTGTTGACAGCCGTTAGGGCTCACACACCTTCCGGTTCTTGATTGCCGAACTTCCTGTCTCAGCCACCAAGACACAAGACATACCGCTCAAGTTCAGGTATGTACACAGATCCCTCGCCAGCAGTGCACAGCCAGCGAAGACATTCTCCAGGTCAGCGCTGCTTGCAGTCCCATGCTCTGCAACTACCAAAGTGCTACGAGTCACAGATCCAATTGCTCGTTCAAATCATCATCCTTCCAAAAGTCGAATGGCTTCCTCTTGGCGAATTCGGCGGCACCTCTCGCCCACACAAAGACAGGCTCATCATCTAGGATCTCCGGCAGGCGCCCGAACAGGCTCATGATCTCTTCCTCAAGCAGCCTGCGAAACCTTGGATTACCGGAGCACTCGCCGAACAACAGCACTTTGGAAGGCTGCCTGACTCTGCTGTGAACGGAGCCTCTCAGGATGGGTGCACGTATGGCGTCTCTCAAGGCCTCCCAACAGTATTCCTCGCGAGGATTATCATGTCTTGCGTCATATCCTAATGTGAAGTCTTCCAGCTTGTAAGGAGCATGCTCGTACAACCACGCAGCAACGGAGGTTCTGGATAGGGATACCGTGAGCGCAGTTCGCGTATAGAGGACTGAAAGCACATTTGTCATGTTCGATATTGGTCGTATTTCGGCCTCGCATGCCTCTTTGTCCATGTAGTGTTCACAAAGACCTAGTCCGTGCCCTGCAACAGCGGCCATGGTTTCGTAGGTGGGATAGTTGAACGGTCGGATTTGGATATCCTCAAGACCAGCGTAGCCAAAGGCATCGTAGATGTCTTCACCGTAGATTGCCGCGAGATTGACTACTGCCGCGACAACAGACGAAATCCTATAGCCTAAAAACTTCTCGGCCTCTGTTCGCAGGTCGGTGATCATGCCGCTGAGAGCGCCAACATCATTAGATGCCGGAAGTCCGCGCATCTTGCGCCAGCGACGTAGCAGTTGGCGGGGATAATCACGCCATTCTTCATCCATGTTAATGTATGGCGGGCTGCTCTATCTTGTTAGCTTGGGTTGTCGGTCGCAAAATAATTATGTTGACTGACTGTAGATGCTGAGATGAGTGGAGGGATAGGCGTGCCATTGTCTCATGATATGGACTGCTGGCATTGATCTTCGCTACGTTGACCGTAGTACCATTGTGGTAGCTGATCGCCACGGTCCTAGAACGCCTGTCAGTACTCAGGTCTGACCGTCTTGGTAATTCATGACTCACCCATATGTCCCCGAAAGGTCAAACCCTATCCCGACCCCGCCATTCGGCAGTCCGTTGGACGGTGGAGGAGCTTGTGGGTCGCTACGAGGAACATCTTTTGTCGACTAAGTCCAGATTGAGGATAAAGAGAGAAGAACTAGGAGGACAACGATGGATGTGGCTACTGTGTGGGACATGACGCGTAATCATTGATCCTCGGTTACTCAATAGATTCGCAAAGATCTGATGACAGGTCTATCGTACTAAAGACGAGACCATTGACTTCGAGTAGAAGAGTAAACCCTCTCTCGTCTCTAAGCGCAAATAAAGAAGGGACATATTGTTTTCCAGCTTGAAGACGGCACAGAATGATGGCTGTGAAAGGGTTGGACTATGCCGCAACGCTGCATTTCACTGCCTGAAGCACTTGTACAGCCTGTTGCATTCTAAGCGCTCGAGGCGGTTTTACATGTCTCCCGTAAGCGCCTTCGAACTACCGGAAACCATGAACCCGAACAAGTGTATCTGATCTACCCGCGCGGCAACAGCTTGAGTTTCGGACGGACCAAGGGAGAAGGACTAGCTCCCTCACTCTCACTCACTCAGAACTCCAGCCAAGAGATCGAAGGCGCGGCATTACCCGCCATATTGAGCCTCTTCACACTGCATCAAGCTCCCACAAGACCCCCCAGCTCTAGGCCTGGCTTGTCCATCTAACCTTCTAGAATACCTTCGCGACCTTGATTGCGCTATTTGGTGCATCCTAGGACATAGTATTCCGTCAACCAATCATGCATCTTGTTAGCCAGACCATTGTTCTTGCCCCCACGTTGAGGGTATGGTCCTGTCCCGCAGCGCGGCTCACAGTATCTTTGCTAATGTTCCTGCCCTTCTCATGTTTTTAACTGGCAAGCGTAGCAATGGATTGGTAGGGTCTTGACTTCTCTTTACTCATCCATCATTACCCCGAACCCGTCAGCCTTCTATCAATTGCCGAGTGCACTTGCACACGCAACTGTGATCTCCTAGCGCCTACTGGGGCATGGCCGCTCCATTGTGATGCGTATTAATCTCAGAGCGCTGCATGCAGGGCGATTTGCCTGACTTCGAGAGAAAAATTCTCTTGGCAACTAGGGGCTGAAACGCAGCTGCATCTACTGCGCCACTTCCTTCGCTGTTTGATATTTAAGTACCCGGATTGGCTTGGATTCCTTTCATCTGTACTTAGCACTGTCATTCGCTTGTTTGTATGTTCATTGCCGTCACTTCAGTGAACTTTCTTCATTCCTCAAATGCTCAGTTTGCGACCGGTTCATCCACTACAGAAATTCTTGACAGAGCCGAGGACTCCCTATGTCCGCACACAGTGGTTGGTCTCGGCCGCAAGAAGATGGTCCAGAGGACATTTCGACTGTCAAGCTGGCGCCGTCTCATCAAGATACGCTTAGTGACGCAGCCGACCCAGCGTCAAGCGTATCAATAGCTGAGCCAGCGGAGGCAGAAAGCCTCATTGACTCGGAGTCTGACAATCAAGAGAAGAACGTTTCGCGCTCCAGACTGCCATCAAGTGGAATAGCTGGGGCTCATCTCGACGTGTGGGTTTCCGTGGCATCGGCGGCGGTACCACTTCTTGTCTTTGTGTGTCTGTTTCTCTACATTGTGGTGGCATACCAAGTTTCCCCAGCAGTACCCGGCGTATCATATTTCAACGCTCAGGAACAGTCCACAGGCTCACCTGCATTCTTCGTCGATTTCTCGGCAACGTCACTAGCGACAATCGCATCTTGGGCGAGTAGCGTTGCCACGCTAATCCCGAGCTTTGTCATGACGCTGTACTCGTACCAGCTCGCGAATGATTTCTTGCATGCGCAGGAAGCAAATCCTAGCCAGCTTCCCTCGCCGTACCAGCTTGGCCTCTTGATGAAATCGTTGGATGGGCGGGTCACGTCTTTCTACTATCTTATCTCCTATATTTTCTGGAAGTCAAGAGATGGAGCGAGCAGGATGATCAAATCAGCCTTCACTCTTCTAGCGGCGGTGATGATACTCAGCTACTCTATCTGGGCAGTCGATACATGGCTGCACGTTACAACGAAAACAGTAGCTATCTCTGCGCTTTCGACGGTATCTCAACCGTCTGAGAAACTCGGATTCAAACTCCCCGACGGATGCGTCGGTTTCTATGACACCATGTATCACAACGTGGTTCGTAAGCCCGAATGCTACCTGCCGTACTATTACTGCCCGGACGCTGGATGTGGATACGCTTATGAGATACTAGCCGCGGACTTATCAGCCTCTACCCAAGTCCTATCCGGGGAGCAGGATGGCAAGACCTTCTCGTACCTCGTTGCAGCCAACACATCTCATATGGACTTCTCAACTGCCACCATCGCAGTCTCAGCGTCTTGCAAGCCCATTAGTCGTCAATGTGCCATGACACCGAAATATTGGGGGTTCAACTGTTCAGATCGTTTTCACGGCTACTTCGGAGGCACTCCTGAATATTCCGAAGACGTCCGCGACTTCGGAAATGGTTGCATGGGCATGTTTAGCGACGCGAACTTCACCACAGAGATGGAAAAGTCCAACTTCAGTAATCCCGTCCATATCGGCGTCTTTGCTTACCTCCCGACCCTGGGCGCAAAAGATTCTCCCTTGAAGTCTGATCCGGATATGTTCCAATACGTTGAAACCGTGAATAGCTTTACACTGGGCTGCGAGCTGAGCGTCTACGATCTGAATTACACGCTCATCAATGGCTCCATCTCCGCAGCCTCATTCAGGATTGCCGACAACGACACTTCCATCCTTGTCATACGCTCTTTCGGCTGGGAGATCGCAGACCCGCAGTTTGCTATCTCGACACTGTCATCTGTGCTCGGCACCAAGACCATGTATGAAGTCGCGCAAAGGTACGCGGCCTCGCTTGAGCGAAACTTGGTAGCCTTCGCCGCTACGGCCTTCGAGCCGCGCAGGAATTCCGAGGAGCATATCCGGCGTAACATGTTGATTGCCCGCGTACCCAAGGCTCCTTTGTTTCTCCTCGTTGCGCTTTGTATTGTGTTTGCGGCTCTGGGCATCGCCCTTGGCTTGGGCATCCTGTGCGTCGTAGGACCGACGCGGGTGGGCGACGTGCAGGCGCGCCTGAGTGTCTACGGGCTCCTGGCCAGCCGCTTCGAGGCGCAAGAGCGAGCAGAGGCACCTGTGAAGAAGTTGGAGGATCTTTTCGAGGAGAGGGACGGCCGGATGCGCAGTGCTCGCGTTGCCATCGTGCCGTCGGCTGAGGGAGGCTGGAGGTACTGTGCCGTACGACCTCGGACAATAAGTCCTCCTGATGCCTAAGGTTCTATTTTGGCAGAAGTCATGGATGGTAACCTGAAAGAATCATTCATTCTATTTCAATCCCACCAAAAGACCTCGGCGCGACTACAACTGCGATTGAGTCAGGTAGTAACGGCATTGGACGCGTGAATCGACCTTTTCATCCAGAAGAGAAGGGTCACGCTGCGATGAAGGAATCCGTTGTCGCCCAGGCTAGACAAGGCGGAGTTCCATGCGTCAAGGACTGAAGCAGCGCAGAGTCGCTCAAGTTACGAGCATTCTCATTCGAGACTGATGTGAGCATCTCCAAAGTGAACCAAGAAGAAACAGCCAGTCCGTCATCATTAACGAATGGTTTACGGCGCTCTTTCGGGAATGTTGGTCGGCTCGGTAAACGACTTGATCTGACGCAGGACGTCTTCATGCGAATCATTCCACGAGTGGTGTATTCGTGCTTGTTTTTTGCTTCGTGAAACGTGGATATCTCACGCATATTTGTACTTGTACTAGTCTTAGATGTGGTTTCGGTGTAGGAATCCTTTACTGCATACCTTTTTCTACATTCTTAAAGGTTTCGTTCAGAAACGGCATCAGGATAGAGATACTGAGTCCCTCCAATCAGACGCGAACACCCTCCAGAATAGCCGGTGGTCAGAGTACTGCTGGTCAAACTGAACATGTCGTGCAGAGTTGCTTTGTTGCGGGAAGGCTTCGGAAGCGCCGAAGATACGGATTTGGGTTCGGAAACTCTTTACGCGCCGGATACCCGTGGCGGCAATGCAATTATTACCGCCGTGGACTGCGGCACAGCACGGCGGTGAGGCGGTACCTTTCCGCAGAGCTCTCTTATGTGTCTCATCTTCTCACCGTGTGCGCTGGTAGACGCGAATTTGCAATTGTTCAAATTTGTATTTTTATCTTCCACATATCTTTGACCTCCCAGTTGATTTATAGCCTGCAGCTCTTCTGTTTCTTGTATCAAATAATACTTCGAAATCCCCTACATCTTCAGTCCGATTGCCCTAAAGAGTAAGGACCAAGTCTGGGAGAACATATTAACCATGTTGCGGCCCATCGACGTGCTGTTCATCTCCATGCTTGTGGGCCTTCTATTTCTCCCGATATGGAGAGCCTATTTGTGTTCTCCAGGAAGTCACGCGGCGGAAGCGACATCGATCGCAAGTTATGGAGCGCTTCTGCAGCCGCAGGAGCTGCCGAACCGCGGAGTAGGTGTAGGATTTGATCTCACTGCGGGCTATGGGTGGGTTATGGCACACAGGACGAAGATGCTTTGTTGCCTGCTGACAGCTTGTTGGCAGGACCGTAGCAATTAGCTATCACAATGGTTCAACGGCGAACGTGGCAAGGGTCAATGCCAGCGAGACATACCACAAGACTATGTCACGGCTCTCCCGCATGAGCTCTCGCTACAGGGTGTGAGTCAGGCCAGCTTACCTAGCTGCTCCAGATTGTTGACTGATGAACTTGATTAGTTCCCCTGCAGATGCGAGAGCCCTGGGTGACATGATCAAAGACCTACGGGCGGAAGCTGAGGACTTCCTCGAATACCCTCTCTCATCTGTTGTAGGAACGATCGTCAACCTCGAAGGCCTTAACGGCAACACTCTGGACGCTGCTTTCGAACATGCAGGCCTAGGCGTCATCCAACTCAGGTTCTTCAACTACCCCGCCTACGAGACCATGACCGCATACGCCGGCAACGGCTTGGGTATCTGTTCAGATTATAAGAACAGAACCGCTTGCAAGATCGAGCGGATGGCGATGCAGGACATATACGTACTCTCAGTGCTGTACACCAAGACAGCATTAACGGTTGCATTAACGCTCATGGCAAGCGCGAATGACTTATACGAGCATCCGCCATTGAAAGTGGAAGATTTCACGCTGGGCCACGATGCGAGGCACCAGAATCCGAACGAAAAATACTACTGGGAAGCAGTAAAGGACGCGGTCCGGAGAGCCGTTGTATGGGATGTGGGCCCTATGAGGCAACCGGCAAAGCTGTTGCTGTTCGGTGAAAGCTCTGGCGACGCCAAGTTCCGTGCCGTCCTGAATGAGACTTGTCAAGAGCTGTTGGAGGAATTGCCCCAGTGGTATGACAATGAGCCTGTATTTGTAGCGGCGAGAGGTGCAGCGGAACTCGCGAAGCGAAAACCCTTTGACCCTTGGCGTCCGGCAGTCGTGCAAGAGACGGTGGACCTCTGATGAGTTTGTGTGTGCGGTTCGAGGATCCGTATAAGCCGCTGCAACATACAACCAGTAACGCGAATCACCACCAGCCGAATTATAGTTCTATAATCCAAAGATTATGTACAGCGTGTCTTCTCCGCCCATTGCCGGTCTAGCTATTTCTCGTTCGAATCAGATCCCCCTCTTCCATCCTTTTGGACTTCCCGGGTAATGTTTTTCATGCCTCTCTACGTGCAATCGTGCCGTTGCTGAATGTAGTCACGTTCCGGTCTGTTGTCATCTAAAAGCGAGTTCAGAAGTCGAATCATTGTTAGTCACTAGACAAGTGAGAACACGTACATGCCATGCATCGATCCGAAGAATGGACAGAGACTCATTTCTGTAGACCGGGTTCAGGATACCAACAGCTGTGAAGCACAGTACAGAGTTAGTGTAACTAGAGCCTATTGCATGTTAGACAAGCCACGAACCAACAATGTTATTCAGCCAGTAGTAGTTCTTGTCACCCGTTTCAAAGATGATGCGAAGATGCAGACCGCCTCTCGCTTGCGAAGGCCCAGACGTCTGGATGAAGATGTTGGCGCCATCATCTGTCTGCAGGTTGTATCTTGTATCGGCAGAGAAGATGCCAGTCTGAGGGTCGTTGATGCCCCAGTCGGCTCCGATATCTAAGATCTTGCCTGGCGGTAAAGTGCATCAGCATCTCCCGGTCCTGACTGACAATGCAGGGCGAAGACCACAAACCGCTCATGCGAGGCCCGGTAAAATTCCCGCCGACAATGGGAATTGTAGTACGGATGCCCCGGGGAGTAGTGTGCGTGTACACCCTGGGAAGACAATCAACGTAGGCGGTGTATAGAAAGGTCAGAGGAGGAGCAGGTGGTTCTTGTGCGCTGGCAGCATTCGCAACGAAGAGCAAAGAAGAGATGGAAAACGAAAGGAGTTTAGATAAATGCATATTGGCAATGACAACTGAACTCTGATACTCGAAGCTCGACTACAAAGAGTTGCGAAACGTGATTTACGGTATATATAGAGGGTGATCTTGCAGCATCTTTTCTCTGAAGAGCTATTCCCCGCAATCTCCGCACTGGGGTAGCGATTCGGCTCGAGCAGATCGGCTTCTGTTTTCGGCTTATATGCAGGCTTGGCGTAATGTGCAAGTATCTGCAGCTCCGTGTCTAAAGCGGCAGTAGAAGGTCTTGTTAAGTGAGGCTCATTTCGACCGCTCAAGCAGATACAGAGGCGCAGACTCTTGCGATTTCGCTTCCGTAGACCGACAGAACGGAGTGCAACTCATCTCACTGACAAAACAGCAGCCACTCTGTTGGATTAGTAGAGGTGGTAATTGAGAGTTCGTGGTGTTGGTGTCTGCGACGTGGAGATCCCCCCGGATGCTGCTCACGTCGTCCAGGGCTGGGCGACGCGGGAGCTCGGATTTCCCCGAACCCGCGAGACCCTGTGCGTGAGCGTGAGCGTGAGTCCGGGGAGCAATCTGATTCATCCCTCTATACGCTGCCTAGATCCTCTACTCGCCTTCTCACACTCCGTGACATCCTTAGGCCGCTGGCCACAGCAGTCGTACCCCGTATCCTCAAGCTATTGCAGTACCTATACCGGCGGAAACTCCTCAAACCCTCCGCAGCATGATACTACGCACCGCATCATAACCACAAACCGAACTGAGCGCAAGCCGGCGCCCAACCACAGCACTACGACTTCGATGAACGCCATACGCCAGTCGCTTCGCCCGAAACACCAAGTGCTCGTCCTCAAGTGTTACCCGCAGTTCAGGAAAAACAACAATGTGGAGGTCAAGCCGAACAGCAGCGAGCTCAGCTATCTCCTGTACTATGCCAGCACGCGGAGAAGCAAGCTGCAGAAGGTCGGGGACTTCCTGGACATGAAGAACGCGAGAGACGTCTCAAAAGCACGCATCAGGTGAGCAATATTTTGCGCCCCGGTCCAGTCATAGGGGGAAGTGGGGGCCGCATTGGAATCGCGCTGACAGGATGTGTAGCAATGTCCAAGTCACGCTCCAGATACTACGCGCCCTCATCGAGAAGTGCCCCCGCGACCTCCCTCTATTCTCCGGCGCGCTTCTTCGCATCTTCCGCACCATTCTCAAATCCAACGACCTCACGTTACTCGAGGAGTCAGTACCCACATTTGATACCTTCTGTGCGCACCAAGATCCTGCCACGTTAGCTGCAGACCAGGACTACATCAAGCAGTATGAGGAGGTCGTACAGCTGTACGCCGCCTTCGCGAGCAAGGAGCCTCAGCTGCAGACGAGGGCGCCAATCAGCTGGCCGGTGGCTACAAGATTCAGGAAGGCAGGACTGGAGGCTATCAAGAGCGTCGCGTCTTCCGCCTCGCTGAGCTCCGAGACCGGCCGACAACTCTCGGTCATCATTCCGGTGATCTTACTAAACATCTACTCCAAGAGCGGAAGCTATCTTAGCACACTGGAGCACCGTGAGCGGGAAAAGGAATCCACCGAAAAGGCGCAGGAGTTCCGAAGGAGACAGAGCATGGCCACTGTGCGAACGTTCGAGGACAATGAAGCCGACCCGCTCGCTGCGTCTGGGACAACGGAGGATGCGGATAAACTGGCAGAAGAAGAGGTGGGAATAGTAGCGCTGCAGGCGCTGAGGCATGTCTTTGTCGGGGTAAATCGTGGACAGCTGCGTCTGGCTACCTCGACTGTCATCAGTTTTGTCGGCAACCGGGTCAAGCCACACGAGCATTTTTCGTTCGAGAAGCCAACGGCCCATACCGGTTCGTGGCCGACAACTCTCTTCGGGATGATTTGTGGTTGGGCGCCTGTACAAGATCGATATATCATTCTTGTCACGGCTATGGAAACCCTTATCCGGAGTCCTATTGTTGAAGAAGACTTGAACCGCCAACTTGTGCTTGCGACAATCATTGGTTGGTTGCTACGTTCGAAGATCAACTTCATTGGACTCAGTGTCATGGACGTTCTCATAGGCCTCATACAGCACATACTCCTCTTGCTCCAGCTCGGAGGCAAGGGTTCTGGTCTGTACCCGCACCACCAACAGGCAGACGTCATCAGCCCAACCAGTCCCAGAGTTGATGCGTTCAGTCAAGGCGCTCCTAGAAACTCCTCAAGTACCGTTCTGGTGGAGGTGACTCAGACGCCTTCTCCGTCACGCATACGGCTTCTTGAGCAACTGCAGAAAGCCATCGGATCTCTGGCAACGCACATATACTACACAGACCAAGTATCCGACATGGTCTCTACCATCTTCATGCGGCTAAAGCCGTCTCTACAGTCGGACATCACGTCTACTGTGGCAGCGATCGAAGACCCTGTTGGCGCCGCGGATGCCGTAGCCGGCTCAATCAATATGAAGCAACCACCTGGAACAGATAATTTCTTCTCCTTCGACACTGCGAAGATCACAGCTTTGACATCGATTAAGGATATCTTGATTGTCGCCAACTCCAAAATTCCGGAGAAGCGATCGAGTGCTGTGGGCCGCAGCCAGGTTGGCATTCCTGTGTGGGAAGGCACACAATGGCTTCTGCGAGACCCCAATGGAGAAGTCAGGAAGGCTTACGCAGATACGTTGCTCACTTGGCTGGATCTCGAGATGCGGAAGGATGACCTGCGCGTCGATAAGGACCGAAGCCGCGCTAAGAAGCCAGAGAGAAAGCCGTTAGGCCTATCGAGGAGCGACGATCTTGCACGGCGAGCAATCTCTAATGCCTCGCAGCGCGACAGATCCCCCAAACACGCGCGTTCAACGTTTCTTCAGCTGCTTCATCTCGCCATATACGACAACGCGCACCAGTATGCTGAGTCCGAACCCGACATCCTGTTAGCGCACCTGCTTCTATCAAGGTTGGTGCATAAGCTGGGCGTCAATGCGGCCTGCTTTGGTTTGCCCATGATACTGCGTCTCCAGGAGGACATCCAGCTCATAACAAGCCCGACAGCAAAGGTCCACATAGGAAGCCTGGTGCACGGCTACCTCTGGGCATTGAGTATAGTCTTCGACTTCGAAGTGTCATCTATTGGCCGTGAGATTCATAGCGAAATCTCCCGTCGGAGCAGCTTGGGGATGTGGGTCTCCGCCGTGCGCTATCCTCCACTGCCCCTTGACCGCATTGGGACGCCCTCATCAATTTCACGGTGCGCGATTCCTACAGAGATTGTCCAGACTGGTGTCCTCAAGCCATTTGACGATCGCCGAGGCCTTGTCGACCGGATAGCCACAGGTTACACCGAAGCTCTGATAACGCCTCCCTCCAGCCCCCAAAGCTCTCCCGGCCGCAGATTCTCTGTCGCTGCAGTCGCACAACCAGTTCGCGACCCATCCTCAAACGAACTGCCGCAGAAAATTCAAGAAGAGCTCTTGTTCGACTGGTCCAAGGATGCAGTCATTGCCGCGACAACCAAGAAGGAGAACTCCAGCTCCGGCTCGTTCACCGGTTCTGGCCCGCGCACTCACCGCAGCGCGAAAAATAATCTGCTTACAGTCAGTGGCGGCGGTGCTGCGAATGACGACGCCGCAAACAGCGGTGCTGCCAGCCCGTTACGGACGCACCACTCTCGGCGCAGCAAGCGGAACCTGCCTGCCGAGGGCTTCGGTCTCCCGCCGCCAGGTCGACGTGGCACCAGCGCTTCCAACAGTTCGCGGCCCAGTAGCTCCTCCGTCCGCTCAACCGTCCACGTCCAGGACCTGAAGAAAGTGTTGAACGGCGAGGAGCCGGTGAGACTGAACACGTCGTATTCGAGGAAAAGCAGACATAGCAGGCTGAATGAGGACTCGGACTCTTCGAGTCTTGTCTCTGCAGACGGCTTCTCGTTCTCTGACGCTAGCTTCGTGCATCAGCCGCCCGTGGGCGATACATTCGATCATGCGGAGCGGCGGAGGTCAGATACACAGGGCTCCGCACTGCCACGACCTGGGAATATCGCACCGGGCTCTACGGCGACGGGGGAGCAGTACTCGTCCGAGAGGGAGAGGAGGGCAGAAGACATCCCGCCCGTCCCGCCATTGCCTGCTTCTCTCCAGTCATCAGCACCGCACGCGCAGTTCGCTCCCAAGATCCCCGCACGAAAGTCCGCCGGTCGCGCGTCTGTTGAGTTCGAGGGCGCAGAGCCGGGACACGAGAGGCCGAAGACGTCGCCGGCGCCTGCCACAACGAACGGAGCTGTCTATAGAGGGACCGAGGATGGTGTCGCAGGGAGGGGCAGCGTCAGCGTGAAGGGCAGTGTCCGGACGGCTGGTAGCAGGTACGATGGGCGCAAAGGGGCAGGCGGCGCAAAGGACTTGTTGGGATTGTTGGATGCGATTGATACGGGGAGCATGGAAAGCGGCGGGACGATTGGGAAGGCGCCGTACTAGTCATGCAATGATTCGAATGTTTGTAAATGTGTGTGACAGCCGGCAGTCCATTGTTGATATTCTCTCGCTAGTAACGCGGAGGGAGTTAAGAGTCTCACTTGGTCCAGCTTGAATTGATAAACCGCAGACTTCAAGTTCGCATGCGCCGAAAAGCATGAGCGCCATGGACACATTAATAAATGTAGTGGGTAGATCGTGGAGCTGCTCAACAAGGACGCGGACATTGACGCACAAGGTGGAGACTGCGGCAGCCCGCAGATCCAAATCGCGGGGAAGCCGCATGGCAACGCTGCAGGTCCTCTCCTGAGGGGTCCCCGCGATCCCTAAACCCCACATTTCGGATGCCGACACGCCAAAGATGATGCCAACTAGAACGCCGTTGCCGATACCAAGCTATGGTACTATGGGGGCCTCGGCACAGTCAACCCACCCAGCCACTGAGACCTACTTCAGGAAACGCAATCCCCTTGGGCAAACTTACACATCTTCTCAGCACCAGTCCATCTAACCACCAAGCCAAGCTCCCACATCAACGATGCCAGGACGCCTCCAGGACAAGGTCGCCATAGTCACCGGCTCATCCAGCGGCCTCGGCCGTGCGATCGCCCTTGCTTATTCGGCTGAGGGCGCGCATGTTGTCTGCGCGGACCTCGTTCCCAATGCCCGGATGGACGTCGTTATAGACCAGGAGCAGGGCAAGCCTACACACGAAGAGATTGGCAAGAGCGGCGGGAAGTCGATCTTCGTCAAGACAGACGTCGGCGATGTGGAGAGCGTGGAGAGCGTGGTACAGGCGGCTGTGCAGGAGTATGGAAGGCTTGACATGTGAGGAGTAACTGCCGCGTCCTTGGATCAAGGCTTGGTGCGCTTAGACATCGCCGCATTTCCGCTCCGGATTTTGGTACGGGAGGATGCGGCGACGACTAAGTGCACCGAGCCTTGTATCTGCTTGAGAAGATGGTCTGACAGCGTGGGGGCCACGTAGAATGGTGAACAACGCTGGGATCGCCATCATGAAGGACGGCCTGAAGCTCACCCACGAGGAGTCGGACGACACGTGGAATAGGACGATGCTGATCAACTCTACCGGCGTCTTCTATGGGTGTCGGGCCGCAATCAAGCAGATGATGAAGCAGGACCTGCATCCGAGTGGTGATCGGTACGGAGTCGTGGCTCGTTGAATCTTCCCGCGTTCGCAGCTAACGCATAGTGGCAGAGGTTGGATCGTGAACACAGCGAGCATGCTTGGGTTGGTTGGGTTCGCGGGAGCCAGTATGTAATGCCCGTTTTGAGTCCCAGGTTCTAGTGCTGCACGAAGAGGCACTCGACTTTCCAAGTTGCTGACGAGAGTTGTAGCCGCTTATGCAGCCTCAAAGGGTTCCGTTGTACTGATGACCAAGTCCATCGCGCTCGAGTACGCGCCGCACAAGATCCACTGCAACTGCCTCTGTCCAGGATGTGAGTTTTCCTTGATAGCAAAACCTGCATCTGAGCCGGGGTCAATACATGGCTGACTGGCTGGAACTGCAGTCGTGAACAGCGCCATGATCAAGCTGCTCACGGACGATAAAGCCACGCAAGATCATCTTACTGCACATCACCCATGGGGCCGCCTCGGCGAGCCTCGAGATGTCGCTCGTGCCGCAGTCTTCTTGGCAAGTGAGGATGCAGCGTGGGTGACTGGTGTCCCGCTGCCCGTCGATGGCGGATATACTGCGCAGTAATCGTAACGATGTCCGGCTAGGCCAACAGCGAAGAACCTGAGGGAAGTGGCAATGGCCTTCTCTGACACTCGAGGGTGGTATCTGTCGTTATTGTGAAACGACCGAGAATACTCTCGGATGTCGCGAGCCGCAATCACACTGGTGCGCGGCGAAGCTGCAGCGCGGAGGTCGTTGGGGCGCCTTGCTTCGCTGTGAAGTGCGTCCGTATGCCTAATTCCGTGCTAAGATCAAGTGTCGAAGTTGCGCTCCATAGGTTTAAGATACTGATAGATTACGGACCGCAATCTCTTGTATACAAACCAGCAGCTGAGGCTTATCGATGCTCTGAGCAAATTTGACCGTAATACGAATATGGCATTCGCCGATACGGTAGATAGCTATCCGCCAACAAGAGCAGGACGTATACTGTCGTTCCATTAAACAAAATATCGGCTCCATCTCCCTCAGCCAAACATCAATGCTTGCAGGGTTAGGTGACTAGGTCTGCTCCTGGATCTCGAGCAGATACCCATCCGGATCCGTGGCTAGCACGAACCCGCGAAACAGCGCATTTAGACTTGGCGACAGAGCCGAACCCTGCGCTCGGATTCCATAGTAGATACCGAGATCTTGTGTCGCGTTCTGACCAATTCTCTTCAAGATAGGCACATTGTAAGCATCCAAGCGGGCCTGCAGGGCCAGAATGTCCGGGACCACGAGACCGAGGTGACTAAACCCATTGGTGCGGGAATTGACCTCCGGGGCGTCCTTTACTACAATCAGCTCAGGCCGCACTAACTGAGGGTCTCTCGCAGTCTGGAAGAGCGCATCCACGTAGCAAGGGGCCAGAACAAGACGAGCAACAAGACGCGTACAAACCCTCGCCCATATAAACTCGATCAACCCCTCCGTATTCCGCTGCTCCCTCAGCATCTCCTCACCCGTCTGGAAGCCCGTGCCGTTCTTCCCGCCGGACGGGTAGCCCATATAAGTGATGGTATAGTTCTCCGACTCCGCGAACGTGAAGATGTGGCGGAAGCCGAGTACTTCGCCGTAGAAGCACCGCGTTGCCGTGATGTTGCGCACTTGGAGCGCGACGTGGTTGAGTGTGTATCCTAGGGTGGCCGGGTCGGCGGGCCCGTCTGTGCCGATGATGAAGCCGGAGTTGGTGGAGGTGTTCGTGGGTGTGCAGGCGCTTGCGACGGGGAGAAGAGATGACACAGTAGAGAAAAGGAGGAAGAGATAGCGGTTCATGATTGGTACTAATAGATTAGGTGACTGGAGAAGATGTTGTAGAACGTGGTCAAAGGACTAGAGGGTGGGAGAGCGAGAAGACGTGTAACTTGAAAGGGCAGAAAGGAAGAACCATATTAGAAGGCACCCGCGATGTGATCTCTCACGCAGGGCGAACGGTCGCATCCATACAGCTGGGCCGTTGGTCGTAGGTGGCTGCTTGATGGCAACGGAAGATGTACTGTATCGGAAAGATAGTTTTGCTGTGGGCGCGCAGTGTCAACCCGGTGTGTCTACTGTTAAAAGGGTGAATTACAATCTTGGGCTAAATCCTAGCTAACAAATCACTGCTGCGCCCTTCTGCACGTTGCCATAAGATGGCGTTGCGCTCGTCGCTGTTCCGTCGATGTACGGAAGGGAACTCACGATAGCTTGCGATACGGAGCCGCCTCTGTACTCCAAGGTTGCGGAGACAGGTTATACAAATCGGCCCCCACTCGCAGCTATCTGCAGAGAATGGAGGGGCTTTGAAACATGCAATCTATGGGTAGTAGACGTATGGAAACATGCAGGATGTTTCGGCTTTATAACGGATGTTTGAGGCCCATCAGTCTAGGTACCGAGGCGGGGCTCCAAAAGTTATGCTGGGTCTCTGCGCCAAAGACCAGTGAAAACACCGAGCATGACTTTTGGAGCCCCGCCTCGTACCCACAATATCCTGAGTTCATGTCGGTGGTACGATCGGGAATTGCGGCTCTGCGACCACTAAGAAATCCGTCGCGTCTGAACGCGTGCCCCACAATCACGACAATAACTTGAGTGGTCGTCTTTGGTAACACAGTAAACATACCTATCTTGAAGAGAACCGCTACAACCATTAATCCTCCGCCTTACACGAATATGCCACTCATCCGCAAGCGCCGCGCCGTAAGCTCTCGCTCACCAATCCACCACACCTCAGCTAACCATACCCGCAGCCCACCGCAGACGACGAAGCGTCAGAAGACTCCCAAGACGACACCCCGACCACAGCAACCCAGCGACAGCGACGACGACCTTCCCCCGCATCAGACGCAGGCGACTTCGTCGATGGAGACGAAGAAACCCAAGGCGACGCGAGCCTGGAGCAGATGGTGAAGAAGATGGTGCGGTTCGCGCTGGCGTGCGAGTATGCGAGGCAGCCGATCAGGAGGGCAGACATCAGCGCGAAGGGTGGGTTATCTTCTACGGAGATTCACGAGGAAGGCATGGCTGACGGGTGCGGTAGTGCTGGGCACGCACGGGCGACAGTTCAAGGCTGTCTTCCAGGAAGCGCAGTTGCAGTTAAGAGCAACGTTCGGGATGGAGATGACGGAGCTGCCGCTGAAGGAGAAGGTCACGCTTCAACAGCGAAGAGGTACCGACTTCTCAATACCTGATGTATAGCGACGACGCTAACACAGCACCTCCAGCGGCACAAAAGACCGAAAAAGCCGCCACGAGCAGCAACGCCTGGGTCCTGACCAGCACGCTCCCCGCCAAATTCCGCACCCCCGCCATCCTCCCTCCGCCCCGCATCCCGACCACCGCAACCGAAAGCGCCTACGTCGCTCTCTACACCTTCATCATCTCAGTCATCTACCTCGCCGGCGGACAACTACCGGAAGAGAAGCTCGAGCGCTACCTCAAGCGCACGAACGCGGACCAAACCACGCCTGTCGACAAGACGGAAAAACTCCTGAACCGTCTGATTAAGGAGGGCTATATAGTGCGGAACAAGGACACATCAGGTGGAGAGGAAATTGTGGAATATATGGTAGGCCCTAGAGGGAAGGTCGAGGTGGGCGAGCAGGGTGTTGCGGGACTGGTGCGAACGGTGTATGGGGAGGGCGCGACGGAGGAGCTTGAAAAGCGGATTGAGCGGAGCTTGGGGTTGGGAGAGCGGAACCGGGCGGCGGCTGCGAAGGCCAGTAGCACGGCCAATAGCACGCCAGCGGAGGGGAGAGGGCGTGGTAGGCCGAGGAGGGGCGACGATGATGATGGATGAGCGGTGGAGCCCTTGGAGTATTGAGGCTAAGGGTTTATCTCTGGGATCTGTCAAGCGTTCAGGTGTCAGGCGTTAAGGCATCGATCGATGACGGATGTCGGCTTTCGCGTGCTGGTCTCTTGTAACATGGTGGCTGTCCAGGGTGCTGTCCACACGCTGTCGACTGCACGCGCACTCAGCGAGATGTCAGCTACATGGAAGAAGTAGTGTAGAGAAGAAGTTCGGCAGCCGTGAAGAGGGGCGGCGGGCGGCGCTGGATGGCTGAAGGATCCCGATAGGCGATGCAAATGCGGGCAAGCTGCCCAGGTGAGGGGGAAAGCTGGGAGGCTTCCCAAGCATTTCGTGGACAAAGGCCAAAGCGAAAGTGCACGGTCCACCCGCCGCAAACCTCCGCCTCCGTCGATCTTTCGATTCTCCTCCATCACCACCCACTTGCAACTCACTCTCTCACACACAACAACGCGCCCACTGATCCAGACTCCACGCTCACACTCTTCTTTTTCGTTCAGCATGAGAATATCTCGCTGTTAGGCTGCTCTTCTTGCTTCCGCCTCTCGCGACCGGAGCGATCCTGCACCAGCCATGGCTTTTAAGCTTTCAGAACTTCTTAATCCTGCGCCGGCCTCTGATCCGTCGTCGCCAGCGCGCAAGGACAGTTCACCGTCGTCGCAGACGTCAGACACGCGAGCAGCGCTTTCTTCGATGCAACCGCCTGCCTACAACAACGCCTACGCGCCTGCGACAACAATCTACGAAGCCGCCAACGCCCTCACTGCGCTGGCGAACGGCGCGCCACTGTCAACCTCTTACCCACACAGTAACGGCCTCTCCTACGACCCGCATCACGATCGCCGTTCATCGCCCACATCATATTCAGACGCGCGCCGCATGAGTGCGTATGGGGTGCCAGCGACGCCCGTCGAACCTTCACCGCCGACCGACGGCACAATGCGCTCGCCAACTCTAGACCAGTACCATCACGGCTCCAAATCGCCCGAAGAACAACGGCGACAGTCCATGGCGTCAAGATCTTCACCTCCACCACGACTTGCGCCCATCCAGTCTCTCACCGGCGCACTGAACAACATGATCGACGAGCGACAGCACCAGAACTTCGGTCCTTACGGGCACGACGCCTCGCGCATCCTCTCACCGCCGGCAAACTACACTGCGCAAAACGACATCTCTCAAATGGACTATGTCGCGCAACATCGGGAGCCCGACTACATCCGCGACGAACCTACCATAACCCAGATCCGCCAGACGTCAACCGGGCCCGACATCGACATTCATGCGGCAGCCAACGCCCAAGATCCAATCCCACGACCACCCGAGCCTTCACCGTCATCTTGGATCAAGGCCGAGACCACACACACCCCACCCGAGCCCAAACCCCACGACCCCGCCATGCCGCGCGAGCGCACAAAGTCAGTCGCAGACCCCACACTCGATCCCGAGACTCTCAAAGCCGTCGCGGAGCTGAAAAACGAGCACGGCCTGCGCGGCGCAAGTCGCGACAACTCCGCCACATCTCCCCCCGCCACCGTCGCCGAGCCCGCCAAACCCACCGCGCCCTCGCGCAAACGTCCCGCGCCCAAAGCCTCCGCGGCCGCCACAAAAAAGGGCGTCGCGAAGAAGCCCGCGGCCAAAAAACGCAAGATCTCGCCCGAGACCGCCGCCACCGCCGCACTCCATCGCTCCGGCACGCCGGCCTCACAGACCTCCAAAAAGGCCGCCCCAAAGGCGCTCAAAGGCAGCCAATCCGGCACCCCCGCCCTCGGCTCCTCCCCCGCGCCCCGCTCAACCACCGCGCCCTCTCCCGCACCCTCTTCGCACCCTTCCCACGCCGGCGCCTCCTCCGACGCCGACGCCGACGCCATGGGCTCCGACAGCGAAGTCTTCTGCATCTGCCGCAAGCCGGACGACCACACGTGGATGATCGCATGCGACGGCGGGTGCGAGGACTGGTACCACGGGCGGTGCGTTAACATGGACGAGGAGAACAGCAAGGTGATTGATAAGTATATCTGTCCTGGGTGCGAGAGCCGCGGCAAGGGCGTCACGACGTGGTTGCCTATGTGTCGCAACACGGGGTGTAGAAGACCGGCGAGGTTGGCGAGGGGCAGGGAGAGCAAGTATTGCAGTGATGCTTGTGGGGTTGAGTTTATGCGTGCGAAGGCCGGGATGCAGAGCTTGGATGGCGCTGCCGATATAAAGGGGCGGAAAGCCGCGCGACGGAAAGCGAATCTGACGGACAACTTCCACAACGCGCCCACCACCGACGACGAAGAAGCGGTAGAAGACGCCAACGACCTCGTCCGCATCGGCGGCGTCCTGCGCGGCCGCGAACTAAAAGCTCTAGCTACGACAGCGGCAGACGTGGCCGCGTTCCGCAAACTCGGCGACGGCGTCCTCAGCCCCCCTGCCACCGCCTCGCCAGAGAAGACCAGCTTCCCGGCTGACGCGCTCCAGCCCCTCCCAGCCGACCACTCCGCCTCCTCCCAGTCCTACACCCTGAACCCCGCGGAAACAGCCCGCATCCAGCAAATCAGCGCCCGCAAGGAGCAGCTCAAGGAGCGACGGCTCCTGCTCGCGGACCGCGACCGCTTCGTGGCACTCGTGCGGGACCAGGCGGCCAGAGAAGCGGAACGGGAAGGTGTAAAGGGTAAAGACTTCTGCGGCTACGACGCGCGTCTTGCGTGGAGCGAGGGCGAGCTGGATCGCTGGCGCAGGAGTCGGGAGGGGAGGGTTGCGTTGGGCTTGGGGACTTTGGAGGGGGCTGTTGGCGCCAGCTCCGGCGGCCTTGATGGCGAAGGAGGAGACGAGGATGGGGAGGCGAAGGAGGGAGATAAGATGGACATTGATGGCCATAGGGAGGGGGATGTGGATGACAGGGAATACCCGCCCCCCTGCCCGCGTAAACGCTGCTCGATTCACCAGAACTGGCCCAAGGCTCAGCAGCATGACGTCAACTTTGAGAAAATGGAGCTGGCGCATGAGGTCAAGAGTTTGGAGAGGGAGGAGGAGGGGATTAGGATGAGGGCTGCGCTGCGGTGTCGGAAGGGTAGCATCGGCGGCGATGGTCTGGGTCTGGAAGCTGAGGCTGGGGACGAGGGCTGGGTTGAGGAGGTTGGATAGCTGGATGAAGAGGGCTTTTGGTTAGCGTGCGGAGTTGGCGCGCTAATGGTACCGGCTGGGTTTGGTTGCGTCTCCTTTGGTCTTCCTTGGGAGGTTTCGGATCCTGTCTGAGACTGGATTACAGCTCACTGGCGCCTACACGGACGAGCATGGCGCGGCGTTGGTCGTTGCGGCTACTGGCTCCCTGAGCGCAGACGACGGCTTCTGGCTTCTTTCTTCTTTGGGCAGCTGCGGCCGGGCCTTTGGGTCATCCTGGTGGCATATTCTGCTCTTGGATGCATAGTTGGCGAAACCTTCTGGACACAGGCTTTTGGGACCTTTGTGTTGGAAGGAACTTAGCGTCAGCGGCTTTCCAATGAGCTTAAAGCAATTAGTGCATGGAAGTACAAACCCTGACTTTGGCCGTGAAAACAACTGAGATTTGTCGTGGAACAAGTCGTAAGCTAAGCTGCTGCTACAAGTAGGATAACCTCGAAGACATCGGTGGGTTTGTCACCCATTACTTCTGAGTATGGGCGAACATGCATCAGCGGGCGGTGAATGTCGTGTCTTCCAATATTGTCAGTGTGTAAGCTCGAAGAACCGGAAATGCACCAGCGTGCTGATTATGTGTATAGTTGATAGGAGCCAGCGCGCCCTTCGACATGTGTATAGAATGTGGCTTTCCTCAAGAGCGCGGCATATCGGAGAAACTCGACTCTTCTTAGGGTTGGAGCGTTGCAGGATCATGCAGCGGTGTGCCTCGAATAAATGCCAGCACAGACGATGTTGATGCACACCGCAGGAATTCAAGTCGTTCTTGCGCCTGACTGTTTTATGCCCAGATACAGGGCTTTTCGTCGAGGGATGCTTGATATGCGGTACAAAGCGAGGGTGCGGATCAAACATTTCGGAGAAGGACTTGGTCTCGCTAACGCTCCTCATACCGAGCTGTTACTGCTTTCGACTATCTGATATGCCATGACTAAGAATCGAAATGAGATAACCGAAGGACTGATAAAAGGCATCCCGCAACCTGGCCACAGGGATTCAAGTGCGAATCCGTCTTTAAGAGAGACGAAACTGGATCGCCATGGTACATAGAGCGAAGAGCCGAAGAGGAAAATAACCATGTTCGTGGACGAATCCAGACGCGCCTCATGACCATGAACGACAGCAACATGATAAAGGAAACGACTTGAGACGCGTTGTCTTTCAGAGACGAAAAGCTGCACCCTTACGCTGTACGACTTCTTTAGTTATGAACAGGTCCTGGTCATAGACAGATGAATCTGCAGCCGGACGCTGCTGTCGAGGAGTACTAGTATGAACAGCTGCAATCGGACCTTCCAGCCTCACAGCAACCCCGTAACTATGCTCACGCTTATCGAGACCGCTCTATCGACAGCAGCTGCCAGTCCCCTGTCGTCTAGCCGGACGACGCAGATGCAGAGAGCAAGTGTGGAGTGACTGGACCAAAAATGAGGTGCTGCAGAGCGGATTTGTGCGTGGCCACGAGATGAGCCATGCCGTGGATCTCACGATCCCCATTCCCGTGAGGGCACGCGAACATCACGTGACATTACACGAATCCAAGAGATGAGATGGGAGTTCTGGTCTGGCAGCCAGTTCACACTCCACCCCGCCTTTTCAATGCATTGAGGCAGATGCGGAGAACCTTGGGCGAATCATCCAAATTGCAGCAACAAAAGAAATTAATCTCGTGTGCAAAAATGGAAACCGCACCGCAGCTTTGATGAGTTCCCCAAGTCCAAAAGCGAGCATCAAATCTCCACACCTAGCGCGGCACGCTACGACGGCGCTTGGATGAACGAGAGTCACAATCGATAGACTGGGGACAATCAATTCAACGAATCAGATCTTGAACTCTCGGGAAACAATCAAAGCAAACCCACCTGCTGATGAGGTGAGGTGAGCACAACAAACAGATTCCCAGTCCAGGCTGTGCAGTCCTCCAGGGCCTTGGATCTCGGTCTGCGGTGCAACAGCAAGACAAGGTTCTGATGTACAGACCAAGACCGGCTGTCGGGAGTAAGATGAGGCGTCAGACCTTGCATCTAAACCGTTCGCCAACTGTGGATGATGCCGTTGCTGCGCGGTTGCATCGATCTCCGCATGTCAGGCTGCCCCTGACCCAAGCTTTGACAGCCAATACTGGATGTCGCCGACCGCCATTGTAACGGCCATCTCGTCTGGGCTGGAGCTGAGTCTAAAATTGTTGCTTCTCATTAAGACAGGCGTTCGGTGCGCTGAGGTCACCTGGCAAAAGAGGCGGAAATCACGGGTTAATCTGGCCAGTAAGCGCGATCTGTGCAGAGGTTCCTGGCTGCCGTTCACAGTCAATCGGATCCTGCGGCGGCGAGCGCTCGCGCCGGTATCGAATAGACGAGGCGTTCAACTGGACTGCCCTGCGAAGACTAGATCAGGGGTGCCGAAAGGTGGGATCGTCTCGTACCTGCATTAGCGCAGCCCGGAGCGGGAGGTGTCAAACCGAGTCCGGAAAAGGCTTGACGGCCTCTGTCATGCTGGCAGGCCGGCTCCATGTCCCCTTTACGAGCATGTTATGGCCGGACCACGCTGCCAAATGGTGGCCCCGGCACCTTAATCTCCCCTCCATATAGATAGGTACTGCTCTTTCCTTCCTCACTCGCATTCTACAGCTCAAGCACCAGTACTTCGGTCTCCAGCATCAATCTTTGACTTCGGTCGTCCGTTCTTTGAACATCTATAGCCAACTAATACACTCTCTCTTACTTAATATCTTGCTTTTCAAGTAACATCCCTACAAATCAGCCAAAATGCGTTCCTTCGTCGCCGCTGCTCTCTTCGCGGGTGCCATGGCCCTGCCCAACCCTGACAAGACCGTCTGGCAGACCGACGTTGTCACCGTCACCTCGTGCGGCCCTAATGTAAACATCTTCTCACCCCCTAATCCAAACCGGCCCGCATGCTGACATCTCCAAGGTCTCCAGCTGCCCGGGCAAGTCCACGTCGATGCCCAGCGCCTCCAGCTACCCAGTGTCCGCCTCCTCGACCGCAGACCACAAGGCGACCTCCTCTGCCGTTGAGATGACGACCAGCACCATCTACGCCACCTCGATGGTGACCATCACCTCGTGCGGCGCCCACGTCCCGAGCTGCCCCGCCGGCAGCACCGTCGTCAAGACTGTCACCATCCCGGTCTCGACCACCGTCTGCCCGGTGACCACCACCCCGGCCGCCCACCCGTCCAGCTCCATGCCGTACCACCCAAGCAGCGCCGGCTACCCCAAGGAGTCGAGCTCCGCAGCCTGCCACCCGGGCTCCCCCGGCTGCCCACCAGTCGCCAGCAGCTCTGCCTACTGCCACCCAGGTAGCCCAGGCTGCCCGCCCGTGGCTAGCAGCTCGCACCCGGCTTCGCCATCCAGCTCCAGCCGTGCCTGCCACCCGGGCACCCCGGGCTGCCCGCCAGTTGCCAGCAGCTCTGCCTCTGCCTGCCACCCAGGTTCCCCCGGCTGCCCGCCCGCACACCCGACCGGCACCGCCCCGGCCTGCCACCCCGGCTCGTACGGCTGCCCGCCAGTCGCTAGCAGCTCCGCCCCGGCCTACCCGACTGGCTCTGCTCCGGCTTGCCACCCGGGTTCCCCTGGCTGCCCGGCTTACCCGTCTGGCACTGGCTCTTACTATGTTCCTAGCGGCACTGGGTAAGTTTTCTGTTCTTGTTGGAGATGTGTGAGAGAGTGAGGCTAATTGTTATGCAGCTCCCCAGTCAAGCCCTCCACCCCGGCCCAGTTCACCGGCGCTGCCAGCCACATCAAGGCTGGTGCGCTTGTTGGCGCTGGTGCCATCGCTGCTCTGTTCTTGTAAAGGCAGTAGTGTGTTCAATGTGATGGGTCATCTGTTTGCATGACTTGAGCGCGGTGTTTCGATGGCCGGCTCGTGTACATTCGGCTTTCGTGCTGTGGCTATTTAGTAATATCTAGTGGGTGACGCTTGGGGTTGGGGTAGGAGACAATGAAGATGAAGTTATTGGCTGATTTGGTGCCTTCTAATGTGTGAACTGATGCGTGTGATGATTGCCAACGTTGCCTGATGCTCTGACAGAACCGAGATGTGCTTTGCCATTGCATCAATAGTGACTTCGTTCCGCTCTTACGGAAAAAGCCTATGCTTCTGCTCGGACATCAACTTCGCTTACATTCGGTAACCCACCAGGATAAGCTTCAACACCAGCAATCTCCAACCCTCAGCCGCTCTGTCCGAGGATACTCGGCGGGTGGATCCGCCTGTCACGAATAGCATCGTAGTGTGTGATACAGGATCGTGAGTGTTACTTGATGGATGCGAAACAGAAACCTCGCAAGAGATTCGATGGTGGCCAAGGCGATGACCGTCAGGCCTCCGAGTAAGGTAAGTCAACCGACTGAGCCCATGTCGGATGGCTGGGTTCGCTGTAGTGCTAGTTTAAGACTGTGGATGTAGTTCCTCCAATGCCATGTTGCAAGCGATGGGGAGATACAAATTGCTGGGGCTGCTTGTGTATATGCAACGGGATTGATATTACCGAGATCGATTTTTGCCTCTGAACTCCGCATCCTTTGAAATGCTTCGCAATCCGGCGGCAATGCTCCCACTCGATGCATGCGGGAATCATTTCTCTTTTCTCGAGCCTGGGATTAAACCTTCCTGACTGTCTCCCATCTCCTTGTCCTCGACGCGGTACCTTTCTCTTGTTCTCCGGAACCATAGGTACCAAATCAGAACCACAAGGAGAGTCAGCGGGATACAGACCGCCCAATAGATCCAGAATTCGGCGGACACGGCCATGCGCCCTCCGGACTCAGCAATAAAGAAGGGCGACATGCTGAATATTGCGGCAACCGCTGTTGCGGGCAGGAATACAATAGTCAACAGGGCAATGGTCTGCATCGAGGAACTATCGCGTTTGCTTGCTGCGGCGATACGGCGAGAGTCATATGCTACAGAATGTTGGATTCGGCTGTCGCGCTGTGCAATGAGATTATATAGCTGTTGATCCTCTTAGCACATGGTTTACTGAAGAGGTCGGGCTAGTATACTGACAATCTTTAGTTGCAAATCAAGCCTTCGAGAGTAACTCTTGCGCGCGTCCTCATGCCCGTGGGACATTTCAGTATGGAAGTCGACCATTGCCTGCAGTTCTCCATGATCTCGCCGGAATTCCGGGCCGAAGAACAAGTGGTATTCGCCTGGCTCAAAAGACTGTCGGAGACATGCCAGAAGCCTCAGCTCAAAATCTAAGAATCCGCCTGAAAGGTGTGCGTCAACCTCAACAATTTTTCGATGTGCTTCTTCGAGGCCATTTCCGGCAAGGATCCCGTCATCGTCGAAGTCGCCTCCAAGTGCACCCGTTGCCTTTTCAACCTCCAAAATCATTCCGAGCAGCAATCTACTCTGCACGGATGTAAGTAGGATTTGATTGACAAGCATCATTGTCGGCAAGAAGAGTGGATGGGAGGCAAGGCGGGCTGCTCGCTTGGCACAGCTGAGAACCGTTGAGAGTGCTCCTTCTCCGAGCCCTACCCGATGTATTAAAACACGCGGAGAACACGAGAAGAAAGAGAGAACCTAGTGGAACACAACGCACCATGGTAATCAGTCATACCAAGGAATCCACTCGTTATGCCAGTCTTGGGATCATACGATAGTGCAAGGGTCCAGAAACTAATTCGCCCATTTATAGTCTGGATTACGATTTCTGTTCAGTCAGTATAATGTACTAAATCTCCATTCACGCTTGACTCACCAGTTATTCTTGCGTTGACGTGGCACATGCCCCCTGCCGACTGGTAAGACTCTAGGAATATCTTTGGAAGCTTGAGGGCCTCGATCATAGCAAGGAAGGCATCTTTGGCAAACGGAACACGTAATGAAGTTTGATCCTCTTTCTCCCAGCGTTGGTACCTCCGCGAGTCAACTTCAACGGAATAAATCACTTGGGACAGGGCTTACAATAGACGTAGTCCTCCGCTTGGTGTCTTCCCTTCAGTATCGACAGGTAGAGTATGCCTGCCCTGGAAAGCAGGAAGAAATCAGAAAGAGTGTCAATTCCACGTTCGGAGTCCCCTCACTTGTTGATGGAGCCAGTCGTGAAATTCCTCATGAGGAAGAGCCTCGTCTTTGATGACTGTGCTTGCAGCGCCGCTCTTAGCAATGTCAGCTTCCCGCCTGCCCAACTGACAGCAACAAGGATCATTTGCCTCATAGTTCAGGATCTCCAAGCTCATGTTGTCCCGAGCTTCGAACTTGCAACGTGGTAGATACGTATTGAACGAGAAGTCATCAAGATATGCCATTTTGGTGGATTATTGCCAAGCAAAACTCTAATTCCTAGGAACTAGACAGTTTAAACTTGAGGACATGAGAGAAACTGTGTTTGCAGACAATGGTTTAGTGCGAGAATGAAAACAACAATGAGGCCGACAAGGCTGAGCAAAAGTAAGCGGGCTTTGGGAGAGCCACCATTTCAGGTTGACGGAGAGACGCGGTAATCTGGCACGGGGTGCTCGAGTAAAGTTGCGACGGCAGCAAGTATTGTCACGTGACTGAACACACCATTGTATGGAATGATAACTCTGAACGTTGAACGAGATTACATCAGGCGAAAGCTGCCTCGATGATCATTGAGCTACTGAATACGTTCGCTTCTTAAGGTACTCAGCGTCGCAGGTCACCATCACAACTTCGGGATTCAGAAATCTTGGAATAATCTTTGCATCGCTTCTTTACAATTATGAATACAGCCATCTTAAAGGACTGAGCGCACTGAGCATATTCAACCTCAGTGTTCCTTATTACGGACAGTTGTTATGCGTAACTCATAGCCGTCGAAGATGAAGACTAGCCTTGTGATAGAACGATGGCTGACAGCACTTGATTTTGACAATGCTGCTGCTCATATCGCCTCAATGTCCCAGTGCTCCAGCAATTCCCATCCCTCGGGATCGTTGACATCGCCGTCCGCAGTCTGACTCAACGTCTCCACCGAAGAGTCCCTGTTGGCTTCCGTTTCTTCGATCCTCAAGAGCCTCATCAAACCTCCGTGTCGAGCTCTCCACGCTTCATCGTACTGGCTATCCCACCGGTTGGGCGGTGGAGGGTTCAGTGGCTTCTGGACAGTTAACGGTGTCTTCGGCTCCCAGATTTCTGGCAAGTCAGTAAGAGCGGAAGCAAGAGGCGTCAGGGATAACATACCGACGTCGTAGCTATCGGCGTGGACAGGTACACGAAACACAAGCCTCCATAACGATGTCCCTTCCTCCACGCGCTCCAACAGCTCTGGTGTAGCGGCGATGGTCTTCCAAAAACCGTACTTGTTGCTGAGTCTCTCGTAGCATGCCACCTGATGAACATTGTTAGCAAGAACGCTCATCGGACAGCATACGCGAAGGTAAACGAGGAAGCTCACCATTGCGTCCCAGAGCTTACGTCGTGATATCATCCCCTCCCGAAGCTCGATACGGCTACGTTCCATCCAGTCTTCCCACTCAAAACAGGCGTGTGGAAGAAAGTCTCGCGCATAGAGCTGAGATGTTATCGCGTGGTAGGATTTGAGTATCCATAGTTGCCTGCGGGTCTGGTCGGCACTTTCGATACCATAGAGACGGGCGTAATCCGTTTGTAAGTCTTGGAAGTCGCGCGCGAGTCGGTTCGAGTCGTGTCGCATCTTGATACAGGTTGGACTTTTTGGGGAAAAGAAAGATTGCAGTTGAGTTGTTGAGCTTAGTTGAACAGGACGAGTTGTTTATACTCCCCTTGGGCTGCTTCACCCTCGCGTTGTGAGATGGCAACCGGTCGCCATTCACATCTTTCTATGTTCCCTTGTCCGGGCACCAACCAGGCACAGAAGGGTTGCTGTGAATTGATCTTACACGACGAATCCTCGGTCCTGACGGCGAATGATGATTGGCGGTACACATGGGATGGCATCCCTTGATCCTGTCTTCTTCGAATACAGCAGGTTGGCTCCGTTAACTGTTCGTTCTTTAGCACGGCCAAACTCAGTTTGTTGCTCGGATGCCTCCACCTTATCCAAATATCACATTCTGCTCGCATGTTGCAGGACCATCAGGAACTCTAGCAACGAGGGGTAATCTATCCGCATCTTAGATTGAAAGTACTGATCCTCACAGTTCTTCGACATTCCAGTCCTTCAACAAGTCCCAATCGTTGTCGCGCTCCGTATCGGCCTCATCGCCCGTGTCCCACATCTCCCTCATCCTGTCGTTATGAGATCCTTCCTCCGCACGTGCGAACCGTGCCCAGTCTTCGACTCTGGAAGACGACGCTTCGACTGACGATCTCCTATCCCATTCAGGCGTTGGATGATCCGTCCGCTTCCGGATAGTCAGTTCCTTCTTCGGCTCCCAGAGTTCTGAATACCAGTTAGAGCAAAGCGTATCCGAACAGGTGAGGAAGATATACGTGAGAAGGATTGCACATCCGAAGGTAAGCAGAACACAAGCCGGTAAGTGGATTCTTGTGTCGTCTTCTCGAGCCACTGCGGCACTGCGAGGGATGTCTTCTCGGCGCCGTATCTTTGTAGAAGCTGGGAATAACAGATTTCCTTTCGCGGTTCTGTTAGCAAGATTGGCGTTAGATTAGATGCGGAGGTTTGGAAACTCACAAGTACTTCCAAGAGCTTGTAGCGAGACATCAAGTCCTTCCTGAGCTCCATCTGAGAGAAGTCCATCCAGTCGTGGTATTCGAAGTACTGGTGTGGAAAGAATTTCTGCTCGTAGAGCTGAGAACAGATGACACGAAAATTCCTGTGTGCCCATGACCGTTGACGCGCCTCATCTGGATATTCGAGGCCCACTAGACGAGCAAAGTCTATCTGCATCTCTCGGAACTCGTGTGCGCGGATTTCTCTGGCGAAGCCAGACATCTTGGTATCCGTGTGGCTTTGAGGAGAGCGAAGCTGCGGAAACAAGTTGCGAGAATGGAAAAGGAAGGAAGAGATGTTTGTACTGCATCCGAGCTGCTTCACCTCCGAGTCTCCAGGCGGCAACCGGCCAACTTTCACGTCTCTCCTCGTCTGTAGCCCCAATCGGGTGTAAGAACATGGCCGTAAACTGACTTTTCACAGGACGGGACGGCCCCAGTGACGGATGGTAATTGCTGCGTGCAGATCGGCCCGCTCGACGTTGGTTTGGTATACACCGCTTTTCACACGGTCTCTGTCAGTTTTGCCATGTTCGACTGTCGCAGGCTGGGCTCCACTCCGGATCGCATTCTTCGGAACGGCCAGACTCAGTCTACTGCATTGATAGCTCCGCCTCACCGAAACCTTCTCCTTCAGCACATGCTTGACTGACCCGTTCCATTCGGCTTGCGCTGCCCGCTCTATGTCTTGCGGCTATAAATGCTCAGACTCTCGGCGGTTGTCACAACCAATAACGCTTTCCATATTCGGGTGCTTTCACAGGTCACGGAAGCCGCACAACGGGATGGATCTCGGCGTCGAGCTTGCGCTTCGTAATTGCTGAAAAAGTATAGAATGTGTTGCTGTGCGTTCTTATATAAGAATACCAACTGCTCTGATGCTCGTTTGAGTGTTTGGAGCTTCCCGACTCGCTCGTTGAAGCTGGCGTTCGTTTGCCATCAATCCAGGTCGGGCAGCCATAGGCGCTTCCAGCATACATCACATCCTCTTTGAACATCGTGAGATCCTGTCCGGTTAATCGGTAAGCGACAGCCACGTTGGGGTATCGGATTGTGGGCCGAAGAACAGCATGTCTTCCCCCGGATTTTCGTTGAATGGATCTGTGCCGGTGATGTACTGCATAGAGTATGGAGTACAGTTTAGGTCGCGGTAGAAGTTGTAAACGTCTTGAATCGGCTTTGACTCTCGCTGATAGGTCTGCAGGATTTCTAGAAATTGTTGATTAGAGATGTCCGGTTGAGAGAACAGGATCTGTCCTTCGTATGCGTTTCGCTTGGCCAGTTGCATAGTGGTACCACGTCATGTCATTTTTCTCCCCGTCTGAAAAGTCTGCGTGATTGCTGTGCAGACCCCGAGAATTTGGCACATGTTGAGACTCGTCGGAGTTGGCGAGTTATCCTAAGCGCAGATTTGGCGAGTGTCCGAGGCGGACAATGCAGATCGACCTGAAAGACTTCGAGAACATTGGAGAGGTGTACAATGTTTGTTCGTAAGTAATGAAAGAACAATCTTGGAGCGAGGTTATATAGATTTCTTTGTGTGTCGTTCCTTGTGATCAACTTTTGAGAATAACTTTATGAGTTGAGAGGAAAGCTGGAGTTAATTGAGGTACATTAATCCTAAAGATGTGTCATTCCTATATTACAGACTTTGAAAGGCAACTGGACATCTGCTTGATTCTGCGAAGCTTGCGTAACAAGACGGAAGTGTTTCATAGGCAAATGCACGGCGGAGCTATCCGGCACAAGTTCAGTTTGGTCAATCAGCGGTCTTGCAGAGAGCTGTCGTAGCATGCCAATGCCTGGCTCAGTTCCGGAACGTAGCAATCTGCTAACCTGCAGCAACGCTTTGAGATACTGATTGGCACTCGTATCACAGGCATTCGGGGAGGAAGTGGGGAGATACTGTCGATTCAAGCCGATATCCCAACCGTCTGTCCCCATGAGCCCATGTAGCCTGCCGGACTACCTCGCCCTCTCTTTGCAATGGCTCCATTCATCAATGGTTGTTATACTGAAAGTGTCATCGGCTGCTGTCTGAAATTAAACGCAGTTCAGCCTCAACTGGTTGGGCGGTCTTGGCACGTCGGTGCACGTGACTTTGCAACATCATCAGAGCTCGACCGAACCTCACCACCCCCAGCCCAGACACCGAACCGCATCTACCGCACAACTGTACGCCGCAGGCCCATCAATCGCTTCCTGAGAGTACTTCCTGACCTTCAATTGCACAGTGCCCACGATGTCAGCCTCTCGCGCCCTCCGGTTCCTCCCCCGGGCCCAGCCCCTCGTCCTCCGCACCGCGAGTGCCGCCCGGCCTCAGTTCATCAAGTCATTCGGCACCCAGGCGGCCAAGTCCTCTGTTGCTGCTCAAGCGCAGCTTCAGCCGAAGCAGAATGGCAAGCCGGCGATGCCGTCGTCTTTCTTCATGGCCAACCCGCCAATGAAGGCCGAGAAGCCGACCTCGATGGTATATCTCAGAGACTCGATGTGGAGGAGAAGTATAGATAGGCTAATCCGAGGTTTACGATCAGATCCCGCTCCAGGCCGCTATGCCGCAGCTTATCCCCTTCTTCTTCGTCAATGAGACCATCATCGCTTTCGTCCTGCTCCCGACCTTGGTCTACATGTTCAGCAAGTACATCCTGCCGCAGAGGGTCCGTTTGATGGCGGCACGCCTGTTCATTAGCAAGCTATAAGCGGTTGATGTGCTAGGTGGTCATGGTGCACGGGATGACCGCGGCGATGGTGTATCTTTGGAGACGGTGTACAGTAGCAAATCCGCTGTTTCCATTCCAAGCATAGCTGAGCTGCAACTGGTTCGTTCGTGTAGTTTTGCATCAGTGAAACACACCTTTAGTTCGCTGTTTTGCTGGTCCATTGGCAAACCACAAGATCACGAATGTCTCCTACATATGCAGCGCGTACCGTCAAACTACTCCTGCACTGACCCCGTTTGCGTACTGTCGGCATGATAGTACAAACATGCTCCTAGGAGTTTACTTGGGGTTTCTTTTCTCTAACGCTACCTTTATATCAACCGTATCTCCTTAGCCATGCTGCCTTTCTAAACATTCTTCCCGCGCCGCGCTGATCGGCCTCTCATCCTCTCACCATTTTACAGATTCTGTGAGTAGCATTCGCGTCTTCTCAGCATGTCTTCCCAAGCGACCGATCTCGACAAGGTCAACCCAAAAGCCGGCCCTCACTGTGACCATGCCGCCAATGACGACGGCGGTGACATGCAGCGTCAGAATCTGCCAGAAGCTAAAGTATGCAACGCAACAACACTAAGGAGCTCATTCGCTGACATTGCTTGAAGGTGATGGATGAAGCACATAAGAGTGAGACAGCCGAGAAGAAGGATTCCACCAGTTCTGAGGTCGTAGTAGACGATTGTTTAGCGACTGAGGTGTATTCTACGATGCTCAACGACCTATCTGTCACGCTTGAAGTCCGTGTCCGAACTTACGATGAGCGTGATGTGAAGGTCACAGTCGGAGCTGAGGTGTACCATTACAAGCTGACGAAAGCGGAGACTAAATCGTTGGTTGAGGAATTGGAAAAGCAAGTGTCAATGCTGGCTACAACCGAGAAGCTGCGAGATGAACTCAGGGCAGGATTGCGAAGACCATTAGCCGAATGGTTAGCTGATGTCGAGGAGGGGATCAACAAGCTCTCCGAAAACGGACTTCCAGAAATGGCACCGCTCATGTAAGTCATCTCTTACACAAAGCATTATAAGCATAAATATAGCAGTCAGTAGCTAACTTTTGAACAGCGCAGAAGTTCGGGCTCACGTTGCGGCTTTGAAGGCGGAACGTGGATTGAGCTGAGAAACAGCATGGCGGACTGGGCCGGTAGTGGAATACATGCTGTTAAGCGTACAGCTGGGGCTGCCTTAGCTGCTGAGAAAGTTGAGCAGCAGTTGCTTCAATCTTCCTTGACGTCTGTGCACGTAAAAGAGACCTGCGAGGGTTTCGACGTAGTTCTTCTGTTTCCTTCGAAATGGCCTAATTCTGAATGGGGGAGCTCGAGGGAGTTTTACCGGGATCAATCATTAAACAATGCTTCATCACTTCACTTCTAGCGAGATAAGGCAAACCTACGGTCCGTACTTCCTTATTCGTCTCTTCTCTCACCCATTTCTTCCACAGAATTATCAACTCAACGCACTCTCAGTACCAAGAACTGGCCACATTCCTCAGAGGTGCGCGCTGTTTTCTCAGCCTCACATCACCCCAAGATCCTGCGGGAAGCCCCCACCTCTGTCCAAGATGTCGTCCGAAGCTATTGACGTCACCGAAGGCGACCGACTCACCTTTCTCCACTACTACGAAGACACCGACTACCCCGGCCACGTTGGACCGCGCACGAGCAAATGGATGGCCACGGTAAGCTCGTGTACGACATAGAAGAACCCTAGTCTGCTGACATTGCGGTGAGGTTTCCAAGCCGGGCATAGTCGCTCTCGACTGCATCGCTAGAACTGTTGCCGAAGTCTATGGAACGAAGGTCGAACACTTGACTGATGTGCGGCACAAGATCGAGTTTCCGGGCGGACACGTGGGTATCAGTTCCGAGTACATCCAAGTCACGGCTGTGTTCGAATATCTCCCTCAGCACATCAAAGAGCTGTATACCGCCCCTTCAGGAGTCTGCTAAGAAAGCCTACGACCAATCTTGCACGACCACAAAGATTTTTCCGCAAAGCTCTAGCCTTTAGTGAAGAGGCCGAAGAGATTTGCTTCAAGACTGCAGAGGTGCTTGCATCCGAGGCCAAAATGTCTACACTTGGGGTTGAAGATCTTGCAGAGATTATCTCAAACGCCAACATCCATAACCGGAAGGCAGGGAATTACAACGCTAGGATGAGGGAAGTCGAAGGTCAGCTTCAGGCTGCGGTCGACAAGCTTGTCAAGCCGCAGGCCGAGCATGGGAGTCAGATTGCGGTTCTGCACTTGTAGGTCTCTCTTCTATATGCAGAGCATCTAGTGGGTGTCGAGCACCGCTAACTTATAAATAGAGATAACATCAAGGCTAAGCTCTGAGGTGATCATTTATGGGCCGCTTGGTATTGAGGTAGAACTTGGGCTGGTCTGAAACATCAGTTCGCGCCGAAGCAAAGAAAGAGCTTAAGGCTATAAGCCACGACGTGGAACCTGCGCCGGTCTAGCACACGACAGTGCGCCTTCAGACTTCAGCGGAGCACATGATTCCGAATATGCACCTGCGGCATCTCCTGCTGCTCGGAACCCGGACTGAGAAGCGGGATTGAAGCTTAGCTTCACATGAGTCCTGCTCTATGTGGTCCAAAATCTTACTCAATCCACCCTCTCGGCTGGTGTAATTAACAACGTGATGATTCCAAGAAATTACACACCACTTCATCCTCTACGCAGGGGCAGCGCTCTCCTGCCTACGCAAGAAATTCCCTACAGACTTCCATCTTCCATGTGTCCCCCGCGTGTTGCTAGCGTGCTTACGCAGTACTCAGAAGTAGCATCTCATCAGCGCGGCAGGGAAAAGGGCTGCCATTCGGGCTCACTAGCGCCGCCGCAGTACGTCCTCAGCTTAGTCAAAGCGCACAGACGCAGGCGAACATATTGTATTAGCTGTACCCAGAACTAAGTCTACCGCGTCCACCAAAACATTGCAACATGGTATCAGCCCGAATCCAATACCGCCACCCCTCAAAACATGAAAAACAGGCTCCCAATCAGACGTCAACCCCCTTCCGCAACCAACCTCCACCAGGCGTACGAGGACATGCGCTAGTATCTGACTTCATAAAAATAGACATGACACCGCGCAGTTACCTCAAAACCACCCACCCCCCTCGCTCCCCCTCTCCTCCGCCTCCCGTCCCCTCAACCACCCAACTCCAACCCCCTTCCACCTCTCCCCACTCTTCTTCTTCCCAATCTGAAACTCCCACTGCCGATTCCGCGCCTGTTCAAGCTTGCTCCTGAAGCTGGCCGCGCTCTCTGGCCTCTGCTGCAGCTTCCCCTTCCCTCCTGTTCCACCCCTCTCCTCGACGTCCACGTCAACCTCCGCCTCCCGAAACCCCAATGCAGACGCCACACCCGGCCTCCTCGACGCCTTGGAGCGCAGGGACGCGCCCCTGCCGACCCCGAGCCCGAGACCGAGACCTAGACCTCTGAGTGCGGACTTGTTGGTGCGGTTGGTGTAAGCCGTGCGGACAGAGCCATGCGTGCGGTTCGAGGCACTACTCCCCATGCGCCTCAAGCGGGCCTTGAAATCCTCCACGCTCTCGCCCTCGAGCAATCTGCCTTTCCTATTGCTCGGCGGGGTGCGGTAATCGTAGCTGCTCTGCGTGCGGCGGACTTGGTGCGGGACGGAGGGCTGGTTCGAGGTTTCGCGGTGGGTGTGCTCCCGCTGCTGGGGCTCCCGCCGCTGTTGCTGGTGGGGAGCTTTGGACTTTGGAGGAGAGTAGAACCGCCGCGGGGAGGATTGGACCAGGTTGGTGAGGGCCGCGAGGTCGTCTTGGTGCGCGCGCATGCGGTCAAGGGATTGTTTGCGCGGGGCGGCGAAGGCGCGGCCTTGGACTGAGAGGGACGGGCGGCGGTAGAGGGAGTGCGGGGATTGCTGTTGCGAGGGTGGGGCGTGTGGGAGGGGTTTTGACTTGGATGCGAGGCGGCGGGAGCCTTCGTCTTGGTCGTAGGTTTGCGCGTGCAGGAGAGCGGTGCGCTTTTCTTCTATGGCGGCGGCGACTTGGGCGACGGAGTTTGGGACAACGTCGAGAGAGTTCTGTGGGACATGTTACTACGGTGTGATGTTCCGCCGAGGAGTACCAATCTGGCATAATGAGCCTACCATGTGGATGAGGACGATAGGCAACTGCACAGTTACAAGCTTGCTACCCGCAAGTAAGCAAATGCACTCTGGGCATGTATAGGTAAGCAACCTACGTATGCGCGCTGCTGACGATGATGTTGAGAAAGTATCGGACTTCGAAGTACTTGCCTAGCGGATAATCAGCCACAGCAATAACATGTTTTAGCTGGGCAGCTCACCGCACTTGACGGTGGCATGACCTCTTGGCAGTTCGAGATCGCAGGTCCGCAACTCCGACGAGTGGGCGGCAACGCCGTTCCAGCAATGAGTCGTTCCAGCTTTAATCGTGTTCCTAGTCAAAGTGGAACGTTCATTGCTATCAAAAATCCGCGCTTGGCTAGCTGATTTCTCTATTGTCGATGCCGCTGCCTGCAATGGACAGTCAGTGTAGTTCATGGTGAAGCCTACAAGGACGTCGAAGACGCACATGTTTGTAGAACAGGATATCCCGCTCCAACTGTAGCTCGATCTTCCTGACCGTTTTGCGGCTGTGGTTCGCGATATGTATGTCCACGAAGATGGTGGTGCCGCTGACCCACACTTGCCGGTGCAGTCCAGCAGTGACCTTGATGGTCTCAGTGCATGTTTCTCGTGCTTTTTGGTATTCATCTGATGCGGTGAGTGGACTCGGTAACGACGTTAAGGCTTTTTCGGCTAGAAGATTGGATGGTCAGCGAGCTCCGTCATTGCGGAGAACGTCAACCTACGGTCATACACAGACAAGACAGATACTTCCTGTGTTGTCCTAACCAAGTATTGTTTTCCTTGGCTCCTAATTAGTAGTGTAGCGCATAGCACGTACCGTATCCGGGCATGCTTGGACTGGAACGGAGGCGGCCCAATGTCCAAAGGTAAACTAAGGGAAAACGGAAGACTTGTCGAGTTCGGCACCAGGTGCCAGAAGGGATCAATCGGTGATATCTGACTTGTTGACTCAACCATCCTGTGCGGCGGCGGATTCTCCGAATCGATCAATTCTGTAGCCAAGTTTAAGAAAATCGATCGCTTCACACCAGACATCTCTTCGACCCCAAGCAGATCCACAGATATTCTTGCAATCGCAAGTGACCGTTTGTGCCGCACCCTCTCGGCATCGTCAATCGCGATGCGGACATTGCCTTCGATGCTTCCACCGCCCACAAACAGCGAGGCGCCAAGTTGAAGGTCAAGAGAGATCCGCGGATGACGGTGGACTGGAAAGTCGAGTATATCCGTTGGTTGCGACGTTCTTACGAATGTGCGAGATGGGATCCGTCGCGCAAAGTCCGACTCTACAGGGTTGAGCCTTGCCGCCACCTCTTTCACCGGCGATCGTGACTGACCTCGGTTGGGGACGGTGTATCCCATGCCTCGCGGCGGTGGATCTAGTGGGAATAATGGAGGCCCTACGGACGGATTCCTCGTTCTCGAAACACTTCGTTCCCTGCGCGGTTTGGAGGACGACCGCGGAGGCACACTCCCCAGCGGGATGTTGTATATACTCGAATGATCTTCTGCATCGCTGCCGGGTGATTGATCAGGTGACCGGCGTCCCTTGTGGTCGTCTTCATCTTTGGATGGCTGGACAACTCTTACCGAACGGCCTCGCGCTAGGGAACCCTTGCGACTAAGAGATGTCTTGTGTACGAGGCTGGAGTTGGGCACTGGCTTGCGGGGAACAATGTCGATGAGGCTTGGCTCGGTGAGCTCACGGATGTCGGAGAGGGGCCGGGTTGCCGTTGACCAAGGCGGTATGGCTGCGGTGGACCAAGGCGGAGGTGGAGGTACAGGATGTATAGGATGCCGCAAGTCTCCCTGCAAGCTATTCTCCTGCCTCTGGGTGTTGAGTGGACGAAGTTGAAGTGGTGGAGGGTGCATGCTTCCTGGCAGCAGACAGACGCGAAGAGGCAGGTCCTTTTTTTGGTGTAGACTATCCGCGTGCTGCCGCCTTCTAGGCTGTATGGTCCCAACGCGCTGCGGTAACGCGTCTCCCGTACCGATTCTGGCTGTAAAATGGCTCTCGTGTTTATGGCCTGGTCCGGAAACGACAGGACGCGATCTCAGCTGGGCGATGCGATTGGAGTATAGTCGGTATTGGTGCGGAAGCCAACGTCTTTGACCGAGGTTCGGCGAACGTCCATAACGCGCCTATAAGGAATACAGCTCCTTGGTCTGGCGGCCGAGGTCGTGGTCGTGCAAACGTCGCATCAGACCACAAATCATGAGTCCGAAGAAACGGCACAAGGTTGAGGTGAGATTGGGATCTCAGGGGCCTCGCTCTTGCCGTTGCCATGGCGCGTTGACAGGATGCAGGAAGGAGACTTTGCAGCATTGACTTTGAACTTGCACCTGCCATCAAGAGACCAAAAGAGGAAGGAAGGACAGCGCATTCTTTATGCACCCGCTCTGACTCAGATAGGGAAGACTCCGCAATTCGAATGGAGAAAGGGGGACAGCAACGAATTTCAAGGGATAAATATCACTGACCTACCTACTTCATGGCCTTGATGCTGTGATACGGATCTCAGAGGTCAAGCCACGGTTCGGCCCCGCTTGCGCTCGTTGCTCCGGTTTTGCGATAGCAAGCTACTGCATCTTGATGGAGTCTGATTTCTTTTCATCTAAATGTTCAAATCCACCAAGGAGCGCATCTGGCAGCTTGAAGTCGCTCAGTGGATAAAAGGGTCACGTGACGATTAAATCAGAATCGCGTCAGCGGGGGAAATCTCTTCGCTCATGGCCTCGCGTTGTTGATGGATCTTTTGGTATCGCCGCCTTCTACCTAGACACGTTGATGCGCTTGTCCAGCGGGAATCGCTGGCGACAATGCGAATGCCATGTCTGATAACGCTTGCTGATCGCGGTCGCATCTGGAGCTGCGGGACGAGGATGAGCATTCCGTCAACTGAACGCCATGCGACGCTCCCGTCTCAGACGAGAACGAGGAGGGTTCCCACGCGTGACGATCGCACTGTGCAACAGACGATCAGCCGCTGGGCGAGCTGCCAACAAGCAAGCTCTTCGCCCGCGACGGAAGCGAGCTCCGTGGAGAAGCTTCAGCGACGGCGTTGATGCTAAACTCGATGGAGGAGGCCTATCCAGCGCTCGGCGCCGAGTTCTGAGCGGCGCTGACCGCCAGCGAGAATGCTTTACTCTAGTTAGACGGACGACGACTTGGACGCTGGTCATTGGTGCCCCCCATATTTTCACTTGCCCAGTCGCTCGTGCGGCTGATGAGGGCCAGCAGAGGGAATTGCAGAGTTTGCGTTGGCCCCTCTTGCCCCCTCTTCCGCCCGGCGAACGCCCATTTGCTCGTGCTGGTCTTCGTGACTACGTTCTGCCGTGCCTTTTGTGTGAGCCGAAGTCGCAGCTGTTCTCCTCCCCGCGGCGCAGGCGCAAACCGCCAGGCGAAGGACGGAACTGGAACTGGAACCAAAAGGAGCCCTGCTGAGCAGATGACGCCGTGCGGGACTCTTTAGCTTTCATATCCCCCCATTCTTTAGCCGTCGCCGATTCCATTAGCCAACCTCTTACCTCACACCATCTTTCAGCCAACAATCGACTGCGACTTTATCGTCCATTATCAGAAAACCGCACAAACATTTTCACCTAACCGTCCCGACGCTTTGGAGAAGCCTCCGTAACCGCGCTTAGCTCCGAATTAACCGCACCCAACTCTCGCTTTTCGCGCTTCTGCGACCTCTCACAGGCCGGCGCAGAGGGGTACCTGCAGATGGGAGATAACGCCGCTGTCAGCGATATGACCGCGTCGCTGGGAAAGACGGAGCCGTCCAGAGAAGGATCCACGAGCTCCATGGGCTCGTCGCCCGAGCCTGAGGTCGAGTCGTATCCGCAGGACAGCAACCCGCAGCAGCAGCAGAAGCGCAAGGGCGGACGCAAACCTGTAAGCTTTCCCCTTTCAACACCACCTTCAACCCAGACCCAGCAGCGAGGTAGCGCCCCAGAGCAGCCTTACGAGCCAGCCAGACACTGCCCCTACCAGAGGGTGGTGCAGAGACCCACAGAAGCTCCTGAACTGAATGCCTCTTTGGGAGCGTTCTGGCTACCGGCTCCCCGGTGTTGGTTTTGCGCGCGCTCAGAGTTGTCTCACGGGCCATACCTCTGCTCCAAGTCATGACGGCAGTCACAATTGCGCAGGGTCCGCTAACGAAGCGCTCCTACAAGATCTATGCTACGTCCGAAGAACGGAAGCAGCGCAACAGGCAAGCGCAAGCAGCCTTCCGCGAGAGGAGGACAGAGTACATCAAGCAGCTAGAGGCTACCATCAAGCAACATGAAGACACGCTGCAGGCGCTTCAGGCGAATCACCGCACCGCGGCAGATGAATGCCTCATGCTGAGGTACAAGAACTCGCTGCTGGAGAGGATACTACTAGAGAAAGGTACAGATTTGTGACCTCGAATTGGGAACCCTCCCGCATATGGCATCGCTAACCACGGTACAGGTATCGATGTAAATGCTGAACTCCGCGCCAAAACTGGCAGTCCCAACATGGGCGCCGCTCGTATGCCTCCCCCAGCAACTGCACCGGCTCACTCTCCCATGCAACGCGCGATCATGAATAGGCAGCAGGCTAGGCGCTCTCTTGTTGGCATGCCTCCCAAGGTAGAAGGTGTGCAAGGCGCGCCATTTGCTCACCCCGAGGGTCTCCTCTCAAGTCGTTCACCACATTCGCAGCCCACTCCCACTTCCAGCGGATCTTCGCCATCGACGGCCGCGACGCAGTCACCAAACTTCGTGCCTCAAGGGGTCTCGCCAAACATCGGCCCAGTCGGGCACCAGCCACACTTGCGGCCGCAGCAGCCTAGAACACAACTCGCGCCTTTGCAGCGGGGTCCCCCTCAGCGACCATCCGTCGTCACAAGCCATGCCAGCTCGAGTTCCACCGTCAGCAGTGCTTTAGGAGGTGGTGGGTACTACCCCTCACCGTATCAGAATCACATGGACCAACTCGGCAAGCTGTCCCGCCCCCTCCTCTCCATGCTTAGGCATAGAACTATGTTCGTCCTAGATTGATTTTGTGAGTACAGAACAGGAGTACGATGCCGCAGCCGATATGTACGACGACCAAGACACAAGCGAGCACTCGGCTGGCCCTGGGCCGTATCCGCAAACGTTTCCGCCGCAGATGCCTGCGCAGGGCATTCAGCCGCCGACGCACAACATCGCCCAGCAAATTCACGCAGCGGCAGGTGGTCGGCCGGCCGATCATGCGAACTTTGGCGGCGTACCGCAGATGTTTGACGCCTACGATTCGATGCTAGATGCAGACCCGTTCGGACTGACGGCGAGCATGCATTTCCCGACTCAGTTCTCGTACGAGACGAGATAAGATGAGCTACAAAGCTTTCGAAGATCGAAGCAGTCGCAAAGAGAGCCCAAGACTGCTATGAGACCCGACTAGTCTTGATCACGTGGAGCTTGAAACCAAGGTCGTTCGCGTGAGGATCCTATACGTCTCTCGTAATCTGGCAAGGCCAACGTTTGTACTGGGACGAAACAGCCATATGCCTGGAGCCGAGGATCTCGAGAAGATGTCTGGCAGACTGCCACCCTCTTGCCTGGCTATGCACGCTCATCGATTGGTGAGAAGCTTGGTTCGAAGTCCGCGTACATTGCTGTGACGCAGATCTTGTCACCCGGGCTCTTGCCTGCCAGGACCGAGGGATCGACGCTGAAACACTTGTGCTTCATATGTGCGTGCTTACAGGACATGTTTTGGTTCAAAAAGTTCAATCTGCTTTCGTTCGCTTTTGGCCAGCTGTACCAATTACTTCATGGTAGGATGAGCTTTGTTTTGTCGAGCACCTTTAGCGGGCGTTTAGTGGTCACATTCATTGCATAAGGTGGCGTTCATTAAAAGTGGCATCGTTGCATCTTGCAGCGCCTGTTTGAGAAGTGGGGTTCGCTACGCTGTTATGTAGGTTAAGGCTTGCCGTTGCTGAATTGTAGATAACCAATTCACATCAATTGTTTACTTCTCTGGCTCAGACAGCGGGCAAAGTCGACAGATGCCTCAGGATAGCTCGTGGCCATTAGCATCAGCATGCAAGCTGCAGCGCTTCATCGTGACATCGTGATGAGCCTTGTGCCGATTCGGATAAACACGGACGTCACTCCAGAGCACGGTGGCTTAAGCGAGAACGAATCGCACCGTGCAGCTACAACCTCAAGAACGCCAATAACTCCCCTTCCACCGCCAACGCCCGTCAACACCGGCCATATCCATTGAGAGAGCCCTGATCCTCGCGTCGTAGGATCAGCTCTCGAGCTTTACCAGTAACTTTCAGCAGGTTGCGCACCTGAAAGGAGCAGCGCGAAAGGCGCTTGAACTTCCTCGCGATGTCAGGCATCGCATCCAAGGTCAGTCCCATCCGCCATTTGACGGTTGCAGTCGAAGCTTTCAGCTTCGTCAATGGATGCCAATGGCTCTTGTACACTGTCCTTGGAGTTCGAGCTAACGTTTGTCACGCTCGCAGAACCTTTACGACCTCCTCGGTACCTGAACCGCGTCTCACGTCCATTCGTTCTATCTAACCCCATTCTTAGGCAATGATCCGGAACTCGATCCCGACAGGGAGCCGGAGCCACCTACCAAGGCCATCGACAAGCCTGTCCAGCGCGCTGGCAAGCGCAATGCTGGTGCCGAGGGGTCCCCGAAGGACACTCCCCGACCCCTAGGAGGTGGACGCGGCGGACGTCACGAGGTCTTTTCCGGCAGTGAGCAGGGTACATCATCCATCTCCATATGATATCACTTCCCACTACGTTGTACTCAATGGCTGAGAATATGCTGACACCTTTGACTGCAGCTTTCCGCGACCGCGGCGCCGGTGCCTACCAGAACCGCAGCAAGCCTCCAGATGATGGCCTGCGTCAGGACCGTCACCCCGACCGTCTCCGAGGTAGCTTGCATAGCCATTCCTTCTGCACGCTGCACGAACTGACACAACACAGGACCGGATGAACACCGCGACATCGGCAACCGCGGCCGTGGTTCCCGCGGCGGACGTGGCTACGGAGGCCGCGGCACGCGCACCGGACGCGACGACCGCCACAGCCGCACCGGCATAGCGTAAGCCCACCCCTCCACTCCCCAGTAACCCACTAACACAGTATCCGCAGCGAGCACGAAAAGCAAGCCGCCCACGGCTGGGGCGAGACAACCGGCACGGGCGAATGGGCCGATGAAAAAGCCGGTGAAGCCATCGCTAAAGAAGAAGAAAAAGAAGGCTTCGACGCCGTCGTCCCAGCCCCCGTCAACGCAGACGGCGACGCCTGGGAGCCCATGGCCGGCCACGAGAACGACTGGGCCGGCGCCGTGGTCGCGGGCGCAGGCGAGGACATCCCGCCGCCGGAGCCAGAAGACAAGACGAAGAGCTACGCCGAGTACCTCGCCGAGCTCGCGGAGAAGAAACTCCAGCTTGGTGGTGGGCTGGAGGCAAGGAAAGCTAACGAGGGCGCGGCGAAGAAGTTCCCGGAGGGCAAGCCGCTTGAGCGCGAGGAGGGCGAGGATTTCATCGCTGGCTCTGGCGGAAAGGCGAAGCGCGAGCGCGAGAAGAAGGAGAAGGCGCGTGTGGAGCTCGGCGACATCGTCGATCGTCGTCCGGCTGGAGGCCGCGAGGGCGGGTTCCGTGGCGGTCGTGGCGGCGGCCGTGGTAGGGGTGAGGGTGGCGGCTTCCGTGGTGATCGCGGTGATCGCGGTGACCGCGGCGAAGGTCGTGGTGGCAGAGGCGAGGGCGGTTTCCGTGGCGAGGGCCGTGGAAGGGGCGGACGCGGTCGTGGTGATCGTGGCGAATTCCGTGGTGGAGACCGTGGCGCCCGTGGTGGTGCGAGGGGAGGCGCTTCGCAGGCGGTTAACCTCGACGACCAGAGCGCGTTTCCGAGTCTGGGGAAATAGGTGGATGCCTCTTCGAGCCATGTGCTGAGGTCACTTAAAAGGGAATAGGATGGTGGAGGTGGATTTGTTGACCTGGCCATAGGTGTAGCTTAGGGCTTGTCGGGTGGTTGTGGAGTCCTCTGATAGTCCTACATAAGTATCGATGCTTAATTTGCAAAAATGGAAGATGATTCATCTCCTCTAAGGTCTTCATTCACACCCGGCTTTGACCTGTTTTTGCTTCTCTACTGGCAGCTACCGTTATGGTTGTCGTGTAAGTGAGACAATATCGCCCGGGAGCGTAACATCGTACTGTGCAGATTTGCCCTGCTTCTTTTGTTTCTTTCAACTAGTCGTTTCCTTGCTCTGACTAAAACCCTCTCTCAGGTAGGCGTAGATACACCGCCGTCTCTAGAGTGTGACATCGTTCACAAATGCGTGATCACACGTAGAGCGGACTGAGAAACTCTCTCCAAATCTGTGCAAGTTTTTATACTCACTTAGTACAGATTCGGCAGACTGAACACTACCTATAAACTAGCATCTCTTAGGCATTTGGTTGCAAATAATTAGAGTATATCCGATCTTGGCGATTCGGACGGTCAACTCCCTCGACCGCCCCGTGGTAGACCCACATGCACGATGCACGCCACTCGAAGGATCACTGCACTTCAAGAGGGTGCTTGATAGCCATCCACTTAGTGTGCCACTAGGCTGATTTCGTAATTTTGATGTATTTCTTGATGTATCTAGCAACACTTTGCGATAAAGCTGCAGGCCACTCGCATGCGGCTGAGATGGCGAGGTGCAGGCAGAGTGAGATCAGCTCCATCCTTGACGTGTTTCAGTTGAATCCATAGTCCGAAACTCCTCTTGCTACGCGGAGTTACCATTCGTTACTCTCACTCGCAGAAAAAGCAAGCGGTCTGGTTCAGTTGTCCATGAAGAGATGGATCCACTCACGATCACAGCCAGCGTTCTCTCAATCACGACAAGATGTATACACATCGCCAAGGATCTCAGCGACCTGCGAGAAAAGTTCAAGGATGCTCAGATGATGATCTCCGCCATCTGCTCCGAGTCAACTGTAATCAGTGCCTCGCTCGCGCACATCCAGACGATTGTGCTGTCCAACCCGGACGCGCTTACCACGCAGTTACAATTCCGGCCGGAGCTGGAGGGCGCCTTTGACACGGCGCTCACCGGCTGCATGATGGTCTTCTCGGTGCTCCAGGACGAGGTCCAGTCACTGACCTCCAGCAGTAAGAGTGCATCAAAGGACATTGGCTGGTCTATCAAAGCAAAGTATCTCTGGAAAGAGGAGAGCATGAAAGATCTTCTGCAGCAGTTGCGTGGGCAGCAGACGGCTCTTACGCTGCTTATACAGGCGCTACAGATGTGCGTGGCTGTCACAATGCATGCACTCACGTGCCCCTGGCTAACAGCTATCCCGGCCTTAGGGAGAAACTCTCGGATATCCGCCAATTGCTACAGAACAACAATACTGTGTTGGAGCAGGTTGTGCGCCGGACACTGACGCTCCGTCGGACGCATCCGAGGGTCAGAGTACCGCAGTCGATCAAAGCGCCCCAATCTATCTTCGATGCTGGCACGGATGATGCGGAAAGCATCCTCAATGTGGGCCGGATGTCGATGGATACTTCCACGGAATTCGAGTTTGACCATCTGATCATGCGCTCCAAGGTCTACAGAAGGGCACTCAGCCAAACTGAAGATGATGGAGATCAGTCTGAGAGGCACAGCGATGCTATCTCGGACGGGGAAACAGTCAGTTATGCGGCTACAGAACCACCAGCATTATCCAAGCAATCCACAGCGGTGGGAAGCTCTGAAAACGATTTGAAGGAGCTACAACAGAAGTATACCGATCTGAGAGAAAGACATGAACAGCTGAGTAGGTCATACGTCCCTAATTCCTGATTCGTGCTGATTAGATGCAGACGACGAACATCAGAAGCTCAAACAGAGCTTCTCTGAGCAGCGCATCCAGCTCGAGGAGCTGAAGTCTCGAACGATCGGCAGCCCTCTTGTCGACCTAGCGGACGAGAGAGGCGAGTTAGGCGCGATTCGGAATGCGAACCATACGCCCTGTAAAGCCAGACTCAATGCAAGCTTGAAGGAGAGGGCGATGACTACTGGATCACTTCGTAATGCTGGCTTTTCAGTCCCTCAACGAATGTTCTACCACTGACAACGTGCCGCAGAGCGGAAGAACGCGCGGTCCTCGAAATACTTCCCTCAAAAGGATCCTGGACGGGAGGAGCGACAGATTTCCACATCTCCCGTAGAGGAGCAGACTGAGATCAGTCTGCCAAAACTTCAGGCCTCCAATCGATCACTATCCAACCCCGTAGTGACAATAACCCACCGCGGTAATAATGGTCCGGAACCCAGATCTCCATCATTTTCCACGGACGCGCAGACGGAAGCCGGCTCGCCAACTGACCAGCCTCTAAGCCGCTCCCTCTCCGGTACCATCTTAGTGACTCGGAAGCCCGCCCCCTCCGCTCCAGATCCTACGAGCCCCTACAAATACCTCGTTTCAGACGTAACCTTCCACCGGCACACCAGCGCCGCCCGACTCAGCATCGGCTTCACCGTCTCACGGGTCACGCACCCGACCTACACCCTCGACTTCCTGGGCGTCGACCTCCGCTCCCCCTGGCCGCGCCGCTTCAAAGACGTCTCGTTCCTCTCGCCCCACCAGCAAGACGAGCTCGAATGCCTGTTCTGCGCACTCGCGGGGTACGAGGCGTTTCTTGGTATTGCGGACTGTCAGCACGTGCTTGAGCGCTTTGGGCTCGGGGCGAGGGAGAAGAGGCAGGTGTAGTAAGTTTGTTCCCCATCCATAGGCTCTGATTTTTCCTCGTTCGGCCCACTGCTCATGGCGTGCTGCTGACTCTGACTGGCTAGCGGGCTCCTCGGCGGATGGCTCATGGACCGCACGAGCGACTGCTACTGGAACTTTGAAGAGTTTGCCCTCGTCGCTTATATTCTTAAACGAGCCGAGATGGGGAATGGTGTGTTCAAGCTGCCGAGCAGTATCCCGGATAACATCGCCGCGAGGGTCTGGGCGGACTCTTGATGGTCTTTTTCGCTAGTCCTTCGGTTTTGACCGAATGAAAGATACCCCGAACACGAATCTGATCAGTCAAATAACATACATGAGTATAGAACGCGTCACATAATATCATGCACCTTCAATCTCGAGTGCTGTTCTACTTTTGAAGCTGGTGTAAAATGCTAGGGATGTCTGATGCCCCGTCTCGCGCGTGCTCACGAGCCATCCTCACGCCCACGCTCATGCAATCAATAGCAAACCCCGCGCCGTAAATCAGCGCAGCAACGCTTCGGCTGCAGCGAAACCGGCCATGCTACAGGCTCGAGGCGCCCAAACGCCAAACGCTCCAATCCCGTAACCAATCCGGAAGAGCCGAGTCGTCCCCCATACACTACACGATCCGCTCTTGGAATTCCCCTCTCCCCTCTCCCCTCTCTCCGTCCACCATCCCTCCACCCACCTCACCCCCTCATACTCGCCAAGAAAGAATCCATGTCATACTCCTCCTCATACTGCTTCTCATCCCACAGCTCGCTGAGCTCATCCAGGAAGCCCTTCTTGCCCTTCTCCCTAACCTCGCCCGTCGCATCCACCGCGTCGTCCTCGGCCACGCCACCGTCCGCAGCGGGCATGGCCGGCGCCTCGCCCGTCGAGATGTTGAACAGGTCCAGGATCTGGTCTGTTTCCATTGTGCCGAGGCCCGCGTTTTGCTGGTTCACGACTGTGCTGGCGACGTCGATTTTGAAGCGTTGGAGGCTGGGAAGAGATGTTAGTGTGTTGTTCGCTAGACGAGATAAAGGAGGGAGGAAGGGAATGGAGTTGGGGCTTACCTCAAGATCTTCTCCTCCAATGTCCCGCGCGTGACAATCCTGTACACATTGACGACCTTCTTCTGCCCAATCCTGTGCGCGCGGTCCATGGCCTGCATGTCCTTCTGGGGGTTCCAATCATGCTCGACAAAGATGACTGTATCCGCGCCTGTAAGATTAAGCCCCAGCCCGCCCACACTAGTCGTCAACAACAACACGTCGTAGCTCGGGTCGCTGTTGAACTTATTGACGATATCCTGGCGCTTGTTCGCCTCGACGCTGCCGTCCAGCCGCATGTACTGCACGGCAGGGAGCATCTTGCGCAGGACTTCGGTCTGCACCATATCGAGCATCTCCTTCATCTGGCAGAAGATGAGCGCGCGGTGCTGGGAGACTGCCTCGTTGGCGTTCGGAATATCTCCCGTGGTATCGGAGCCAGTGACGCCGATGCCGCAGTCGACGAGGAGGTCGCGGAGGGCCATGAGTTTGGGCGCGTGAGTCGGGTCGCGGAGACTGGTGCCTTGTTTGGCGAGGTAGGCTTGCGTGGCGGCGTACTGCTTGTGAGTGTCCTTCATGACGAGCGCGGGCGAGTTGCACAGTTTGCGCATGTATTGCAGGGCCTGGAAGATGTGCTGTTTGGCCTCGCGGTCGTTGGAGGAGGCCTTTTCGGCGATGGCTTTGCCTTCTTTTTTGCTGAAGTCTTCGAAAAGCTTCTTTTGCAGGTCGCTGAGGTCGCAGTAGTAGTTTTGAATTATTTTTGGTGGGAGGTCGTTGAGGACTTCTTCTTTAAGACGGCGGAGGAGGAAGGGTAGGACTTGCTTGTGTAGAGCTTCGATGGCGAGGGCGCCCGCTTCTTGTTCTTTGGATGAGGATTTGGCATAGCGGGATGCGGCGATGGGCTTGGCGAAGCGATCTTGGAAGACCTTTTCAGTACCAAGGAAGCCAGGCATAAGGAAGTCGAAGAGAGACCAGAGCTCGAGCACGTTGTTCTGGATGGGTGTACCTGAGAGGATGAGGCGATGGTTACTGGAGAGTTGTTTCACAGCTATAGTTGTTTTAGTCTTCGGGTTCTTGATGAGGTGGCCTTCATCCAGCACACAGTAGTTCCAGTTGAGCGGCCCAAGTAGATCAATGTCGTTGCGGCAGATGTCGTAAGACGTGATGACAATGTCGGCATTCATCAGTTGATTCCTATATTTGATGCGTTCGGATGGTGAGCCCACATACGCAACCGCAGTCAGGAACGGTGCGTATGTCCTGATCTCTTGCTGCCAGTGCCCGGACAGCGTGGGTGGGCAAACAATGAGTGAGGGAAGGGGTCGGAAGTCCGGCGCTCCGGTCTCTGCGTACTTCTCAGCGCGCTGATGATGATCACTAGCAACGATGCATAGAGTCTGCAGAGTCTTGCCAAGCCCCATGTCATCGCAAAGGATGCCGTGGAGGTTGAAGCGGTTGAGAAAGGCCAACCAATTGACACCGTCTTGCTGGTAGGAGCGAAGCTCGGCTTTGATAGCCACGGGTATCTCGAAAGGCTCGACCTTCTTCGGATCCAGCATCTGAGCGATGAACTTCCGCTCTTTCTCTCGTCCTTGCAGTAGCTCTTGAGACAAGCCGGGTGGATCCGGTATACCTGCTTCTAGAGGTACTAGTTTGACCAGCGTCGCGAAGCTGGTGGTGGCGATGAGCCGGATATCATCGTTCGAATCGCTCATACGGCCAAGAACAGGCACGATCAAGAAGATAACATATGGCAGGATGCCGTCTTCCATAACGTTAATGAGCCAATAGATGCATTCGATAGCACCTTGCCGGCAGTGCACGTCCAGGGCATTGCTAATGGACGGCAAGACCTTCTCGACGAGCATGCTGATGCCTTCGACGGTCATAACACTGCAAATCGTTGCGAAGCACTTCGCTGCTGCATACCGCAGAACGGAAAGCTTAGACTGCATTGCCTTGGCGACGAGCGGTAAGAGAACCCGCACCTTCTGGTGAAGATCAGGATGGAACTTCGACACGAGAGCGCGCAGTGTTGACAGGGCGTCGATGACCTGCTGTCCTAGAGTGTTGTCTGGATTCCGTATTTCGCTGGGAAGTTCGTCGTTCGCGAAGACGGCTCGAACAGGAGCCTCGATGAGCTCCTCCAGGATCGGTAACTTGACAAATAGTTGACTGCCGAAGCTTGCAACAAGCTGCTCTAGAGCTTCTTTCGCCCCACGGCGCTGATTGCGAGCCGCCTTGGCCTCCCGCTCGTGTCGTGCGGCATCCGGATGATCTCGGATGTCTTCGTCTTTTTTGAGCGATAGGATACCGACTTCTGGATTTTCCACTTCGATATTGGGATGGAACTCGGGTGTTTCTGCGGTCTCTGCGCAGTAGAATTTGGCCAGGTTGCCAACGACTTTCTCGGTCACGACACGCTTGCCGGCGGTCACCATCCGCTCGACGAGCGAGGCGACCGCGCTAGCTGACCTCCTCTGCAGTTCGACGTTCTCCTCTTGCTTCACACTGTCCATGACGCTTTTGATGGTTGCTGCAGGCTTTTTCGGGATGTTGTCAAACGCAATGACTGCGGCAGCGGCAGCAGCCTTGATGCGCAGGTCAGCAAGCTGTTTAATATTCCTGGCGTTCTCGACCGCAGTCTGAACGTCAGCTCGTGCTGTGTTTAATGTCTCGAGCGAGGCTATTCGCTGAGCTGGCGACAAAGCCTTCTTCAGTCGTTCGAAGTCTTCATTGGCAATCTTCTCTCCCTCAGCAAGCGAGAAAGCCAAGGGGCCGGCTTCGGGTTCACCTTGCACCAGGTAGGCGATATTCGGGATCTTCAAGCTACTGCCGGTGGAATTGTCTCGGAAAGTGTTGAGCATGGACTGAACCTGCGCGCGAACGATTTGTAGGTGAGGCACGAGGTCGCTGTACCAGATGGGCCGCGAGCCTTCGACGATGTCGTGTAAAGGAGTTCCAATGCGTTGCGCGAATTGATCTGCCTCCGCTGTAGCTTTCGCATATTCTTCGGCGATCATAGATGTAATCAGCTGTGTGGTCGAGTTCGGTGACTGAAGATGAGGTATGATCCTTGGTCCAAAGGTATCGTTTCGCGATGATTCAGGCCACTGCGCAATGGCTGCGCCTAGCGCCTGAGCCGAATATATCTTCGAGCGTATCATGACATCCACGCCCACCAGTTCAACATCTCCGGACATAATGTGTGCATCGATGTTGTGAGCTGTTGAAGGTGGCAGCGCTACATCTCTATCCTTCTTCTCGGATTTCCGTCTACGCTTGGCCGGAGGTTCTACACCGGTTGGAGGTGATACTCTCAAAGGGCGATGCTGAGTGTGACTTGGCGGAGCGAAGGGCTGACCTGAGGGACGAATGAACAGCGATGCATCCATGGGGATGGGATGTCGAACGACACCGATTGGGTGAACGGTAAGCGTGACCAACGGATCTACATGCGGCTCGAATTCATCTCTGAATGCGTCCGGTCCACGATCTGCCACAGCTCTCAGGAGTGCGTACCACACTTGCAGTGACAGCTTAAGAACACCTTCATTCCGCTCAACTAGAAGATTCTGGTAGACAAGTCGGAGGGCTTTGCCGTTGACCCAGCCTTTGGTGCCATCGCCCTCAATGTCAAGGAAGGTGAGAAAAGCGCGCAGAACTGCGGATCGTACGCTCGTAATCGTGTGTCGAAGGAATGGGTAAAGTCGAGGAACAAGCTGTGCGAACGACTGCTCAGGGTCTTTGGCCGCGTTTCTCCTCATGGCATCTAACACCTCGGTGAAGCTACAGAGCTTGGCAAGAAGATCCATGACGAAGCCGGTGCTGGCACTAAGGTCGTCGCTTAAGTTCGACAAGCAGTCCCATACGATGTGAATCAGGCTGTTGAGTGCTTCGGGCCGCATCTTGACGAACTCGCCAGCGACGGGGATGAGAGTTGCAGCGCTCACCGCCCGTACATCATCATCGAAGTTGCCCAGGCCCTCCATCACAGCCTTTAGAACGCCGTCCATGAGACTCGGATCCTTGACTAGGAGGTCGTTGCGCACGGCGACAAGGTATCTCATCCCGATCATACCTCCATGACAGGCCTGCCAGATGGGCGTCTTTCCATCAAGGTCATGTTGCATCACTAGACGATACAGAACGTTATAGACAGCTTTGACTGACTCGACGGAAAGATATTGTAGTACCGCACCGAGAGCTTGACCGGCAGTTTCTCGGATGGGCGCAACGACGTTATCGGACACATAGTCCCCGAAGCGATCGAGCATGAAGACGGCGCATATACGACACGCGAGGTCGTCGAGGAACCGTTGGTTGAGGATGTCGTTTTGTTCTCGGGTCAAGCCACGCTTGCGCCCAGCGCCAGCTCCGTGGACACGAATTACTTCGCGTAAACCCATCGCAGCTCCATGGCGGATTTCCCACGCATGATCGAACAAATCGACGGTGAGGACTTCGCACAGCCTGTCGTATGGCCATTCTAACCCTTCCTCTTCAGCTTCAGTTTGGAAGGCGGACTTTTCAGGCACAGGCATGCCCTTGAACTCTGCCACGACCTTACTGTCATCGTCTCCGCCGTCTCGCTCAAGCGAGAAGTAATCTTTGGCGATGTCGTCGCTTTCTTCCCTCTTCACCTCCGTCTTGATAGGTACTGGATGGGCGCTGGCTGGCGTCTGTGGATAGTCCATGCTTGACCGCCGACATGATATGTCAACGATGCGGACCTTGTTAGCCTGGTGCTTAAATGCTTGCTTGTTCTTGCGCTTGAGCATGTTGAGCTGCCGCTTGCTGAGCCCCTGTTCATCAGTCGGCGTCTGACCGACCGCGTCATGCGGAGACACAGCCGAGTAAACTCCTGGAGATGCGGTACTGTTATTCCTGCCTACGGAGGTGTCGATCCGTTGTAAACCTGGTGTTTGGGGTATCTGCTTTGCAAACGGCACAGCGAAATCCTTCTCTGTGATGAACTCTTGTTCGATGTACTCGCCTCCGAGACCGAGGCGTGCTGTCAAGCTTTTCTTCTGGTGGTCAAGACGCGTCGCAGGATCCATAGCAGCCATCATGTAGTCATATTCTCTGCCAGCACTGCCCAAGAGCTTTTTGCCATGCGTTAGGATAGAAGCAACATCGAGCGTTGCCAGCTGCAACTGGTCCTCGGAAAGTGGAAGTCCGTTCGTAGTTTCGTCCTTGACGGCCACACCATTGGAGCCATTGGGGGTATGACCGTTAGCCTCCGGCTTGAATAGCTCGTCGTCGTCTGCATTGGGGTCGAACTTCTCAGCATGCTCGACAATGCCACCGATGGCCTTGGCGGCTGCGACGCGGGTATCCCAAGACTTGGATCTGAGATATGGAATGACTCGTGTGAGTAGATTGAAGAGTTCATCGGGATGTTGCTTCTGAACGTCGGCAAGCTGCTGCGCCGCTGTGTTACGGATGAGCTGAGTGCTGCCCGTCTCGAGTAGCCTGTGTCACGTGGTCAGCGCTGCAACAATCCATGCGGTTAAAAATGCCAAGACGCGGCACAATGATGATCCGCAACAGAGGAATGAAAGAAGACGGAGGCGGTAACTTACGTGACTAAGCGATCTAATCTCGATGCCATCGCCGTTCACCTTCCACCACCGTCCCTGCAACAAACAGGTAACTTGCTGCTATGCTATCAGTCGTGCAAAAGTCGTAGAAAGCCGTGGTCGCATGAGAATCGCACTAGATCTTTATTGTTGTTCTGTCGAAAGCCGTCGCATTTCATCGTCACCCATGGATTCATGCATGCATCGGCCTGGAATGGTCGTTTGGTAAGCCAATGAACGGTGTGGTTGCGTCGGCGGATGTTTGGGCGGGGGGACTCTGGCGGTTCTTGAGAGACGGGAATTCGGAGCGCCGTTAAGTATTTGAGCAACACGCGTCAGACACCCCTGCTCACAACCAAGCCGCTAGTGAGCTAGCGCCCGAGGACCGTCGCCCATTCAGGAGACGGCACGGCCTTTGTCGCCGTCAAGTTTAGTTAACCTCCTCTGCTGCAGATTTTTCTTTTCACGCAACGCGGTAGTTACTGTTGCGTGCACTTCGACAGGTGTCTTTGAAGGCGTGAAGAGCTCGCGAACCTGCGAACCTGCGAACCTGCGAACCTGTGAGTCATATCACCTCGCAGGGCTGAGGATCAGGACGCCGCCGTGCGACAGCCTTACAGCACGGTCCGCTCATTTCACCGCTACGCCACGCCGCTGCCGCTCCCAGATGCGGATCGTAAGGAAGGAGCCAGGCAGATCGCGATGCTGTTGAAGACACTACTCACTATCACTGCTCAAGAAGGACCCAGGTGACCCTTCACGATCCTCCAGACGCGTCAGCATCACGCTATGACTGGAACAGGCAACAGCGGAAGGCCACTCTTCAAGGAGATGTTGTCTAAGCTTCTTTGGAGTCCCAAGGCTGTACAGGTATCTACGCTCGCATCTACACGCCTGCCTACTTATCGCTTCTATCCGCGCCCTTTGCCCATTCTCGCAGGATGTTCTTCTTCACTTTTCCTGTCGAAGTCTTGGGCAGCTCATCCACAATCTCGACTTCTCTCGGCACCATGAACTTGCTTATCGCACTCTGGTGTTTCGCCCAGTCTATCACGTCTTCTCCCTTCACAGTCTTTCCTTGAGCGATCGTGATGAAGGCCTTGGGCCTTTCGCCCCAGTGGGAGTCTGCTACCGCCACGACACCGCACTCCAGGATGTCCGGATGAGTTGCCAGCATCGCCTCCAGCGCGACTGACGAAATGTTCTCGCCACCTAGAGCAGTCAGTCAGCAAACTCAAAGGATGCTGTCACGTGCCACTCACCGCTGATGATGATGTCCTTCGCGCGGTCCATGATCTGTACCGCGCCGTCTGGATGCCACACAGCCAAATCGCCAGAATGATTCACGCCTCCAAGCCACAGCTTTCGTGTCGCCTCCGGGTCGTTGTAGTAGCCCTTGGCGCAGATATTGCCGCTGAAGACAATCTCACCAATCTCCTTTCCGTCCCTCTCAACGTCGATGATCACGCCGTCTGGCTGGTCGGTCTTTACCACCCGGACTGCCTCACTGGTGACGAAGCCGTGGCCTTGCCGCGCCATCTTCTTGTACTTCTCCTTTTCTGGTATCTCATCCCACTCGGGCAAGATGTAGCCCTTTGTGATCGGCCCGTACGTCTCAGTAAGGCCGTACGTATGGATGGGATGTAGATTCAGATTGGTCATCTGCTCGAACAGATGCGGTGTCGGTGGGCTAGCGGCTACAGTAACTCTCACTGGTACGGGGAGCTTCTCAGCCTCCTTTGCCGTGCAAAGCAGCGTGTTCACTGTCGGCGCTGCGTTGTAGTGCGTGATTTTCTCCTCCTTCAGCAACCGCCAGATTTCCGGATAGTCGATCTTTCGGAGGCAGTAATGCGTCCCGCGGACAGCAGTAACCGCCCAGTGGAACGTCCAACCTGCATCATATCAGCTCTGCCAGCGCCAAGCCCGCCAACGCGCAACTCACCCGTCGCATGAAACATGGGCAACGTCCACAAATACCGACACCTCCCCGTCGGCGGATTCAAGCTCGATTCAATCACGTTCCCCAGCGCCGCAAGATACACGCCCCTATGCGTATACTCCACTCCCTTGGGCCTCGCCGTCGTGCCGCTCGTATACGCCAGGCTGATAATCCCATTCTCATCCCCCACGCTCGTGACCAGCCCACTCCAACCCTTCCCCCCATTCTCCCTATCCCACCGCAACCCCTCCGTAACCGCCTCGTCAAACGGCCCACTCAGCTCCCCCTCCACGGCATCCGTGTCCGTATCCACGATAACCGGCACACTGGGATTCGCCTTCTTGTAGTCCTCCAGCAAGTGCGCGTACTCGGCATCCACCACGACCAAGTCCGCCTCCGCGTGCTCGAAGATATACGCAATATCGCCCGTCTTGAGCCTATAGTTGATCGCCACGCTCACCGCTCCCGCGGCGCCGATGCCGAACATGGCTTCCAAGAACGCAGGCGTGTTGGGCGCCAGTATACCGACCCTCTTGTAGCCGCGTTTGAGCAAAAAGTACGCGAAGCCCCGCGCGCGGTCGGCCGCCTCGCCGTAGCTGCGGCGCAGGATCTTTTTGTTCGCGGTCACGTGGTAGATTGCTAGCGCGGCGGGCTCGATGGCGGCGGCGCGGGGGAGGAAGTAGGTCGGGGAGAGGGTGTGGGTGTAGTTTTGCCATGAGGGGCGCGAGGTCGAGGGTGCGTCGGGGGAGGGAGAGGCGGAGGTCGGGATGAAGTGGGCGACGAGGGAGGAGAGGCGGGATTTTGCCGTTGTTGCCATTGCTGTGGTGGGTGCGAGGAATGAGGGCGATTGGGGGCGTGATTGTGGTATGGGACGTGAGTTTCGATGCCTTGAAGCTATAAGGCTACAGTGCTGCTGTGCGTGAGGGATGCGCAATGCAGAGCGGCTGGTAAACAATGCTACTGCGATGCAGCAATGCTCCCCGAACAAGCTCTAAGAGACAGTGGATGGGAAGAGCAAGGGAGCAGCGCTGGAAGCAGATTGAAGCACACCGGAGCTAGCTAGGTACGATCTCACGATTGCCTCGGGGTTCACGCGATAAGGCCGCTCATTGAGCTAAAAGTGTGGGGAAAGCCGGCGCAAAAGCAGGGCGTTTTCTGGGGCCAAGCGCCCGAGGTCCTCTTGCCCGAGCAGAGCGCGAGTCATAGTGCCAGGCACGTGATATGGGCATAGAATTATCACAGAGTACTGGGTCTGTCTTGTCACAGACCGAATAAGTTTGTTGACGTAAGGTGCGCGCATCCCCGACTGCTCGACACAAGAAAACAGCATCGCGGCATGCACCTCTATGCAGACATCAGTGAAAGGCACGTGGTTGAACCGATGTCACGCACAAGCCTTGGTTTCGGGGAACCCTCGAAGGAGTTTGTAAACAATTGAAACTCTGGACAAGTCTCGTTCGATGTACTACAAGCCGGCGCCAGAGCAACAAAATCGGATGACAATCGTCACCACTCAATGCAAGAGAATCAGCAGCGAAGGACCAGTCGTCCGTACGCCTCCTGAAGGAGCAATTCTGCATCCGGCAGGTCGAAGGTGTGAGGTGATGATGTTTTTGGTCTTTTTCTCAATCCCAAGCTTTCGCGCCGAACCATGTCAATGTGCCCACATGAAACCAGATGCCACCGACCGGCAACCTCCACCTAATAGCCGTACTCGGCGAGCTGCGTCTTCGTCTTCTCGTCCACGCTCGCGCTCTTTTGCGCCTCGGCGAGCTGTCTCCGTGCTGCCTTCTTGCGCTCGTAGTATGCGGCGCCCTTGACTTTCCTCCTCTCCTCGAGTCTGCACACAAACTATCAGCCACTGTCTCCTCACCCCAGCTCATCACCCTCCAGGTAAAATTAGTATATCACAACATACCTAGCAACAACGTCCTGGTACTTCCAGCCGAACTCATGACCCAGACGTCCAACGGTGCAGTATTTCCGGCCGGGCTTGAGGCGCAGCACACGCAGTGCCTGGGGCACGACCATGCGCTTCTTGTGGTCGTAGGGTGGGGGGATGCCCTCGAAGGTCTTTAGGCGCTCCATGGCGGCGGCACCGCGCGCGGTCTTGTGCGGCATCATGCCCCGGACGGTTCGCCAGAACATCTTGGAGGGGGCCCGGAAGTGGAAGGGACCTGGAAGATGCTGTGAGTGGCAGTTCGGATGGCAGATAAAGCACGTCTGTGGGCGCTGGCGAACGGGTGGATGGGCTTGACTCACCTCCACGGGTAGGGTTGAAGCGGGTCTGCTTGCGCATGAAGGCCTGGTACTTCACTGTGGTCACCTCGTGTAAGCCTTTCTGCGCTCTGTTCCTCAACCAAACACATCCGCTTCTGCGTTGCTGGCCGACAGCTGGGGCTTCGGGGGTCGACGTACGCTTCGCGCGGAAGAACTCGCCAGAGATGTTGAGAGCCTCGCACCGGACCACGACAATCTTCTGGCCGTTCAGAAGCTGCTTGGCGACCGTGCTGGCCAGGCGACCGAGGAGATGTCCCTTGCCATCAATCACGACCTGCAGATGAAGGCATACAAGTCAGCCCTCGTGTTCTCATCATCTTATGACTTCCAGCAGCGCGACCGCCGCTCTCTGCGCTTCTTGTCGGGTAGGCGGGGCACGTACGATTGGCTCGAAGGTCGACATCTTGCTCGGACTGGTGTGCTGTATGGAGGGTTAGTGGAGAGGTACGTTGGCAATGGTTATTGTTGCTGGCGGTGGTGGTCTGAGCAATTTCGTTGTGGCTCGCGATGTGCAAGTGTGGTCACGGGATTTCCCGGCACCGGCTACCTAAGCGAGCAGCTTTTGTCATCCCTGCACCTTTCCATCTCTTGATCCTCTCCAAGAACTGAGCGCCACAACACTCAGCGCACCCGTCTATCGCCTTTAAGCAACCAATGACTGACTGGAAAACTGCGCTTCTTGGCATTCTACGCACATGCTTACTCCGGAACTACGTAGCGCTTCGCAAAGCACGTTCAAGCAGGTACATGGCAAGGTCAAATGACTTGTATTATGGGAGGATTTCCGCAGAGCTTCAGTGGTAGGGAAACGTATTTGGGTAGGATTGCTAGATATCGTATCTCATGGTCTGATCGTTTTTTACCCAATCATACGAGGTAGCTGTTCATATGGTCTTCACACCCAGTCTTTCTCGCACCCTAACCTCACCTTCCGCCAGCTCACTGTGGCTGGCCTCCTCAAACAGTTCTTCGAGTTTCTTCTGCACGCCGGGACCGTCACGATCCAGAGCTGTGAACTCTTCTGCAAAAGCGCCGCTCAGTATCCTGTCTTCCGCGACCCTCTTAAAGTCTTTCCTGATTAGGCTTGTATCAGCCTCCATGCTGCCCTTCAGCTGGCCGTATTGACTGCGCAGACATCAGCAACAGGCTTGAAAAGCTGCCTCTCAGACTCTCTTCATGATTGCTTACCTCACAGAGCTATGATGCACCAACCGCCTATGTGATTGTGTCGCGCTGGTAGGCGTGTTAAGCGGGAGTTCATTATAGAGCGGTATAAGGCGGGGCCTACGAGGTTCAAAGCTTGCGCTCTGCCTTGGTTTCCATAGCCGATGAATACGATTGTCTTGCCGCTGAGGGGGTCAAGGGAGCAGTCCTTGTCGTAAAAGAGCCGCGCTGTCATCTTGCTCCTGAACACAAAGTTGTATCTGAAGGCTTTCCCGATGGGATTTGCACGTTGGTAAAGATTACCCTGGCTGTTGGAGCTCGCGAAAGAATAGGGTACTATATACTCAAACGCCTCGTTCCTCACTCTTGCCTGTGACCTCGCTCGCTACCGTGTGCCGTGTCGACTCGAACAGTCCTAGCGCGTACTACTAGACTGACATTCTGGGGCCTTTTACAACCGCAGTTCGAACGGCTTGATCGACGCAACCGGCGTTTGCGGGTACTGCAAGCCTTAGCACGCCCTCAGGCACACGGTTTTCCAGCAGCCCTCCCTACCCCAAACAATGAAACCACGGGTATCAAAACGCCCCTCAAACCACCCAACGCCGCCCTTTCCCCTTCTCACCTCTGACCCCCCACCCCCTCATCCCCACACCCACTCCCCACCCCTAACCCTCTCAACTTCCGTCCCACAATCCCCACAATACCCCCTAACCCACCGCTCAACCTCACTCCCATCTCCCCGTCCCCCCAACATGCCCTTCAGCTTCCGACACCTCAGCCCCTCATCCAGAACCCAGTTTTCGTATTCCGCTCTCAACATCTCGCGCTCCACGCTGTTGACGACGCGCAGTGCCACCAGCAGGTCGTGGCGGTAGACGCCGAGGGTCTGGCGTGTGCGGTGTAGGCGGCGGGACGTGTGGTGTGTTGAGGGGGCCGTGTATGGGGTGGCAGGGGCAAGGGAGGGGGTGGTGGGGGAGAGAGGGGCATCGGGGTCGGTTTGGGATAGGAGGGTTAGAAAGGTGTCGAGGCTGTGGTGTAGGGGAGGTGTGGTTAGCGGTGTTGGACATGTTGGAGAGGATGAAGCCGGCAAGGAGGGCGGGGGGGCTTACCATTGATTGCTGTCGGTGTTGCTGCCGCCAGCGAAGGTGGAGGTGTTGGTGAGCACGGCGTCGATGTCCGCAAGGTAGATGGCTCGGCTCATCTGCGCGTTCGGATGCACGCCTATGCGCGCCATGAAATTTCCTGCGTTCCGCTCCCTCCACCATCCCCAGGTGTCGCGGTAGGAGTGGAAGGAGTTGAAGCCGACGCTAAGGGCGAGGAGTGCCAAAAGCATCGTGTGCGCGGTGCAGGCTTTGAGTATGCCGCCCACAAATGCACTGAGGGAGCCCAGGGCTGTGGCTAAGGCGTTTGAAAGCATGACTAGCATGGCGTCGAGGAACAGGTTCGATACGGTCCTGATCTTGAGCTTGAAGCGCCGTTCGCGGATCGGTGGGGGGATGTCTGAGGCCGAGAGCTGCGTGGCCTGCGTCTGTTGGCCGAGCTGGCCGAAGATCTGGATCGCTTTCTGGGTGCGGCTGGCATTGCCGAGCTTGTGGACTTGGTCTTCGATTAGGTCGGTTAGATCGAGGGCGTCGTGGTTGAGGTCGTGGAGGGCTTGGCGCTCGATTAGGCCTGCAGATTATTAGCCTGGAGCACGAACTAGATGGTAGATGAGCTGTTACCCTTAACGAGGAAGGGCTGGCTGGCCCAGTCTACCTTGGTATAAATCGCAAGTTTGCACCGCGACTTCGAAATGTGCGTGATGACGATCCTAGTGGTAAGCACAAACATCTTGGACAGCGGGAAGTACCACGGCGTCTTCCTGTCCGTGACGACGTAGCAGAGGTGGTCGTTGAAGACCTCGATGATTTGATAGTCCAGTCCGTGCAGCTGGTGTTTGCCGAGCGAATCGCTATACTCGATCTCATACTCGAATTCTCTCCGGTGGTGCCCGTTCTCCGGCTGGACCCACGGGCTCTGCACTATACGCTGTGCCAAACGCTCGCGGTATAGCATCTGAAATAATGCGCTCTTGTCGCCAAACATCACGTGAAACAGGGCTTTGGCGCTGATGTTGAACTCCTTCTCCACGGCGAGCCGAGTCATGCCTTGCGGCGCGTACTTGACTGGGTGAGAGGGGAGCTTGAACTTCAGAGCGTTCCTGCTCACGACGCGTTGGGCTCCAGGTCTAGCGTACAACTCGCCATCGATGCGAAGACCGCTTCTGAAGTCGTTGACACGCCGCTCTGAGGCACCATCAACAGGCGTGTCCCCGTTCGTATCTTCCCAACTCTCGCCACTGGGGCTCTCGGACCTGGCGTTGGCTTCCAGTTTTATGAGAGTCTTGAGTACCTCTTCCAATGGGAGTGGTGTCTCAGAATTGCAGTTGCGTACTAGGAAGCTCAGCCTCCGTTGCAGAAGCTTCAACGGCTCAAGGAAGATCTTGATGGTGATTCTGTTGAAGTTGTCCTTACGAGCGCTCTGCTGTAAGTGCAGATACAGGAAGTCGCAGTCCCTGCCCGGCGCAGCGGTAACTTCTTCGATCGATGACAAGCTGGTTCCAGTGATAAGGATGAGACCGAAGTGATTGCTGTAGAAGTATATGTTGCTAACGGTGACGTAGACCCGGCCAGGGAATTCTTGCTGGTCGTTGGGATTCCATGTGGCTCTGAAGACGAGAACCACCTTCTCGCGTCGAGGTACGTTAGGGAATAGGATGCGGAACTGAGCGTCCTGTGCCTTCAAGGGTAGGGGATAGTAATTAGGAAACTCATCATGGCCTTTCGCTGGACTCTGCAGACGCGGAGTAGCGGTTCCAAGGCTGATAGTCTTCCGATGTCGAGCCGCCGGCGAGGTAGCCCGAGGCGATGTCAAATCCTCTTCGGCGTCGTGGGATGCATCTCCACCGAGCGGCGTTAGGGAAGGCGAAGCCGCATGCGTAGGGCTCGGCGGTGTTGAGATGCTCCGTAGACGATGAGGCTCTCTGACTTCTCCTCGTTCCAGCCGGTTGATATAACCCCAGTTGGTAGAACCCCACAGGTTCGCCATCAGCCCTCCAGGCATCCCTCCGTCGGTCGCTCCAAGTCTTAACCCTCGCTCGCTGCTTAAAATGACCGCAGCCTTGCTAAGGTTTGTTGCTGAAGGAGGATTAGCCAATGTCGATGGCGCCAAGCTACTCGTTGGAATCTCCCTAGGAGCGGGTTTCACGGGGTCTACGTTGAGGGCTTGCGTTGTTATTGGAGAAACAGACGGTACCAAAGTGCCGTGTATCATGGTCCCGTGACTCGCAGATATCAGAGTTGCAATTCCTCCGGCGGACGCAGGTGTCGGCGACGAACTGCCTGATAGCTGCGGGCTAGCCGTCGATTTCCGGTGGAGGTCTAGTTTCTGTATTATTCTCGTAGCGTGATCCCGTCCGCTCTCTTCAACTCCTGTGCCGCGTCGGCTTGCATCGAAACTGCCACGGCGTGGGAAGCTCTCTCCCATGGCGAGCGTGACAGCCCGGTCAGGCGCGTGGAACTCGTCGCTCAGATGCGTGGCATGACCTTCAGTCTTTGCAGCAAATTCCGGTGCGACTGGAGGACTGATGGCAAACGCAGCGTCTAGAGCATGAGAATCGCCACCAGAGGCTTCTGTGCTTGCTGGGTCCTCGAGGGCCTTACGTTTCGCACCTTCGAACGAAGAGATCCACTCGGTCAACTCAGCCTGTGTCTCGGCCTGTAGGAGAAATGTAGTGTCCTTCGTCTTAACCTCGAAGCAGAAGCGCCGCTCTTCTTGAAAAGCTGGTCGTATGCTGCAAAGCAGCACGCCGAACTTCTCCGACTCTTCCACTGCACCGGAACGCGCGCCTTGCGCAAGCCAACCGAAGATACCGTTCTTCACGAAGAACCAACGTCGTCGCCAGACAGTTCGTGTCGGCTTCCCGGTATACTCCCGCTGGAACAACCATCCTTGCTTCTCCGACTTTTCACCACCTACTTTGGCAGGGGATGGCAGATTGCTTGACGGAGCCTGTGCACCTATGAATGGTATAGTCGAGGACGCATAGTCTTCGAGCTCTCGCGAAGGTCGTGCCACGTGCTCCGCCCTGTCCTCGATCTGCTTCCTAGCCAGTTGCAGCTCTCGCTTGAAGGCCCTCTCCCCATTTTCCATCTCCTTACTCCACCCTCGGATACGCTCGACTTCATTGCCCCACTTCGCTAGAGTGCCCGTCACGAGGTCCCGTGATTGCTTCATCTCTCGCCATCGGTCGTAGAAAACCTTGACCAGCATCTTGTTCAGGCTCGCACGAACCTGCGGGGCAAGGACGCAGAAATCCATCGAGGCCTTCAAGTAGCTCTTCCTCGCCTCGTGCAGCTGGAATGCATCTTCGCGTATGGACGACGGGTCCTTGCTCTTGGCCTGACCAGAGAAGCGCGCTACGAGACTGTCGTAGTTCTTCTGCAACGAGTCCAGCGTCTTGCGAGTATCCTTCAGGCTCTTCAGATCATTCTGCAAGAACGCTCTGATCGGCTCGACCATCGTCTTCTCGATGCTCTTGATGCCCTTGAAGGTGTTTGACCAGTAGTCCCGAGCTCCGTCGCCATACCGCTTCATTGCCAGAATTGTGTAGTCGTGGTCTATTACTGCCTCCGAAACCTGAGACGGGGGTGTTGACTGTGCCAAGAAGTTGTTTACAAGGCTGTCCAGCGTGGAAACTTCCTGCGCAAGCTTGCTTGCGGACTTGACGTAGCCGTCTAGCCATTTCTCTATTATATCAATTTGTTCTCCGAAGTGGACGGCTGTTGCTCGGAAGGTGGGACTGTCGAGGGCGGCTTCTTTCAGTCCTACGGGGCTGCAAGTAAACAGACAAGTTAGCAAAATCTATTGATATCAGTCATAGCGAGTAGTTTTACATCAAGCTCAGTGGCTTCCCCACAGGGGTCAGCGCGGGCAGCTCCTCCGCCATGGCGTATTACTCTCTCCAAGGTTTCGATGAAGGTAAAGGCTTCTATGAACGAGCTTAAGCCATCGGCGAGTAGCGATATGAGTTAAAACCGTAGCCAACAACAAAGTGGAAACAAATCTTAGTTACTGTACAGCAAGTTTGATGTGTTGGACTGTCGCATGCCCATCCTGGAAGATCAACAGCTCTTCGGCGCGGCATACCTCATAGGGCTGAGCCGGAGCTGACATTCTTCCATCCCCGCTCCGCATCCTCGAACTTTTTTCTCCACCAGAATCTACAATTTTGCGTCTCAGATAAACTCGACCGTCTTACGATATGGCGAGATCAAATGGTTTCATACACAAGCGTAACGCTGGAGACAGTACCGGTGCAAACGTCACTCCCCTAGGCGCCGCCCCCGAGCGACCATCGAAGCGAATAAAGCTACTCGACGACAGCGCTTCCGAGGCCAGCGATGCAGAAAGCCCAGATCAAGCCGACGAGAACAGCGAGTCTGACGGTGGAGTCTCACTCAGAATCAACGAAGAATACGCGCGCCGCTTCGAACACAATAAGAAGCGGGAGGAGAGGCATAGGCTCGAAGAGAAGCATGGCAAGACTAGCCTCGCCAAGGAAGACGACGGTGGCGCCTCCGGGTCAGATGAATCCTCTTCGGAGGATGAGTCAGAGGACGACGAGGGCTTACTAGCTACGGAGGACCTGGACGCCGAGATTTCCGCTACGCTGCAAGCGATCCGATCGAAGGACCCGAGGGTATACGACAAGAGCACTACGTTTTATAGGGAAGAGGATGATGCTACCGAACCGGCCAATGGCGAAAAGAAGGAGAAGCCGATGTATCTGCGGGACTACCATCGTAAAAATTTACTCGAGGGGAACATAGACGCCGAGGATGAGAATGATGTACCTCCGCAGACATACGCGCAAGAGCAAGAGGCTCTGAGGAACAGTCTGGTTAAAGAGATGCACGCTGCAGCTGAACAAGACGGCCAGGTTTCAAGCTCAGACGACGACGACGGCTTCCTCCGCAAGAAGCAGAAGCCCGCAAAAGACACCTCAGTCCCCACCGCAACCAAGAAAACCAGACCCGTCATCACAGACACCGACGTCGCCACCGCCGAAAAAGACCCCGAGACCTTCCTCTCCAATTTCCTACAAGCCCGCGCCTGGGTCCCCGACGCCCTCTCGCGCTTCCAGCCCCTCGAATCTGACGACGAAGAAGAAGAGCGCCGCGCCGAAGAATTCGAAGAAGCGTACAATCTCCGCTTCGAGAACTCCGAAGGCGCGAACGAGAAGCTGATGACGCACTCCCGTGACGCAGCTGCCAAGTACTCCGTGCGGCGCGATGAGCTGAGCGGCCGCAAGAAGGTGCGCGAGACGCAGCGGGCGAGGAGGGAGGCTGAAAAGGCGGAGCGGGAGGAGGAGAAGGCGAGGTTGCGGAAGCTGAAGATCGAGGAGCTGGAGGAGAGGGTGGGAAGGATTAAGGAGGCGGCAGGGCTAAGGGGTAAGAGTGTGCAGATGGATGATTGGGCGAAGGTGCTTGATGAGGATTGGGATGATGATCGTTGGGATCAGGAGATGAAGCGACGCTTTGGGGAGTCGTATTATGCTGAGGGTGATGAAGCGGGGGTCTCGGGCGTGTCGAGCGATGAAGAAGGCGCCGTAGGCGGCAAGAAGAAGCGAAAGGTCAAGAAACCGAAGTGGAATGACGATATCGACATCAAAGATTTGGTGCCAGACTTCTCGGACGACGATGCGGCTAAACCGGCCTTCACATTAACGGACGACGAAGCTGATGTCGGTGGGCCTGAGAATGGACAGGACGCCAGCGACATAGACATGGATGGCGTTGACGAGCCATCTACAAGCAGCAAGCCGAGAACCAAAAAGGACCGCCTCGCAGCTAAAGCAGACGCAAAACGCGCCGCGCGCAAAGAACGCCGCATCATTGAGACAGTCGTAGACCAGAACCTCGAAGCCTCTCTCCCCCAGTCCAGCAAGAATGGCGCAGCATTCCGGTACCGAGAAACATCGCCCACAACCTTCGGTCTCACGCCGCTAGATATCCTACTTGCGGATGATAGTCAGCTCAACCAGTACGCTGGCCTCAAGAAGATGGCGGCGTTCCGAGATCAGGAGAAGAAGCGCAAGGATAAGAAGAAGCTTGGCAAGAAGGCGAGGCTGAGGCAGTGGCGGAAGGAGACGTTTGGTAATGAGAGTGAGCCGAAACCTGGGGCTTGGAAGGCCAAGCTGGGTACTGCGAATGAGGGGGATGGGCTGCGAGGTCCTGCAACTGGTTCTACTGATCAGGCTGAGGTTGATGTAAGAGAGGGTAAGAAGAGAAGACGGAGGCCGAAGAAGAAGGCTGGTGGAGAGGTAGCAGCGTAGCTGTAGGGTACTTTCGGAGCTTCCTGATCAATGATCAACGTTGTGGTTATGACTTCGAAGCTCATATCTACGTGGATAGGATTCGCGAGACCATATGACGAGAACCAACGATCTATTGCTCTATCAAGGAGCCGGTGTCTACTAAGGCAGGGCACACTTACTGTTACTGCACGCTTAATACAGCAACTAACTACATATAGATACCTAGATACTCGCATGCTGCTGTGCTACCTCTCCAGTGTCTTTCCTAAGCTTATACGCACTATCTTCACTATGAAGGTATTGTTTGCGCTTCATCGTTGAGCCGGCTACTGTGCCCTTCCTTGATGGATACTGACTCCTTGGTATTCTATATCAAGAGCCTAGCTACAGTAACGTGCTTGACCGAGAGCTGCAAGCGGCGCAGTGTCGCAGTCACGTGGCGGCAATTATATCGGGCTCAATCTATATCTTTTGCAAAGCGTTTGAAATGGCAGCGTTGGCGATCTATGTGATGTTTCAGTAGCCTGCTGTTTCTGTATTCATCGACATAGCCGTTACATGCTAAACATTGGTTTATTAGTACCACGTGATTGCAACACCGCAGCTTTTCCCGGTCAAATACATCAGCACTACCATCAAACTCCATTGCTTTTGGATACTCACCACCGACGCTTCAGGATGGGAAGCCTAGCTGCTGTCCGTCTGAAACAATGTTTGCATGCGCCATGTCTTGCTTTGCAAGGCTCTGCTCACATCTGCGAAGAACAATCCTTCCCATTCGTCGGAGAAGCCCGCTGAAGGATCTGTGGCTGCATGCTCGAAACGAGGCTGAACGTTCACGACTTCGAATGCCACCGTAAGATCACCAGGCTGAGGAGCCTAATCTTGGAATATTCGGCAATGTGCGTGGTCGGCTTAACAACGCCCCATTAATATTCTGAGCTATCGCTGTGTCTCCAGCCCGTCACTTTGTGAACATAATAATCACTCTTTGATATACTCATCGTGAAAGATGGCCGCGGTTCGCCTTCTGGATTATCCCTCCAACCGGTCGGACCAACGCCCTCCATCTCGGCAGCGGACGCTGGAATCGCAGCGAGACGTAGTTACTAACTCGGGCAACATCTGGGCAAGACTGTTCCGTCCGCCTCGGACATTGGATGATTTCGAGCACGCAATTGATCGAAAAGCGGAGCTTGAAGGCAACAAGGACCTCTTTGATTTTCTCGATGATTACAGGCAACTGAAACTTAGAGCTGTGGCTGATATCTTGCGGTGTCTGGTTTGGTACAAGGACTTTTATCCCATCGTTCCGCGTCCTGCGGCGGCATGTAAGTGTACAACCCCTTGGGCAAGTCCGATTATATCTAATCATTGAGCGTGAAGGGCTTGAGCCTGAGGCCCTCCATTTTCCCGACAAAAAGACATTCTCGTACTGTGTCCAACAACTAGCAGTTGCTTTGAGCTCTGCTGAGCATGATCGTTTGCAGCTATGGTATTCTTTGCCACAACTCCGGTATCCTGATACCAGAAGACTGACTTCCTAAATCAAGTGTCATCGCCGCCGAGCCCGACGAGGAGATCTTATCCAAGACGTTCTCTTTCTCGGAAAAGCTGTTCGCATCGTTCGGGGGGAAGCTGAACAGACTGAATGAAGTCCCGCGGAAATCAGTAGTAACTCTTGTTGCTCAAGAATGGAACCTATCGGTATTGTTTCTGAGTCTGTTGACGAGCGAAAGGAGTTCCGAGAGAGTGACTTGGGAGCTTCAGATCCCGTCGCGGAGTAAGTACCTAGGAATTTCTCTAGCTTATCCATCTGTTCAATGGAGACTCGAGGCTACCATGGTCTCTCTGCTAACTCTTACGTCTTCACAAGGACACTCGCAACTTCCTTTGAACCTCTTGGAACCCAATGGAATATGTTTAGCCCTCACGTGGCAATTTCGAGCACCCAGATACAGAGGAGATTTTGACATTTATATCTGGCAACAGTATCAGAAACCTCCCAGCTTCCAGTACGCAGATATCTGCCTTGTGTCCTCTCGAAGAATGATAATATCTTTCAAGTCATCTCGGATGTTGCGCTTCTTTACTACCCTACGACTCGAGCAAACTCTCCTGGGGCCGCCATCCAACGTCTCTCAGCCATGGTCGACTACCAGCGAACTTCTTCTGTCGGTTCTCGTAGTATACCAGCAGATGGTTGAGGAGACTGGTGTCTTCGTCAATCAGTCGATGCAAGAGATTCATGCTATGGTATGCTTCCCCGCACAAGTTCCTATACAACCTTGTCACCCACGAGAAGTAACGGCGCGTTCTTCCACTAAACCGTCGCAGAAGACAACAGGTCGCCGTGACCCCTCTGCCAGCAAGGTTCGATATCTAGTCCATTTAAACGACTGCAGGCTGTCGGCCGAGCAAGGCATTGCTCACGGGCTGTCTTTGTTATCCAGCATATCAGAAGCAACTGCTCGGTTACATACCACACAAGCCGTCTGGGATGCTGGTATCTCGTTCGCCGAGCGAATTGCAACAATTGAGAAAGACCTGGTATATCTGAATGAAGAACTGAAGCTTATTGGAAAGAAGATTGAGGAACTCCGAACAATGGTCAGAGCAATGCAACCTTTCCGCATCCTACGCTCAAGTACCCTTCTCGTCGCCTGCAGACTGACTGTATCACCAGCTTTACGATCATCTCAGCCTCACACAAAGCCAAAGGCTGTTTCTGCTTACCGTAGTAGCTGCTCTCTATGTTCCACTTTCCTTTCTTTCGGTAGGCACGTGTACTCCTTCTACGTACGCTTTGATTGACCATAGAAAGGGCTTCTTCGGAATGAACATTACCCCCGCCACGCCGATAGACTTTTCAGGGCTCAGCAAGCTCACAAACGACTCCCTTTCAAACCTCGCAGACGAATCGCCTGCCAACCTAACAGTTCCCGCTTACAACCTCGCCGCCGCCGTTTTGACTGCGATAGGCTCATCCGGCGGCCGCACCTGGGAGTTGAAGAGCTACTTCATCTTCGCCACACCTTTCCTGTTAAGCGTGCCACTGTTCCTAGTAGCAGTTGGAATACTCAGGTGGTCCATCCAGTCCGCGGCTAAGTACGTCGTCTACTGGCGCATTGCCATATGCATCCTTGCACCAATCCTCTACATAGGGTTTTACTGGGCGCTGCCTACTACCTCATTCCCAGGATGGATTGCTTACGCAGTTGTGAACTACGGGGGCTTCGCAACCTTCGCTTGCTGGAAACTTTATGTTGCATTTCGCACAAGCAAGGGCCGACGCCTTTGGACCTCTTTCTTCGTCTTACTTACCTTGGCTTGTTCCGTGGCTGGGTTATTCCGAGAGGGCATACCGGTTGCCATGGTATTTCCTTGGGCTTTCATCTGTTGGAGATGGATCAAAAGCGTTCGTTCGTCTTGAGAATGTTGTCGGAGGACCGAATCTGAACGGTGTTTATTAGAGCAGCGTTCCACGTACACGCACAGATATTTGCAGCCTTGCTTTTGTAAAGTAATTGGGTGACCTGAAATGTTGGACAGTCTGCCTTGCTGCCCACGTCCGCGGAAACCGATCCCTCGCAATGGTCGAGAAAACCGCTGGAGGATTCGTGGCTGCATATTGTAACGTTACACAGTGAAAGCTGCGGCACAGCAATGGGGTCTGTCGACACGTTCGGAACGTCTGCAAGAAAAGGCTGCCGCTAAATCTTATCATGCGTTCGCGAGCGGCGGCACCGCAAGGCTGATTTGTAGAAGAAGGCGAAGATGCGACCATGCGAGGCTCTCCGGAGCAAAGGCCAAATGGCTGAAAAGCCATACCACCAATCCAGATGCAAGAGAACGAAGAGAAACGAAACATTTCAGCCTTCACACTGTTTGGCACAGGTGCTGTATTGTACTCGGCCTATACTACTGCTGTAGAGCGGATTTTGAGTAAATTATCATAAAAGGGTACAGTATCTGCATGAGGGACGGTCCGGACAGGGGGAAGAAGCGCCCCAGCCCAAGCCATATGCACTATCGCTAGTTGAACGAGGCTATGCATGGACAGGCTTAGCAGTCCTTGACGAAACAGCTGTGAGCGTCTCAAGAGATCTCATGGATTCGACTGCATGACTGGGCGTATGGCACGGAGCTATTTGCGAGGCAGCGCATGGAAGTCTGCACACATCTTCTCCATCTCTAAGCCTCCTTGACGCATAGCCCATCCTACTGATAGTTATTGAGTGCTGACATCCTCTGCGAGCGACTCCGGTATCCATGTGCTTACAATCACAAGCTCAACTCGCCTTGCTTAGGTCGCGGCGTGACTAGCTACCTGGGTTCGTAACGTGTCCAGGAACATCACTGGGAATCCACTCGGAGAGAGTCCTACTCAGGGATGGACTCCCCAGCCAAATAGCCGAGGAACGGTGGATGTCATATGGTCTTGCGTCTTCACCATCATACTGTGTTGCTGGACATCGGTCTGTCCAAATCTCCCAGCTATCTCAGACAGCTCTTGGAATCAGTTCCGTGACAAGCTCAATCTTGCGTGCATCGGAATTCTGGGACCGGCATTTGTTCTTGGTATTGCCGGGGGGCAGCAGAGATCTGCACTCCGGTCAGTTCAAGTATGTTCTGATACAGTACAACTAGTAGCCTGGCTGAAATACCGATCTCTGCAGAGGTTCCATTTCAAAGGCTACACGAGCTGGACGATCACTCTCGCATTCTACGCTGACATGGGCGGATTTGTACTTCAAACCGTGAACTGGCCCGCATTTCCCCTCGATGCGGAGCAACTCTTCTACCTGGTGACTAAAGGATATATCGAGTACCCATTGATCGACGAGGCGGATATAAATGACAAAAACAAGGCAGACGGAATTGCTAGGTGGGTTAATGACTGCTATCGCTAGATGTCAGGGTTCGACTGACTTGCTTGTCAGGCTGGTTACTATTCTTCAAGCCCTCTGGTTCACCGTCAACTGCATCGGGCGACCGATTCAAGGTCTAAGCTTGACTACGCTTGAACTCACTACCATGTCATTCATCCTGATCATGCTCACCATCTCCTACTACTGGAAGCATAAGCCTCTTGATGTTAGCAGACCGATCATCCTCAAGAGTGAAACCACTATCGCTCAGATCCTAATTGAGGCTAGTAACCTTTCTTCTTGAAGCCGCTTTGACTAACTCCCCACCAGGGCGGATCCCGCGCACAAGCTCCATATCGACGTACACCGCTCGATCTTATAAGCCGGAATGAGTGGACTCTGAGCTTGGTGTGGGGATACTACATCGAACTTCTAAGGAAGCTAGGCATTCCGCTATTCTCACGGCCCATCAACGCTCGACCCTGGGACCGAATACCATGCGATAACTGGCTCGAAGCAGAACCTGTCTACGTGTTATTTGTCTCGTTTGCGACCGCCGCATTCGCCTCCATACTAGTACTTGGCTGGAACTTCTCGTTCCCTAGCACGACCGACGCATGTTGTGGCGTGCTGCAAGCGTGTATCAACTAGTCTACGCATTCTTCGCCGGAGTGTACGTTTGGTACCGTCATTGCATACTCCTACAACGACCTAAAGAATCGCGCTTGCATACTACCGGAACAAAAGGTTCATGGTTGCAGCATAACGATTGGTTTGGCAGCCGAACTGAAAGGCCTCGCGGCAAGACTGAGGAATGTTTCGCCCGACCACGATCCGCACCTCAATGTTCCGGTCAGAGTCATTGTCCCGCTTACGATCTTGTGTGCGCTCTATTGCGTGTTCCGAGGATACTTGCTCATCGAAGCCTTTGTTAGCCTACGGAGGCTACCACCGAGCGTTTACGAGACTGTTGAATGGTCGAGATATATTCCGCATTTCTAGATGAGGGGTCTCAAAAAGAGATATAGAGAGCCACCTGTACGGGCAGAGAAATACCTAACAATGACAACGACCCACTGCGCCCCCAGTAGAGTTCTTTGAATGCCGCCGTGGTTGCTACTTTCTGCTGGAACACCGGCAGCGTTTCTGATTCCGCTAAGAGAAGGCACCTATGAAGCATCCAATCAGCAGAACACCGGATACATGAAGGCACATTTCTGTTGGCTTTTCGTCTACTATCAATGTCAGATCGAGGTGAGTTGCTTTCCCATTCTCAGAGATTACCCCCCACCGCAGCATGACTGTTGTCAAGCGGAGTACAAAGGGGACCGAGAAACGAGTTCTCTACATCACTGAGCGCCTGGGTAGAGGGGCAGTCACAACAGCTAGTGTTGTCTCCATTGTGCTCAAACGAAAAAGTCGCTCAGTCGCCTTGCTCCGGCCATAGATCAAGAATACGAAGGACGGAAGAAGTGATTTACTGTATTTATAAAGACTTGGCCGTTATATTTCTTGATAGGATATCTACCGATATTAGAGAATCGAGGGTACTAAGTCACGCCGAAAGAAGCTGTTGCTCACAGCTTACGTTAGCTTTATATGCCACATGCTCCTGATAATAGAAGTCTTATGAAAGTGACTTGAGTGTCTTTACCATGGTAGTTTTCAATATTCCATCTACCACGACTTCTTTACCCTCGAGCTCCGGATGCCACGTCTGTTCCTTAAGGAAATGCATAGCAATAATGGCTCAATCATCCAAGATGGTTCCTGGTCGAAGGGAAGGCCAAAATGAAGGTTGCCGCACCCCTGGCCCAAATCGCGTGTGAGATGCGGCAAACGGCCCTTAGTCCCTGCAGGAATCTCAGCGGGAGGAGCCGAGGCTAGATGACCTCATCCATCACCAACGCAGAATTTTGACAGATTACGAGAAGTACAACCCCACAGAACGCAGTTGCTCACACGTCGCCGCCACGATGCTAATCCCTCCTGCGGGCGTCGCCCTCCCCGTCGTCAAGACAGCCACGGACTGCGCAGAGTTCGGCCGCACAGTCTCACCATACCTACCTCAACTCCTAAGCCTACCGCAACAGGTCTTTCAGCATATCTCGAGCTTTGAGGAGCTCAAGACGCTCTATGTCTCCACAAACCCGCTCATCACTGCCCTTGCCATTGCGTTAGCCCTCGTGCCCATCTTCCTGGTTGCATCCGAGATCAATAAGAATTACAGTCAGGTGGACAGGTTCTGGAGTATATTGCCGACGGTATACAATGCGCACTACTGCCTGTGGGCGCATATGAATGGGCTGCCGACCATAAGGCTGGACAATATTATCGCATTTAGCTGCGTGTGGAGCGTAAGAGAACTTGCATCGCCGCCCGACGACGGAGTGTTAACGCGTGCTAGTTGCGACTGACCTACAACTACTGGCGCAAAGGCGGCTACTCCATTGGTTCAGAAGACTACCGGTGGGAGGTGTTACGCAGCAAGATTTCTCCGCGGCTTTTCTTCGTCTTCAACGTGCTCTTCATCTCCTTTGCTCAGAGCGTACGTCCAGCCTCCACTCGTTTCTCACCAGCAGTCCACCCCACTAACCCGAGCACCACACCCAGATCCTCCTCTGGGCCATAACAACCCCAACCTACGTCCTCCTCCTCACCTCCCGCCTCTCCGGCCCCGAAGCCACAACCTCCGACATCGTCTTCTCACGCGCCCTCATGCTCCTCGTCCTCGCGACCTTCTTCGCCGACCAACAGCAGTGGAACTTCCACCAAGCAAAGAAGCAATACCAGGCGACCGCCAAAGTGCCCCTCGGCTGGGACCGCGCAGAGCTGGACCGCGGCTTCTGCACTAGCGGCATGTTCTCCTACTCCCGGCACCCCAACTTCGCCGCCGAGCAGGCCATCTGGGTCGTCCTGTACCAGTGGGGCTGCTTCGAGACGTTTGGTTACTATAACTGGACGTTTTGTGGGGCGTTGGCGTATCTGTTTTTGTTTCAGGCGAGCACGTGGTTCACGGAACTGATTACGGCGGAGAAGTATCCGGAGTATAAGATTTATCAGAGGCTGGTGCCGAAGTTTTTGCCGAATCTGGCGGGGCCGATTGATATGCCGGTTGTGAAGGAGGAGGGTGGGGTGAGGGAGGTGAAGCCGAAAGAGGCGGCGGCGGCTGTTGGGAAGAAGAAGAGGTGAGTGTGCATAGGTTGGAAGATCTATCGAGCATGGAGAGATATAGACAAGCATATAGAACAATAAAAGCGTCTTGTGAAGAGTTATGTAGCATTTTTGGCGTACACCTCTATTATCACGCATCAGAGCAGTATGCCGTATGGACGTTACACGTTTTCTTGATGAACCTTGCATGCAAGAAGGCCATTTCTTGAGAATACCACTGATCCCATCTGGAACGGATAAGACCGAGCCCGTAGACTCTACACCTCCACCCGCGCCTCCCTACGGCTTCATCGGATTCCACGCCTCCCCCTTCCCCTCCACCTTGACGTTCTTGACATCCAACCACCCATACCCCTGCCCCTGCTCCCTTTCCCCACCCCCCTCACCGCTTCCATACGACTTCAAATCAAACCCCCCATACCCCTCCCTCCTCACAGTCCTAGGCGTGAAACTCTGACTCGCAACCCCCTCCTGCATCCCTCCCAACCACCGTCCCAACTTCCCCCACGCCGTCGGGGCCCGTCTCCCCCTAGCCATGAACACGGCTCTCGGGGTCCCATCCTCAGCCACGATGCGCGGCGCGGGGATCAGGAAAGCGAAATCCTCGAGCCCCGCGGCGGTGAAGAGATTGCGGAGGCCGGCCTCCACGACCGCGGCGTCTGGATGGGGCAGGTAGTCGATGACGAGCAGGATGCCTTTGGCGGCTGTGAGGCGCTCCGTCAGTCTCTTCAGCACGAGCGCTGGGTCCGGGGCGAGGTGGAAGCCGAGCACCATGCCCGCGAGGTCGAAGCTCCACATCTCCGGCCCGGTAACCGCGTCCACAGGGGTCTCGGCGGCTAGGTCGCCTTGCACCGCTACACCGGTAGGGTGCGTAGCGGCGTAGGCGGCCACGTGCGAGGAGTGCGGGGAGATGCAGGTGAAGTGCGTGGCGCGCGTGGTGAGGGCTTGGGAGAGGATCCCGGGGTTGGAGTAGTCGAGGACTTTGATGCGGGTGGAGGGGGGTGAGTCGAGGATGAAGGAGACGCCGAGCCAGGTGAGGTGGGAGTGGATGAGGGGGAGGAGTTGGGCTTCGAGCGCGGTGGAGATGGGTTCTGCAGTCGGTTCGGAAGGGGTTGGAGCCATTGGCTTGATGCGGTGTGGAGAGACTTAGATTGGAAGTAGGAGTTGTTTGCTGGTGATGAAAATGCGCATGTGTTTAGAGAGAGGAGATGGAAGGATGAATCGCGGAGAAAGGTGTACTGGAGTTCTAGACAAGCAAGATACAAAGGTAAGGATTTGTGACACTGCGAACTATCGATGACTGCTTCGATACGAGTACAACATCTGGAACTATCAACTCAGAAAGCGTTTACAACAGTCTCCGCAAGTTTCCCCGCCCCGTCACCGCGGCTGAACGGAACAATCTCTTACGGATGCGATAGTAAAGAGCTATTGCGCAGACGATACAAATCCAGCCATCCAGGAATCACTTGATGGGTGCATGCAGCACTGGAAGTTTCGGGTTTCGTCTTCTCATGAAGAGTTCTCAAGGCAAGAGAGGGTGCTTTTACGCTAGCCGCGTACGGTATCGGGGGCTGTATTATCACATATGTTGCTGAGGATTCCACGCCTCTGTATACACGACCTGCAGAGGTACCCAGTGGGCTTTCGTACTAGTGTTGCATACACATTGTTCTCATTTAAGTTGTTTTCGGGGATCTGACATGGATCCACCTGCTTTACGGCGAACCACGGAGCATCTGAGCTCTCACCGGTAACGGCTTATCGGAATTCCGCAATCTTTTACAGAGCTCTTACTTAAAAGGCCGGATGGTTCGTAGAGCAGTCGCTTGCGTCTTCAGCTAAGCATCTTCGGTGCGCGCTACAGACCTTGTGCGAAAAGGAAGACCCGAATGGCTAAGTAAATACACAGCAATGGCCTGTTCGATCCACAGTACAAAGAGTGCAATCACCGGATCAAAAACTCCTCTTCAACAACATCGACCTGTTGATTAGCATGAAACAGTTCATCCGGCTGATTGTAATAATGCTGAGTGTATCCAGAAAGATAACACCCGCCAATGAACTCGTGATAGCCGCCATTTTCTCGCAGGACGTGCAGATTGTCCGCTCCTCTAAAAAAACATATAATGTCATCCACACGGATTTTTGGTGGTCCAAAGCCGAGAGACTTCTTAGTAACAAGTAGCCTGCAGGGGTAGCGAATATGCCGCAACTTCTGTGATTCCAGCAAACTGTTCGTGAGCTGTTCTGTAGAACCTTGTTGTTCTACACGACCATTGTCGGTTTATTCTTGAGGAACGGTGGAAATGTGACCTGGTATAAGATTTTCTCGAACAAGAAGGCCCAGGAACTTGGCGATCACTGATTTGGTTACAGGAAGAGGCCCCTCAGCTATATTCCATGGGATTCTAGGGTCGTTGAGCTCTCCCACTCTTCTGATGGGAGCTACTCTTACGCCTCTTAACTTCAGGACTGGCATATCGCTATCTTCTCCGATAAACTCTATAGATGGCTGGATCTCGCCACGTAGCCAGCCGGGCAACGGGAAATGCAGCGCTATTTCCAGGCGATTGCTCCAGCCTGGGACCCAAGACGGCAGTTGCGGAAAGCTGGAGCCATCAAAAGGTCGGACGTAATCCAGGAGATGGACTTTGCCAGTCTTGCGAAGGATAGATATGGCAAGCTTGGTGTATACCTGTTCTGTTGGCATCGAGTAATCTACCGTAATATACTGTAAGAGGACTTTACTCCCTAGGCCGCAGATCCCGAAAACCTTGTCGCGTGGATCTGTAGAGCAGCAGCGCCGCGAGCGTTGAAGGATGTCCAGGGGATCAGGCTTTCCCTCTCACACTTTCCGAAGACATAGGGGTGGTACCACGCCATCCTCCACGGAGCAAGGTGGCGTTCCTCTTGCAGTTTGTAAACCTCTGAGGTCAGACAGCTTAAAGGAAGCTTGGACGCTCCACAGAGAATCTCGACCTTTTCTTGGATGGTAGCCTCCTGAAGTGTCCAAATCCGTTCAAACCACGGCCTGGAGAGTAACTTCATTAATGAATCGAAATAAGATCCATTCAGCTGCCATGGTAGGGTTGCTTCGCCCATTAGCAAATCGTTGAAGACGCTGAAGTCGTAGATGTCCTCGAGTTCGTTGAAGAGGAATTCGCTGTCATAGCTGTGTTCCCCAATGTATGCAAGCACTCCCTCAGCACTGACATAAATACAGCTCACCATTTGAACCTGCACGCTCTTTTCCTCATTGCCTCGCTGGTTGATACAGATGGCATCGATCCAAACAGTCCGCCGCTCAGACGTTGAGCGTAGCCGGCGCAATGCCATATCGCAATTGGCCGTGATGGCCAACAAGGCCAACTCGCGATGCTCGCCTTTGATGGAACCAGGCCGTTCCACACGGTCATCTGTGAGGCTAACATGCTTTCTGAGCGTTGCGTCTCCGTCAGAGTCTGCCCAGGTGTAGGACAGTGCCTCATATCGCGGCGACGTCTCCAGATCCACATAGTGTACATGGCAAACGACATGGTCCTGAAAATCCCCCGGTTCAATTTCTAGTAGCCTGATCGTGTTCGCTGATCCCAGTGGCCGGTATCCATACGGTTCCAGTCTGTTCAACACGGAGTTGCTGTCAACCTTAGGAAATCAGAAGTTTGTTAAACGCGCCGGTAACGGTCCGCCTGAAGCCCCGTTTTGCCGAGGGAAGGTCGGTTGTGATGCGCTTGCACCACTGAACAGCGGTCAGCCTTGAGACGGAATCCGAATAGTGCTTGAGTTCTCCGTACGGCCTAAGTGCAATGTCATCCGGAGGTTGTTGAGCAATCGACTTCAGCTATGTTTCAGGTTACCTATAGGGCGTGGAGTATTGGAGTGCATGGCTCAGCCGCAGGGCTATACCGTCGCTAAGAACAATCGTACATTCAACGAAATGCGGAGACATTAACCTACATTGACGAAGAAATAGTAATTTATATTGGCGAGACTTGGAGGGGGCTGAGCATCGGGCATCGAGCTCGCCATGCATGCTTACCTGAATTGCTGCCGTTCACAGCCACTACCGCCTCCACCAAGCCTCCAGGGCTGTCTCTGCATCAGCGAGGCTCCATCAACACGCTCCTCTTACTCTATAATCTTGGAGAGCTCAGCCCTCATCTCCGCACCCAAGTTCAGGAGCTCCGCGAGGTGAGTAAAGAGTACCTATCTAAAGGCTCCATACTACGCTAAAGCCGCGCCAAGTCTCGCCACAAGGCCGGCCAGCAAGAATGCAGCGAAAATTACAAGATCCAAATACAAGAGTGTAGATGTTTGTCTGGTGTGACCATGTCCAAGAAAAAATGCGAAGCGAAAAGAATGTCTCGGCTGAGCAAGAATGACTGCATGCAGCGCGTCGCCGCGACGCCGCGAGTAAAAAAGCAAGTTGAGAATGTGGAGCAGGCTCCCTCGTCAGCACTTGAGAGTAGGAGCCCCATTCGAGCCCGGCAGATCGCCCAGCCCTGACGGTGATACGCGTCGTCCGTAGTTTCCACCTGCATCCCTATCCGCCAGGACACCCTGTATCCAAACCCGAAAAGGACAAAGCAAAATGTAAGCGTCGAGCTACATCGATCCCATGCGCAACAACGCCTCGACCGCCTCCCGCTCCTGCGAGTTCTGCGGCCCTCCCATTCCCATTCCCATGTCCAGAGTGAAACCCTCCGTGACGCCGTTCAAAGATGCAAATCGCGAACAAGATGATGTCGAAGAAGCCCGGCCGCCTATCCCCAGCGCGCCCGGCCCACTGACAACGCGCTGGAGCTGCGGCGGCCGCTGGTAGGTTACAGGACTAGGCCGATGCTGGTACCGCGGGGCGCTCTTCGCCAACGCCGTCGAGTGCCGCGAGAGGAAGTTGTAGTCCTTGCGGGCGTACATCCCGGGCCTCCCAGAGGGCATGGAACCGCGCCGCAGCGCCTCGGCGCCGATGCTCGCCCAGTCCTCTTCGTCTGTCGCTTCGTCCTGGTCGTCCATGTCGAGCGGCAGGGGCGGTTCCTCCGGCGCAGCGGACGACGAGGAGACGGACTCGCCATCGTTGTCGCCGTCCAGCGACATCTTATCCGCCTCGTGCTCCGCCATGTTCATGTCCGACATCTCCTCGTCGATGTCGTGGCTCGACATCATGCTTTCGCCAGCCCAGGAGCTGCCATACAGAATCCCTCGGCGGTCGTCCCTCCGCCTGGGTATCCGCAGCTCGCTACCATGGCTGAACGCGTACGACCCGACCTCGATACCGCTATCCGGCGGCGAGAGCCCCGACAGCTGCCGCGGCTCCTCCTCCACGAGCGCCATGCCCGCGCCGGACGCCTGCTGCGACCGCTCGCGCGGCGGCTGGCCCCGGATCCGAGCGTCCCAGCGGCCCCAGCCCACTTTCTCGAACTCGACGTCGCCGGCTTTGCCGCCGCCGCCTCGGGACTCGAGCGCGCTGACGACGAGGCGTCGGGCCTTGGCTGGCGCGATGCGCGAGAAGCCGGGAACCGACTGCGTCAGGTAGGCCAGGACGTGACGGATGGCGATGGGGCCGTGGGCGAGCAGGATGTCCGGGAGATGGTCGCGCGCCAGCATGGCCGGCGTGATGGCTCCAGCGGCTTCGAGCCCGGAGAGGGCGGCGCTGCTGAGAGCCTGCGGGCGGTGGTGATCCGGCGCATCCTGGAGCTCGGTGTCGGAGTCGAGGTGGATGACGGGAGGAGAGGTACGAGGAGGGTGTCCAGCGCGGAGCGCATGGGGAGGAAGGGTCGGAGAGATGGAGTTCGGAGGGGTGGGGAGAGGTCCGGTCAGATGCTTTGCGGGCGGCGCGCCGGAGGGGCCAGTAAAGGCTTCCTGAGCGCCGTCACCGCGAGCGTGCGGCATTTCGACGGTATTGCCGGCTTTCTCGGCGGCGAAAGCCATGGCGATGTTGGAGATGGGCTTGGTGGTGAAGGCCATGGTGACGGTCCGGCTGGTTCGGCTGAGTGGAGCTTCTGGATGCAGGGCGGATGAGTCAGATGGTGTTTGTGTTGCGATACTTTGGAGTTTGATGGTGTTTGCTGGGCTTTGTTTGTCGCGAATAGACGACTTACAGTCACAAAGGTGAAGAAGCTACCAGGAAGGCGAACAGTATCGAATGCGATGAGCGGAGCTGGCGGACTGGAGCGAGGCAAGCTGGTGCTGACGAGAGCTCGGCTTGCGGACGTTCCAAGGAGGCGATGACTCGGTGACTGATGACCGGGTCAAGTAACAGGGCGATGGCGGCGGCTGCTGGTATTTCGAACGACGAACTGTTGGTTGTTCAAGCGACGGTGGTTGTGCAGTGGTTGGTGTTGATAAGTAACTAAGGGCTGGCCTGCTTTGGATGGGGGAGCTCTTGCAGGCGTGCAGGTCGCTAGGCCGATGTCTCGCTGGGAATGCGCGGCGCCGGTTGCAGATGCCCGGCGGGAGCGAGTTAATTGGTCATGACAAAGGCACCGTAGCCCAAACCGCTTTAGCCTTGAACTTCCCGCATGACACTGATAGTGCACCAAGGTTCGCAGTGGCTGAAAGAGCGCACTGCGGCCTGTTTTGTTCCAGCGAAGCAGAACGTGGAAGGATGGCTGCGTATGAGGCGCTCACCACTTGCTTTCGGAGGGCCAACATGACGTTGACAAACACAGGAGCTTCTGTTGTCATGAACATGTCACACAGCAATCTGCACAAATGCGATGCTGGCAGGCAAATGGCGTGATGGTTCATGCCCGACTGTTCTCCACCTCCGGGTGAGCCCCCTAGGCCCCAAGGCCGCTATCACGCCCCATCTGCACACCAGACCCTCGCTATCAGCCACATCCAAACCCGCGATACCACCACTTTTGCCCTGCTTCCGCACATGGCTGCGATACCGCGCCTAGCAATCTTACCCCTCTCAACGTCCAGATCCTGCCGACTGAGCCAGAACTCTCTCAATCACCCGAGGAGCGCACATCGTGTCCCGCACCGTCTCCGCACCAGAAAGTCACGCGGAATCCTTCGCGTGTCTCCTCCGTGCCGAATTGCGGCGGGGAGCGAGCTGAGGAAACGCAAGCCGAAAAGTGTCGCAGGCCACGCCGAAGGTGCTCCGTCCCCGCATCGGCACGTGTGCGGCGATCCAGGACGTGTCTGGCTGGATTGGCAACGGATGGCCCGCCGAACCCGGCGCCGCGGATAGCGCAGAGAGCGACGGGATCTGCTCGCTCTGAAGATCTCCCCGCTCTGCCCACACGTGCGGCAGGGTCGAGCGCAGAGCTGTCGTGTAAAGTATCGTGAAGTAGCAATGACGTGTAGCCTTCGAGTTGCTCCAGGTTTGTAAGATGCGATGCGTTCAACCTTGCTGGTCCTGAGGGAGAATGTATTTTCGGAATGACTGTATTGCCGTGCTGTCAGCGATGGATACCATTGAGCGCATCGTGCGAGTGAAACTCACTTCTTTGAGCACGTTTATCTGCCGTGTGGTCCTCACAAAGACCTCGCGGTACTGCTCCAAGCTCTGGTGCACGACGTCGTTCCTGGTTGTTGTTCCTGCGCAAATGGCCTTCATCAGGAGCTCCATCTAAGTTTCGTCAGCGCATTCGACTTCTCTCAGGACAAGTTCGCAAGTCCTGTAGCATACCTCTTTCCGCAGGAACGGCTTGCCGAGGGAAGTCTCGAAGCCGACATTGTCATAGCCTTCGATCAGGGCCACCCCCAGCGTGGTAGGAATGAACTCTTGTAAACCGGTTCCGCCTCCCCTCCCAGTCGTAGCAGCTCCTCCTCTGCCACCACCTCTGCCCCTACCTCTGCCTCTCCCTCCTCTTCCTCCTCTTCCTCCTCTTCCTCCTCTTGCTGCGCCAGTTTCTATATCATCGTCATCCCCTTCAGCAGCACCGCCTGTGGCTCTGCCTCGTGGTCGTGTCATCACGTACGCCCTCTCCTTGATTTTGGCGATGTGTTCCGCCATAGTAGCGTCAGTCCCAATGCCATTCGCATCCATCAGCGCAATAAGCTCCGGTTCGGTAAGGAAGCCTGGAGCGGTTGTTTTACCATCCAACATCTTAGCTTCAGTCGGCTCGAACGTCTCGCCTAGCGTAAAGTTGGGCAGTTGCTGGCTGCTCACCCACTTGTCGTACGGATACACATCCAAGTAGTTCCTTTGCAAGACGAGCAAGCCATGGGTCCGGAAGATTTCAGTACCATACTGGATCTCGACATCAGTGGCCTCGCCTCTGGCGTCTTCGGAACAGCACGCGAGGAAGCGGCGGACGATAAATTCATACACGCGGCGCTCTTCGTCGTCTCTGAGGTGAGAAGCAGCGACATGGTTTACGGGATGGATGGGCGGGTGTGCTTTGTCGTTGTTGCGGCCTTGGCGCGGTTGGTTGAAGCCGCCGTTCATCAAGCTGTTAATACGTTAGCTGTGTTAGGGTTCCTCACAAGTAGATGCGTTAACGTACCCCTGAGCATAAGGACCCCATTGTCCGTCCGGACATTGCTTCTCTACCAGCTTTCTCAGATCCATGCCTCGATCGAACTGGTCAGTTTCTGTCCTAGGATAACTGATCCAGCCCTTCGTGTACAGCTCCTCAGCAATCTTCATCACCCTCTGACTGTCCATCCTGAGAAACCTGCTTCCCATCTTTTGCAGCTCAACCGTGGTCAGTGGCAGCGGTTTCCATTTGCTGGTCGGCTTCTTCTGCATCTTGACCACCTTCGCCGTCCTTGCCATGATGCATCTCTCGAAGATGATCGTGACCGCCATTCGATCAAACAAATGGCCTCTCTTCCAGTTGAAAGTGACGTCAATGTCATCTTTCCTATGCATGACCCGGATGTGCCAGAACTGCTCCGGCACGAAGTTCTTGACTCGGAAGTACCGATCCACGACGAACCCCAGCGTTGGAAACTGGCAACTTCCATAGCTGATGACTTTGCTCTCAAGCATCTGCTCAACCATCGGCCGTAGCTGTAACGTCTGCATCCGCGTAAACGCCGCACCAATCCTCAAATCCAGCTCTATCCTCGCCGCCACCGCATTCGCCTGCCGCTCATCCAACGGCACCGGATTCCTCGCAGCGTTAACAACATGCGCCCTCTCAATATTGCTAAACCTGGCCCTGCACACCTCCAGCCTCGGATTACTCTTCAGCGCCACATCCCTAATCTCCGTCCCGATGTGCTCGCCCTCCCTATCGCAGTCGGTCCAGATAAACAGCGTCCTAGCGCCGCGCGCCTGCGTCTCGATGTTCCGCGCGATAGCCTTCTTGTCGTCGTCGATGGAGGTCACGACGGGGGCGTCGAAGAGCTGGCCCGGTTGGCACGAGTTCCAGCTGCGGTACCGTGTGTCGAAGTCGATGGTGTGGAGGTGGCCGGCTACGGAGGTGAAGATCACGGTGCAGGCGCCCCAGGGCGGGAAGGTGTAGTTGAACTCGTAGTTCTTGACCCATTGGATGCCGGGAACGTTGCGCTGGGAGAGTGGTTAGTAGGCTGCTGATGTGGCGGTGGGGTGGAGGGGGAGTGACTGACTGCTTGGACTTGGCCGCCGAGATGCTGTGCGACTGCTCTGGCTATCGAGGGCTTCTCAGCCACACAGAGGATTCTGCCACCCATGCTGGCGTTGAGCTTGAGTCCATAAGGTTACGAGGTTGAGTGTTGTTGGAAGAGGCATCGGTCTTGTCGACGTGTTGGACGCGCTGAGCTGTTCGCGTGGGCACGTGACCGATATACTTCTCAACCTTTGCTGACAAACTCCTGCGACTTCATTGACGTCGAAACCGCCTATCATGCTCTAGCGAAATAGATTCCCTCTGCAAGATTCCCTGCTATATGGGGATCCCAGCATTCTGGGAGCTCTCCTATGTGCACCCCTGAGGCCGAGCAATTTGCGTAAAGTGAAGGGAAGATGTGTTTCCAGCTGAAACTATCCTGAGCGAAAGAGAAACCTCTCCTTCAGCTTACGTTTCCTCCCGAAAAGTTCCCACTCTCAAGTTCTTACGCTTCAACCGCTACATCTGGTCGCGTTCTGTAGACTGTCCGAAGTGAGACAACATCACGCCATGGCCGAGCTCACGCGAAAGTTCTCCGAGTACTATGGACCTGCTCTTTTATCAGTTGTATCGCTGACGCGGCGGCAATGACAGTTTCCTGACCTCACCGATCATATCCGTTGTGGTCGGCAAAGCCCCCGTGAAGACGTTTCTCCTCCACTCTGAGCTTCTCACAACGACATCGAAGCGGTTCGCTATCTCTCTTCAAGGAGAGTTCAGAGAGGCAGCCGAGCGCAGGATTGATCTGCCTGATGAAGATCCCGACGTTTTCGGCTACTTCCTCAAGTATCTGTATGGTGACGAGTGGCTACGGAGCTCGCAGATCGAACACGAGGCCGAATATCCTATTCTCGCTCGCCTCTATGCTCTGGGGGAGCGCCTCCAAGCCATCGCATTCCAGCGGACCGTGTTGCTGAAGTTCATGTCCAGCTTCAACGATAAAACACAACTATCGGATCAGGGCCTTTGCGATGTCCTGGAGATCGCCTGCGCTGAGATCACCGCTCGAGTCGACGAAGATCCGTTTCGAGACCAGGTCTTTTGGTACGCCACTCGCAGGCTTACCCAGCTGCAGAAGTATGGACGCTTCAAGCAGCTACTTAGCGAGCAACCGGACCTCGGTGCATCTTTGTGCATGCGGGCCAGCAGCAGCGGTGCTGCGCAACCAGCGAAGCCTAATGATCCGGTGCCGGCCAGATTCAGATCGGAGAGTGTCTTTTGAGGGAGAATAGTAGCACCAAGGGTTCTGGCACGGATGGAAGAGACGGGTGTTAGGATGAGCATGGCAAGATGAGTGAAATTTGGTTCTCACATCAGGTTCTGTTGATGCTCGTCCCTCAGCCTTACTTGACGGGTATGAGGTGCTGCATAAACATTTTCCTGTCCGTTCATCGGCTAAGACGCTATCTGTTGATGCCTCGTCTCTTCCATCCACAGAGCTTCATCATGGAAACACGCCGTATCAAGTACGCTGTAAACTGACAACGGCTTCTCGCTTTGACATAGCAATCTGCGCATAGACCATGTTCATATTGGCTTTCACCTGGTGTGAAGGGTGAGTTCCAGTCTCACTTTCCGCGGTTACGGTTTAGGCAGCAATAAGAATGACGTACCCTTTATCACATTGCCCGCCTAGCTACCTTACACCGTCATAGATCTTCCTTTTTCATCTTAAGCTTCCGACCAGCTCAGAGTTCTCGTTCTACTAACTGTTACGCCGTACATGTCTCACTCGACAGTGCAGCTTCTGTTCCACCATTCACCGTGAAACAGTGAGAGCGGCTTGCCAGCTCGTCCGTCCAAGCCGATTCCGTCGCTCACGTTCCACATTCAACACTCAAGCCACACAAAGAGCGTCAAGCCTTGGGCAACATCTCCCATCAATCCTCGGCTCACCTCCATCTATCAGGGTGCAATGGATGAGACCGAAGCCGCCACCATGGAGCGAGCTGCCAATACAGTCTTGGGTACCGTCGAGCTTCTAGAAAAGATCTTACTTCATCTGGATCCGAAGACGGTTTTCGTACTACAGCGCGTGTCTGTCATGTGGCGGAACACGATCAACCAGTCCATTCACATCAAGCGCATGATCTTCGTCGTAGCGGATGGCAGCGTTGTGCGGCCTGTGAGCATGTTGAGTGTTTCACGCTTGCCCGCTGTACCAGTGTACGCTCCAGACGTTTTCACGCGCAACAACTGGTTTGTCGTTTTCAACGCCAGCACGAAGTTCTTGCGGAGCTCTGGACTTCTGATGGAGACAAGGGGACACTTCCGTGGTGGGGGCCGAATCGATATCGACGCAAAAGGCAACCCGGACGGAGTCCGTTTCAGTCAGGCCAATGCAGTCACTATTGCTCGCGACAAGACGAACCGGCTCTATGGGGATCTCCTGGGTAGCGGAGTGTTCCGTTGCAGGAACGCTTCTTGGAGGCGGATATTGCTCACGCAGCCTCCGTGTACCTCGGTTCTTATGGAAATCGAAGTCAGTCCGCTAGCACGCTACACTGGGCAAGTGGCCAGCTTTAAGCGCGACCGCACGGTTCGTAGTCACGGCATCACCCTCGGCGACCTGTTGAATGGGATGCAGGAACTCGTCCTAGACATCTGGAAAGCGAATGGACGTCTAAGACATACGACGGACTTCGATACGTTTATGACTTGGTCCGTCTCAGAAGAGTGTCCGGCAGACGAAGTTCGAGACAGAGCTGAAGAGGACTGGGATACCAATGACGAGGATTGGGCCGCTAATTCCTGGTAGGGGGTGGTCACCAGTTCAGCGCTAGCTCGGACACAATACTGGCCGATCAGGCCTGGTTTTGGCCTCTGAGCCACCGCTGATTATGGTCTGTCCTAGATTTATGCATTGCTTTGGGAGAAGTTTCTTCGGCTTACCGAAGCACCACGCTTGAATGTACCTTCCTCCAGTCCAGAGCTTTGACGGTCAGCGGGTTCCCGATTCTGCATTCATCGCGCAACAGCACTCATCGATGTCTAGTTTCCGCCTGCACGGACAATAAACAAGCGCTTACTTTTAGAGCCATGTACAGTAGGAGCCACTCTCGTTGAAGAGTTCATTTGACACATGTTGCTCACCGGAAGGCTTGGGGGTAGAACATGTTTCCCGCACATGTTTCAGGGTGCAATGAGGGGTTGAAGGTCTTTGGCGTGTCTCTTTCTCTTAGTCTGAATCAGTTCAAGCGCTCGCGTAATACAATTTCAAATGTTCATCATGCATGGTGAATTGAAAGCTTTTATTCTGCTTGGAAAAATTGAATTACACCAAGACCCCATCCATACCCATGTTTCACTGGTTTGCACACTTCACTCACTTCGGAGCTTCAAACAAGCAGGAATCACCAACGGGTCAGACTTTACTTTCTACCGCAATTCCAAACGCCCTACTACTTATATCTTTACTCTTTCTAAGACGTTGGGATACATCTTCCGTTTCTCTAGCTAACGCCTCAATCACCGACTTTACGGTCGACATCTCCATCCGACAAGCGCTCTTCGTTTCGCTACATAAAGCAACGTCGAGAACGACAAATCGTTCGACCCGATCTCGTTGCTCTGCCTTCACTTCACCCCGCCAGGGCGTCCAGTATCGACCTCAGCACAACACATCTCATCATCCGTCGCTTCGTCACCAGTCAACCCTGCAAGGACCAGTGAATCACAACGGCGGGCACTATGGGAGGAGCCGTCGCTCAAGTACTAGAGACCGTTGAACTTTTAGAGAACGTTCTGCTTCACCTGGATGCGAACAAGGTGTTCGTCCTGCAACGGGTATCCATCGGTCGGAAGAATACCATCAACCAGTCGATCCGCATCAAGCGTATGCTCTTCCTTGCATCAGTGGGCGGACATACCGTACAGCCCATCGCCAAAGCAATCGGTCCGCATACCGGCAACGCCATACCAGTATACGCTCCAGGCACTTTGGCTCTCAATGTTCAGCACATCCATCCCTGCTTCTCACCAGCCACCAGAGACATGATATCGGATCCCGAGTTATCTGGCGATATCCAGGGCCGTCTCGACGGCGCATGCCGGATTACCGTTGGTAAGAAAGGCCAAGCGCGAGCAGTCCAGTTCACTAGTGCCGACCCAAGCAACCGTAGTGCAGGTGCTTCATTCGAACGTCTCTGGCAAGATTTCCGCAACAACGCTTCTTGGAAGCGGATGTTTCTCACGCAGCCTCCGTGTACAGCGATTCAAGTACACACGCTAGTGATACCAGTGTCGTGTCCCCGCCGGGAATTCGAAGCACTCGTCGTGCAGCGTTGTCGTATAGTTCACAAGGACGGCATTACGATCGGCGATCTATTTAACGAGCTGGAAGAGGAGATTCTGGGCACCTGGCCTGCGCACGGCGATCGGAAGCGTTCGAAGGGGATTAGCGGGGTGTCTATGACTTGGTCGATACTCGAAATGAGACCGACGGCTGAACAACAACTACCTGGTGACGAAAATGAGGACTCTGGACCTAGAGGCTACGTTGAATACGATAACTATCGCATTGTACCTTTCGGGGACCCGATATCAGACGACTAGTCTTCGCCTTGGCCTGATGACGCTGCAAACAATGGTCCCTTCCGAACTCATCCCTAGCTCGGAAGGATATCTCCTGGGCTTCGCGAAACTTTGTCAACACAAGGTCCATAAAAATCGTCCATTCCACACGCAAGGCGCTCATGGGAAGGTTCGGGGATGAACAGGCGTTAGTGAACTGCTTCGACTTTCGTGCATAGACTTGTTCTTCTACTACCCGTGCTTTCTTTCCTCATCTGCAGCTTGCATCCATCTACTATCTCGAACACTCCATGTGATCCACCAAATCTCCGTCCATCATAGCATGTGCTTTTGGTACCCTTGTGATTAAATTCTCCCGTCCCAAGGCTTCCAGCAGCTTCGCCCCGTGCGTGATCAAGGCGAGATTCACTCTCTTCAAACCCTTGATTTAAGCTTCCACCATCCATGCATTCACCTGCACACGGTAGTAACGGCAAGCTTCGTCACACGCGGTTGCTCCGGCCCCGCCGTCATAGTTTCTCTGGCTCGCCCGCACGCTCCTACTTCTCTATACCTACTCATGAATATTTGCGCTCACAAAACAGACTCAGCGGTCCGCCTGCACAATCTACGAGCTACTTGTGCCGCACCACTTACAGCGGCAACAAAACACCATCGCACAGCTTCCAAGCTCAAACGTGTTCTGTTGCTCAGCATCATCGCTCGAACCACACTCAAAACCTCAAGCTTTACACAAAATAGCTCATCGATCGGCACCATGGCACCACAGATCACAATCCAGCGGATCAATACAGTAGCCGACAGCAACAGTACGGCTATTGCTGCAGTACTCAACACCGCTGAGCTCTTAGAGAACGTCCTGCTTCGTGTTGATCCTGCGAGAATGGTATTCACCATGCAACGCGTTTCTGCCTTATGGCAGAACGTTATCACCCACTCCATCAAGATCAAACGTATGCTCTTCCTCATACCAATTGGCGAGTATGCAACGAGGTTCATCGGCCTGGCACGCTCTGAGGGTGAGGACTTCTTCCCAATACCGACATACACCGAGGGCGCTTTAGCACTCAATGATCAGAAAATCCACCGCTCGCTCTCGCCAATGACAAGAAAAAGTGTTTCGCACCGCAGAATCCGTCAGTGGGTCGAGGGTCGCCTCCAAGGCGAATGCCGCATTGACAATGACATCGGGCCCGATCAGCAACGAGTCCGTTTCACTTGGACTGAAGGAGCCTATCCAAGGATCAACGGTGGTAAAGGCGACAATTTGGAAAGTCGGGGCTTCGACAACAAGAGCGCTTCTTGGCGGAGAATGTTCCTCACGCAACCTCCGTGTACATGGGTCCGCCTGCATCTCAAATTCACGCCCTCGGTGTCCCCCGTCCCCCTTGACTTCTTCAGACGGTCCCGCTTGCAACGCTATGGTATAGTTCTGAGCAACGGTGTCACTTTGGGGGATCTGTTTGACAGGCTGGAAGACCTGGTGCACAAGATGTGGATGGAAAGTCAAGGCTCACCTCTTCCGAGAGCAGAGAACTTCCTCCTGTCTATGACTTGGTGTATACTGGAAGCGAAGCCAGAACACGAACCCGACACGGTTCTCGAGCCTCCCACGGAGGAGAACTCGCACATTCGGACATTCGACGGCAAGTATGGCCTGCAATACACGACGTGACCGGCGAATACCGTCATGTGTCCACCTCGATCATAGCTTGATCGCCGAGATGGCCCATCCGAGGCATCAGTGGCTCAGAGAACGGATCTTGCGGGTTGATGAAGGTCTCTCACGTAGAAATACAAGGACCAAGCTACTTGCTCACAGGGAATCACCTCCCTTAGCATATGCTTCCGTGTAATAGTTTGATTCCGTCAGCGGAAATGCCTAGATACAATCTACCTCCATTCTACTCATTCAGCCGCGACATCCCGGCGTCTAATACTACACTCACATGCACTTCTCATGCTCATAACGATGATGCTCAGACGCTCGAACCACGAGACTTCCATAACAGTGATAGACAAGAAGCCGTAAGAATTGAAGTAAACGAGAGGGAACAGGCGGGCGCCGGGTATCGCCGAGGCTCATAAAACCCCTCCACAAAAAAAAGGTCGAACAGACTGAACAATGGCCTCCCCAGCTCGCTCGCTCGCCGTGGACTGCTTCATGACCGATGCGCGCGCTCAGACAACAGTATGCCTTTCCCCTTCATGCAAATCATGCAGATCGTTCAATATGCTCATAAATATCCCCCCTTTACTCTATGACCCCAGCCCACCCCCATCTACGCGGAAGCCACCACTCCGTAATCCGCCCAGCCAGCACTCCCATCAAACCACCGTCCCCTTAAGCCTTCGCTGCCCTACACCACTGATGCTCCAGCACCTGGCTGATCGTGATGCGCTGATCGACGTCCCGGTTCAGCATCAGGCGGATGAGGTCGATGCTCTCCTCGCTCATGATATAGGGAACGCGCAGGTCTTGGTCCATGATCTCATCGATGGAGTAAAACGGATTCTCTTTGTAGACGATTGTGTAGAGTAGGATGCCGAGCGCCCAGACGTCCTGTTCTTTGCCGCGGTAGGGGGAGCCGCGGAGGACTTCGGGGGCGGCGTAATCTGTGAAGGACGTCAGTCGTTGCTCGTGTAATGTAAACATGTAGAGTGGTCGTGGATTGGAGAAGATGGCACACGACTGATCGGCGATGCAGCTGATTGGGAAGGCGAGACTCACCAATCGTCCCAACGAAAACATCAAACGGTCCGTTTCTGACATACGCCGCGCTCCCGAAATCGATGAGCTTAATGTTACCCTCCCCATCCAGGATCACATTCTCGTCCTTGATGTCCCTGTGTACAACTTTCGCCTTCGTGTGCAGATGCCACAGCGCCTCAGCCACCTGCACGAAGATCTTGCGGCACTCCACCTCATCCATGTTGACCCTCAGTTCGATGTAGTCGAACAGGTCCATGCCGGGCAGGCCATGCGGCACCATCTCGATGTAGTAATTTACATCGTCCTCGAAGAAATCGGACATCTCTACAATATTCGGATGTTTGAAGCCGTCACGGCGCAAGTAGTCCAGGACATGGATCTCAAGCGGAACGGTGCCAAGACGACGGTCTCGCGTCCAGGTGTCGACCAGAATCCGCCGCTTCGTCACGTACTTGATGACGACCTTCTTCGAGGAGTTACGCTTGTAGCGGCAGAGTTTGACTTGGCCGTACGCGCCTTGCCCCATATCTTCCAACACAACGAAGTCGTTGATGGTTTTCCGTCGTGGCTGGCCGTTGCCGTCCAGCTCGACTGGCGGATCCACGGATGCGTCTTCTGGGGGTGTGGGGGACCTCTGGAGCTGCTGTGTAAGGAGTGAGACGGATGGGGTATCTCTTGCAGTATCTGAATCGGCTTCCTCAGGATGGATCATGTTCATCGACTGACCAGGTGAGGGTTGGTGAGGCGGCGTCCCAGGTCGCGACTGGATAGGCGGAACAGGACCGATGCCATGGTTGGCCGCGTGCAGCTGCCTCGAGTAGGTGATCCACAAAGCGTAGACCACCTCGGAAGTTGCTCCATCATGGTCCGCGTGGTGTGTCTCACCATCTTCCGCAATCACGTTTTCGTCGTACTTTGGAGCAGACCTTTCACTCTTCACCACCCGCATCTGCACGTCGACCATGATCTCTGCGCCGTCACGATGCTTGGCCGGAAGACCGCTGGGTCGTAGGAAAATCGCGGCAGCGTCGCCTTTGCCTTCGCGCATTGCCAGCAGGGCGCGCGCTCGGCGGAAGCTGTGCTCGGGTACCACGATGCCGTCGACCAGCGTAATTTTGTCTTCGTCTGTCATCACCCTTAATATCTTGTCGAAGCTAGGTATAAGCTCATTGATGTGGAGGCCATCGGGCCGCGACTGGCCGAATAACGCAGTGGAGAAAACGGTGTTCGAGCTTGAGATTTGGAGGGTAGAAGAGGATAAGACGAGAATGCCAGCAATATGCGGAAAGCTCGAAACTCGGAAGGTAGGCTCTCCTGAGATTTGATCGACAGTGATTGGTATACAGATGTTGTTTTGAGTTCGAGCAGTGAACGATCGAAGCTCCGCAATCCGCTCGTAATCTAATGCGCCGGTGTTGGTACCTGTTCTTCGTGGAATATCCGGGATGAGGCGCTTGAAGTCCATGCCTCTTCGGACCCGCTCCGTGCCCCAGATCGCCTCGATCGCTCCCTCTCCTTTCATTACGCAGCCTACTTCGTCAACACTTATATAGACAACATCTTCTGCTATTTCCTCCAGAACCCAGATCAAGCCGCCGCGCTTCTCTTTTACCCACAAGCTTGCTGACCCAAGCGCGCCGTTCCTCTTCTGGATTGGCACTACGTCTCCGCACAGCAGGACACCTCTTGATTTGTTTGCCGGATGATTCAAACCACCTTTCGTGTTCTTTTTGCTTACATAGGTAGAGCCGCTGCCATCGTCTGTTTGCGCTCTCCGCTTGTCGGCAACCTGTCGCGATGAAGGTTTGCTAAGCAGCCGAGCCGTGACGCCGCCGCCGACAGCCAAGCCGGTCGTAGGACTAGGGCTCGTCCGCTGGCTCTGAGTAGTCAATACTTGCGACCGTGGCGATTCCGAGTCAGGATTCTTCAATTTCTCTTCCAGCCATTTCCTTCGCTCCGGCCGGACAACCTCCAAGATACCCAGCTTCCGAACTTCGGCCCTTGTGACGCCGAAGACAAGGCAGGCAAGATCGTTCGCAGCAGTAATGGTCCACGGAGCCTGCGCCTCAGTGGTGAATATAGCTTGTGCAGCTGGAGCGTAGCGGCTTCCATGTCCATGTGGTGCGGGATGGTGGCCCGGATGAGGTCCTGGTACTGGTGGCACAGTGGGAACTGTGGTGGGGGAGATGATTTGACTTTCTCCAGCGCGATCCTTAGACATATACGGCTGTGCAAGAGCGTCATGAAGTTTACTTTGAATGGATAGTGGGCCGGTATCCGTGTACGTCCGTTTCAGCGAAGATCGCGTGGCCGTCGGGGCCGGAGGGCGAGATGGATTCTTTAGTGCTCTATCAGACGCCCCGCTCTCCAGTGAGCTAGGACTGAGCAATACCTCGTCATCTACGCTTGCCCTCGCAAGAATAGCAGGTTCACTGCCGGGCTCTGCTTTAGGAGATTCTGGCTCATGGATACTCTTCGGACTCTCTGATCGTGGCATAAAGCTCTTTTCGAACACATTATCGGCAGATAGATCAGCTGGCCCAGTCAAAGGTCCCAAACTTCCCAGACCATGAGCTTTCAGAGCATCCGGTCCGATGAGGTTGGCACGCGACAGAAGCTCTACCATGCTTTGCACCTCTTGATCGCCACCAAGCTTCGCGTGTGCGTTCAGGATGGCCGGATTACTCGCTGCCCACCCCAACTTATCTCGCATGAAATCTATTGATCTTTTCAACACATTTTGCCTGCTGTGGAGGGACTCTTCCGACTGGTGTGCGAACGAGAAGGAGTGTAGAGACTCGGTCGGAAAGCGGTTAAGGTCTTCGCTCGAGTATATTGTAGGTGACGAGGGCCCTGAGTGAAGGCTCATGGACGGGTGGCGGGAAGGGGCGACTGATAGATTCACGGATCCGGATCGAGATGTTCCACCCGTGCCAGCACCAGCGCCCAGCGCTCTCGATGAAGGTTGCTGCCGGATTCGACGAAGACCTGATGCACCGAGTCCATGTTCATGCTCAGGCATTATCGGAGACCTGAAGACGCGAGTCTATCGTCAGCCAAGCTTTGATGTAGCAGGGTCGTCAAGCCCTGCATTGTCCACGCGGGCTATACCGCCGCTAACCTCCCAACTCACCTCACGAGCGGGTGTGTAGATCCAGCATCAAACGAGTGTCGTGTATAGGACGAGTCTCTATTCGTGGTCGAGCCCGAAAAGTGTGATAGGAGATTGCTCGTGCTCTTGTTCTTCGGAATAGAGATCTCGCTGAGAGGAGGCTCTGGTCTACGCCGCGGCAATGGATGGGTTTCTGCATTTGAAAGGCCTGGGCGCTGGTGTTAGCGTTCGTATCAGGGTGCGTAAAGCATGCTTGAGCTCGAGAGATCAATGGTCATCCAAACTTCAGCATTGGGCTCCAACAGCGTGCTTAGGAAAGGTCACATGTCGTTTTTATCACCCCTCGTAGGCACACAGACAATACTCATAAGTCGCCGGCCTTGTTGAGGACCGGCGTCTGGCACGAGATGTGTAATGGTATACCGCGGGGCTTCGAGTACCAGCACAGCGGGGTGAGTCGGCGACGAGGCCACCCATTCGCACAGGGCGATGAACGGACAAGACGTCTGCCAAAGTGGCAAGGACTCACCATTTTCATTTGGCGTGACCATTACCATCTGAAGGCTGACGTGGGCCAGCGGTACAGGTGGAAGGACAGTAGTGCGGATCTTTTGCGGGCCGGCGGTGCTGTTCTGAGGCTCTCGCTACCGGAGCGAAGACGAGCGTCAGGAGAGCGCCTGCAAGAGGATAGGCAATGGTCTCGAATGCCGGGGACAGTGTAGAGGCATATGGCTTCCGGACGATTGAATCCGTAGGCCCGGCATGCAAAAATGCACGATGAGCGGGTGGGCGACGCTCAGCCGTCGAGGCGGTCCAGGCGTTTGGCGGTTTTGGCGGGTTTGGCGGGTTTGGCGGGCTCGGGTGGCTTGTGATGGAGGGGATGACTCGGAGAACTCGAGGGGTCAGGGTGCTTTGTTCGCGGAGAGCTGTCTCGCGATGGGAGCACGGGAGCACAGCAACACAGAAGTTGCAAGTGACAGGCTCGGACGGGAAGTGCACGATGTCGCACCTCGCTTCAGCAGAGTGAGGTGGTCTGCTTGATATGCAAGCCCAACGGTTGACTGTGGCGTGCACCTAGCGCCGATATCTCCAGCCCGCACACTGCTTATCCTGCCTGCTATCCGTCACTCCGCAGACTCCAAAAAGCCGCTTCGGCCGTGGTCCGATGGACCCTTAACTTGGATGCCGGAACTGATCGTGAGACATCCGAGCGTGGTATGTAACAAGTCAACCTTCATCAGCAACCTCGAGTACAGCCCTGAGACGTAGATGCCTGTGTGCTTTGTACGCGAGCGCCTTTACAGTATCCGGTCCAAGTGCACTCGATGCATCTCGACGTGAAGTTACGGCGTGATGTGGCCCAGCCGCCCTCTGATCCGGTTCCAGGTTATTAGGATGTTAGTGCAAGGTTACCGACAGTCTTCGAGCGTGGCTCCGCGGGAGTACACAGCGGAAGGGACAAAGCACTCTGTGGAGTCAGAGGCTTGTCAAAGACTGATACAATGGATCGGCACACGAGCATCCGCAGTATCGCTTACGTAGCGGACCACCGGATGTGGTAGTCTTCTTGTATCGTAAGACGTATTGCCGAGCGGTCATCAATAAAAAGACTTGCTTTTAAAGATCATATTGGCTGACAACCAGCTAAGTGTGGCCTGTTATACTCACAGGTATACAAACGTAAGGGAGATAGAACTATGTTAGCGGGGCAGTGCAAATACTACACCGCTTGCGAAAATATACAGAGGATGACAGGATCGTAGCACGCAAGCCTAATGTGCACCCAAGCCAATGTTGCATAGGATAGAATCTTCCTGCTCGTTCACTTTCCATGCATACGAACAATGAGATTATGGCTCATCCAGGCACAGAGGAGCTGAAGCTGGCCATCAAACAATTGCCAGGTCTCAAGAGACTCATTCAGATGTGCACCACTATCACCGCTGCCTAAGTTCGTCTTTATGCTGCTCCCAGAAGTTCCTACAACCTAGACAGACTCGATCAGTACCAGCTTTGCACATCAGAAACAGAGATGCTCACCTCGATGCATACTCATCTGCTCAATCCACCACTCACCAAAACTATCAATTACATTCTCGTCCACCTTGCCCACCCTCTCGTCTCGCTTCAGGCCACACAGCGCACAGCACCTCGGCGCCGGCACGCCGCCTTCACTCTGCTTCGCCATCCTTACCGGCATCGCGTCATGGATCTCCGGCACTGCTCCCAGCGCCTTACTGCCCGCAACCGCGGACCTCAGCCGTCCCAACTGCTCCTGCCATGCACCAACAACATCAAGCACCTCTCGCTCCTCCTTCCTCTCCTCGCCGCGGTCAACGCCAGTCAGTTTCATGCCCGTGGATCTCCCGCCTGAAGAGGGGCCGATCTTCATGCTCTGCGCGAGACGCGTGTCGCGCTTCCAGCGGAGCTTGCGGCCGGCGATGATGCGCGCAGCGACTGTGGCCAGAGCTAGGTAGCCTTGTAGAAACGTGGTGGTGGCTGGTGCGGCGAGGATGCGGTTCCGAATGGCGTAGGGCTGGGCGGCTAGAGGCTTGAAGAACTTCTCCTGGGCGGACACGAAGAGGGGCGGGAAGAGACTCAGTAGAAGGGCTGGGGGTGGAACGTTGGTTGGTGGAAGATCGGAAGGCGACGGTTCGGTTACAGATTTTCCTAAAGGGGCGGCGAGTGGTAGGTCGGAGCGCTCGGCGTGGAGATCTGGCGACTTGGTGGATAATGGTGCTGGAGCTTCCCAAGCCGTAAAGTCGTCCCACGATTCTTCAGGTATTTCAGGCTTGGCGGTGGTTAATGGCTCTCTTGTTGGAGCTACTGCAGTTCGGACAGCCCTCGCTGGCGCCGGTTTCCCATGTGAACTCTGTGAAATATAGTCTACTCGCTTTGGAGGCTTCCTTGAACGACGTTCAGCGGTCGCAGGAATAGCGGTCCTCGAAGCTTTGACCGGCGCAGAGGCTCGATCTTCAGGCCTCAGATCTTCCATATTCGACTTGATTCCAAAGATATCCAGATCCTCTGCCGACTCTGCAGGACCCGGCGTCCCACCTTCAAAGTCGCCGAAATCATCATCTTCTCCAAGCTCTTGAGAGGCATCAAACAAGATGTTTGGATCCTTCGCACGGGGTACATTGCCTATTCCAGGCGGTCTGCGATTGTCTGATGCGTCGTATAGCGGCTCGCTGCGCCGCGAGGACTGGTGTCCGCCGTCAAACGAATTAGCCTTATCATGAGCACTTGTTTGTACCGAGACTGGCTTCCGTGACTGCTGGATGTATTCCTCGAGGTTCTGCTTTTCCTGTGTCTTGGACTCGTGTTGCGTGCTTGACGGAGCCACGGAAGGTTCGGCGTCTTCAAAGTCACCCCAATCATCGTTAGGCTGGTCTATTGCATACTCATGCTGTATCTGCGTTACTCCATCAGAGAACACATCGAGGAGCAAGCCTTGACCATGTCGGAGAGCCCTGTGTCCTCGCTGCGCCCCGGGACGAGAAGAGATATCCTCAAAAAACGAGGATGAGTTGGAACTGTAGCGATTTGATAGATTGGTGCTCGATGCAGCCTTCGCATCTTGACCGAAGTCACCGAATTCTGCCAGCAGGTCTTTGGACATGTTCAAAAATCAACTTCGACACGCTGTGGTCGACGATGCACGTGCCTCGAAGCCAGCCACAGCAGCACTGAACGGCTTGCCGAAACGAGAAAGACTCCGGCAGCCAAGCGCAATGTTGAAACATCAACCAGCACCCGAGCTGTTTCAACAAAGAAACTCTACCAAAGCCGGTGAAAGAACCGCGCGCCTCGAGTGCGCCTTCACGTTACGACCACAATGACATTCCTGAAAGAGACTAATGACGAACCTCCGCTGAGTCAGGGAGATTGTGCCCTCGAAATATGTAAGTCTACGACGCCTCAGGCATGCGGTGACTATGTTTCCTTGAACCATCACATTACTGTCGCTCTCTGCATTCTATCTATTGCGTGTAAACATGTCATTCATTCATTTTCTCTTCTTAGCGCTGGTCGCTATTGTTTCCACAGTCTCTGCCGAGGCAGTCTTCGCCCACTTCATCGTGAGTATATGCAGCTGAGATTTGGCATGACTGCAGCTGACCAAAGCAGGTCGGAAACGTCAAGTCATACACAGTTGACCACTGGAAGAAAGACATTCGACTTGCTGCGGATGCAGGCATCGATGGGTTCGTCTTGAATATCGCAACCCCATGGGACGGCCCAATCGCAGCTCAGGTCGGCAACGCTTTTCAAGCCGCAACCGACACAAGTCCAAAGTTCAAGCTGCTGTTCTCTTTCGACTACCTCGGTGGTCCAGGACCATGGCCATCCAACGATGTCATTGAGATTCTGCAAGGCTATGCCTCACACCCAGCTCATTACAAACACAACAACAAGCCGCTCGTTTCGACCTTTGAAGGAGTTGCCAATGCCAACGACTGGCCGACAATCCGCGCCTCCGTTCCTGGCGGCATATCTTTCCTTCCAGACTGGACGTCCCTTGGCCCCGGGGGCTTCGCAGCTCATCTTGACAAGGTCGACGGTGCCTTTTCCTGGGACATGTGGCCGGAAGGGCCGAACAGCATGTCCATTACCAAAGACAAGGCATGGCAAAGCACCCTTGGCTCAAAGGCTTACATGATGGGCGTCTCGCCCTGGTTCTTCACAAACCTTCCCGGATACGGTAAAGCGTGGACCTGGCGCGGCGACGATCTATGGCATCAGCGGTGGCAGCAGGTGCTGGAGGTCAAACCCGCCTTCGTGCAGATCGTGACCTGGAACGATTACGGGGAGAGTCACTACGTAGGACCGATATTCGATGACGGCGTTCCTCGAGGTGGAAATACCAATGCTCATCCGTACGTTGATAACATGCCGCATGATCACTGGCGGGATATTCTACCGTACTACATTGCGCAGTACAAGAACGGTGGAGCCCCACCAGCAATCTCGAACGACAAGTTGAGCTATTGGTACCGCCTCACGCCCGCCGCGGCTGGCAGCACCAACGGTGTGACCGGCAATAACTGCGCGTATCAGCGTTGCTACAGCCCGAACGAAATAGTTCAGGACAAGGTTTTTGCAACCGCGCTCGTCAAATCCCGCGCTTCATTGAAGATACAGATTGGTTCCAATCCACCCTCCGCGTTCGAGTTGCCTGGAGCAGGTGTGCACCACTTCTCGACGCCGTTCAACGGTCGAATTGGAACTGTCACTATTTGGATCGAACGAGACTCGAAGCCTGTCGTCTCCAGCACTGGCAAAGAGATCTCGGCACGGCCTGAAAATGGCATTACTAACTTCAACGCTTGGGTTGGTGGAGCTAGTAACTGAGTGATTCCTTTTCCTGTGAGCTCGGTTATTTGTCAGTAGTCAGACCATTTCTCATAGTCTCCAACTACCGACGTCTGAAGCTTCCCTCTTACAGTAACCTGTACAAAGAATTTGAAAGGTTTTCTACTATGGATCCATTCACCGCGGTTTTTTCCGCTTCTCCTTGTGAACTTTACTCCTATGCGTTGTCCCAAGGCGCTATAGTATCTATGCACTTAGGCATAGTCCGTTACTGGCCTCTCGATTATATCCATTGTAGTCTCACGCACCTTATAAGAAACCGGTTATGACTTTCCAAAATTGCCAAACGGTGAACTAGCATCTCCATGGTATTTTTTGCTACCTTCGAGCTATCGTTACCCTATCCTGGGTCATTTGCAACGAAGCACATTGTTCACGTTCTCCGCTTCTTCCGAAAAGGTGTATGAATACGGTGTACCGTGCACTCTTCCAGCGTCCTTTCAGCGCTCCCCGCTGTATTCCAACAATAAACATTGTCGCCACAAAGGCCTTTCACCGCGCCGTGTGACAAAGACTCGACAATCGTCCCTCGCCAATGTTAATCGCGGTATATATAAACCGTATACCACTTCTCATCTTGCTCAAGTATACTCATCCTTCCCGCTATATACAGCTTCCAAAACGCTCAATATAAACAACCACCACCAGCCTTATCAGCAACAGCAACCATGTCCATCATCCAGAACGAACACCAATACCCCGTCGACGAGAAGGTCACCGGTGACGATGTCAAGCGGGCCCTCCTCTGCATCGTCATGTAGAGACCTCTATGTGCTTCCGACACAGCACATATCCCCTATGTGTCTGCAGCACGGCACATATCCCCTACGGGCTTCCCAGCATCCGTGAGACCGTCGACTGGCACCCCCTACACAGCCCAACCTTTCCCACTCAGCTCTGCGGCGGCGGGGCCGGAGAAGCGTAAGACCATGTTTGCGCGCATCCGCCAGAAGTACAAAGGCGTACCGCTCTACCCAAGCCTGTTACTGCCGGTCTTGGCTCTGAGGACGTAAGTATTCGGTGCATCCGTCAGAAATACAATGTCGGTCTGGAGTACGACGACCGCATTTTACTGGGCTGGGGGTAGGTAGAAGGGAAGTCTATGTTGAATAGATGAGAACCTACGCTGTTCTCGTCTCCTCAACATAAACTTCCCTTCCACCTCTCCCCAACCCAATCATCTAGTTAGACAAAAACGTTTCACCGATTTGAGCTGTCCAAGTGCTTGAGAACAATGTGCATTCCCTATTAATCTGAGTTTTCCTAACTCCAATTCCACCAGTACTGTACATCTGATTGTAATCCATCAATTCAAGCAACCCCCTCCAAACTAGCCCTCACAGTCTCCTCCAGCCCCACCCATCCCGGTCTCCCCATCTCCCTCAACAACCCCTCCGCCCTGCCTGCCGGCAGGATCTTGTTCGTGTCCCTCGGCGCATTTGGGTCCGGCTCGGGAAAGTCCCTCTCTGGGAACATCTGCCGAAGCACAGCATACACATCATCCCAGTTGAAGCTCCCCGCGAAGCCGAAGATGCGCTCGTTCTTTACGTCCGGGTGGAGCAAGGCGAGGACGTGCAGGCGGGCGGTGTCGCGCACGTCTACGAAAAATCCTATGGGGAATCAGCAAGGTATGCGCGGGGGAACTCGTCGGAGCGTTGTTTAGGTAGATAGGCTCAAGGGAAGGGTAGCCCAGGGGCAACATACCCGGTGCAAACCCGCCAAAGATCTTGAATTCCCCTTCCAGCGCCTCGGTGATGGCGTAGGAGGTCGATTGGCGGCCCTGACGCGCGAGGTCGAGCGCGGGGCCGAAGTTGACGGGAGGCAACACTGGTCGCCGGCATTAGTAGTGTCGCATCTGGAGGACGTCTTCCCCTTCCCATGGCGGCCTACTCACCCGCGTTAACAACAAGCGCAGGCTCATTCTCCTCAACCCACTTCCACACCGCCTGCTCCCCCTCCGTTTTGCTGGCGGCATAAGTGACCCAGGTACGCTCCGGCTCATACGGCGCGGGCGCCCAAGCGGCCTTGACCGAGTCCTCGTTCCAGGTCTTCGCGTCGATGGTGCGGCCGAGGTTCGGCCCAGGTGCATACGTAGCCGTCGAGGAGGACGTCAGGACAAAGCGCTTGACGGATGGCTCGGCAGCCGCGGCTTTGAGCGCATTGACGGCGAAGGCGATGGTTGGGGGGATCACGTTGTGGGGGTTGGGGTCTTGAGAGAGTACGGAGGCGACGTGGGCGACGCCTTCAACTCCTGTTCACCAACAAGCGCTTAGCTGATGTTCCGATTTGGATTGATGTGTGAGGCAGAAGTATACCCTTCATAGCGGCGTCCAGTGAGCCTTCTTGAGACATGTCTCCGACTTCGATGAGCTCGAAGACGTCTTTGCCGTACTTGGACTCGAAGAACTCTGCCATCCATGCGTTCTTCGACGCGTTGCGGACGGTGCCGCGGACTTTGTAGCCGGCGAGGAGCAGTTGGTCGGCGATGTGGGAACCGATGAAGCCATTGACGCCGGTCACGAGGATCCAGGAGCCAGGTTGAATGACTGGGTTGGGGATTGAGGACATGATTGCGGGAAAATTGAATGAGAATGATACGTTGACACAAGGTATAGATGATGAGAACTCGGAACTTAGACACGATTTAGAAGCAGACTGAAAACCACTTGAGTCCGATGAAACAGACAATTGAGAGTCCATTCCCACCTTTAATACCCACCTGCCATCCCATAACTGCTGCCGCAATTATCAGCTGCAGTGCCTCCTACCGAGGGAGACGATGGGTGAAGCTCCGATCCATTGCTAAGCACCGATATCATCTTGCCTTCCCTCTGATGCACGCAGCTGACTTTACTCCCAACTCCAAAGCAGCGCCGCGTTCCTGAGCCTTGTGCGCCTACCGTTGCGCCTGCCGTTTTAACGCGCTGGGGTACGATGCAGAAGCGCTTACGCCCAGAAACTGCATGTCAGCATCGTGCAGCGCTGGATACGGCGCTGCCGAGGTTGCTTACTAAGGTATCAGCGCTGGAGCTGGGAAGCGAGGGCAGTTGGGTTGATGCCTTGGTAGGCAGAAGGGAGGTAGGTAGCCATTAGCACAACGTATGGGGTTGGCACGTCTGAGATGCCGTTGGCTGGGTGTTGTAGAAGTTGATGAACATGAGGCGACGCGCATGCGACAAACAACAGTGCGTCACGAGTTAGCTTGCAATAATTGCCGCTGGTTGAGGAATGATGGCAGTTCCTGTACGCTCGAGTTTCCAAACAGAATCCGACTACGAAAGACTCAAAAAGGGGTATATAACCAAATGCCCACCAGCCGATCCCATGCCATGCGTCCCATTATCCGAAGACAGCTTCCCATCATCCCGTATCCAAAGCAAACATAAGCGCCGCCCATGCCAAAAAAGGTGCCAGTATCGCTCCCACAAGAACTCCCAGATCCGCAACTCAGCGATCCAAGCGCGACACGATGCAAATCCCGACTCCACAAGTGAACGACCAACACCCCTCACGAAACCCGCTACCCCGATCCCATGAACGGATCCTGCCCCCACCCAGGAACAAGATGCCGATCCCACTCCTCAAAAACATCCATCTCCGGCAGGTCCCCAAAACTCACCACCCCGCCCTTCGCCCTATCCCCATCATCGACCCAACTCACCATCCCCTCCCCACCCCCCTCATCCAGCCCCAGCGCATCCAATCCAACCCCAACACCGAAGTCCACGTCCATCTCCTGCGGCTCCAGCGCGCGGCTCATCCACACCCTCAGCCGATCCCCCTCGCTGATGTCGCTGCTGCCGCCGCCGGACTTGGAGCTATCCGGGGTGCTCTCGGGGGTCGTCTCCGGCGTCGTCTCACGCGGCGCGGCGAACTTGTCTTTCTCCTTCTCTTCGTGGTTGAGCCACGCGACGATGCGCCGCGTGTCGCAGCCGGGGAGGTCCTCGACCATCCAGTCGAAGTCTGGACCGGGCCGGAAGGGCATGTCGGCCCAGGGGTCTTCTTCCTCGTTGCTGTCGATGGCCATGGCGTCGGTTGCGGCGGCTGCGGAGGGGGTTGTGGTGGGTTTGGAGGTGGCGCTGGTGTCCTTGCCGGCGGCGGCTTTGGCGGGGGCGGTCGAGGCGGCGGAGCCGGGTGTGAGGACTTTGGCGCTCGAGTGCTGGGGTGTCTTGAGGAGGTGCGCGGTCGGGGAGGCTTTGATGCCTGCCAGGGCGCTGCTGACTCTTGCCATTGGCGTGGAAACCGCAGCTGTGGCGGCAGGGGTTAGGGCCTCTGGCTTGATCGCCGGCGTGCCGCCTTGCTTGACTGCTGGTGCTGCTGGCTGGGGCTTCTGTGCAGGCGCTGCGGCTGCCTTCTTCTGCGCTTCTTGGCCGGGTTTGGGGAGCTTGTTACCGTTCTCATCAAGCCCAAGGACCTCCCGGAGCGTATCGACGGCATACTGGACGTAGTCTGTAATCGGCTTGTGCGCGTCCTGCTTGTGTCTCTCCAGCTCTTCTTCGTTCTCGAAGTCTCCAGCGACACAGTCCAGCTCCGGACATCTGATCGTCGGTTTGACTTCCTCCTTGGGCTTGGCTACGTCAACCGGCTGCTCCTTGGCCGCAGCCACCTCTGGAGGCATTGCCTTGGGTACCTGTGGGGAGCCTGCGAGCGAGCCGGGTGTGCCTTGGGCGGGAGTCGAAGCAGCAGAGGGATGGTTCTTCTTCTGCTTCTTGTTCGGCAGCTGCAGCTTGTCGGCCGTCAAACCCTGAGCCTTTTCGTGGTAGACAGGAACGCCTGAAGGCGAACCGAAAGGCAAGGGCGGCGCGTGTTCTGAAGTAGGAGCAGCAGGCGGTTTGTTCTGCTGTTGCTGTTGGCGGCGCTGGTTTGCTTGGTGATGGCGCGGTAAGATTGGCTGTCGCTGCTGCTGCTGCTGCTGTTGGAGGTTTTGCAGGTTCGTGGCGTTGAGCTCCGGCTGCTGAGACGTTTCGTTGACTTGCGGCGGCGCTTGCTGGGTCTGCTGGGCCTGCTGGGCATTTGCTTGCGCTTGCCTCTGCTGTTGCTCGCGCATCTGGCGTTCCTTCTGGGACATCATGAAGCTCCTGACGAATTTTGTGACGTGTTGGATATAGTAGTCAAACTCTTGTGGATGGATGGAGACTTGATCGTAGGAAAATTCGTTGCCTCTTAACTGGTAGTGGATCATCATGCGCTACGGCCGAATAATTAGAAAATTCTTCCACCACGCTCTACGATCATTAGAGACTTACCGATTTCAGCAAAGCCCTCATCTGTTCCTCATTCCCAGTTTGTTGAAAGTACATTGTTAAGCACCTGTCGAGATTCTGTATAATTGCTGAATGTTCACTGAAGCGCTTCGCCATGAGATGCTTCAGGTCGTCAGGCGTTGGGACAGGTGCCGGCCGAGGATTGGCCCGCTGAGTCTCCACCAGCAGCTCCTGGAATCTCTGGTGCCTCAAGTTCGCCAGAGACTGTCCAGTGGGGATTGGCGCGTTCTGCGCATTAGGGGGTTGCTGGCTTTGTGTCTGCTGTTGCTGCTGCTGGTTCTTCTGTTCTTGCGCACGCTGCGTCGCCTGTGCTCTTAATAGCGCGGCTTGCTGGGGGTTGGGCGTGTTTATCTGGTCCCCGGTCATGTTTCCAGGCCGCTGTTGCGAGCGAGACTTCTGCATTGGCGGAGCTTGTGCAGACACAGACGGCGCCTGATTTGGTCCGGGCACCTCGATGACATCCGGCTCACTCGGCCGTTTGACCCCTTGCTTAAGCTGGGACTGCGGCATTGTAGGTGGCGCTTGAGCTTGACCGGTTTGCTGTATTTGCTGCAGCCCACTGTTTGGGATGTTTTGAGGTCCTTCAGGTTTGTTTACTCCGGTAACATGTGATTGAACCTGCTGTGGTGGCCTGGGTGCCTGAGGTTGCGGTTGGCCCGTGCTAGCCTGCTGCTGTTGTTGCATCTGCTGCATTTGTTGCCGCTGCCTCTGCATCTTTTGTTGCAATATGAAATATTTCAGGCGCTCGTCTGGCACGTTTTGAAACGTTGGGTATTTTGCCCGAGCATCTTGCAACTCTTGCGGTGTCACGGTCGGGCCAGGCATGCCTGAGAAATTGGGCGTACTCTGTTGTCCGTTCATGCGCTGCTGCGCTTGCGGCATACTCATGCCTGGAGGGACCATTGGAGCTGGTGGAGCTTGCCCGTTCGGTTGCATCTGGGGAACAGCCGTCGGGCCGTTGGGCATCGTCTGGGGAGCACTGGGCGGTTGCTGTTGTTGCACTTGTTGTGCCTGCTGGCGGCTCCTCTTCCAAATGAAACCCTGGAGTTCCATAAGCCTTTGAAGATTGCCCTGAGGCACAGCTGACGGGTTGCGCTGCATCCATTCCTTGAGCTGACCCCACGTCTTCACATGTTCGGGGATACTCATTTTCAAAGCCTTTTCAACTTCGGGTGGGAATGGCTGACCATCCATGACCTTGACTACCTCGGGAGGGAGTTGGCCCTGCCGCTGCTGCTGCATCAGCCTGGCTTGGTATTCCGCTTGCTGTTGAGCGTTCACCCCGCCTTGTCCTTGCGGTGCGCCAGGCATCACTTGTCCGATGTTGATATTGCCGCCATTCATGGCCTGCTGTCCTTGCTGCTGCGACATCTGTTGCAGCATCTGCGGATTCATGGGGCCATTAGGATGCTGCATCGGCTGCTGGGCGCCTGGGAACCCTTTCGGCTGATTCACATTAAGGTTGGGCCGCAACTGCGTCATTAGCTGCTGGAAGCTTTCATCTGGAAGCGCCATGGCCCTGGAGTACTGCTCGGGGGTAAGGTTGATACCCGGGGGAATTTGACGACCGGGCACTGCGCCTCCAAAAGGCTGGCCGAGACCAGCCGCAGCCCGTTGTTGTTGCTGATGCATGGCCTGCATGGCAGCTATGTTGGGACCAGAGTGCTGAGGTTGCTGCATTCCCATGTGAGGTGTGGCCGACGGCGGCCGCTGTTGGGGAGTGGCGTTGCCTTGACCTGGCGGTGCCATGGGGCGCGTAAGCATGGGCATCGCGGGACTCTGCTGTGGAGCTTGCGTCGTGTTCAGACCCCCAACTTGACCTCTGAGCTGTGACATCTGCTGCGCTTGCTGAGCCGCTTGGATGCGGGCTTGGTTCTGAGCCTGAAGTTGCCGTGCCGCCATTGCTTGCTCCCTTTGAAGCTGCATGTTCCGAAGGGACTGTTGCTGCTGAGCCATGGCGTTCGCGTTCGCGTTCTGGCCGGGACCTGGTGTCCTTGGCGGCATCTGACCGGGCTGAGGAGTACCCATCTGTCCAAGACCACCAGGCTGAGAATTTGTGTTGGGATTGTTGCTTGCCGGCACTACAAGCTGTCCCGCATCTGCCTGACGCTGAGCGACGGCTTGCTGTTGAGCGAAGTTGAAACCTTGCCCGCCCGCCATCTGACCCGTCTGGCCCTGCGCATTGGACATCTGGGGTTGTTGCCCGATACCCTGGCCTTGCATCATAGATCCGGGTGCCATCTGGCCTTGTCCCGGCATCGGGCCTTGCCCCTGCGTCTGACCTTGGAGCTGCCTCTGCCTCTCCCTCTGGAGAGCCAACACTGCTGGGCGTCTGAAGTGAAGAGCAACAAGATCCTGGCCCTGCTGTTCCATCTTCTGTCGTTGCGCAGGGTCCATGCGCTGAATATCCCCCCTGATCTTGTCTATCGTCTCTTTCGAGGCTTTTTGGGCCAGACTCTGGGCGACTTGATTGATGCGTGCCATATCGTGCGGAGTGAAGGTTGGTCCTCCGACCTGTCCTCCGACCTGTGCGGGCTGCTGCATGCTTGCCTGAGGAGCCGCTTGCTGCTGAGGATGATGATGAGGCTGCTGCTGCTGCTGCTGCTGCTGCTGCTGCTGCTGTTGTTGTTGTTGTTGAGCGGCCGGCGCTTGTATGGTGTTCTCCATGCCCATAGACGACGTAGGCCGAGGCTGCATAGGGATATGTGAGGCCTGCATTTGGTGCTGCAACTGCGGAGGGAATCCTTGCGGAAAGAGCCCTTGGGGTTGATTGGGCATATTGCCTTGCATATTCCCTTGCATAGGAGCCTGAGGCATTATGCCCATCGGCGCAGCCGATACGTTGTTTCCGGGCTGCATCATCTGGGCATTCTTTGTTCGCTGTTCCGCCAAATTCGCCATTTTCTCCTTCATCGCGTTGATCCAGTGCTCCTGCCTCGGTATTAGCTGTGTTCGAGCGCCATTCATTGCGTATCGTTTATTTCCATTACCTTCGATGGCGATGTCCTGAACCTCTCGTACTCGAAAGTAACACATATTTGAAGCAGCTCCTGTATGGGCCGTTTGCCGTTGAGCATGCGTAGCTGATTGAGCCTGCATAAAGAGTGGTGTAAGCATGGTCTCTACGCTTCTGTGGTCGGCCTTGTGGGCTAGTTGTTTCTCACTCGAAACAGCACTCACAAGCTCAAGATTGGGGTAGCACGCTCCTCCGGCGGCAGCGACGTCTGCCATCCCATAGGAACGTGCTGCGAGCGTAGCGTCCCAAGGATGTGTTGATGTATCTGCATCTGCGACTTCTGCAGTTGCATCTGGTTGGGCCCAGCCGCGGGCCCGGCTCCTCCCATGTTCTGAAACATCGTGGGGTTCATGATAGCTCCTTATGCGATACAGAAGACGATCGAGTACTGGTCGGCGGTCCGAGACAGGCACGTCAAGTAAGGGGAACGCGCGTGGTAAAGCTATCCAGCTGGGGGCGGTGTGCGGCCGGTGGAGGCCGAACGACAGCAATACTCGTCAAAGAATATCTGCTGTGTAGGTTCGAGCTGTCGCAGTCCTCGCTGCGAGACGGAGCGAGGCCGACAAAGGACAAGGTGCGGCCGGCAGGCGGCAGCAGCTAGCCTGAGCGTTCACCAGATGTAGACCATGTAGGTGATGCGCTCGTCCTCGGGGCTGTATGGGGCGATTGCCAGGTGTTGCGATGGTTGAGCAGCTGGTATGGCAGCGTTGCTGTGCGCGTGGTGTTCGGTGCGAAGCTATTGTGCGTGGGCTCAGAGGTAGTGAAGGGCGGTCTGGTGACGGCGGAGTAGTAATAGGGCGTAAGCGTGGCTGAGTCGCAGAAGCACATGCAAGCCCGCGCGAGTAATAAAGTTGAGCAGCGTTGAGACCTAGCTCTGAGCAAGAAGAAAGCAACAGCAGCTAGCAGCAAGCAGCAAGCAGGTGAGCAAAAGGAGCGAGGATGATGGAGAAGCGAAGCGAAAGATGGAGTGTGGAGGTGCTGGTGCTGGTCGACGTTCCCCGGTACGCCAGCGATCATTTGCGGTCACAGCGTCAAGGCAGCCCTGCGCCGAAAGGGACAGCCCTGCACGAAGAAGGGCAGCGATCAAATCACACGCCTTGGCCGTTTATTACGGGGTACCTGCCCCCTGCGCTGCTGAATCGTGAAGGCGAATGCTGCAGGGCTCGAGAACGAAGCCATTGTTCAAAAGGAGACCGCGCTGCAGGGCCGACCTGCTGCAATCACCGTCTTTCATCGCCGACCGTTGTGGTTTGCGCTAGGCTTTACCTTCCCTTCCCCTCGCTCATGCCAAGCTTTCAATATCCAGCACCAGCTCATGCTGATCCCGCTGGACTCCAAGTCCCGACGACCACAAGACTTGCCCATCTCCGTTCTGATCCGTCCTAACACACGTCCGCACCCTCATCCATTGCAATCAAAGACCATCTGTCGCTGTGGACAGAGCAAGCGACTTTCCCTGCCGCTCTTTGCGCTCACGAAACAGAGACGATGGCGGCAGGGGATCAGCACTAGCGAATCGCGTGCGCGGGAACTAACCGCTAGGAGCTCGGGCTAAGCAAACCTTGGGCTCGCCTTGCCGCCGCCCGCCGCCCGCCGCCCTGTTCGCTGATCCTCAGCCAGCCAACGACCTCAAGGCGAGGACATCTGCTTCTCTTTACTCGTACTCCGCGGCATCGCCCTGTTCGAATCTTCTTCCATATCCGAGAGCTATTTGAGTAGAAACTCGAAGTGCTGTGATACTCAGACTGCGCCTCGACGAAGTCCACTCCTCCGAGCTGTCAGCATGCATCTGTTTTTGGGCTGTCCCCGCAAGCCATTCTCCTTATCCGGATGCGTGGCTTCGGGCAGGAACGCCTCGCTGCGATGCACGCCATGGATTGCATGACCGTCCACACCTGCGGCAGCGATAGTCACTTTTGACCCACATCACGAGTTCTTCGCGTTATGAAACTCTTTATGCCGACATAACAATCAAATAGCAATATCCAGGCCTGAGTGTTCACCGGCAACGTTGCTTGGAAAACGGCATACAAGCTTCCGCTTGAGCGGCAGAGTATTATTAATCCCCAAGGTGTTGCCAAGGTGTTGAGCTACATCGCCTCAAGCGTAACGCTCTACCGCAGCGAGTTATCCATACTTCTTGACGCAATTCGGAGTATCGAGGTTGGCCTTCCCCTTGAACCACCAATTATTCTAAGCTTTCAAGTACCTTCAACGCGTTCCGTTGGGTTCCAGCTAAAGTGTCTACCCTCTATACCTGTTAACCGCTTGTGCCTCGCGCGATGTTTCCTATCAAGAAACCTTAGCAAGGATTGCCCGTGCACCGCTCACCATTGCGATTCCAGCCTTCCCAGTCCCCCTTAATCGTGTAAAACAGAGCCTTGTTAGCCCTGCCCGCCAGGTGTGATGGTTACGCCGAGGCCGCCTGAAGGCGACGAAACTCTCGCCTTCTCTTTCTTGTTAACGTACTTTGTCAGCTCGTCAGCATCAATACCGCAGCTGAATGGCATTCGAACCAGCGACTTCACTTGGGGCCGTCCGGCTTTGGACGCTCTGATTCTGGGCTTGTAGCTCGTCGCGTCGCACGCGCCTATACTCAGGATGTCTGTAATAACCGCTTCGCCGCTGCTTCGATGTGCGGGCAACAGCGCACGCTAACATCAAGCGAGAAGCCGCGCGTTTTGTAGTTGTGGTGTTCAGGAAGCCATTGAGCCGGGTGTCTTTGACGATGGTGAAAACCATGAACGGGATGTTCGTGGCGGGCCTCATCGACTGGGTCACAGATACTTAAATGCGGTCCACGAAGTGCTGAGACGAATAGCCCGAAAGCGCTTGGAGGCTGGCCGCGCAAAGTCGGCTTTGGGTTGGCTTCACAAAGTCTTGGTCTTATTCCACGGGGAACCTGAAAGCAGAGGGGGACGCAGTAAGGTGTAAGATCTACAGTCTGTCTTCCATCCTTTCATCCCGCATACAGGGACTTCCTGCCATAAGACTTCCATCAGTTACACGTTACCACCAACTTGGCAACAATCTTGAGCTACGGACGGACCGGCGCCTGTGCCGCGGTCCTTGGCTTGCCAACTTACACATCACAAACGCGCCGGAAGCGCCACACATGCAGAGAAGATGCTGGTTCTCCATTCGAACCCCCGCTCACCGGCAACCAGCGCGTGCGTTGTCTCGAAGGGAGAGACACCCTCCCTCGTCCTCCCTCGCCCTCTCCCAACCTGCCTGATGCCGTCTGACAGCCCCAACGCCCCACACAACCTCCCATCCCTTATACCCCACCCCACAACATTCCGCCCAAAAATTCCGACACGACCTACAAACCCCTCACACAACCAACCCCGCGAGCGTCAACCCAGCACTAAGCGCCCAAACGCCCGTCAGCACCGCGAGCTGCTGCATGATCGCGTCCGTCTGGCTGATGGCATCGTTGTACCCCTCTACGAACGGCACCTTGGCTTTTCCCTCCCAGAAATTCTGCAGGTGGATCCGCGCGCCTAGCGTTGCGGCTACGTTGACGATGTTTAGGAGGAGGATGGTTGTGGTGGGGGCGGGGGTGGAGTAGAGGAGGGGGAGGGAGGAGAGGAGGGATGTGAGGATCTGTGGGGGGGTATGTTACAATTGACTCCGACTGAGAGCTTCGCCGCTGAGAGCTCTCGCGATCTGAGCTAGAGAGGGGGGGAGGGGGGGCTACATACAGCGACCGCTCCGCTCGCCTGCGTCGTGCGGGTTTTGTGCAGCTGGTGCGCGGCGGTGTCGGACCACTTGGCCGCCTTCTCGGACTTCTTCTCGTACTTTTGGAGGTTCGTGATGGAGTTGTAGGCTGTATAGAGGCCGTAGGCGCTTAGGGCTGCTTGGACGCCGTGGAGGGCGGGGAGGAAGCTCGTCATGTTGGGTTAGGTACGGGGTCGCGGTGGTTATGTGGGATTGATACGGAGATTGGTACGGGGACTGGTGTGCCTATGGAGGGGTAGTGTGAGAGTTTGGTCGTAAGGCGCGTAGATATTGGGATTTGTTGCGGAGGATGAGAGCACTCAGGCCTCTGAGCGAGTTTGGGCGCGTTGACGTCACGGGGTTAGAGTAGGTAGAGCGCTGGTTTAGATCTTTTCCTACTTCGTCCAATTCGTCCGCTTCATTTCAATGAAGATACGGTTTGATTTGGAGAAGTCGGCAGTTCCACTTCTGGAAGCATACCTTTTCTACACGGATCGCTTCGCGGGCAGTTTCATGTGTGTGTAAATGTAGAGGTTCGTCTCCGTTTCATTGAAGATATGTGCAGCTTGTGGGATCATGAATCCAATGTGTCGCCCTTTTGCTGCGGTTGCCTGCTGAGGGCTTCGAAGTCTCTTCTCTCGTCCGGTATACATATCGAGGACCCGCCTGAACTGCCGTCGTATTTGGACCTCAACAATAGCCTGAAATCAGGAACGCGGTGGAGAAAAGTGCGGCCGGAAGCTGCACGGACAGACCGTTTGACAGGGGTGAGGTGCGGCGGGACTCCACAATCGAGACGCGACTCTGCATCAACATTGACCACCGCGCAACACCCATTAATATTTTTAAACCACGCGGTCCGGCTTCGAGCTTTACATCTCTGTGATCCTGAAGCTTCTGTCTTGTCTTATACAGCTTCAGCCCCCAAATTGACTATATATACCCACCTAACGCCAACGTCAACGCGTACCTACATCTGCACCATGGCCACGCCAAACGCCAGCAGGATGCGTGTCTGGAAAGGCAGTCAAACGCCTGGCACAGCTTCAAAAACACCGTCTAAGTCCCCCACGAGACGCGTCTTGGGAGACCTCACGCCCAATGCCCGCACCACGCCCGCAAAGCTCAAAGGTGTCGAATACGCGAAGACACAAACAGCCAGCCGCGCGAGCCCGTTGAAAGAGAACGTTGCGTTCGAGAATATGGCGACTGCAGGCGCGAAGCTTAGTCCACAGACCTGGTCGGCAGTAAACCCCAGAAAAAGAACGATCCACGAAGTAGACGGCGCGGTTGGCCGCGAAGGCGCGAATGGGCGGGTAGTGAGGAGATCGATTAACGAGCATGGCGCGGGGAGGGCGATGGTATACCAGCATGCTGCCTCTGTTCAGGCTTCGCAGCGAAGAGTACGCCCGCTGTTCCTCACTGTAGCGGAAACATATACTAATAACGCCCCAGCCGGGCCTCGAACGCCTCGAGTCAACCCAAAGCCTCTCCTCCACCGACGCAGACTCCCCCGAGCCAGTACCGGCTTCGCAAGGCACCATAGCATCCAAAGCCTCGTTCTCCTCGCTCATCGAGTACGACCCCGCCGTGTCACCGCCGCACTCCCAGCGCGCCTCGTCTTCACCTCCCGCAATTGTCGAGACCGCAGCTGCGAAAAGCGTACGCGGAGCTCTCTCAAGCGCATCTACTTCAGCCAGTGGTGAAAATTCAACTAACATACCAGCAGCAAGCCGACACACTCCGCCTCCGCCTCCGAATTGCCATGTACAAAGTACGCACGAACCAGACCGCGGTCCCGCTCTCCCGCCTACGCGTAACGCGGCAGTCCCCGTCCGCATCCTTCCCCTCCGCCTCCACCTCGTCATCAGCACCCCGCCCCACGCCCTCCCCCGCAAAAGCAGCGCCCCAAAACGTCCCCAGCATCGTCGTCTCAACCACAACCCACACCCTCTCCTCCTCATCCTCCAAAGCCGCAGCCCTCTCATCGCCAAAAGCAGTAGCCCCCTCAGCAGCCGTATCAGCCGTCCCGAAACTCCTCCCCGCCCCCGTCCTGGTCCCGACGGCGTTCTCGTCCCGCCATATCACGGAGCCGTATTTTGCGTCCTCGCCGCCGGACGAGGGCAGTAGCAGGGATGCGACGCCGCGGCAGGGACAGGGGCAGTGGAGGCGGGGGGTTGAGATGCCGGTGTCTGTATCACGGGAGCGTGAGCGGAGGGGAGGGCAAGTGGGTGGGGGTGGGTCGCCGGGAAGTGGGCAGCGGGGGAGGGATGAGAGGGCGGCGGCAGCGGGAACGGTGGGCAGTGCGGTGTAGAGGGCTTTTAGCGAATGTGGCTGTGGTTGCATGGGTTGGCGCTTGTAGGCGGGTAAGTTTTGTTCCTGCAGCTGTGGCTGCCTCTTTGATTGTTGGCAGCGCTTGGGGTGGGGTTTCACGATTGGAGTTAGCAGGACTGGGGCTGAGAATTCCGGCTTTGGATAGCTATGAAGGTGGTTGATACCATTTTGCTGTATTAGGTGCACACTATGCTTGCTCGAGCTTTCCTGCCACCGTCACGTGAGCTTCGCAGCCGGTTTGTTGCTGGCTTTAAGCATGTAAGTCAGGCCCCAACGAGTCTTCATGCTCATTCAATATAGAGCTGTCTAGTGAGGAAATCAGAGGCTTAGATTATCGAATACAGTGTTCTCTTTGTTGGTACGCATACGTTTCTATATTGCTAAGAATCAACTTTCGATTCTATGAATACTCTCCCCGCCGAAAAGGGTTAGAATCACGTGCCATCTTAACGAGAAGACGGTGCAGTCGATATTAAAGGCTTCTAGGCTGAACTACGTATATACCCTTATCCCGACTCACTACATCGATGTAAAGCTTTCCTATAACCGCTTCTTAATCTTCACAGCCTCTCGAACAAGATTAATGCGGCCATGGAGAGACGGCACGTGATTCTATCACTTCTCTGCGGGGAGAGTAGCAACAGTAGCGAGACGCGTTCAGCCTCATGCAGCGTCACAGGATGTTTCAGCCTGACGGCGCAGTGAGAGCTGCCATCTCATCATAAAGGCCGTCGTCCAGATATTTCTTTACATCTTAATGACTTTTATGTCGCCAATGTGCTCAATGTACTGCGATAGCCGTCTACAGTAGTAACTCCAGTCCAGATGCCACGGAAGTTGAGAAACCCGTTTAGGCGGAAGCCTGTGCCGCAGTCCAACTCCGTGGACAATTCTGTGCCAGGAGAGCAACCGAACCAAACTATTGAAGGCTCCAATCAATCGCAACTAGTACCGTACAACGAGGAAAACGCACCACTATCCATTGCCTTCTCGGCGTCTGATCCAGCACAGGAGCCTCGACCTTCAGTTCAGAGCTCGAGCCTTGGCCTGAATGTGCTTTATGAGCCACCTAGAACCATAGACCCCATCGCTGATATCGTCTTCGTCCATGGACTTACAGGGGGTTCGTATACTACCTGGAGGCATGAGCGGACCGGATTGTACTGGCCTCAGGAGCTTCTGGGCAAGGACCTGGGAGACGCTCGTATATTCTCGTTCGGATACGATGCAGATGTTGTCAACTTTTGGAACCCTGCGTCATCTAACAGAGTTGGCAACCACGCTGAAAATCTGCTCGGATCTCTTTCGCGTATCCGTGGCCGAACAGAATCAGTAAGCCCACTGTCTATTACAGTACAGCCAGGAGTTGTTCGAACGTCTTTACGGTAAACGCTGTCGGCCAGCTGATATATCAAATCCTCATGCGGCAGTTGCTAAAGATGGTATGCATACTGACAGTTCTCCCAGGAACATCGGAAGATCATATTTGTAGCTCATAGCCTCGGCGGTCTTGTGATCGAGAACGCCTTGTCCATCTCAAGGGGCTCTGCCGAAAAACACATCAAATCGATCGAGCAGCACACCATCGCCATTGCCTTCCTGGGCACCCCCCATCACGGTTCTGATTTGGCAGCGTGGGGCACGTTCGGTACGAAACTTTCGAGAATTGCGGCGAGACCCAATTCGGCCATTATCGAAGTCCTACAGCCAGGGTCGGAAATGCTTGCAGTAATACAGCAGGGCTTCCACAGCATCCTTCGGATTCGCAAAGATGAAGGTGCAGAGATTGCTGTTACGTGCTTCTTCGAAGAACTCCCGCTACGTGCAGTTGGCGAGGTCTGTGTTAAATCTCCCTTACTGATAGTGGCTAGTTGATACTCACATGGGCGAAGGTTGTTCCGAAGCATTCCGCCATCATACCCGGCTACAGTAGCTATGGCATCCACGCGAATCATGAGGTGAGTGAGCCTTGCTGGATACGACGCCATCTACAGAACGCGAACTTGACCTTAGCGAGTACAGGACATGACGAAGTTTGCAAACGCTTCCGACAAGGGATACGATGATGTTTTCGGAGAGGTCTTCCGATGGGTAAAAGCACTTCGCACACCTGTCGGGCAACTCGGCCAGCATTTACAAGGTTAGGACAGTGCTTCTGGTCTCACGACTACAATAGATTGACTGAGCTTTCCGTATCGACAGAGTACCTTAAATCTTTAGATCATGAAGATCTCAACGTTCGGCAAGAGAACGTTAAAGATGCGCTCACGAAGACATGTGAATGGATTTGGGACAGCCGCGGAAAGCTGTTCTCGAGCTGGTTTCTATCGTCTGGAGGCTTGCTCTGGATATCCGGCAAACCTGGCTCTGGCAAGTCGACTATCATGAAATACCTCTCCTTTAGTCATGAAAGATTTCACGAGCTAGCACGTCAGACCCAAGGCCGCCCTAGAGGCGCACAGCTCGTTATCGCTACTTACTTCCTAGATTTCCAAGGAAGTGCCTTAGCCAGATCCGTGGAAGGCATGATGAGATCGCTACTCCATCAAATTCTGAAGCAGCTGCCACAGTTGCAAAAGGCCGTTCTTCCCCACTTTGAAGAGATTAGACAGACTCGCAATGAATTCGCATGGCGACGCAGCGACCTCGAAAGAGCTTTCCAAATGGCCATGCAACGTGAGAGCAACTTCAGGTTCCTCGTTCTAGTTGATGCGCTGGATGAGTACCAAGGCGAGGAGGTCCGACTGGCTGAATTCCTCACGGCGCTCTCCGAAACCTACCCACACAAGTTGCATATATGCGTTTCTAGTCGAACAAGCGCGGAATTGAAAGATCAGCTTCGAAGATATCCGAACATCTGTATGGAAGAGGAGACAGCCCAGGATATCCAGCACTACGTCGTCATCCAATTTCAGAACATGTTATCGGGAAACGAGAGCTTCAAAAGACTTGCTGACTCAGTTATACGCGCCGCAGAAGGCGTCTTCATTTGGGTCAAACTGGTCTGCGATGAGCTGCTGCGAGCTTGGAGAAGGGGTGAAGATCCAGCCCGCCTTGATCAACGCCTAGAAGGAATGCCGAAGGAGCTCGACGCATTTTACCAACGCATCCTGGACGCACTGGACGCCGAGGATCGTGAGGAGGCCAGGCTCATGCTTAGTATTGTGACCAGCGCAATCCGACCGCTCAGACCCATTGAGTTAAGATTTGCTTTACATCATGCTGTTGGGCTTTACAATGATTTCAACAATTCTTCACTAGCAATAACTCGGGTTTTGGCAGTCTGTGGCGGCCTTCTGGAGCTCAAATTGGGTATAAATCATTCCACGGTCGATTGTGATGAAAAGGAGTTGCTTCATGTTTACCTTACCCATCGGACTGTAGGAACGTTCCTTGCAACTAGGCAGGGCAGTTTCCTAGACTTGGATAGGAACAGGTGTACCGTCACTGGAGACTACCACCTCCTCAGGGCCTGCATAAATATGCTGATTTCACTGACCGAATCCGATTTGCCTTCAGCCTGGAGAGAGGCCATCAGGTTGTCCAGCTCACTAGGAACCACCGCGGTCGAATTTGTCCCCCTGAGTGAATCACCTGAATTTGTGTTTCCAAAGATACCATTTCTCGACTATTCAATGAATCAGTGGGTCTGCCATGCGCGGCAAGCGGAAGCTGACACCGAAGAGGCCCAAACTATTCTTAGGCATCTTTCAGCTTTTCGTTTCTGCCTTTGGCGACTCCTCATGATGTGGTCGGGGTACAGCTTCTACCACAAGGAGCTGGCCGATGGGATATCGACACCAATCACGCTGCTCGAGTATGTCCTTTCCATCAACCTCGAACTGTGCGCCAAGGATTTGCTATCTCTTAATCCGTCTGACCATCCAGATGTCGCCGTGACCGATGTCAACACCAATGGAGGGATTTTTCTCTTCGCCGTTGCATACGGTGGTAGCTTCAAATTAGCTCAAACTCTCTTCGATAAAGGTGCCACCATCTCTCGATCACTGCCATACGCTTGGCGTGCTCTTGTTCGAGCGATACATCTTGAACACCCCGTTCTTGCGCAGCTATTCCTCCAGCATGGTGCCGATCCAAACGAGCGTGTGTTCTATAACAAGGACTGCATCGCCTCGCCTCTCCAAGTTGCCGTTGATTCAGCTCAGCCGGAAATGCTTAAAATTTTAGCGGACTGGGGCGTTGACCTCAACGCAACGGTTGGTTTGTACTTTGGATCCGGAACCGCCTTGCAGGCTGCTGTCGAATATGGGGATCTTGAATTGCTGAAGGCGCTTCTTGATGCTGGTGCTGATGTCAACTTTGTCGTACCTGATTGCATACATGGCACTGTCCTTGCGGCAGCCTTGTTCAGGTGGCACTGCCAGCCGCACGGGTCTTCCCCTGCTATGATTGAGTTGCTGCTCCAAAGAGGCGCAGACCCTAACTTCAAGTCGGCGTGGACCAAACAGCCGCTCATATGGGACGAAATCAAGAGGGACGACATCATGACAGTTAGCAAGCTGCTGGAGCACGGCGCCGATGCCAACGCTGTGGGCCCGCAAAGACATGGTCCGCTCTACTGGGTGCTTGCGGTCCATTCAACATCATCGTTGTCTAATGCGGGCGCCATCGGTCAAATCCTATTGCAACATGGCGCGATTCTGAGTCCACAGGACCTGGTAAAACTGGCTTCTGCAGGGGTGTTACCGCAAATCTTCACTTCTCCGTTTAACCACAAGCAGGCCTTTGAGGAATTCTTAAAGCTTGCCAAAGGAGACACCCTCGAGCCGGTGCTGCAGCGGTTGTTTGTGAGCTATGTTCGTGGTCGCCGCGCCCGACTGGACGACTGAGACATAACGCGAACAAATTAAATGTTCTTCTCAGGAAGCATTCCTGGATTCCGGATAAGAAGCTCATATAATAGCTGGAACGCTAGCCACGTGTACCAAAGCAACAGCAGCACCGTCCACAGAGCGCTAAGATAATCCTAAACTGTTCGTGAACAGCATGTCACTATCACGCTACTTGTCTTATCCCCCACCACGCATGCCTCGAAGTAAGCCCTGTCTCATCTGCCAGCCCAAAACCCCAATCCTCAAGAACCCCGAATGCCTCACCCTGGCTCCACTGCTGCCCTCCCCCTTCTCCATCAGCGCCTCAGAATCCTTCTCGCCGCCCAGCACCACTCCGCCTAAACATCGCCCACCCACCCAAACACCCCTCCCGTCACCAACCCCGCCAGCGCCCACAACGCCGCATACCCCGCCGCCCCCATCGCATCCGCGCCCTCCAAACTCCCATACGTCTGGACCCACGTATTCAACCCCGCAACACCCACCAGCACCGCCGTGCGGAGCGCCAACACCCTCGCGCGCTTACTATGCTTGCTATGCGCCCCAAACCCGAAGTTCCAGGCTATCGTCTCGGCCAAGCTCGCCGTTGCGGGGTTGAAGTGCTCCTGGCTAATATCCCCCAAGCTACTCTGCGCCCCGACCGCCGGCGTGAAGAGGAACTCCCTAGCCGCCCAGCCAAGCGGCCACATCGTGACGCACAGCGCCTGCAGACTCGCGGCATGCGCGCGCTCGAAGGTGCGGACGCCGTCGAAGTGCGTGGCCAGCCAGACGGTCAGGTTCGTGCAGAGGGCCGCGTACATGATGGAGGCGTAGACGGCGGTGCCGAGCATCATGAGTAGCAGGCGCACGGAGGTGTCGTGGATGATGAAGCGGTTGGGCACGGCGGCGCGGGGGGCGAGGGGGTTGTGGGGCGCGGAGCGCGGGCGGAGGAGGCGGATTGGGAGAGCGATGGCGGCGGTGTCGATGCCCAGGGTGAGGAGGGTGGTTAGGGGGCTGATTTCGTAGAAGGTGGACAGGAGGTAGACGTAAGGGGCGTGGGAAAGGATTGTTAGGGCGACCAGGTCGAGGTCTGCGCGGTGTTAGCGATGCTTGGTGGGAGGGTGCTTCGAGAATAGGTAGCTGAAAAGGAACGAGGCTTACCATCGAAGTTGCCATACCAGCCGATGCCCAGCTCCAGGATCTTCCAGCCCAAGAGCGAGGCGACTTGCCAATTCTCGTTGACGGTGCGGCTCACGGCTGCGAGCTCATTGCCCATGAAGCCGGAGAAGAACGTATAGAGGAAGAAAGACGATGACAGGCTCAGAATTACAAGCAGCGGGAAGCGCAATGGCGCGGGTAGCTTCGATGCTGGGAGCGGTGGAGGGCGCGTAGCCATTGGGACGGCGTCGTCGCGCGCCATTTCTTTGCGCGAGACCATGATGGAGGCAGCCGGCGATGCGGATCGAAGGAGCGACGGTGTGAAGCGGAGCGGCGTGGGGAAATGGTGGTTGTTGCGCGCGGAGTGTTTACATGGAGAAAATGAGAGGTTGGGATGGGAGGTCGCGCGGTATTGTGTCGCGCGCGTCTCACACGTCATTGCGATTTCGGTCGTGCGGAATTTCACCGCAACACCTGCATGAGTTCTATGTATGGCTTGAATTCAGAATCTGGATATCTGCACCGAAGCATGATTAGTATCTAACTCGCCATTTAGGGCCTATAGTAGCTGTTCCCTAAACTGCAAGATCAAGCTTTGGACGTTCAGCTGCCTCGTAATAGGACATCACCATGTCTACGCAGTGCTGCTCGTGGTATCTTTGTGAACTGTAATATTGATACAAAGCACACCCCTACATACAGCTATAATACAAGCCTCCACCCAGCCCCCAACCCATGAGCGGCGATGAGATATGCAACAGCATTGGAGCAACCGCCTCCAAGATGCGCTATGCTACAAAAAATGCTACAAGAACAAGGACACGCGAACAACAATATACACGGTCCAAACGAGTACAGCGTCATCTCAGAAATGAGGATGAAAAATGGCCGTACACCCAGCATGGCCTCATATACCCGAAGATTATGCTTTTATCGTGCCCCCTGCCCCCTCCTCTTCGGGTTCGCCTGCCTCTTCTTCGGCGTCGTCTTCTTCGCTGAGTCCCCTTCAATGTATTTGAGCAACTCTTCTATGCTTCTTGGATCGCGGCCCGCGACCGCCTCCCTGCCCACCGCCTCCGCCAAGCTCTGCCCAACCTGCGGCTGCGGTCTCAGGTTCGTCCTCGGCGTCAGCTGGACGCGCCTTACGCCCCTGCGCGCCTCCATGAGCTTATTCTGCTTCGCGACGCTGACGGCAGACTGGGTAAGCTGCTCGAGCCAGGACGCCGCTTCCTTGGTGTTGCGGTCCTCAGCGCCAAGCTCGTTCTTAAAGATCTTGTACGACTCCCTCATCCGGTCAACAGCGGCATGGGTATCCTTATCCAGCGCCAACGCCTGGCTAAGCTGGAAGCACACCGTCGCCGTCCCAACAGAATTCTTACCTGAGACCTCCTCGCTGATGGCAAGACAGGCCTCGAACCAGACGCGCGACTCGTGGTACGCCTTCATGGCCTGGAACATCACCGCCGCGTTATTGATAGTGGTGATGGAATCCGGGTGTCTGAGGCCGTAGACGATTTTCCACAGCTCGAGCGCGTGGCGCACGTAGGCGAGGGCGGTCGCCGTGTTGCCCGTTGCGTGCTCGAAGAGCGCGAGGTTGAGGTAGCTGAGGACTGTGTCGGCGGAGTCGACGCCGACAGTGCGCTCGAAGACGATGACGGCTTTGCGCGCGACCTCGAGGGCGGCGTTCTTCTCGTCGAGGCCGTAGAGGAGCGTGGAGAGTTGGTGGTAGACGCGTGCGACTTCGGGGTGGAGCACGCCATAGATTTGCTCGTGGAGCGAAAGAGACTCTAGGAGGAGTTCCTGACCGAGCTCTTTTTGGTCCTGGGCAATTGATACTCTGCCAGCGTCGAGGGCTTCTTCGGCGAGAACGCTCTGGGCAGTGTTAGCGCAAGTGACACACAGATCCCTTCCAGACAACCTACCTTTGGCGATGCCTCTTTGACGACAGGTACAATGTTCTGAATGTCGTCAGGGAGGAAAGTCATTGGAGGTGTAGACGGCGAGGCAGCAACCCGACTGGGCGAGCGATCCGCGTTCTTCTTTTTCTTCTTGCTAGCACCATTGACATGACCGTTAGTCTGAGGCGGAGCCCCAATATCAGAGCCGGCATCTGAACCGCTTGAGTTCTGCCCTTTGGTGAACGCATAATCTTTCGCCTCCAGCTGCAAGCCGAGCTTGAGAGAAACCTCGCGAAGCATCTGCAGCTGCTTGCCCTCTTGCACCCAGTCATTCGCAAGATCAAAACGGTAACGCATGGAGATCTGGGCTTTCACCTCTTGTTGCAGGCTTTCCGGCGTACTCTTCTCGAAACTGAAATCAGCCTCAGGGTACAGAGGTTTCAGGTCATCGTCGGTCTGAGCAGTGGGTTTGTCGTTCAGGCCAGTTCCGAGCAAGCAGTTCAGCAGGTGTGCTAGGCAGGTCGTGGCGAACGGAGCCGGGAGGTACCGCATTTTCTTGTTCGCGACATGTTTGAAGCCTCGCGCAACCATTTCTTGTATCGCGAGGCGCCTCAAAGCTTGCAACCGCGGGTTCTCTTTATCAGCAAGCGTGGCAATCATGCCAAGGTATCGCATGTTGATGCCTCTCCTGTGGAGAAGGGCGCCGAGAGACTGGCCGTCCATTGGGAAACCGACGTCGCCTTCCTGCAGGTCGTGTAGCTGTTGCTCCGTCAGTGGTGTTAACAAGCTTAATCAGAGAGTGGTGTATACCAATCGCGGAATGATTTCGTCAGTCAGGTGCTTGCATACCGCCCGCACTTCTGCCTCATCCTTTTCCCATTGCGCCTTTTCCTCTTCCGTTTGCGGGGTCTGTCCGCAGAAGACGTCTGGGTTCAAAGCGAAGTCGAAGCCAGAAATGTCAACTCGGTCTTGCTCAGGCTCCTTCTTCTCGGGCTCTGCCGTCTCAGGCTCTGCCTTTACGACCGCTGTTTCCTCTGACTCATCCTTCTCGGATTCCTCCTTCTCGGATTCCTCCTTCTCTGGCTCAGCTTTCGTTTCGGCGCTCGTGTCCTCTTCAACTTTTACGGAGGTCTCGGCGTCAGCTTCACTGGCGGGTTCATCCTTAACGTTTCCGTTAATCAGTGGTGTCTCGGAAGACTTCACAGTATCCTCGCTTGTCGCCGATCGCTTTGCTAGCTTTTCCCGGACAAAATCTCTTAACTTGACTCTGCCGTATGCCTCCACTAACTCCGGACGTAGAACAGCCATCCGGTGTGGATAGTTCTTTGCTTCGTCTTTTTCTTGATCGTCTTTCTCCGGCTCAGTCCAGTATTGCTCCAGCCACGCTACGTCTAGCGGAGTTACCCTGTACAGGTCAAGAGCATACTTCCTCCCGTCCGTGCCGAGTAAGCCTTTTGTCTCGACGCTGCCTTCGAGCTCGTGACATTTGCCTTCTTTGTCCCACACCGGGTGCTTCTTGACATGCATCGCCTTTGACAGTTGCTCGAAGAGAGGCGCAAACGCCGGGTCCTCGGCAACGACGTCCTTGCCTTCGACACCACCATAGTCGATCTGGTGCTCGCCGGGCTCCCTCTGCTTGAATATGCCAGGCACAATGCTCTGCCCAACTATGCGCTTGCCAAGGTAATCAACAACGACTGTCCCAGGAGTGAAAAGCCCGGTGATGTCCAGTTGGTTGACGGCCTTTACACCCATGACATCTTTGCCCGTTGCAACGCGTGCTGCCTCGTCGCCGCCATCTGTCGCAAACGTCCCGACGCCATCGGCGCCAAAGGAGAAGAAGACATTGTTGTAGACGAAGATCTGCGCATCCCGCCCCTCGGTGGGGTTGAGTGGCGTCACTTCCCCTCGAGCTACCAGGATCGCTCCTCGAGTGGCCGCCTCGGTATAGTCGGCAAACAGCTTCGAAGTTAGGCGCTCCCGGAATACTCGTTCTTGCACGCCATCTTTCGGAAGCTCACGCGTGGATTGAAACTCCTCGTTCCAGTCACGAAGTGAGTCTGCAACTTCTGCGCCGGTAAGAAGATAGTTCTCTTGCGTCCGCGCGATGTCCGGCTGATGGGCGTTTGCCGGTGCGGTATGAGGCAGCACGAGCCAAGGGCTTGCAGGGATGGCATTGGAAAGCTGGAAGGAGGCGATGGGGTCTTTCTTGCTGGTGTACTCCTGGTACGCTTTAAAAGAGTTCTCGAATGACGGCGAGATCTTGGATAACAGGGTAAGCAGCGAGTGTGCGACGGCTTCCTTGATTGTGGACTTCGGAGATGGATCGAACTTGCTGTTAGACGACTTATTGACGTAGAAACCGGAGACGTGGGATGTGATATGATACTGCTCGCCCTCATTCGTGGTGACTTGAAGATAGAGCAGATGGCCTTTAGCTCGCAGGTGGTACGGCGGTGGGTTCCAGGGAGATAGCGAGATGGACTTGATGGTTTTCGACGGCGGGGCTTGGTTTTGCGGCAACAGAGTCATGTACGATCCAGGGGCCTCGAAATCATAACTTGACAAGACGTCGCTTCCACCACCAGGGTATTTCGGACTGTGGCCATTCGCCTCCGGCATAACAGCATCCAACAAAGTGAGGCCAGCACTGATACCATGTAAAGTATCCGTACGGTCCCCTGCCGCTCCGATGAGGTCCCTTATCCTGATGAAGTGCATCCGCGCTTCCTTCTCTGTGTACGGGTCCTCCACCAGCGTGAGTTCAGACTCGGGCGAGATTCCAGGGACTTCTGAAAGCTCAACGTAGTCGTTAATCCGCTCGCCATTGTGCTCTAGGTGGAAGCAAGTGTACTGGTAGGTGAAAGGAAGCTCGACGATGGACTGGCGTATGTCTTGGACCTGCTCCTGTGTGGACACCTAGACGCAAGTCAGACCTCGCGATATTGACGAGAAGCCTCCGTGGTAGTCATTACCGTCACCTGTGTCTCGTGGGGCTCGTGTGGAAGCTTGATGGTGATGGCGAATACTGGACCTATTGAAAGTCGACGTTAGCAGCGTGGTCCGGGGTATAAGCATGACAAGACTGTGGTGGTTTCGATCCACGTACTGTCATCAGGCGCGTCATTCGTGCCGTGTCCAGAGCCATCGCCGTTAGATAGTTCACCGTTTAGTTTCTCGTCGCCAGTAAGTTGAAGGGCTTGTTGCGATGGCGCAGGCTCTAAACCAACAACAATGTTAGCCTGACTCCATGCCATCAAGTTGATGAAGTAGATCAGGGGCGCAGCTGGCTACATGGAGCTTTATGGGATTTACCTGTAGTCACAGCATCATTACCATTTGCAGCCATCTTCAAAGCGGAACGAGGGAACCGAAAGGATTACGAGGTGGTATGGGCAGTGAAATGAGAGACTGAACGGAGGGTCAAAACGACAAGGGCTATTCTACACGGAAGACGTATGTATTACTGTACAATGGACGACGTCTACAGATGCTGGGTTGCCTTCAGGGTGCGAGCAGCAGAGCTTCAAGAAATCCCCAAAAGACCGGAGCTTCTCGGCGCCGAACGACTCGCGCACTGCGGCGGGACCACGAGCCCATCCCTCGACCCGCCGGGAGTTCACGGCCAGCCGCCGGAATCTCTTACTGCTCCTCATGATACTGTCAGAAGCGATGCGACAGCTGTGTTTTCAGAAAGAAAGTATTTCAGTGCCAACATGCCAGCGATCGAGTCGCGTGCTCAGTTGATGAGGCGCGACTCCAATGCTTGCCGTTGCCAAGCCCGGTGCATATGGAAGCCGCGTTCTTCAGCGAGAGCCGGGTCGTTCTCGAAGGCGGGATTCCACTTGCGCAAGGGAGCCCTACAGACAGCAATCGCATCTTCGATATCAACCAGCAACTGGTTAACATGCATGATCTCAATTGACCCGCTTGAAAGCGACAACATTACGTCGGGTGGTTGAGTGGTGCTGGAACAATCAGGGAGGCACCTCACGTGCAAACGCGTGGTCAGCAGCCACAGCAGCCATAACATGTACAAGGCTGCACTGCGGACCCCATTTCGCGCCCGCTGTGCACGCAGGAGTCTCCCCCCAGAGCTACTGCATCATCTGTCGGCTTACAATGGAGCTCCGGCAACTCTCCTTACTGCCCCAGCCAGGAGATGGGTATCCGGACCACCTGGGCCAAACCCTACGCCAAACCCTGGGCCGGATCCGGTCGACGATGCTGCTCCCAAGGACGACTCATGGGAGGAGAGAAAGGAACGCTGGAAGGGCACGGCCTACAAGATGTTCGAAAGCGCCCTGACGACATTTGCTTCAATTTCGATCCTTGGGTAAGTACCGCCATCCTCAGACCAGTCTGTTTGTCCAATAAAGCTGGCACACGTCTCCTTCCTAGTTACTTCAATAACCTGGATCGTTTTCCACATTTCCTTGTTGTTGAAGGATGTATCTCTAAGAAGTATATACCATGCACGAAATCTGTGCTCCTGGACGTCCCCTCGAACTTCGAGATGATCTTGGCAGGGTCAGTCACGTGCCTGGAAGATGACTGACACCAAATTCCAGTATTGTCGGGTATAGCTACACAAGATATTACAAATACCTAGTATTGGAGAAAATGGACAACGCATTCAAGCCCGGCGATCCAGTTCTCAATCTTGCAGCCAGGTCAAAGGGCCGGAGATTGCACAAAGACCAAGAGGACGACCAAGATCCAGACTCGACAGAAGAGCGCTGGATCCCCCGAGTCGAACAGGACAAGATCGACGAGATCGTCAACGGAAAGAGCAAAGGTCATTACTGGCTTCTGATCGGCGAGAAGGGCACCGGCAAATCCTCCATGCTGATCGACGCTATGTCGAAGATCGACGGCGAGGGCGTTGCCATGTTCGAAGCACATGCAGACATGGAGATTTTCAGGGTCCGGCTCGGCAAGGCCCTGGACTTTGAGTACCACGAAGACAACATCGGGGCTCTGTTCTCCATCCGTGGCCCTCGAGACGCTTCGGCTATACTCGACATCGAGCGGGCGTTCAACAAGTTGGAGAAAATCGCGCTCAGGCGGCGGGACAGAGTTGGGAGACCGCTCGTGTTGATTATCAATTCGGTACATCTGCTTCGCGACAACGAGGATGGACGAAACATGCTCGAGCTGATACAGCAGCGTGCCGAGTCGTGGGCTGCGGCGAATCTGGCGACGTTGGTTTTCAACAGCGACGATTACTGGGTTTACGAACGGCTCAAGACCCTGGCGACTCGGATGGAGGTGATGCCGGTTGGTGACCTTCCAAAAGACAAGGCGATGGTCGCGTTGCGGAATTATCGCATGAAGTATTATCAGGAAACTCCCTCAGAGGAAGAGCTGGAAGCGGTCTATGATAAGATCGGCGGAAGGCTAACTCACCTGAACCGCATTGCGAAGTCTAAGAACATGACGGCGGTATGCGAGCGGATCTGCCGAAGAGAGAAGACATGGTTTCTGAACCAGGTATGTATGCGCGGTGGCATCTTGCGCCAGCGTCTTGCGCCAGCAGAGGCTGACACGCGGCTAGTGCGGTATTCTAGGGGAGGAAATGGACGACGACGTCATGGATCAGCAAAAGTATGCGGTAAGTCACTGGCACTCCGTGCATCCACAGCTGCACATGTGCTGACCTCACGAGTCTGCCGCCATGGTTCTCGCAAAAGCTCTCGTGGACATGGAGAAGGAGATGGACAAGACGTACGACCCGAAAAAGGGCCACATACTCCCGCAGATGCCACTCCACAAGGCACGCGAAGTCATGACGAGAGCCGACTTCATCCAGAGCTACGACCACGTAAACATATTCACAATCGACTTTGATGCCTTCGTCCGTGCCGGTAAGCTGAAGACGAGTGCCTCCATGAGAGTATCAGCGAAGCTAACACTGCAGAAGATTCCGTACCCATGATGCACGCCTTCAGAGAGATATGCTCTGCAGAAGGCTTCGACGAGTTCTTGCAAGCAACGCTTGACCGCATCTCGGCTATTGAGAGCTTGGGTAGGACGAGGGAACTGACTATCAAAGATCTTTGGAATGGTGGACAGTACAAGATCACTACACGCAATGCGAAAGGCAACGTGGAAAAAGACATTACCTTCTTGGTTAAACCTGGTAAGGAGGATGAGGACAAGGACGATGATTGATCCATTGGAGTCTCATGGCTCCCATTTGTGAGGGTTGGTGTTGCCGATGTCTTGCGAGCGGTGTACAAGATGCGCGGCATTTTTAAGACAGTGGCAGAAGCCAGTTTGTGCTATTCTTGTACATATAAATTCAAAGCTTTGGACTCGACATGATGACTTCTATCGTTGTTGTATCTGCGTGTCCTCCTGAGGGCATTCTAGAAATACGTTGATGTATATACACCACTGGCGTGCGATCTCACCTGAGAGATTGATGCCTTACAGCCTTGCGCTTTCGGATTGCCCGAATCGGCTAGCCCGCTTTCTTCCGCAGTAACAACATCAACACAAACAGTCGACCCTTGGATCCTAAGAATGACCACAATTGCTCGCAATCATGTTCTACTCGTAGTATGACAGACTAATAGAGCTTTTTGCATCATAGCTGTGACATTGTATGGTGCGTCAGACGTCGCACCACGCTATACGGAAATGAAGCAGCTGACACCACTCGCTCAGATATCGCAAGCATGAATTACCACTCCGCATATACCAGACCGTCTCAACTTTTTTACGAAAACACCTCGCCCGAGGACCTTCGTACACCCTGGACCACAGCCCGCTGTAACCGCCTTCTTCGTCCTTTAACCTCTCGGCTCGCAGCGCTGCGCAAACTTAGGAAAGAGCACAACACTGGCACTACAAGCTCTCAATCTAGACCACTGAACCATACGTCTGCATTGCAACAACCAGTCCAAACTTGTACAAGTACTGGACGTCGAAAGTCGGGCGAGCGACGTAAAGGGAACGATCCTGATTGGGTACCTTTCTCAGCGCGCAAGAAACTGAAGCGGAAATACGTTGGTCGGGGCCCTGGAGCACCTCCTTCAGAAGCATCTGGACCGAAGTCCTTGGCGGAAAAAGGGAGGCTGAGTAGCCAGCCTGGCGAAATCTGCGTCCCTACACCTCTCATAGCAAGGCATGAGCGGGCCGATGAAGCTGGCCAATACTCGGACAACGGCGTCTCTCAAGGAGAAATGACCGAGGCGGACAGGCTAAAAACAAGCTTATGGTGCATGAAGGCGCCGAACAACCAAGAACCAGAACCGAGAGGCTATCTTCAGAACGTCCAGCGAGTGGTCGCACAACCGGACGAGACGCTGCTGAATAAGCTTTTCGACAGTTTCAGCAAGCTCCTCGTAGCGACCGGCCACACAAAGCAGCCGATACCCCAGCGACAACGGAAGGGCGCAGGTTCGCTCCTGTCCACATGTTTGCGCCAAGTTCCATCTTACATCGCGCTGGAAGAGTATTGGCAGCGCGAAGACTCCGGAAATGACAGATCCGACATCTCTATGGAAGTCTATCAAGAACTTGAACAACTAGGCTCTGCGCCAGGGCAAGGTTGGAAGGGTCTGAAGGAAGTAATCCGCGCGCATGGAGTGGCTCTAGTCGCAGAAGCAATATCAGAAGGCCTACTGGACGAGACGTGGGTGGAACGCTTCGTACGTCAGTGTATGAGCCAGCGCGCATGGAGCGAGTCCCAACAATTAATAGCCGCTTCCATCTTGGTCCAGCAAATCTCTCAATATCCTATACACCTGGGCGCAGAAGTCGGACCATTCCGCTGGGTGCATCGTCTGATTCGAGAGGCCCCGTTTTCAGATGACACAGAGCGTCGAGGCTTTCTTTATCGTCAGCTTGAGAAGATGCTGCGATCTGGCCAAATGCAAGCGGAGTGGCTTTCAACGGGTCAGTTCCAGCCGTACTGGACGGGCATCATCAGTGATATTTCTGAAAGAAATGATAGCTATTCCTACGCTGTCGAACTCTTACGGACAGCTGTTCTGGCAAGTTGTCGGCTCTTGACTCATCCGGACAATGGTGACAATGCATATGCACAGGGCACTAAGTGTTCGTCTGGATTTGCTGCGCAGTACGGGTGGGGATGTTCCTCCGCCGTTCCGAGTACTAGAATTACTGCGGCATTGAACAACACTATCTCGAGTCTCATGACTACCTTGGCCACAGTTACTATAGCTAGTGAGAGCCAGCAAGGGCATCGGGACAACAAAACGGACAACATCCTGTGGCCTCTCGAATCCATTGCCATCGACATCCTGCGCAGATATCCCACCATTCTTGACGACCGCTCATCGCTCCAGCGCGCCATCACCGTTCTAGCATCTCTCCTCCTCGCCCGCGCAAGGGCCTGCACGCTTCCGCAGCCGCTGCTCCTAGCCAACACCAACCTCATAATCCAAACGATGGAGCGAATCTCAATCGATGCCGCGTCGGATACGTTCAGTCCACTTGACACGATTCCAGGCCTCGTCTGCTCCGTCGCTCGCTGCCGCAGCCGCCCCTTCCGAAGCGACGGCTTCGTTGAACTGCAAAACCTGGTGCAGACATTGACCACTTTTCACGATCCTCAAACATCGTCGCACTCGAAATGGTTCATGCGCCGCCTTGCCCTCGATAGCGCGCTCGAATATGCGGAGGGCACCAAGATACCAGAACACTTCGCCCTCGCGCGCAGCATTGAGCAGTCTCTCCGAGAAGTAACATCAATGCCGACCGAATCCCCCTTCAAGAAATCTGGCGCGTCGGCGACGAAGGGCAGAGGCTGGCGCTGGGAAGAAGGCCTCAGCGAATGGGTCACCGTTACGCCAGCGCCTACAGCCAGATTGTCCGCTCGGCATTTGACCGCCCTGCCATCCCCAGTATCTGAACCGGAGCGTGCTTCGCCTATGGTCATTATCCACAGGCGTCTGCTAGGCCTTGGAGCGAGGGATATGCACGACACGCCGTGCAGGCGCTCATTATCAAGCATGTTGCCAAACGCTGGCGAGCTTGACCTGAACTCCAGCCCTGTCCCTACAAGATTGCCGCCCCAGGAGCCAAGGCCGCTGAAGCGCTGTCGAGACGTGGAAAACACAGACGAGACACGAAGGAGCAAGCGAACGAGGGCAACAGTTCCGCCTCAACGCTCAGGCGACATAACAAACACCTTCTCGAAAGCCGAGGCTAAAGAATCTTCCCCATTCTCGTCCGAAGCCGACAGCGATGCCTTCATCCCCCCACCTACTCGCAAGGTTCGGCGAGCAGCCACTTCGATAAAACCTCGCCTCGTCGCTGACGACGAGGACGAGCTGTCAATGAACGAGCTACGTTCCGGCCGCGCAAGGAGTCAGCCCGTAATCCGTAGGGGCCCTATGCTTCCCAAGAAGCGCCAGTGCCTACGGAGGTCATTGTCCATAATGTCTGCGCGCAGCGAAGGGGCTTACGCGAATGTTGATGAAAGTGAAGACGAGTTGAGTTTCGGCTAAGGCGCGACGAGGGAGGCGGTCTGGTGCATTGGGCGGTCTGGTTGGAATTGGAGCATTGGATGTGTGCTTTGGGGATACCCGTTGCGAGGCGTTTACATTTTGGCTACCGGGGGCTGTTGGAAAGCGGGAGAGTGTGCGTCTTCGGATAGACGCCTCAACGAACTTTGGATCTTACTTCGAAACGCATCTGCAATATCGTGATTGTTTCCTGAAGCCCTGCAGCAGCCCAGCGGTGCAAGTCGTTTGATCAGGCCCGTTCAACGCCGTTCCCACTCAGCATCGTTCAGGACGCCGTTCGATCGCCCAAGGGCCATCCAGAAACTTCGTTGCCGCATCTTTGCTCGAACTCGTTCAACCCCAGATTCACGATCAAACTGGACTCGTGATCTCGTCGATTGCAGAGCAGCTAGACTGATTTCATGTGATAGAGAGTAAATGAGGCCAGCAGTTTAACTCCTCGATGCATCGATCACCCAAGATGTTTCTAATTCGTCCACCTCCGGGGCTATGAATTGCTTTCAATGCGGCGACGAGCTTTCCGCATGCCCCTTGGCCGTTAGGTCGAAAGCAATTGCAGCTGCAAAGCTGCGAATGTTGTAAGGTACAAATAACGAAGCGGCGTTCGTGATAATCTAAACTCTTAAGTTCCGTAGCCGTCCGACTTAATGCGAGGGAGGGAGGATCTAGCGTACAAGCGTGAGGTTTTCCATAAACCTTCAGCGCATGCAGGGGTGAAATCAAGCCGTTAGAGGAACTTATACTCAATAGAGACTTCGGATATCAATTCTTTCGATTAGCCGATGACCATCGGCGGCAATAAAAAGAGGGTTGCTGAACGGTCCACCTCCTGAGCAGATACACCTCCTTCGCACCGTGGTATAATCACTCAACGCTATGCCAAGATCCTGGAGACCGTAGTAAGCATGCTCCGGATAGGCTGAACGACCGACACAGCGATTCGGTCCATAACGAAACGGCACAGTCCGATCGTTGGGATAACGTATCAAACTTTTGACCCAAACATTGAAAAAGGACATTTGTTTGAAACTCTCCCACTCCGTCAACTTGAGTGCTTCAGTCTCCCTGCCATCGTTCCGAAGTCTTCCTCAAAAGTGTTCGAAACCAAACACTCTTCCTCAGACCCCATCAACCCCCATTGGAACCATATACTCTTCCTCAACAAACAACACAATCAAACACAAAATCTCTACCTTATTAAGCTCAACAATCATGGCCGCAACCACATCACACCAACCCACGACCCTCTTCACCATCCCTGAATAGCGAATTTCGTAACAAATCTACAACCACGTCCTCAACCTCACCTCCGGGCCCCCCAAGCCCGCTTTCCTCTATACCCAAAAAAAAGCAGACTCGGCACCCGCGGCGGCCGCATCGTCTGCCTCGAGACCCGCCACCACCCGCCACCAGCTCCAGGACAAACCGACAACTGCGGCACGAAGTCCTCTTGCTCTATTACAGCGCATACGAATGGCACCTCTGGCTGCCGCGGCAGCAGGACCTCTTTACCCGCTGGATCACGGACGCCGTGGGCGAGGCACTTGTGCCGTGGGTGCAGAGGCTGGTTATTTCGGCGACGGCGGAAAGCGATCGGGCTTCTCAGCTTCAACCTTGCAAACCACGGCGCGCGTTGTATCCGGTTTACGACGTTTTTCGGTTCATGGAAGTCGCCCTCTTCCTGGCACCGCATCTTGGGGCCGACAGGGTGGTCGTAAGGAGCGCAGTCGGCGGAGACGAGTCGTGTGTGCAGAAGACGTGGGCGAAGGTGGGGTCGGTGGTGCAGAAGTTGGTTGGGGGCGAATGCTGAGGAGTCCAGGGAGGCTGGTAAGGACTATGCGCCGGAGTGGGCCCCAGGCGGTACGAGACCGGCTTGGAGTGATGACGATCATCGCAAGTTTTTGGAGGGTGAGACACGTCTCTCGAGTCGCGAGCAGCCGGTGGGGTGATCTTGTAGAATGTGGTCAGGATTGTAGAGGCTCTCGCGCCGTATTAGAGCCCGTATAGAAACTGCTCATCCTCGTCCCTCCGCACGACTTCCTCCACTGCTTCTACAAACCTTGTCCCAGTAGCTCCGCTCTCCCTTATCCAGTCCCTGAGTTTCAGCATGATCTTTGAATAGTGTCGTCCCTGCCTTGAGCCTACAGCCCTTTGTCTCCGCCTCCTGTTCTCTCTCACAAGCAGTACACCAAAGGCTGCATACCCCATCCACGCCGCCGCAACACAAAGACAGGTGACAGCAAGTGGTGTCGTATATCCAGGCGAATACTTCGGCGCGAACAGCAGGGCCGAGAAGACACCAGCGAGGTTGCCCCAGCCGTTGATACCGAGCGCTATCGCCCTCTTCCCAGGGTTGGGAATGTTGTTGGTCAGCCAGACAACGGTTAGCGGTGAGGCTATGAACATGCCGGACAGCAAGATGCAGAGCGCGAAATACCGCAGCGCCGGTACAGTGGTTGGGAGTAGTGCTGTGCTGAGCAAACCAATAATAGTAAGGCCAAGGCCTGCAAGGATAGGGACAATGCGTTGGTGAGTTTTGTCGGACCAGTGGGTGAATGCGTAGAGCACGGCGGCGCCGCAGAGGAAGGGAGGCACAGTCAGGAGGTTGGTCAGGGCTGGCGAGGAAGGAGCCAGGGGTTGTAGAACGAGAGGGAGGAAGATGGCAAAGGCGGTGGTGGGGAGGGCGGAGAGAATGTTGACAGCGAGGAGGTAGAGGATTTTCCAGTCGAGGAAGGCGGAGAGGATGTCTGTTGTGGAGAGGCCGGTGTCGGCGGTATAAGACGGGAGGGGAGCGGGTCGAGGACCGCGGGATGAGGAACTACTGTGACCCATGAGGCCTTCCACTTCTTCTGAGGTCGACGGATGTGCATCTTCTTCTTCTGGGCCGGCGTCGTCTGCCTTGCTAGGCCGACGTGGCTCCTGCCTATCCCGGCTCACCCTTGCCTTCGCCCACTCTTGCTCTTCTCGGTTGAGGAACCACGCCGTCTCGACACGATGTGGCAGCCATAGGAAACCAATAAGGGCTAGTAGGATGGTGGCACAGCCTTCGATCAGGAAGAGCACCTGCCAAGGTCTCCAGTGAGTGCCATCTACAGGGCGATCCGCGTCCCCCTTTGGGAACCGTGAAAACACGGCAAAGGAGAGCACACCACCGAGAGCTCCGGCTACTGCATACTGGCCGTAGAATAGGGCCAGCCGTCTGCCGAATTCATACCGTGTGTAGAAGAGTGAGAGGTACGAGACCGTCACCGGGTAGAAACCGGCTACCATCTTGCGTCAGCGTGTTTGGTATCAATGATATTATGAAGCACAATATACCTTCAAGCATCCCGATAATAGCTCGCAACAGGATTAGCTGCCACCTCGCTCGCACCCAGATGTGTAAGGCTGTACACAGGCCCCATACTGTCATGCAGCCGGGCACCCACCTTGCCATGCCATGCTTCCGGCCGAATGCAGCACCCACAGGCTGCAGCGCGACGAAGAAGGCGAAGAAGACGGCGACGGCGGTGTTCAGATCATGTTTATTCAGCCCGATGTCCGCTGTAAAGTTTGCGGTCTCCGCATTTCCGATCTAGTGGTTGTCAGTATTACAAATCTGAGCAAAGTGGTGTCTGACGCTCAAATCTGTTGCGGGGGGAATAGGCAACGCCTTCTGACAGGATAGTTATATGAGTGCTGGTATTAACCGGTGACAAAGGACATCGTAGAAGAACATACTGGGAATGCTAAAAACTTTATGTCGGTAGGTTTTATGAGAAGATGAGCTTACGTTCGCACGATCCAGCGAGTTGAAGAGGAAGAGCAGAGCTAGGAACGGCAGAAGGATGAGATCGAGCTTGCGGACTGTCCGGCGGTCCAGGAGGGCCTCATGGCGGGTGAGCCTTGCGGAAAGCTGGTCTTCAGACATGTTATTCGCATGCGCGTCGACATCGGTGCTTGGGGCACTTGCAGCTGGATGAACAGCAGTAGAGATGCTGCTGAGCTCGTGCTCTTCCTCCATCCTATCTGTCCACTTATCGGTTTACTGCGGCGAGGGGAGGTGTCACACGTCCGCTCTGGTCCGAGGTCGGGAGCGGTAAGCGGCCATGCTCGTACCGCCGGCGGGTCTCACAGCAGGCTCGTCTGCACTAAGTCAGACTCCATCAAGGTGACGCTTGTGAATGATGTGCAAGGCGATTCAACAGAAACGGCGTCTGTCTCCTAGTAGATGCAGTTCTGGCAAGTGTTGTGCTTGCGCTTTGCAGCAAAACACCAAGATCAACAGGGTCCAACACGCAAGCAGGGGTAGGTCAATGTGCTTTCCTAAGGTACCTTACAACCCGCCTTCCGTCGCGTTGCTTACTGTACCAATTGACGCTTGACTCTCTCGCTATCCTCCAGCATATGATCCTTCTTTCTTCCCTTTTATTCATTCATCACTTGAAGCCGGTTGTCAGACCATTCTGCTGGAGCACTCACCACATTTCCAATTCTAACCTGCACACACCGAATCTCTCCACAATATGCTTGTCACTTTCCTACTCCGTGTCTCCTCTGCCAGTTCTACTACTCCCTGTATGGTCCCATCATCTGCAAGACAAACACTATCCTATCACTCACCTCAATCATCAACTCAGCATCGCTTGAAGCCCGTTATCAGTCGCACTTTGCCGCACCGTCTTATTCATCTAGACCGTTATTACGGCCACTTTCCCCTATCAAGTGGTTGATATTCGAGGTGAGTTTCCCTTTCATCTTTCTTTCACCCACATACATAAACCTTATCATACGGATCGAGAGTATCGGTCTGCTAACGTTGCCATTCATGTATACACTTCCGATATCTGTGGTCCGGGTGGATTGATCTTCCACATGCGTGAGTCAGATTGCTTCTGGTCTTCATCTCACTTCGTCGCTCTGCTACAGCTCCCGCACTTCTACGACTATTTAACGCCATCCCTGGAGTCCGGGTCTATACCAGCCACTCTCTTGTCTCTCCAACAACACCCGCATGCTTGACGATCCAGTCTTGTGTTCAATGCTGACGGTTGTAACTCATACGAAGGCCCTACAAGCTTCTACCCTATCTACTCAGTACCCGTCAATCCCACCGCCAATATCACTCCAACAACCACCGACAACATGTCCGCCCGTCACACCAGCACCGCCAACATTCCGGAGTCTCCACGGCCGACAAACCAGCCTCAATGCTCCGACTGCCGACACCAAGCCGGGCGATACGACCAAAGTGTGGGACCCGCCGAGGAACGTCGTGGTCCGAAGTGGCAGCAAGAACGCGGTACGTTGGGATAACACTGCAACGGGTACCACCAGCAGCACCGATGAAGTCCAGAGAGGAAGGGCCCGACATCTATCACCCACCCGTATTCAGACCAACAACCAGGAGAACGTACGGAAAACAATAACCTCTAGCAAACTTCCCAAGAGCCGGATTCAGCCAAATTGCTCCAGCATTTCGTTGCCGATGAATCTGAAAGCGAGAGCGACAATTCCGATGTCAGATGACCCGTGAAGCTTGTACTGAAAGCCGAATCCAAATCCAGACCCAGGTCTAGACGCCGTGACCTGGGGCGATATGCTCTTCCTCCTCCTCTGTAATGCCCGCGCCCGCAATGTGCCACCTGAGCTGCAACCGCGTCAACTCCGCGCGCAGGATCTAGGTTGAGACTACGAGGGCTCGATACCCTGCCGCCACCTCGTAGCGACCCTGAGCGCCTTTCCGTGGTGGTGCTTCGCCAGACAGCACTGTCTAGTCAGACGCCACATCCGAGGCGGACATGACGAAACCTTCAGTATCCTCCCAGCCTTCGGCATGAAAGCTGACCCGGATCCTCTAGAGCACAACAAGACACCTATGCTAGCTACCAAAGGCCGCGGCCACCTCAAGCTCATCAAGCCATTGCTCGGGTAAGACATTTTCGACTCTAAGCGGCGCAATCGGAGGGTAAGACTTACTGGGAGGTCGCCGAGGAACGCCGTGACCCGAGATGGTAGGAAGAACGTGAACCTTGAAAGATCATTACAGCGCGTATCATATCGACAACTCCGCACGTGAGATCGGGAAGAAGCGGACAAAAGGAACGCCTTCCGAATTGTAGAAGTGCACCCTCGTGTAACTAGATTGCCGGCTTTAATTGATAGACAGTTGATAGATGACGCTTTCTGTGACCTGTAGCTGGTGATACTGCCTACGATTTGCTCAAATGGAGAGGAAAACTTCGGTTCTCAATTTGGAATTGAGGTTGCTACCGGTAAGGGTTCCTTGCCACGGCTACAGCACAGTATACATGACAATTTCTGGCGTGGCCTTCTCGGTCATGCTTAGAGTTAGCCGTGATGTAACAAGACAATGGCTACTCGTGAATGCCAGAATGCTTCGACGACCGTAGCACTCAACTTCATATGCTGAGTAGTGGATTCAAAAGGGAGTCTTACTGAGTGTGGTTGTAGGTCAGCGTCACGTGCTAGGGCGAGGGCGCTGACCGCGGTAGGGCTGAAAACGTCAGGGCCGTGCGCGTTGTTTGGGTTTGTGTATCGAACTCATCCCCCACCGTCACGCTATCAGAACAGCCACAACACACCATTCGCATATCAATCCTGCTGTCGCGCTCGATCCTTAGCCAAAGCCTAACACAGTCTCAACCATCGTTTCAGGTTGAAAGCTCTACAGAATTCCAGCACTGTGAGCAACATGGTCTTTACAAGGCGCCGGTCGTCGAGATTGCTCGGCACTCCACAGGTGAGTCTATATGGCATAATTCTCCACAGTCCAGCAAGGCCCGCGCTTTCAATTCTTCTGCTCTTAGACATTGGATAAACCTCCGTGGTTCCGTGTCCGCTAAGAATTTACTGACTAATACTGCTCTCTAAGCGCGGTGGCAGCGTTCAAATCATAACAGCAACGGAGCGTATCGAGACGACGGCAACTGCCACACCATCCCATCTTCCTTCTCTGTGCGAGCGAGATGAAACTCCCGATCCTATCACCACAGCGATTCCGAGTGTCCTGAAGACTCCGCAGACGGAAAAGAAGCATACGTCCTTCTTCGCCAACTTTACTACACGCACACCAAAGAACAAAACGCCCATCCAGCCCAGCAATGAGGAAATGCACCCACACCATCATCAAGCGAGCACAGCGAAGCCATTGGACGAGGCCCGCTGGTTGGGATTTCTCAACAAGGGAGCACATACCGAGCCAGTCAAAGGCGTGAACAAGATCCCCGCCGTAGATGTCACACCTTCAAAGACACCAGATCCTTCTAAGAATCCCTTCTCGTCACCCGACTTCAAGTTCACATTCAGGAAGCAGTCACTGGAGCTCAGTCCTGCGGCTCGGAAGATGATGGCAGAGAGCCGAGAGGAAGCCGCAAAAGTACGGGCTCAGATGGTCGCTCAGCAGGACGAGTTCGCGGCCAGGCCGGCAGTTGAGGACGCGACGGGACGAAAGATTGCTCAGGCCAAAGGCAAAGCTAGCCGGTTCAGCGATGTCCACATGGCTCAGTTCAAGAAGATGGACTCCATCGCCAACCATCCGTCAGCGTTCCGTACGGACCCAATCCGGGCTGTCCAAGGCGGCACATCCCTCAAGCGGACTCAGTCCAAGGCAGATCTGGGGGGTCGCGAGAGTGGGCCGTCTCGTACCAAATCCCAAAAGTCGCAACACCCAGCACGTGAAGAAGTCATGTCGGGTCCAGCCAAGCGGGCCAAGCACCGGCCGGAAGACGACACCTCTGTTGCGCGTCCAGTATCTCGTGACACTACCTCAGATGAAAGCAAGCCGTCCACACCTAAGGGCATGGGCCTGATCCGGTCCAAGTCTGGTATTCCTCAACTGACCTCCAGTCTCACGACTCCCACCAAAGCCTCCCTTGCTCGCTCTCAGAGCGTCAAGTCTATGAAGACGTCTATGATCCCATCGCTCGCTCGATCGCCTTCTGTGAAGTCTCTCGCCGACCCACAAGTAGCGGATGCTAGGCGGGAAGATTACGCTTCTCGTATGAAGTCGGCTGTAAAGTCAATCCTACGCGGCCCCCAGCGGCTCTACTCGAATGATCCGGCTAAGATTGCTGCTGGTACTCACATCGCTACGCCGAAAGGCAAAGTCGACCTCAACAAGGATCTTCCCAGCGTTCCCGCGACTGCTCCTGTAGCAAAGCACGTCAACTTCACATCGAGTACTCTTTACAAAGCTTTGCATGATGATGCTGCTCTGGCATCTCCTTCCGCGGCGCATTCCGCAGCTAGATCTGCGTCTGAGAAACCGGAACGCATGGCTTCACCAATCCCTTATCCCAGCTTGCCGGATCGTGAAACGATCACGAATCCAAATGCTTCGCGCAGACTGACCACGGGCGGCATACCCGCAGACTTCACCTTCCGCTCCGACAAGCCCATCTCCTTCGGCCCAGCGACCGCAGGCAAAGGAACGATCCGACCAGTCCGCAACAGCGACGCCGTGTCCTTTGCCAATCTTCCTGGCATGCCTACTGGGGCTTCGCCTGTGAAGCGTAAGCTGGAATCGGTGAATGAGACCTCCGATAAGGAGAACGAGGAAGAGGAGAGCCGTCCTGTAAAGAAGTCCAGACCAACCGAGCAGCCACCGGCACCGAAAGCGCCCGCTAGCCGGCTTCCTAAGCGTATGAAGCGTCAGAGCGGCTTGAGCCAGGCCAGGCTCAACATGCTTGCTATGCCGAAGCGAAGGAACGTCTGAATGTCAGACATCTTGACTTCAGACCAAAAAGCATAGGATCCTTCTCACTAGAGTTTCACTCGAGAGTTTTAGGTCGTCGAACGGATACCTCACCCTCGACGGGCCCTTTCCAAACTTAAGCGCCGACAAATCATCTCTCCGCATTCCATGATTGGCTTGCAGTTACATTCCAGTCCGTCGGGACCGCTATGGCAACCTGACTTGAACGACTTTCCTCGATGTTTGGCGTTACGACCTGCTTACACCGAGCCCTCGCTGGGTGGAAGATAGTACTTTTTACTTCACTTGCATAGGGTTCCCTTTACCAGGCCGCTGCGGGATGATACGAGTTGATCTGTTGGGTTTTTTCTTGCCTTCGGAATGTTTTACATGTTTCCGGTTCGGGTGCTGGAGTTGGATACCTGGTGGAAGTTAACCTCTGCTGTGTTCATGGCTGACGTTTGATAAAATGCATCACGAGTCCGTACCTGGAGATAGATAGTGTGGGTCCCAGGTTTAATGATATACGCTCATCGCGTCTGGTCTGCTCTTTCCAACATATGGTAGTGACTTGAATAGCGGCGGAGGTTGCGCTTTAGCATTGGTGTGCACGTGATGTGATACTAGATCTTCCCTCCGGCGCGGCTGGCGGCTCTCGTAGGGCTGCTTAGCGACGAACGTCGACGCAAGACACACGGAGAACACCATAGTGATCTACAGAAAACCCCACGAAGTTACTCAAGTATTATCAGCACCCACCGAGAGCAGCCTCCAGACAATCCATCACCCTGGCTTCCGCTGTGCAATCCTACATCCAAGAGGCCCTGCAAGATCCTCGGATCCAGCCATACGTACCGCGCAGACTCCAGCAGTACCTGCCGCAGAAACCTCCGCCGTCACTGCCCCTCGCCGCACGCTTCACCACTTGGTTCAGCCAGCTACAGCGCGAGCTCCAGCAGAGACTCGGACAGACCCCAGTCCAGCAACCACAATCCCCGACCAATCCTATCGTCACCCTCGCAGCCACCTACCCCATCTACACCACCGCCCTCATCGCCGTCCTCCTCTACCTCTTCCTCACAAACATACCCATAATGTCCTGGACATCACGCCTCGGCGGCTGGTCCGGCAAGTTCAGCCCCTTCGGCCGCGATCCGCAGAACGCGGAAGTCAAGGACTCCGACTTCTCCTACATCACCTCCGACGACCTGCGGCGGAACCTCGTCCCGCCCACTTCCGGCCCACGGCCAGAAAAAGACACCGACGTCCTCGTGCTCAAGCACCGCAAGATCAGCTACCCGATACACTTCGCCCGCGACAGCATCGATCGCGGCGAGCTGACTGTCGGCGAGATAAGAAGCCAGGCGGCGAAGAAGATGGGCGCGGATCCCCGGCGGATCAAGCTGTTCTACAAGGGCCGGAACATGGCGGATGATAGCCGGCTTGCGCGCGAGGAGGGGCTAAGGTCGGACCTGGAGAGCGAGATCCTCTGTTCCGTCGGCGATGCTGCGCTTTCCTCCGACGGCGGCGTACCACTTGCAGATACCGTGAGCGCCGGCAGCGACGACGAAGACGATGCTGAGGATGGTGATAGCGCTGCCAATAGCACACCTGGTAAGGACGGCGCAGGCAAGAAGAAGCGCAGGTATCGTAAGAAGAAGTCGAAGAAGGGCGGAGCGAGCGGAACCTCCACACCCCCAACGAGTACCGGGACACACACGCCCACGGCCGAGTTCCTGGGTATACCGTCTGCGCCGCCCCCGAGACCGACCTCTGCTCCCGCGGCACCGAGGTCCGCTCCGCCTGAAAGCCCGCTGGACAAGCTGGACGCCATTGCCTCCACGTTCCATACGAAGTTTGTGCCGGATTGCATACAGTTTACGGCTCATCCGCCAGCGGACAGAGCAAAGCGGGCATTCGAGCATAAGAAGTTGACGGAAATGATTTTGGCGCAGGTCCTGCTGAAGCTCGATAGTGTGGAGACGGAGGGTGTGGAGGGAGCAAGAGAGAAGAGGAAGGCCCTTGTAAGGGAGGTCCAGGCAATGATGAACAAGCTGGATGAGGTTGCAAAGCAATGATGCGGACATCCGTAAGCGTCGGCATGCGTCAAGAACGGATGTTTACCAGCTGTTACACTAGCTTCTGCATGTTGAGTGCGCTCTATAGATGGATTAGCGTGCTGTTGTTGGCCGGTCGGGCGGCATTGTCATAGGCGTTCCGTCAGCGACATTCGAGCTGATGACTGGTTCTGGGCGACTTTCTACCTGCATCCATGCTCTAGGTGCTCCTATCCGTAGCACTGACTTATGAATCAAGAACTCTACGAGCGAGCTCATTCGTAAGCTCCTATGTCTACGATTTCTAGAACGCTATAGCGCATGCACACCCAATGACCCCCAACGTCTAGATACCACACATGCCTGCCTTGTGCTGTTGGATTCTGTTCAGCTCAATATCTACCCATAGTTCAACCACTCCTCGGTGCCCACGCTCTCACATCCTCCCTCCTCAATGGCGTCGCCCTCTCCGCCCTCCCCAATGCGCAATCAATCATCCACCAGAACCCATCCACATCAAACGTCCTCGGTATCCGCACCCCCGGCTCTCCCCTTTCCAGCAGCTCAACGCGCGTCCTCCCAAGCTGCAGCACCTCCTCCGGCACCTCGCTATGCTCACCCTTCGTATCGACCTCAACCCGATACCGCTCGCCGCCCCTATCATCAAACAGCTCCGGCACCACCGCAGCCGCTACAGCCAACGGATCGTGCAGAGGCGGGCCGGCCGAGAGCCCGAACTCCCGGTCGTAGGTCTCGCCAAAGAAGGTCAGGACGTCGTGGAAGAGGGCGCGGACGGGGGAGTAACTGCGTCCCTCCACTTCCCCATCCCTTTCCCCTACATCACTACTACCGGAGGACCAACGCTCACCGTGCAACAGCCCCCGCCTCACCCCTGCGTCCGCAATAGCCTGATGCGTCACGTCCAGCGGCACCAACACCGTCTTCCCCGCCAGGACCTCGTCCTCCAAGATCTCCTCTGCAGCCTCCGGGTCGCAGTAAATATTAAACTCCGCATACGGCGTCCAGTTCCCGAATCTCTCCCCCTCGCCCTTCTTGCGGCCGAGAGGCGCGGAGCTGAAGCCGTTGCCGATGGCGCCGCCCATGATGCTGAGGCCCGCGATGTGGGATTTTAGGGTAGGGTGCGCACGGAAGAGGTGCGCGATGTTGGTGAGGGCGCCTGTGGCGATGAGCCAGGCGGTTTGAGGGGGGTGGGCGAGGAGGGCGGTGGATATGGCGGTTGTGTAGGGGGGATGCGTGAGGGAGGGGGTGGTCGATGGGGGGAGGAGGGGGACGCCGTCGAGGCCCGATAAGCCTGGGATGGGGTTAGAAGACGTTCAGGCTATGTAAAGCGCCTACTTAGGGGCCGGCCCGTAGTTATGACTTTCCGCATTCCTTCAACCATCATTGTAACAAGACATCATCTCAGGGGTGGAGCAAAAGAGATATTCCAACGCCGAACAGGAGTTGAGACGGCCGCTCAACGCTAGCTGCCAGCTCGTACTGGTTGAGATTTTGCCGAATTGGTGTGAACATACCGTGTATTGCTGGTGCATGCACTGCATCTCTGATCAACGGCTTGGATGCTCCTGGATATACTGGGACATCGCGACGGCCAATGGCTTCAAGCACTCTAAGGGTGTTACTGGGGTTATAAAAGTCAGTCCGGCTCACTATACATCGAGATCTTGCTAGCGGAGAGAGACAGTTTCATCGATACACATCCAGTTCATCGGCAGAGCGAAGTAACGTGCTGCAACTATTCTTCCAGAAGAGCTGACTGTACTAGACTCTGAGAGCAGGGACACTGGAAACAAAAGAGACTGTGGATTAGAGATCCGAACTAACGTAACCTACTTAGTGGTGTTCTCGAGCGAGGAATTGCCATGTACCGTCGTTATTCCCAGCAAATGGATTTTAGAGCAGTGTGCAGCAAGCAGAACCGCAAAAGCATCATCATGCCCTGTGTCGCAGTCCAACCAGATAGGAATGCGGTCATCGGCATCATTTTTGTCTTCAAACAACGCCTCGAGCTCGCGATGTTGCATCTTCGAAGCAGCTCTGTCAGCTGAATCGTGGTTTCTCAACGGCCGGCCACCCGGCGTCGGGATTCTCCACAACACATTATGCCGGAGTTGGTTCGCCGCGAGCCAGACCTCCCGTTGACAGCCTCGCTCGCTCTAGAGTACCAGACCAGCCACTGCTGACAACGGCACTCGTTCTAGCACTTCTGATGAGGTCATCTTGTAGGTAGGAATGACAGTGGTGTCTGATCCTATCTCGTTTTCTTTACTCTCTCAAGTCGAAGCTGTCGGACTATGCTATTTGGATACGAGTTTGCCAGCCTCGACGAGTCCCAGAAGGCGCAGCGCCGCAATCTGCTAGATTCTTATGGCCTTGTTGCGCAGCTTTCCGCATTTGCGGTGTTGTTTTCCTTCCAAGTCTACTTCTTGCTCTGCTGGCTCTGTAGAGATCGACTGCAAGCGGACGAAGAGCTCGTACCGCGTTCTCCACACGAAAAGAGCTTCAAAAGGGGAGATGGCCAGTGGGTTCGGAGAGGGTGTCGTTTTTGGAGGGTCACTTGCTGGTGGGCGACCGAGTCAGTGAGCCCCGGATGGGGCACAAAAGGGCAGTGGGCCACTGCGACTGGGTGGACCGCGTGGCTAATGTTCCTCTGCGTTCACCGTACAAGTAATGGTAAGAAACGAATCTTCTCGCTCGCTATGCACAGGGTAGCGTTGTTTCATTCAAACCGCAAACTGGCCATTCCGATTCATGGAGCGCTTCTCCTGACTGATCCAAGCAGTTATGCAACAGTGTGCTGATTTGCTCTAGACTACTTCCACTTGACTAAACGTTTTGGCATGGTCGGAGCGTCGCAGTTGCCTCTGCATTACCTTCTAGCCATGAGATCGCCGTGGTCACCTGTCCAAATCCTTACCAGGCTCCCTCATGAACAACTGAACGTAGCTCACCAGATACTTGGCCGGATTATCACTCTCCTCTTCTGTCTCCATGGTTCTCTCTACCTATACTTCTTCGTTATGTCAGGGCTACTTGTTAACCGTCTAAGAAACCGGGTCGTAATCCTTGGCCTTGTCGGTCTTTTTCTGTCCATCTTCATGAGCTCTACTGCCTTGGGCTATCTCAGGACTAGGAACTACCGAGTCTTCTTCGCCGTCCACATTACTCTAGCGCCTATACTTCCGGTTGTTCTCTTCTGGCACGTCAGCCATTTACGGACCTACATCTGGGAGGTTGTGGGTGTATACATCCTCATGATGGCCACCCGCAGCCGAAATATCGGCACCTATCCCGGAACCGTATCATTGATTCCGGGCACCAACCTCATCAAAATGGACATCCCCCTCGCCTCTGACACTATCCCTCAGAACTGGAAGCCAGGGCAGCACGTTTACGTCTCTCTACCCGCAACTTCTGAGGCTTCACCCACCGTCAAAGATCTGATAAGACAGCGCTACCGCACGAACCCCTTCACGATCGCCTCTTTACCGCACGAGGACGGCCGGATAACGCTCGTTGCTCGAACACTAGACGGGAACACCAAAAGGCTAGCCGCTCTGGCGCGATCCCTATGCGACCAAGCGGACGACGACAAAAATACTCCATCCATCGCCATCACAATCGAAGGACCCTACGGCGCCTCATCCCGCCTACCCGACCTTGCAAGCTACGACTATGTGCTACTGCTCGCTGGCGGCGTAGGTGCAACATTCGTTCTTCCAGTCTTCCGCAGCATCGTGGGTAGATCCCACTGGCCCTCGCCTGCAGCTGCAAGCCCCCAGATTCGCTTTGTCTGGACTGTGCGGAGACTCGCAGAAGTACGGTGGGCCTTCCCGGCCGCGGCCAACTCTGGAGGCGCGGCCACGAACGTCGGATCGAACGCAGAGGTTGAAGTCTACGTCACGCAGAACGGGCAGGCTCTGCATGATGGAGCTCAAGACGGTGACCTTGAGATGGCTGAGGGAGTGAACCTTTTACATACTGGGAGTGAAGCAGAGAAGATCGGCGGGAGCGATGTGAAGCACGGCCGGCCCGACTTGAAGCGCATAGTTGACGATGCGTTTGCACAGCCGCGAGGGAAGGTTGCCGTGCTCGTTTGTGGACCTAAGAGGATGACCGAGGAGACGAGGGAGTTGGTGGGAAGATGGGTGAGGAAAGGGAGGGATGTTTACTGGCATGCAGAGGCGTTCGGGCTTTAGACAAGGCTTTAGAACTGGATTAGACCTCTAGTAATATGGGTGCTGAATTCTTGACCCGTGGCAACACGTTCTCCGGTATGTCCTGACTCTGTGTTCTCAAAGCGGACAAGGCCCAAAGCACGTAGCACGGGTCTGCATTAGAATAACGCCCCCCACCCGCAAATACTCCGGCACAACTTATCAACAAGTACCGAGTCCACTACCTTGTTACCATGTCACTCTGCTTCTTGAAGCTTTTCAAGAAAAGCAAAGGGTTATGTTACACAACAGGAACACATCACCTTTCAGTCCATTGCCTAGGGGTTGAGCACGACGGGGATGACTGGACGAAGGAAGATTGGGATCTTCTTGAGACCGATTTGTTCGGATATTCAGTCCGAGCCTAGTTTCTAAGAATAAACCACGTAAAAGGTCATTCCATATACTCGCCTACTGTAGCAATAGCTAATTATCTGTAGACGCAACTCCATTCGAAAACGTCTTTGCAGCTTATCGCACGGGCGATGTGGACCAAGTCAAGGCCAGCCTTGATCGGCTGAGAGACGAGCATGCCAACTACCTCCGTAAGTCGCTCGCGGTGCTTGCATTGCAGGCCAGACGCTCTGGCATTCTCAAGCTTTGTCTTTACCAAGGGGGCTTTGCATTTGAGTCCTATTTCGTGGACGCCGCCGACAAATTCCAGAATGCCAGCGATGATCCCGAGACGTTCAAGGTCCTAGAGGAGTCCAGATTTCGCGAGCTATACCCACGGTCGACTGCGCGCACCGAAGAGGATAGCGAGGAAGAGTCGGAGGGAGAGGAGGACCCAAGTGAAGTGTTTGACGAGGGCGGTAAACTCCCGGTTGATTGGTAGAAGATCTGGTCCTGTAGCTACACACACATTCCTGAACTCTGGAATACATATGCTACTACATCTACACAAACGTGGTGCCCGCGGGAAAAGGATGAGCAGTCGAGAAGGTTAAGCGTTGGCCTGCGTCTACCCTATCAGTGCTTGCGTCGAAATTTGACTACCTAGGTACTCTTGCCGCCGGAAAGTCTTCGGTGTAGCCAATCAAGCCACCAGCCGTATCTACGGCCGCATCTATCTATGGAGATAAGACGGTGGCGGAATTATTTTAACGGCTAAGCCAACAATATAGACACTCACTGAACCAATCTATCGATGCAACGCTATTGTTTCACTATTCATTGATGATCGTAGCGATTATATAGCCTTAAGCGTGATCTGGGTGATGCGGTGCCAAGACTGAGGACTTTCCGGCGGCAAGAGTAAATACTCGGGTCAAGCTCAGGGGCTGCAGCACCAGGAATCGTTCACTCTTGCCCACCTCATCCAGTCCTCTCGAGGTAACTTAGAGTGCTCTGGCAAAACTGTCGATCACTAGCAACAGGCCAATGGCGTCCTACCGATATGAACCGCTCCGAAGTGCGTCACAGGAGATTCGACTTGTTCATCTTCTACCCGGCAGGTTTGAGGACGACATCAAAATCCGAATCCTCCATTCGCCATTTCCCCTGCCTGCCACACCTCCACCAAAGGCAAAGAACTTCCAGGTTGACTCTGTCCGGACCTTGGTCTCTCGGCCTTGGGAAATAGAAGAAACCGAAAGCGGCTACTTCATGATATTCAACGTTGTCACTGGTGAAGCGCACCCTCTCCTAACCGTTGCATCACCTCTTGAGGAGACTTCAGAATACCAGCCGCGATACGAGGCTTTGTCATACACCTGGGGAGATGCTGATGTCTCGGAATTCGGTCAGGTTGAGGATAGCCAAGGCAGTGGCGAGCCTTCCGCGACATTGGGGTTGCGTCCCAACCTGGCCTCCGCGCTCCGCTACTTGCGCCACTCAGATGAGACGCGGGTCTTATGGATCGACGCCATATGCATTAACCAAGAAGATATCGAAGAGCGCAATGAACAGGTGAAGAGGATGACAAACATCTACACACTAGCCCAGCGGGTGATAGCTTGGCTTGGCGAGGAGTCCAACAACAGCAAGCACGCACTCGCAACACTACAGCATATCGGGCGGCAACTCGAAGCAACGAAGAGCGGCCGAATCATTGCCGCACCCGACGCCACGGAGCCTCACCTGTGGAGGAATGACCACGCGCCGTCCTTCGATCAGCGGACCTGGCAAGCTTTAATCAATTTCGTGGAACGCGCGTGGTTTTACAGGCTCTGGTGCTGGCAAGAGATCAAGCTAGGCAGCTGGCACGCGTTTCTTCAATGCGGCGGTGATACGATACCGTGGAATGATTTTTGGCTGGCGGTGCTCTGTCTACACAATAAAGACAGTTTACCTTCGATGCGGTTTCGTGAGCGATGCCGGCATATCGTCTTCCTTAAACATGACGCTGCGGGCCACTCGATGAGCAATATCCTGGACGTCAGTCGAAGCAAGGGCTGTGCTAATCCAAGAGATAAAATCTACGGACTCCTGGGCATCACACCAACATACTTCAGCTCCAGTATCGTGGTTGACTACCTACGACCCGTCGAGGACGTGTATAAGGAGGCATTCCTGACGCATTTGAATGCAACAAAACGGTTGGAGCTGCTGAAACATTGTGATCTAGCCAACCGCCAAATCGGGGGACCGTCGTGGGTGCCCGACTGGTCTAAGACAGAATTTGCAGCTCCAGTTCTGAGCGAGCAGCTTTCTTCTGGAATCTCACGGGCATGGTTTACATACGCAGAACCGGACGTGCTCGAGGTCGTCGGAAAACAGTATACCACGATTAAGACTGTCAGCGGGATGGCTTCCATGGTTGAGGAGGAGACGCTGCTGGCGGTTGGAGATTGGTTCCAGCATTTGCCAAACAAAGGCACTTACGTCACGGGTGAGACTATGGAAGCCGCGTTTGCCCTGACACTTTGCATGAACCGGACGAGAGAACGGCACCCGTACAGCCATTTCTTGAGCATTCCGGAATGGGTCGGTATGCTCCGCAATATTCTGTGCCTGACTGCCACCTCTCAGGATGACACAATATACTCCGCAAGAGAGACCACAAACACAATACAGAAGATTCGCGGTCGCCGGGTTTTCACTACTGAGACTGGGCACATTGGCACAGCTCCAGCTGGTGCTCAAACTGGTAAATTAGGAGTCACGCCATCGGTCCACTAGGAAACTTTGAACTGACTGTTACAAGGGGACTCAGTTTGCCTTATCTTAGGGACTTACGCCCCCATGGTCTTGCGTCGGACTTCATCTGGCCAATTCCATGTCGTGGGAGAATGTTATGTGCATGGCCTCAGTGACGCTGTTGGCATCCTTGGGCCACTGCCAGACCACTGGGAGACAATTATCAAAGGAGATGCCTTGGGAAGACCAACGCAACGTTTTGTTCACCTCAGGGACCACAAGGAGACTTCAAATGACCCACGGCTGGAACCCTTGCCATGGAATTGGGAGCGAGCGACGTACGAAAGACTTGCTGATGATCCGGCCATATTTGAAAGATTCAGGAATCTCGAAACCGGTGAACTGGTGAACTACGATCCGCGGTTGTTTCCGGAGGTGCTCGAGGCTCGCGGGGTTGAGCTTCAGTCCTTCAGGCTCGCCTGAGAGACAACAAGGAATTGGGCCGGGAACTCTTCATCCCGTCGAGCGAAAACGTGAACAAAGCAGTAAGCCGTTGATGATTCCAATTCCGTTGAGTTCTTTAACCACGAGAGCCACTGTGGAGGCTGCGGCCGCTTTTCAGAGGCAACGCCAAGCCACCCTCCAGGTCTTCTTCCCGGACTATAAATGGGTAGTTTATCCTTCATTTTCGCGCATTCTTTGATAAAGCTATACTGGGAGCCCGTATCTAGTGGAACACCTTCTGCAATGTTTGCCAAGCTCGTCTCCGGGTACTTTTGACGATACGGGAAACGGTGGTTGAATTTTGGGTTATCTGGAAAGCCTTGTTGGGCTACGTCAGCAATGTGGTCTAGGTCAGTCTTAGTGGCGAATCTGAGCTGAAGCTAATCGTCAGGAAGCACCGATACCCTTTTCTCCGCAATTTTTTCAACCAAGTGGAGATAAGTGAAAATGAGGCGTGGAATTTATCTGGTTGGGGCTGATTGCTACGTCGGCGTCCGCATAGCTATAGGCTCGCGTGAACTTGGCCTCAAACTGAGTGGTGGTGGTCATCTTGCCGTTTTCCCCTGGGCTCTTGATCTCCTTGCCCGGTTTAATCAGCTCCACCAGGTCGTTGTTGATCTGTCCGTTTTCCTGAAGTTGGCCATTGCCCCTGCCTCCGTCGTGCTTGGAGCAAAATCTTGCCCATTCGGTGTTTGCCGCGCCGCTATTTTCAAATCTGGGTAGCCACCTTATAATCTGACCAAGCTTCTTCTCCTTTGTGCCCGGCGGCATAAAGTACGCTGGAGGAAACTCGTCCGCCTGGCAGTGAGGACCGTCGGGATCATCCCGATAGACGGCTTATGTACAATGCTGCCATTTTTTGTCTTTGTGCTGTTTGGTCCATTCAGCAGTTGCGGTGCCGGGTTCTCGTTCGATTTCATCCCCGCAGGTAAATGTGCTCTCGACGAAGTCGTAATTGTGGATCGCAGAATAATAGTGATAGCAGGCCTGCGGGTATCTCTCGCCGCTACACGTTTCCGGGATGGTTGTCATGACTGGGTTGGACTTTGCAATCGTCGTAACATGGAATTCATCATCGCAATCGTTATCTGCAGAGAGGCATCTTAGTCGGTACTGCTCGCGAAACGCAGGAACACCTCCGAAAGGCTTAAAGAGGAGACTTACCGTCGTTTCCACGCTTCCTCATGTTGCATGCGGTGGTGCTGGCAGTATTTGGCGCTGTTGTTGGCGCCGTGTTTGGTGGACTTATCGTCGATGGATTTGTCTTGGGTGGATCTATCTTTGTTGGTAGACTTGGATTGCCCTTCGGCAGAACGCCAATGCCGTTCAAAATATCGAATACCTTTCGGAGGTCGTCGGGAAGGGCTGCAGTCGTGCCGCAAGGGTTCAACCAATTTGCAGATCCGCCGAGCGCTGCATCACCTGCTTCCAAGGCGTACGCGGCTAGCTGGGCAGCCTCGATAGCTGCAACTGCTAGAGGTCAACATCTGCATACTTTCGGGGGCATTGTTCGGCTTTAGCGTGGTTTGACATATTCATCTCTCAATCGATCGCCGCCCCAGCTGGTGGTATTGCCAACACGCCAATTTCCACAATCAGCTTGACTGCGGACATTATGAGCTAGCATTCAACCTAGGTAACCGTGAGTAAGCGGAATATGTGCATGTGTAAGCCTTTCATACCTGTGTGATGACTGGCAATGCTTCTACGAAGGTCTCTGCCAATTCGTTGACAGAAGAATTGTCGCACGAGCAGTTACCCGCTGCAATTTTGATGCCGCCTAAGGAAAGAGATTAGCAAGGTTCGTCGGCTGTATTAAAAATAATTTCAGAGCCGAGGAGGTTGGCGTTAGTGCTGCGATTGCTCGAGCCTCAAAGAGTCAGGAGTCTCAGGAGATTACACACCACCAAAGTCTTCCCACATAGCATTCTGGGCAGAACAAATTATTGAAGTCGTCTCGTCCCTTGCCATGGCATCACCCACGGCCTTGCCGCAGACCTCGTTGCACTGCCTGACGGAAAGGTCATGGTCCGGGGGATCGAATATGGTGCATTTTTCCACATTCGATGCTCGGTCCAAAGGCGTTTTAGGGTCGTCAGCTGAATACGCTGCAGAGAGCCCTATAAGGCCTATGGAGAGAAGTGAGATAAGGAGTTGCCTCATGGTTGGTAGCGGGCAATGCTGGGTTTGACTAACAGACAGGTATCGGATAAAGATATTCAGGTACTAGCAAAGATGAGAGGTAAAGGTTCTGGTACAATAGTACTGCTGATGAGAGCAAGAGAAGGCTCTTTAAATTACCTGAAATACTGGCAAAGAGCCACGGTACAGGTGGTATCCAGGGATGTGTTGGTCCCGTTTTCGAGCAAACGATTGTATCTGCTCCGGAGCAACGACCATGTTGGAACCAACACTCGAAGGATGTTTAGTCCTCCAATCGTGTAGACAGATCATTGAAGCGGTAGGCGTCCGCGAGAGTTGGATGCTCCACCACGTTATGTCGGGACCAACACTCGAGAGAAGCGTGCATACAAGGCCATTGAAGCGATAGGTACACACGAGACTTAGATATCTACCATAGAACCAACACTTGAAGGAAGCGATAGGCATACATGACACTTAGATGCGCTGCCGCAGGATCAACACTCGAAGGGAGCAGTAGGCGCACACGAGACATGAATGCTCTATCAGCGCGCAGCAACACCGCCATGTGACTGTTAACTATAGCTTCGTCTTTCGAGGATCTTGGCAGCTTACTGTGGGTCTGGAAGCGACAAGGCATTTTTACTTAGCGAGCGGTACCTGATCTTTCCCTTATCTCGAAACCTCCGGTAGGCAATTTGTGCTGTTTGTGGCTGCGGCGTTGGCGGCGCGGAGCTTTCTCGGACTACGAGTATTCAGCCATGTTTGTGAGATGTTGGACTACAATTCCAACATGTTCGACTATGCAGTCTATGCTTACTAGACGCTCGTTGGGCACGGGGAAAGACGTGAAGGGCACCGTGCAATCAACTGGGCTTTGCTTGCCTCCCTTCTTCTCGCTACGTCGAAGCTCGTAATTCTGAAAGTGCTCCCTCTGTGCTGCTATCAACAAAAAATCTCCTCCCACGCCTGCTTCACCGCCTTCATACACTCTTGTTTTCTAAAGTCTGACGAGGGCCAGCCGTGTGCATGGTAGATCTCCTTCAACCTGTCCATATCGAATCCAGAGCATTGGCGCATCAGCCGAACATCTGTTGCCTCCGTTGGTATCTGCACTGAACGTTAGAGCAGCGATTCCGTGTCGGCATAACAAGTCATGATGTCCGCTTTGAGATAGATGGGGGAGTTCAAGAGTACGTACGGCTTCGAGGGATCTATATTGCTCCTTCAACATCTCGAAGAAATCTCCGACCCTGTACGTTGCATACTCACGCCAGGTCTCCTTTGAATCTTCGTCTATGTGCTGCAAAGCCTACAGTAAGCTTCGCGTGCCTGTAAAAGCCTACTTTAGGGACAAGACTAGGGCGTACCTGTGACAAGTCCGTGTACTTAGGACCAACTTGGAAATCACAAATTGTTATGGTGCCTCGTTCGGTATCAAGGAAAATATAGTGTCCGTCTCTACCTCCAGCGGTATTTGCGAGTGTGAGGACATGTGATGGGATAGTAGTCTCTTCTTCAATAGGGTCAACTCTATGTCGAACGGATGAAGCTGCCGCCCTCCGAAACACTTGTCCGTTATAGTCGACAGCCGAAGTCTGTTCGTAGATTTGGTACGGGTCAATCTCCCCGTCAAACGCCGAGTCTCTTCGTACAAACGGCATATGGCGAACGAGGTCCACCACCATATCGTTTTTCCCCATGAAAGCAAGATACTCTGGGGTGATATCAGGCCATCCGCCCGGTGGAGGATGTACGACTGCAGAGGCAGGGAGGTGTAGTCCGACCAGAAATTCGTAGAAGGAGCTGAGAGCCGACACGACCTCGTCGCGCGAGTAGGCCATGCCGCAAGGCGTCTGGAGAAGCTGCCAATTCACAGACTCGTCAAGGGAGCCACGAGTTTGGGAAGAGAGAGGTTGGGGTGACGATCAGGAAAAGGTTGTCGATGCGGAGGGCTGCCGCAGCGACTACATTAAATCTATCTAATAACAAAGCACGAGAACCGGGCTTTGAAAGGTGCAGATGGATGAACACGATGGAGGAAGGGACGACTATCTGCGCATGCCAACAGCGGGAGGTATTTGATCCCAATGCCTTATCACGTGCGTGCGGCGCAGACTCTTTTTGTGGGGTACGTATGAAACTGCGCCGCTCGGTCAGTTCGTAGAGGGGCTTACTCTATCCAATCCCGTCTCTTTGTTCTGCACCTAAGGGATGCTCGCATGTCTGAACTTCCATACTTCGAGTTGACATTGCAGAAACAAACCTCAGCGTTGGGTGATTGATTGGTGCTCACGTGATCCCTTGGCACCGCCCAATCGACACTCCAATCGCTATCTTATCGCTGGCCGGAAGCCGGAATCGGAAGCCGCAGCTCGAGGCGCCAGTCTCACCTCTAGATCACCAGCTCGAGAGCACGAGAGCGGTGCAGTAAACAGTCGGCTGTCCGGCGTAACCGTATGGTTCTTGTTATAGTCATGTCTTGATAACCTTATCCATCCTCAGCGCATCCAGCCATAGCTTCTCTCATCGATCTCATCGGGTTCCTTATATACCCCGGCTATATACCATCAGCCAGCGCTCCTCCAACATGGCGCGCAACATACCAGCCAAGGCAGTGGTGCCCTTCCTGGTGGCCATGATGCTGGCCACCGGCGTCTGCAACACGCTCCTCACTAAATATCAGGTCTGCTCCCCCTTCCAAAGCTTACCTCGCGCTATACGATACACCTGGCTGACCATGTCTTATCAGGACATGCAATGCGTCCGCAACTGCTCCTCCGCCGACCCCTCCAAGCGCCACCACTTTGAACAGCCCGTCATCCAGACGGCGCAGATGTTCATCGGCGAAATGGGCTGCTGGCTTGTCGTCGGCGGCTTCGCGCTCTACAACCGCTACCTCTCCCGCTCCACCTCCACCTCCTATCAACCAGTCCCGTCAGGCGAAGCCGAGGCCGATGGGGACGACGATAACGAAGCTCCCCTGGCAGCCCCGCTACATCTGAAGACTGACCACGAAGGCCGCATACCGCTTGAAGGGTGGAAGGTGTTACTGCTCGCGCTGCCGGCGTGTTGTGATATCGCGGGCACGACGCTTATGAACGTGGGATTGCTGTTCGTGGCGGCGAGCATATACCAGATGACGCGTGGCGCGCTGGTGCTCTTTGTCGGGCTCTTCAGCGTGCTGTTCCTGAAGCGGAGGCTCGGTCCCTACAAATGGTTTGCACTGTTCGTCGTTGTCGCTGGTGTGGCTGTTGTAGGGCTGGCGGGGGCTATCAGCCATGATGATAAGGCGAGGCTGGGTGCTGCCGGAGCGGAGCAGTTGCAGTGGCATGAGGAGATCAAGGGGTATGTCGGAACGGCGCTGAGGTTCGCGAGAGATGTGGCCGACGAGGCACACAAGGCGGCGAAGTCACGCTCGAGCGTGCAGACTATCATTGGAGTGCTTTTGATTGCGGGTGCGCAGATCTTTACGGCAACGCAGTTCGTGCTTGAGGAGAGTATCATGGAGAAGTATGCCCTCGAGCCGATAAAGGTTGTGGGCTGGGAAGGCCTCTTCGGATTCGTAGTCACAGTCATTGGTATGGCGGTCTTGCACCTTGCGGTGGGTAGGACCGAGTCTGGACGGTACGGGTATTTCGATGCGAGGGAAGGACTATGGGAGATTACGCATTACAGGGCAATTGCAATGAGCAGTCTCTTGATCATGATAAGTATCGGGTAAGTCGCAATACCTTTGTTACAACAACGCTTCGGATACCCGCTAACCGTCGATATAGCGGCTTCAACTTCTTCGGCCTCTCAGTCACCCGCACGGTCTCCGCAACATCTCGCTCGACGATCGATACCTGCCGAACCCTCTTCATCTGGATCGTCTCGCTGGGGCTTGGCTGGGAAACCTTCAAGTGGCTGCAGGTTCTTGGCTTCGCGCTTCTCGTATACGGGACCTTCCTGTTCAATGACCTCATCAGACCGCCTCTCAAGGCCTGTATCACGCGGAAAGACGAGGCGGATGAAGAGCTCCTGCCCGAGCATCCAATCGAGCACACCTAGGCATGGTCTGGTGCAGTTATGGCGTCTGTGGAGGTTTGGTGTTGTTTGTATATGATAGTTTGGGGCTCGTTGTAGTTTGCAAATCCCGACACATCATTATCTCACTATAACATTGAAAGGCTATTACAAACGGAACGGCAGTAACGACGTGAGAAGGGAGCTGTCCCACACCTGTTCATCGCCATGCTCCAAGAGCTACTCTCCTCGCCGGAAACAAATAGAATCACGTGCCGCAGCCCGTGCTTCATCATCAAACCACGCGGTGAGGGTATATAATCGCCACATTCATTGATTATTAGGCGCAAGGTAACGATACAAACACGTATTGCAACAATAATGTCTGGGCCTTAGCTTGGAGCCATATTAATGGTGGTTAACTAAAAAGTCATCCAGAAACGAGCTGGCTGAGTTGAGTGATGGACCACGGGCTGCGGCACGTGATTCTATTTGTTTCCGGCGAGGAGATTAGTTTAGCCATGAGGTTTTAATCACACGTCTCTACAGGATCCTCCAGCATCCGGTGGTTAGCGACCGCCATTTGCATGGGGATGATTTATTAGAATAACAATCTCAAAACGACTATACCTAGTATCTATGACCGAAAGTTGATGGGGAGTATCGAAACGTGTATCCTATAGACGATACAACTCTTTGCAACTTAGACAGCCTCAACTACCGTGAAAAGATACCTCAAAGCAGAAGTTTTACACATGCGTTTCTCCCTTGCAATTGACCCACGCTAACCACCAGATGCTGGAGGATCCTGTACGTCGTGACGCTTGATGATGGAAAGACGCGCACGTGTCAAAGATGTACCTTCCCTCGGAGAAGCCTTGCATGCGTTGCGAAGACGCCGTTGAAGCTTGATGGGACGTGACGCTGCTCGGCGAGGAGTAGCGCATTCCAATCGGTATGGGTCCCTTCACCTTATGCAGTCTCTGCCTCATGTTGCATCTCAGTCCGCGGAACACTTCTACTGACTGTGTAGGATGCATTGGCAATATGTAATACTGCCGCGACATCACCGAGTGTTGAGCTGTCGAGCTGTCCATCGACGTCAGAACAGCCTTCGCTTCCCGCGTTGACTGCCACGGGCCGTCATCCATGCCTTGTGCCGATCAACGACTCAACCATTGACTTTTGCCCATCCTGAAATGCCATCCTCATGCAGGGGAATAGATTAAGTAACGCCACAGATTACCATTGGCAGCGAACCACATCCCTACGGCATTCATCGCCAACGATGTCAAGTCAAGTTTTTAGCAGGTTGACGTCAGATTCGGTTTCAAATCGGCCAGCATCCCTAGTCAATACTCGTTGGTAGGTGAAGTCACTGTAAAAGCGCAGAATTCCTGACCGGTGAAGTGTCAAGGCTGCTCTCTTCTCTTTGCTAGTAACAGCGTCAAAAAGTCAGCAACACCTACAAAATGGTCTGCGGCATTCCAGGCACACAGCGTAGCCGCAATCTCAACAAGGAATATCTTGATCAGCCGCGCTACAACATCCTTCTGACAAACGGACGATTTCCAGTGAGCCTGGATCTAGCGCGACAGCTCTACTGGGCCGGCCATCATGTGCATTGCGTTGATCCTATGGAGTACCATGTATGCAAATTCTCAGTCGCGGTCGACAAAAGCCGACAAGTTCCCGCGCCCATTGAAAATGCTCAAGGCTACATAGACGGAGTCCGGAAAGTCATCGACAAGTGGAACATTGACCTCATTATCCCAGTCCATGAGGAGATCTTCTATCTCGCGGAATGCGGAGACGAGGAGATCTTGAAGCGATTGCTGGCACCGCCGTGGGAAGTCCTAGTCCGTCTCCATAACAAATGGGAGTTCAGTAAGATGATGCGCCGATTTGGCCTCGATGTTCCGGAAGCACATCTATGCAAGAGCAAAGAGGATATCAAGAACCTAGATCTCTCAAGGGAATGGGCAGTCAAGCCAGTCTTCGGTAGAGCTTCGGGCAACGTGTATCACCTCAAGCCGGGCAAGGATGTTCCAGAGGACATTGACGTCAGCGAGAAGAACCACTACATCGCCCAAGAATGGCTGAAAGGGAACCGCTACTGCAGCTACAGCGTCATTCGCGAGGGACGGGTTCAAGCTCATGGATTGTACCCGGTAGAGGATACCATCGACGGCAGCTCCTCTGTGTATTTCAGGAATACCGATCACAACGGTATCAAGGCATATCTTGACAAGATCGCTGCAAAACTACCGAATGTGACGGCACAGCTTGCCTTCGATTTCATTGAGATTGACGGCCGTCTCGTCACCATGGAATGTAATCCTCGCGCCACAAGCGGGCTCCACCTCTGGTCTAATACACCCTATCTGGCGCGCGCCCTCACAAACACCTTGAGCCAAACCACCAAAGGCGACTACACCTCACCGCCTCGTACGACGACAGGCAAACAACCCCGGCGCCAACTCGCTCCCGGCATGATGATGTGGGAGCACAAAAAGGCGGGAGTGAAGGTCTGGGCTAAGCATATGGGCCGTCTGATGGGTAGTAGAGACGTCATGTGGAAATGGAGAGATATCGGTCCAGTCTTGATGCAGCCGTTTCTGCTGACGGCGTACTATAAGATCTGTCAGGAGAAAAAACTGGATCTGCCAGACATGTTCCAATATGATGTTACGTGGGAGCCTGATGGAGAGCATTTGGAAAAGGTCAGGAAGATGATAGAAGAGGCTGATGAGGATGATGGTGAAGAGAAGGGCAAGCCAGGAAACCCGGACCAGAAAGGTGATCAAGAGAGCACACAGTCGGATTCTTACGCTACCACTGGAGACGACTCAGACAAGGGACAGGACTCGACGCCCAGCGAGACATATCTCGATTACCGTGGTGATGCCGTGCTTCAATGAGCACTCACGCTTTCGCATCGATAACATAGGCCCAAGGCCTTCTCCGAAGATGAATCCACAGGATCTTGAGAACACGCTAGGAATTACAAACCTTGTCCGGCTTCTTACATGACTCTCAATCAGTGCTCAGGACTACCAGGAAGCGCACTGGGCCTCAACTTCGCACTTTTTCTACCAATCTAGTAAGATCAGGGAATAGCCTTTGGAGGACAACAGTTACCTCGACGCGGCGATCATTCAAGCGAAATACGCATTGCTGTGTAGAACGAGCGTTGCCAGACACACTGTACAACCACCCCAAGCAGTATGCCTATCGCAGGACGACTACGAATTACGACTTACGACAAAGCCGGGATGTTATCACCCATCGAACATCTCGAAAGACAGCGTGTGGGTCATCGAGAGAGCTGTAGGAATGCGGGTTCTGAGACGCTGATAAGCGCGTAATGCTGCGTGGTGGTCTTCTCTCCTTCCCTTCATGGCCGCAGGTCGATGCTTGGTTGCTTTTGTTGTCTCTTCCAATCTGTGCTTTTGCGGTAGAGCTTCTCCAATACCCTCGGGACGCATACAAGTGTGGGTCTTTCATAGTCCGAAATAGAGTATGTAATGTCTTGTTCTACAGCTGTATTCGGCTTCAGTAGCAGAAACGCCGGCGGGACGTCTATTGACTTGATCGTGACAAGTATACATGCGTTGGCGACCTAACCTGCCAGCCTTGCGTCGTCTCAAGGCGGCGTTAACCCTTTCAATCCTCTGTAGGAGCTGCAGTAAACGAAGCCGTTGCAAGAACGCGCCACGGCTCGATTCACGCAGCAGGCGAGGCCCCGACACGACCTCCGACGTGAGCTCAATCACGCGCCGCAACTCTTTCACCCAAACATCCGCGTCTGGTGTCGTTACTGAGAGTCCTTCATGACTTTCATGCAGGACAGTCCGGACTGCGAAATCTGGCGTCATGGAACGTCAGCGCCCTATTCAGCGTTCGCAGAAATTCGTCTTTGAGCTGTCCATGCCCTGGTCGCCTTGTTCAAGCTCGCTTCTATGTTGTCCTGATCGTCTAAAAGCGTGGAAGCTCAATTTCCTAACGGCAGACGTTCTACGGAAGGATGCTACCTGCTGCCGCATTCGGAAGCGAAGGCATAGTCGCTCATGCCCCTACCGCTTTCCCAGCCAGCCACTAGCCCGGTGTTCTGCAATTTTTCCAGAAGGCGCTATCGAGAGATCTGAGGCTCGAAGGAGTGATCGATGGCCGCCTCTGGTCGCTCGGAAAAGTCTCGTTACGTGTGAGGCACACAAGCTGCTATCTAGCCGTATTATTGTACGAGGCGATTGGCGATAGGTGCAGCAGGTTCATCACGCCACCAGATTGATCACGACACCAGATCCAGCCTCAGACAGCCTACTCGACCAGCCGAATTCGTCTGTAGACGGCTTATATACAGCTACATAGTCTAGCTCATCAGGCTCTTCTGCAGCATCCTCTCCATCCGTCCAAACCGAGCATGCCTAACCCAACTCTGTCTCCCTGAGTCCCGCGCCACCAGCCCAAGCCCCAAACCTAGCCCCTCAAACCTCCCTCTCCACCATCTCCAGCCCCGACAGGCTCGGATACCGCTTGCTAAAACTCTCCTCCCAGTCCTCCCCATTCCCAGCAACCGGCATGCTCACCTCCTCTTCCAGCAATCTCGCCGCCGGTTTCGCAGGCGAAGGCGACGGCACTCTCGCGCCGTCGAACTGGCCGCCCGTCCGCAGCGCCGTCGGTTTAGGCGGCGCGCCCGGCTTGGGGCGGGAGAGTGGACGCGGCTGCGCCGTTGGAGGCGCCGAGGCCGGTATTACGGGCGGGTCAGCGGGCAGAGGCTGCCTGAGAGGTATCTGGGAGCCCGGATTCGGTGCAGCGGCCATCGGCGCAGGTCTCCGTGCCACGAGCGGCGGATTGGGGTGGCGCAGCTGTTCCGGCGGTCGCGGCGCTTCGGTGAAGCGGCCGTAGCCTTCTGCTGTCCGCACGGGCGGGGGCTGCTGCTGCTTGCTGCCCTCGTCCAGGAGGGCCTTTACCCGGTTTTGAATCGTTGACGCACGCGCGGGCCCACCACCGCCGCCGCCGCCGCCCTCTGCCAGGCGCCGACGGTACTCGGCCGCTGCTTCCGCGACGCGCTTTTCCTCCTGCGAGAGCCGCCTCCGCTCGAGCTCGCGGCGGACTTCAGGCGGCAAGTCTTCCGTCTCGTCAATGGCGCTCTCGTCGTCGCTACGGCCGCCCGTGGCCTCGGAGCCCGCTATAGGCGTCAAGGGAGCAGATTTCTCGAACGACGGGCTCGGTGTTCGCGGTTCGGGAGGGCCGCCGGTGTTGCCTTCGAAGCGGCGGAAGGCGTCGCCGAACTTGCCGGCTAGGATGTTTTTCGTGTTGGAGAGGGAGATGGAGGGGAGGCTTGAGCGCTTGCGGTGCTTGGTGCCGCTGCCGCTGCTGCCGCTTCGGCGGTCTTTCTTCTTCGAGGAGTCGGCGTCTTCGATGGCGCGTAGGAAATCGACGTTAGATTCGATGTTGGTTTCTTCCTGTGGCGGAGTGTCCGGTTCCGCTGCGGTTGCGGATTTGATCTTGCTGAGGTCGTTTGAGGGGCGTCCTCGGACCGTCTCTCGCTCGCGTAGGTAGTCGAGGTTGGATTCGACGTGCACGCTGGATGGTCTTGCTCGGCCACTAGCAGACTGGGAGCGATGGATTGGATCGCTATAGTCAGGTACTGAAGGGCGCTGGCCCTCAAGCGATGGCCGAGAGGAGGCTGGAGATTTGGGTGGCGCGAGGTTTGCGATTGAGGTGGAGGACTTGGACCGGTAGGAGTCGAGGAAGGCTGGCCGTTGAAGTGCAGCGTGGTCTCCTTCCGAGGGTGCTAGACTGGAACGGACGTTCTTCGGTGCGCGCGGTTGACTCAATGCTCTGTGGTGGCCAACGGCATCCGCCTGAGGTACGCGCCATATGGGACGTTTGGTAATCTCTGGGAACGGTCTAGGTGGTAGTACCTTCGATGGAGACGATGAAAGAGGAGGCGAGGTCATGGTGCCTGTCGAAACCATGACTGGTTTTTGAGAGGATGACTGGGGTACTTGGGAGGGTTGTGGCGAGCGAGGCAGCTGCTGTGCCTTGGTTTCGGATGGCGTGGGTCTCTTGAGTGAGGTCGATCTCGAGACCGAGGCTGAGTTGGCCTTCCTCGCCGAACCTGGGTCGTTCCCAGACGAGACTGGCCTAGCGAATGCATCATCTGCCAGAGCTGCCGTCACCCGCTGGCTGAGACTCTCCTGCTTCGGTAATGAGGGTGATGTTGGCTTGAACTGGAAGTTGCTTCCTTTGTCCTGCAGAATGGTGAACTCTTCGAGGGGCGGGAACTTCGCGGCAAGCTCGTCGGCGGCCGCCGATCGCACGGCAACGGAGGTCGAATCTAGCGCCGCGAAGGGATCGTCAGACGTGCCTCGCGCAGGTGAGGGGACTGGCTTTGGGACCGGTTGTTGCTGCAAAGGGGCAGTTGGCCTTCCGCGTCGCATTGGCGTTATCTCTGGTATGGCTTGGGTGGGTTGTATCGACGGAGACTTGTGTATTCCGACTACGAGAGAAGGTGATGCCATCGGATCGGGAGATGGAAGCTTTTCGTTTCGGCGTGCTTCTGAACGAGAGCGATTGGCGTATATCTAAAACGTTAGCCTTGATCGCATAGCGAACCGGCGCAATTCGCAAGATGAGCTTACGTCTTTGATCGGGACTTCGACGTTGCGCATGGAGCAAGCCTCTTTAACCACCTCGTAGATGGTCGGCCGCTGCTGGGGATTTTCTCGCAGCATCGATGCTAGCAAAGTCAATATTGATGTCTAATCAAGGGGTTGGGCAACACTTACATATGAGCTTCTTGGTGCGATCGGAAAAGGGAGGGTATGGTGGGAAAGTGAAACTGGCGTTCAGTATCGCCATCTGTCCCTGCGCTTCGAAGGGTGTGGTATAGTAGCATAGCTTGTACAGTAGCACGCCTAATGCCCAGATGTCGCTCTTTTCATCGATCGGCTGTTTCCTGTACACATCTATCATTTCTGGACTTCGGTATTGCAGCGTGGTATGTCTTTGGACATCATCCTCAATGAGCCTGCCTTCCGCCGCAGACGTCGCGGCAGGTCTCGGTGGTGCGGTCGAACCGAAATCGCAGAGCTTGTATATCCTCGATGATCCAGAAGCAGATATAAGCACATTTTCGACCTTTAGATCCCGGTGCAGTAGCGGGGGCTTCAAATAGTGCATGCAGGCAACACCCTCCGCTACATCTGAGAATATCTTTAGGATCTCGGGTTCTGTAAGGCGATGCTGCAGGCGAGTGTTCATGAAGTCAATCAGTCCACCTCCAGAGCAATATTCCATCAGCAGGAAGACCTCATATCCTCCACCCTTCAACTGGGAGGCATGCGAGTCGATATAGGTGACGATGTGCTTGTGCCCCTTGAGCTTCTTCATAGTCTCCACCTCTGTCCGCATGTTCGCCAGCGACTCCTTGTCCGGTACGGCGACTCTCTTGAGGACAGCGACATCGGTATTGTCGCTGCCCGACTTAGGCACCCGCACCAGGTAGACATGGGCGAAGCCTCCTTCAGAGAGGTATTTCTCTATTACAACCCTGTGGTTCCCAACCGTGACCTTTGTACCAGGCACGAAAGTTCCAGCCGGGGCATTGTGAGCAGGCAGTGGAGCGCGATGAACAGCTTGTCGTTGTGCTACTAAAGAGGCTTGTATCGAGTGGAAGGGCGAGGAGGAGGACATGGCGGACTTGACGGAGGGTTTGACCCGCACGAGACGGGACGACGGAGGCGGCGCTATGGGTTTTGCATGGAGACGAAGCAGGAAGCAGGAAGCAGGAAGCAGGTCGAGCGTGGGGATTACTGCAGATACATGGCGGTTAGGCATTCAAGATACAAGGGCCGTGGTTGAGTACAGTGGGCGCCTTGGCAAGCCTTCGCCGGCGGACCTGCATCTCAAGATGCTCGGTCGGGTGTTGCCGAAGCGTCCGGAGTGGCATCCACCTGATATCTCCATATCTCAGGAAACTACACACGCGGGTGAATGTCTTTCTAGTTGCACTCAGTCCAATGGCTGGAGCATACTATTCACCCCTTCTTGACAAGCAATCATGAGGACCATCGATAGCGCCAGGTCAGCCAGACGTGTCCGACACCGCGTGCGATATTGACCTTTCTTAGGCAGTGGTGGCCGCTGCTCGACAAGTTCAACACTCTTGAAGACCTGAAAGATGCCGTGAGACACTCTACGGGGAGACATGAGATAACCACAGGGCTGCGGTCTGTGTGCTGGAAGGTCAATACATGTCACGCGGCTAGAGACTCAGGCGGATGCTTATCCTGCCACTCTAGGCATTTCTGCTTTTCGAGAACGTCGATCGTTCAACATGGCCGACTCTCTTGAATGACTCAAGAGACGCCTATAACTCCTTGCGCGCCCACTTTCTCCGGGCTATTGAGCACCCTGACGAGCTGGAGTCCGCCGGGGATCCTTTAAGTGAGACCGACGAGGTATGACTCCCCAAGCACCATTTGCGTATATATTTCACTCAAGCAAATCTTTCTGACCGGTCACTAAGCCTCGTAAAGTCACCATGGGTAGCCCTCCGCAAAGACGAAGAACTACGTGCCGAGATCTTCCAGGATGTCGAGCGGTGTATGCCAGACAACACGTACTTCCGGCAACCAACGACTCAGAACATGCTACTTGATATCTTGTTCATCTTCTGCAAGCTCAACCCGGACGTTGGTTACAGACAAGGCATGCATGAAGTGCTGGCACCTGTTCTTTGGGTTATCGAGAGAGATGCTGTCAGCTCCACGACCGAACGTCATGCAGAAGGTGATAAGGGTGAACTCCTCCGCGCAATGTTTGACGCCGGCTACATCGAGCACGACACATTTACCCTGTTTGGCCTCATCATGCAAAACGCGAAGGCTTTCTATGAACCTGGCTCAACCGCGCGGACTGCGAAGATTGCCTCTTCGACAGAATCCCCGATGCTGATACGCTGCCGCCGAATCTTCGACCAGCTACTACCTGCTGTAGACCCTGGTCTTGCCGATCACCTAAAAGAAATCGATGTTGTTCCTCAGATCTTCTTAATGTGGGCGAATCATCCCGCTTCCGCATTGCTGTTACAATCACTGACAAAGACTCAGGCGATGGATCCGCCTGCTCTTCGGTCGAGAGTTTCCATACGACGACGTACTCGCTGTGTGGGACTTGCTCTTCGCTGAAGACCCGACGCTAGATTTGGTTGACCTGATATGCGTAGCGATGCTCTTGCGGATACGATGGCAGCGTATGTGACTATCGCCGTCTTTGTCGCAGTCTTGAGTTGCTAACATGATACTGAAGTCATCGAGGCTGACAACAGTACCGCACTGGGATTCCTCCTCCGATATCCAGTACCACAACCGCCGCGGAGCCCGCAAACCTTCGTTGAGGACGCTGTCTATCTCCGGCGAAACCTTGACACCAATGGTGGAAGCCGTCTTGTGGCTAAGTACACTCAACGGCCACTACCTTTAGTCAACCTTCTGGATCAACGGTCAATGACCCCTGAGCGTAAAAACAACAGGAGTCCTTCAATCCGACCGCTTTCTCCTTTTGGTTCGCCTGTAAGAATTGTGCCGCAGCCTACGAATTTCGAGTCTTTGCTCTCTAATGCCGCACGTAACATGTACAAGCGCGGCGAGGAATTAGGCCTCAACAAGGCTGTTCGGGATGCAGTGGGCGAAGTCCGGAAAAACGTACAAGGTCTGCAGAGTGCGCGCAACTCGCCGCGTCCGAAGCAGACAGCGGCCACGTCACTCAGCTCCCCGGAAGGAGCAGATGCGCTGAGCCGCATCACAGCTCTCGAGGAACGCAACAAAAGTTTAGCAAGGATGCTGCAACTTGCAGTAGCCGAGTTATGGGAGTGCCAGAAAGAGACAGCGGAGCTGAAAGAAGCACCTAAGGGAGCTGTTGAGAAGCTAAGCATAGCCATCGCGAAAGTACAGTTCGCGCAGGTGTATCTCGAAGATTCGACCATGCCTTTGCCATCCGATGAGTCGTCAACGGAGCAGGATGCTACTCCGACCGACCCGGCTTCAAAGCCACAGCAACCAGACAAGGAGCGAAGCGAGCCGGAAACACCCAGTGACAAACGACGCGAAAACAGCACAGAAGATGCTGCGGGACGCGCCAATGACCCCCCAGCGGTCAGAATCACAGAACCATCACCGAACTCATCCGCAGAAGCAAACACCGAAACCTCAACTCTTTCGCAAGCGCCGTCGAACCGAGAAAGCAAACGCACCGTAGCAGGCGCAGGCCGACCATCACGAACAGCTCCCCGATCACCACCTCCAAACTTCAACCAGTCTCGTCCCTCGTTAGCTCACTCATCGTTCTCATGGATGCTCGGCCAGGACGAGCGACCTGCTGTAGCTCCGGCCGCAACATCATCGTTCGCTTCTAGGCAGCGGCGCGCCGTCGTTGGGAAAGGCTTTCTGTTTGGCGATCCGGAAGGGGAGGCGGTGAAGACGGATGGAAAGGGGGCTGTTGAGCGGCGGGAGGAGATCTTTGATATGGATAAGTTGAGGAGGGGCGGGGGGCACGATTAATATGAGGAACGTTCTGCGGATCAGTTTGTCGTGGCGAAGGAACGCAACAAAGTGAGGACACGTAGGGGCATGAAGTGACTGTAAGGTCTCAATTTATTCGGAGCGAGTCAATGAGATCTCCGGTCAGACATCGGATCTCGAGCAGAGAGAACATTTGGTACTTATACTTAGAGATTTTCGGCGCTGAATTTTGCCATCCGCACTAATTGAGACTGCCTGAGAGGCTCTGGCGATACTACATCACCCTCCGATCAACAGCAGACCTGCAGAGTACGTACTTGTGGACGAGCACGACGCGCCTCTCAGATGCATCTCTCCTCTGCGCCTACTCGACGCTGCTAGTGTCTCACAAGGACCGCCGGACAGGCTAATCGTGCCATGTGGACGAACCTACACTGATACAGACTAGTACACAGCTGAAGATGGCGAACGAAGACACACGGAAGCGGCCAGCTGCGGGCGAGCAGGCCGTACGTACCTACCCTAGCCATACAATATGGTACGGGGATCGTAGAGTTGACGTAGAATAGGGCGCCCCGCAGAAGAAGAAGAAGAAGCGGAAGACGAAGAGCAAGGAGGAGCGGCGCGCACACCAGGCCGCCAATGCGAAGAAGCCGGGCGCGCGTCCGATAAGGCCTGGCAAGGCACAGCGAGCGGCCGCCAGAGAGGCAAGAGAGGCAGCGGCAGCAGCAGTAGCAGCGGTCGTGGCTACGGAAAGATGGGACGAGGAGCACAAAGAAGAGCAACAAGACGGACGGCCCCTTCGACACCTCCCCTCGCCGCGATACCCAGCCGCACAGCTGCCACAACCGCTCGCCCCCTCGACGCCTTCTCCGCCGATAGAGCGCGCTCCTCCCTCTCCTCTTCGCCCTCATCAGCACCCGGCCTCGACGGGCAGGGGAAGACCGGAGATAGTGCCATCGTCGGCCCGTGAGGGCGGGGTCTCCGGCACGTCGCCTCCTCTGCCGCTTCCAGCGCGGCTGTCGAAGGAAATCTTCGACGTGCAATTGTTGAGGTGGAGTGGGTAGAAGCTTGAGACAGTGGAAGCTGGGCGCAGTCGTTATGGCTTTGAATAGCAGTCACTAAGACACTGGGACTTTGTGGAGTGTGTGACTATGACCTAGATGACTGCTTTTCCCACCACCCGACGTCCGTTTTAGAAGGCATCAGGGCCCTAGCAGAGTCTCTCCCCATTGATAAAAGTCGCCAGACTCCAAAATCGCCCGTCTTGGGCCACCTTCGCCATTCCTTCCGCCTATGCCTCTGACCTAGCTGTATCGTCGCGTTGAACTAGCAATTTCCATCCATGTTTGATACTTATTGCTGTAACCCTAGTGGGCCTCCAGGCTGTGCAAATCCTATTTCAAAACCCGTCCATCACTACATGGGCTTCCAGTCATGATCTTCCTGGGTTGCTTTTCTAACACTGCCCCTTCGCCCTGTCGTTCTCAATAATAGAACACAGTTGCTTCGAGAGGCAACGAGGTTGGATGCCTGGGCGCCCGTGGGCCAAGACAGACACAAGAATTCCGCTGCGTAAGCCGAAAGCGGACGCTCCGAAAAAGCTTACAACAACGTGGCAGTTCCGAGGGGAAGCTCACCGGAAAAGTGTTTCTTGAGGCAGCTGGGCAACCGTGCCGATGTCATCCCCCGGCGCTGATTGGCGGTAGGGATTCGTGCCTGGATCAAGAAAACGCCCTGTTGGTGGTGGGGGGAAAATGCGGGGCTATCGCGGCCTTGGTGCTGGCTGGCACGTGGGGATCCATTTCTTGTCGATCTGAACTGCGGTTTTGGAGACTAAAATAAGTTATTTGACTTGTGTTCGTCGGGGGCTGTGAACCAAGATTGAAAGTAGGCAGTGACACAAATCCACAGCGTGATTGGACGGCGCTTTTTTCTGCACTTGATTTTAGTAGCACACTTCCGGGGTTTGATTCTGTAAGATGATGCTGGAGAAATATTTTGACATGAATCTCCTCGGAAAAAGCAAAGGATCCACTGCAAGAGAAACCTGAAAGTTGAGGGAATACTTTGTTGTGACGCCCCTTGTACCTGAGGGGTAGATATCTTTTAGGAAGGAGATTTGAGGCTCTGGTCTTTTGGTCTATTTTTCTTCAATCCTGTCTCAGAGGGTAAGCATTCAGCTCGACATTCGTCCAGGTCCATTGGGGAAAGTGCGTGCGAACCTTCCGATGCCGCAAAATCACTACAAATCCAAATGAAGCCCAAGTATGACATAGCAGACTCGGCATTCCGCGGATATCCTTGGCCGTTCCGTGCCAAGCTGGTGGAGAGGGACAAGAGTACGGGAATGCGGACTTGGGGCCAAGCTGACGGCTTTTCGAAGACCCCTTGGCATGCCGATCGGGGGCCCCAGCTGGTACATGACGGCCGGAAGTTCCTAGGGTACCGGCACGCGCGACAGGAAGGCCTCGCACTCTGAACTGCTCGGTATGTCAGGAGCTCAAGCGGTATGCTCTCGGATTGCGAACCTTGGACGGTGGACGGGCTGTAGAGCTGTCATCGATTGCTTTGTCCTGTGATGGGCATTCTGGCCGTGTACCTCCGCCCATTTAAGATCACAGGGGTCGCGCGTCATGCTAGGAAGCCCTACTGCTTGGCTGCTCGAAGATGGTATAGCGCGAGAAGCGCTGATTTGTTGACATGAAAGACCTGGGGCAAGGGTAGATTTAAAAAGCCGTTGCGGTATCCGGACGATAGCATATTCAATTCAAAGTCAGACCGAGCTGGAGTTGTGCTTACATCAAGGGGTGAAACTGTAGCTGGCTATACACGGCAAGGACGACGTGATACTGAGGAGTGTGACGCCTCTGTGCATTGACCACCTAAGAATATCCTCAAAGCCATGACCCATGTTCAAGTCCACCACCTCCCCAGCTCCAGGTTCAACAACCGTCAAATTGAAACCTGCAACGTCCTTTTTCGGTTAACGCTTGGGGGCGGTGCAAGACTCGCCTGCCAGTGGTCCGCCCTTGGCTGCTCAAATACCAAGTCCTCCCCGCGGACGCTCAAGCCATCCTTCTTCCAGCTTCACTCTCGCTCAAGATATTCACCTAACAACCGCATACCGAGCGCTCGGAATCCGCTTATCTCGAAGAACGTTCGCAAAGCGCACCAAGTCTACAAAACACAGAACCGCAGCTCTTGACATCGCTCAGCGGAAACAGACCATTTGGGTACTCTGCCAAGCACGCATTTGTCTCGGCGGCCATCATCTCAACAGACATTATGTCCACTGCAGCTGAGCAGAACTCGGCGCAACCGCAAGTCGGTGCTCCTGTGAGCACAACGCCGCCAAACCAGCCGCAAGCACTCCCACCTGCTGTGTCTGCCGCGACCTCGAGCGCGACGGGCGACTCGCTTACATGCCAGTGGGCCAACTGCGGCGAGCGATGCGCGACCCCAGAGCAACTCTATGTAAGCAGCATTGTCTGAAAACGCATAAACCGTCGAGCTGAACGTGCTCCAGGATCATGTTTGCGAGCGTCACGTCGGTCGCAAAAGCACCAATAATTTGAACTTGACCTGTCAATGGGGCAACTGCCGCACGACGACAGTCAAGCGCGATCACATCACCTCGCACATCCGCGTCCACGTCCCGCTGAAGCCGCACAAGTGCGACTTCTGTGGAAAGGCTTTCAAACGCCCTCAGGACTTGAAGAAGCACGTGAAGACTCACGCTGATGACTCTGTTCTGCTCCGATCGCCCGAACCAAACCGAGCCCAGCATGCTGGAAACCAAGGTGGCTATCCGCCCAACAGCGGCAAACGTAAGTCGCAACTCTTCGTCTGAAGCTAACATGTATCAACCACCGCCTGTCATGTTTTTAATCATTCAATTCATTTCCTAGATTCTAACTTTTGCTCGAACAGTTGTCGCTGACTTGCAGGCTGTTGCTGCTACAGCGAGTGGATACTACCCAGACAACAATCTAGGACCCAATCCAGGCTATGGCCATCAGAATGGCAGCGGTCCGGCGGCCTACTACGGCTCCGCACCGCAGAACTCTACCTACGGTCCGGTTTACTATGCAGTAAACCCAGCCGCAGCCCTCAGCAACGACTCGTATGAGATCCGGAAGCGTGCTGCCATGGACGCGCTTAATGAGTTCTTCGGCGACGCCAAACGTCGAGCTATTGACCCGTCCACTTATTATGACGTGGGTCAGCGTCTCATGGCTCTCCAAGGCCTCAGCCTACCTGGCATGCCTATGATGGGCGGCTACCATAACGGCGGCTATGGAGGCGGTGCGGCCGACTATGGATCTGGCCCTACGTTGGCTTCACCGGCTGTCCATGGACCTATTCCTCAGCACCAATATTCGCTTCCCCTTCCCAACTTGAGGACCAAAAGCGATCTCGTCAACATCGACCAGTTCCTTGAGCAGCTTCAGGCTACCGTATACGAAAACTCGAACCACGCTGCTGCGGCCGGAGTTGCTCAGGCTGGATCGCACTACATCCACCCAGCCTTGAACAGCAACTATCGCTCGAGTAACTCTCCACCGGGAATGATGCAATCGTCCCAGCCCGGCGCGGCCGCTTCTCTCCCAACGCCGTCGTCTGCTGATACGCCTGCATTGACGCCTGCGTCGAGCGTGATGTCGTACGGTTCTGCGCACTCGCCGAACTCCGTCCACTCTGCCCACACCATCTCCCCAATCTCGAGACCGAGCATTGGCAGCATGTACCCAACACTCCCGTCCGTCAGCTCAATCTCGGACATCTCTGGAGCATATCCCGCGACCACCAGTGCATCGACTTCTGGTCTTGCATCGTATGATCCGAACGACCGCCGCCACTACTCCAACCCTATGCTTCAAAAGGCGCGCGTCATCCGCAACCAGGACAGGATGGAGACAGACGATTCACCGTCACCTGAAGATTCGCCCCGTGGTTCCACTGACGCTAAGATGGCGATGAGCCCTCCACACACGGAGGTGGCTCCCACCCCGACCGTCAAGTCTCCCGCTTCGAACTCGCACTCGCCTGCTGGCATGGCAGAGAAGGCGCAAGAGTCGTGGGTTGAGAACATTCGCGTCATTGAGGCTTTGCGATCAATGGTTAAGGAGAAGCTGGACCATGGTGAGTTTGAAGAGGATTCTCACCCGAGGGCAGAATCACCGAGGGACAACAGGGAGATGACGGATGTGGATCTGTATCCTGTCTTGCGAGCTGTGCGGGATGGCGAGTAGGCTGGGGAACAGACGCTGGTCGGCTGCTTTGGGTGGTGGTACTCTGTTCACGGCAACTGCGTGGATATGTATGGGATACATGTTATGGCTTACGGCTGATGTTTTCTTACCGCTTCTTACTAGGAGCGCGCGTCTATCGCGCCAGGTGGCTGGGAGGGCTTAGGGATTGCTTCAGGTTTATGATACTGGGACTTGAGGGGGAATCTGGTACTGGCACAAAGTTTCGTAGGCGTTATAGTGAACACTTTCTTCGCGTTCAACATCGATCTACTAGAACTGGCTAGCTGTCTTCTTGTCTTCCTGACTACCTGCATGCGTTCTAATCGTCAGACTACGGAGCCAGATTCGCGTTTCAACTCAACCTTCCCCGCTGACATCATCGCCAACAGCCCACCATGCCAAGAACTCTCGATGCTGATACCCTCTAGATAACTTATCTATGTTGTGACGCGCCTCAAGAAGCACTGTTGTGCTCGCGTCTAGGTTCCCTCAAATTCTTTGAGCTTTCGTAAACACTGAGTCCTTCCAAGCCCTGCCACACGCCGGAAGCTGCATAGAATCCTCCACCGCGTGCGTAACACAGCTATCCAAGCAAACCCCCACCGCTAGCAGACCTTCTCAGGCGCCGAATCCACACTCAAGATGCCCACCTGGGGCCGAGGCGGCGCGGGCAACATCATGACCGACGCGCAGATCGAGGAGGAAAACAGGCGAATATCTGCTGTACGTCGTAGAAGTCAACCGTGAAACCGATGCGGCCCTCCCACAATCCTCTCGCGGGCGCTTAAATCCACGCAATGAATGCAAACGCCTCGCTCCATAGACGTCCTGCTTCAGCATGGCTCACAAAACCTCCCCTACTGCAGGACCTCGAAGCCCAACAATCCGCCGCCGAGACCTTCGCCGCCCCTACCCACCGCCCTAGCTACCCGACCACCACCACCCCCACCGCATCCCAGTCCCAGCAGTACGCCCTCTCCGGCCGCGGCGGCGCCGGGAACTGGTACTCCCCTGCCGACCTCGCCTCGCGCGGCACCTTCGTCTCCACCACCACTGCCACCTCCAGCAATTCCCTCGTACCCGAGCCCTCCCCACTCGATCCCTCCACCAGCAACTTTGACACCCATCCACGCACCGGCTCCGTCTCTCCGAACCCCCCACCGACAGCCTCAGCTCCCGCAGCCGCGGCCTTCGCGGAGGTCAGCGCAGGACATCGGGGCCGCGGTGGCGCGGGGAATTATGTCTGGGACGGGCAGCGGGAGGAAGAGGAGAAGTTGAAGAGAGAGAAGGAGGACAGGGATCGGGAGGCTGAGGTTAGGGAGAAGGCGGAACGGGATGTCGAGACGGGGCTTGCGAGGCCGGGGAGGGCGAAGTTGGAGCCGGGGGGACGGGTGGGGAGAGGAGAGGAGGGGGGAGGGGGGGAGGAGTGGAGAGAGTGGGTGTGATGTGGGAGGTGTGGTTGAGGGAGGAAGTGTTCCATTTGGCGTCAAGGCGGATTTCAGGGGCAGATTTTCCCGGTCTTGTGTCAGGAGGTAAGTGGCAATGGAGAGCCACTACGTAATGCCAGGCAACGGGACTGCACGGTTACTGAGATCTTACTTGGATGTGACGGAATAGATTGTGGTGGTATAGAAGTTTAACGCGTCCAGCCACTACCGAATACAAGCCAGCTGCCCAGCCGAGCCAGTCTGTGACAGCATTATACTGGAAACTCATGCGAGACCCTTCGACCGAAACTGCCACACCCAAATGCCTGGTGTTGTGTCTCGATGACGAGCATGGGTGCCGAGCGGTCGCCAAGCGGGTATGTCGAGCATCGAAGACATATTTACTGCTCGGTCTGGAAGTAGTTGAGCAGGATGGAGCGCTCCTGCGACTCCTCACCCCAGTCGCGGACGACGACGCAGGAGCAGTTGACAACCTTGCGGGCGTTGCCTTCGCGGTCGATTTGGCCTGTAGAGACCATATCAGTCCCACCATTCCACGCCACCGACAAGACAGAGGTACTCACACAATCCAGCCCACTCGCCCAGCTGCTTCCCATCCGGCACCTTGATAAGCGGGATCTTGTGTTCCGAGCAAAGCGCAACAACGAGCTTCTTGTACGCCTCCTCCTCGCAGGCCTCGTTCAGCACACACATGTGCGCCTGGCGCCTGTCCAGCGCCTTGCTCGCTTCGCGCAGGCCTCGTGCCAGCCCGTCGTGGATGAGCGCCATCTTCAGGACGCCCTTGAGGGCTTCGAGGACAGACATTTGGCCTTTGCCGGCGGAGGTGTCGGCGGAGATTTCGACTTCGCCGGCCTCGGCGGCGACGGGGGAGGTGGGCTCTTCTACATCCGACTGTGGGAGGAGAACGGGTTGTTAGCTTGGTGGTACATGGAGGTGAGGATGACGGTGGGCCGAGAGTGTTCAATTGAGCGGTGGTTTAGACGCGCTGATTGTTGTTGTAATAATGCGAGCGGGCGTCTGTTTGAAGCATACCATCTTGAGTGATTTATCGAATGATCCTCGAAGAGTGTGGCGGATTGAATCTGTGTCTTGGTGTTTCGGTGTCGAGAAGTTCGACCTTCAATTTTGGTGTGCCGGCTGAAGCGAGCGGCTGCTTCCGTGCACGTGACTGAAGACCCCGGCAAGCTAGAGGCTCGCAGGTGGCTCAGGCACACTGAAAGTTGGAGATGAAAACTTCAAGCCGTCATAAAACAAATTATATTGTCTACATGTTAACTCATGGAGCCCCGGAGGCCAGCGCCAGGGACGTTGTGGTGAAACGGCGGACACGAGGGACTATCACGGCAATCAAGGCGCTTATATGAACGCAAGTCATTGAAGTTATCAGCAGCTTCCCGCACGTAGCAAAGTTTCAGTGCCTGAGGCGGAATCCCGCTCTAGCCCCCTTCTTTTCGGTGCTCAGGGTAGGATGGAACTACGAAATAGATACAGCCAGTCAATGGCTCAGACAGCAATACAGCCAGACACGCTAAACCGAGCAAAGGAAGCACTTTGACAGAGACATGGTATGAGCAAAAGTAAAGAGAAATCAACGCCGCCGTGGTGATGATGTAGAGAGCCGAGATACCTGCAACAACAACAACAACAACAACAACAAGAGGTCCAAGCCCCATCAACGGTGCCACGTGATCCTTCTAAACTCCTCTTTAGCAGACCAAAACGCGTGATTTCCGCTGTACAGCATGTGCAAGCTAGCAAAGTAATAAAGAACGAAGCAAGTTGTAACAGCGTGGCCCAATCGAAAATCTACATAATGACACAGCAGCCACACGACTTCTTTTCCTTCCCCTCCTTATCGGGCGGATCCTGTACTCTGATCCTCTCAGTCGGCCTATCTGTAGTAGAGCTTCTCGTCTCAGTTGCAGGTCTGATAGGAGGTGCAACCTTAGCTGGAGGGGTAGAGCTAGAGCTCCGTTGCTGCATTTGTGGGCTCGGTACCCGCACCGCCGGCATCGTGCTGTAGCCGCCATGCTGACTCCCGCCATTGCCAGGTCTCAGGTTATCCGATTCGGCCTTCTCGGTCGGCGGGGTAGAAAGCGGCCACTGCGGCGGCTGCTCTTCTTCTTTCTGCGGTTCAGGCGCTTGCTCTTCTTTCGGCTTGGCCTCGAGCCTGGCAAAGTCGTCCGTGTTGAGGAGCCTGAACTCGGTGTCGTATACGGACCCGGTCTTGCCTTCCCGCTCCCACTGCTCCTGAGCCAGCTTCTTGGCGTGCGTGGGGAGCATTTGCTCTTCGGGCGGCAGCCTTGGATCCGGCTTGTACATCGTAGCGATCCACGGTGCTTCGCCTTCCGGTCGGGCTGTGGCAGGCCGAGACGCGCCTGAGCTTGTGCCCGGTCGCCGAGGTGAGTCCTTGTGCGTTGCGGAGGTCGCTCGCGGTTTGGTCCCCGATGTGGCTCTGCTGGTCTTCCTAGAGCCAGATGTAGGGGTCGTCTTCGACGGGACTCTAGCTTTGGGCGGTGAGGTTGGAGGAGAAGTGGCTTCCATGCTCGTGCCGCGCCGTGATCGAGCGGCCGAGTCGTTCATGTCGTCTGGAAGCACGGCGCTCTCAGCTGTGGCGCTGCGGTCTCGAGTTTTGCTGACTGCGACGCCATTCTCGTACAGGCCGCTCCATAGTCCGCTTCCGCCACGGCTGCGTGGCCGCGGCGAATCTCCCGCTACTAGGGGGCGTGGTACTGGTGCCGGGCTGGTCTTTGCGAGGGGTATGCGGGAGGTGTTGGGCCGTACTATGTGCTGGCGTGCTCCTTGGTTTGCTTGTTCTCGCTCGTGCTCAGCAGCCGCCTCATTCCTCGTTCTGGGGTCGTAGTCCACATCGCCGTTCTCTGACGCCTCTGATGCTGGTATGGGCGAAATTGCGTGTTGTCTCCTCTCCTGAAGTGGTGGGTAGTGGCCGTTGATTCCGTCATCCTGCTTAGTATCTTTGCTGGTGTCGCCGAGGCTGGCATTCCGCCGATGTCTCGAGTGGCTAGCAGATCTGCTGGGTGGGTTGGATCGACTTGTGCCGCGAGCGCGCAGTCCAGCTTCCTCTAACTCCCGACTCTCGATCTGGGCAAGTTTGTCTCTGTGTATCCACTTCGACTCGTCGTCCTCGTCATTCTTGTCCACACCTTGAGAAGCTTTTCTCGCATCACCAGCTCCAATATGATAAGAGTTCTTCCGACTTTCAGATCCGCCTTTGTAGAGCTCCAGAAGGCTATCCGGCTCACTCCCTGCTGCGCTTACCTCACTGCGTTTCCGACCGAGTGCATCGACTCTATTTGGTATCAGGTGGCTTGAGTATTGATAGTCTGTAGCGTCACTGCTTTTCGGAGGTAGTCGTGAGGCGCCGTTGGGCTGGGTTGCGAGTGGTTGACGAGACGGGTAAGGTTTAGAGGGTGCGGGATCGGATGTAAGAGGCTTCTGGTCTATCATGACGGAGTTCTGTTGGCCGCAAACCACATCAGTAAGCAAGAGGCTGGGGAAACCGGAATACCCAGGGCGGTGTTCTTGTGGAGACAGTGAGAGGTACCTCTATATCCAGCGGTACAGCGTAATCCCATGAGCCTCCCCCATGCGAACTGCTTGGGGGAGTAAGTCTGCCGGCAGCGTACGCTGAAGAGACCGCAGCCATGACTAGTATGTTGCCGCTAACAAGATTGATCTCCTTGTGCGCTTCCGAAGTTGTCTCGTAGGGGCTCTCTTTTGCTGTGTAGAACACTTGGAGGTAGTCAAGCTTCGAGACACGATCTTCACGTGGGTGAATGTAGAGGGGCTGGTTTCGAGGCTGGGAAAGAATATGACCGGGATGATGAGTTTTCGAGGCGCGAAGAATGAATCGATTCTACGGACTGCGGTCTACCGGTATGCCATTTGGTGAACCTGCTGGAGCTGTGGTCTCAGAGTAGAGGGTTCGGTGGTGTTCTAGTGGTGGGAGCTCAGAAAAGCCGGCGGGAGTTGCGTGCAGCAGCGGGGATCGGGAAGTCTTGCATGCACTATTCTGATGGGATCACCCAATCTCAAGTCGTTTCAACGTGCGGCGGTGAAGGATGTCGGGTTATCTGTAGAGGTTTCGAGTACGGAGGAGATGGGCGTATCTAATGGGCGTTTGAAGCTGTGCTCGGGCATCATTGGCACGGATCCTGGCCAATTTCGCGGGCGGCTGACGGTGGGCAGCCTCGGGGACCCTTGACCCAAAACACCCCCGGAAACTGCCACCCGGGGCCGCGACATTGGCGCCAACGGCGCCCTTGATGAACCAGCGAACGTCGTGATGCTTTGCAATGACACACTCCACGCTCACGTTCCGTTGGTGTATCAAGCAATCGTGGCTAACATTCCATCTACTGATGAATGGCTAGGATCATGTCACTTTGTTGGCTTGCTATATGATTGGCATCGATGTATCCTCGTTCACCTCCAGGTCAGTCTACGAAGCCATCAGTCTGATGTTCTAGTGATGGGGGTTGGTTCTGGGCGTCAGCAATCAATGCCTTTGCATCTTGGGATAGACTGCTAGCTGAATAGAGGCTGTATGACAAACAGCTGGCTCTCCTTGCGCCGTTGAGTGCTATCCTCATTGGTGTGTTGATAGGTCAAATCCACTCACTGTCTCTCCTCTTTCTATTGTAGCATTGTTCTTGCCGTAATGCGTTTACACTCAAGATATTAGCGTCGTCATTGAGGTGGGTTGTGTTGAGTCAGTGAGTTGAGAGACTTCTAGTCATTCTATTCATGCCATTCGCCAGCCAATTTTCGAACCTTCGCATCACAATCATTTTCCTACCGTGACAATCGTGACTCAAAATTCTGCTATCGCTGTTGAGCCTTGTCAAACCAGAATCAGCGGTGTGTCGGCACTCCGTTCATCCCATTCATGCTCAAGAGCTTGTTCATGCTATCCACGACTACGCTCCATTGTTCGCTATTCCGCTGCTGCCGCCATCCTTCACAAGCACTCGAGAGGTATACAAGAGTCCTCCTCTCACCTCAGAACCTCTTGCTCCAAGCGCCCTTATCCTCTATCTTCCAACATCATCATCTCAAACTCACCATCACCACCACATCGTCTCTCTACCCCCTCTTCATCCTCTTATCAACCCTATCTTCGCTGGTCGGAACGGCTTTCTCGTGCGCCGGCCCTCTACTTCCCACCCTTGGCTAGAGACGCTAGTGTCTCGATGCCCCCTACCCAGCAGCAGCCGCGCCACGAGGTAAGACATGGCTGAGAGAATCCAACTCCGACACCCCCTATCAGGTTGCTGAAGCTCTCTAGATGCTGACGCCCCCTCCATCTCCCCAATACCTCCAACAGCTGGGTGTCAGCCAGGGCCGGCCTACGGCGCAGGGCGGAGGCCGCGTTCAATGCTGCCGCAGTAAGTTATGCCTTGGAAGTTCCATCCCCACTGCCTTTTGACATGTTGCTGAAGATCGACAGATGGAGGCTGTGTGGTGCCCTCTCCCCTCCTCGCCATCCTTTCTCTCCTATCGCGTCCTCCCCCTCGCCACCATAGAGCGGCAGCAGCAACAGCCTGCCGCCAGCTTGGCGGACGTTTCGGCGCTCGCCGACGCCCCGCTTGAGGCTGCTATCATAAGTTGAATCTCTGATCCTCCACTCCACCCAGCCTTTAACATGTCATTGACGTCTCCAGACCCCGCCCACCGCCACCGCCACCATCGGTCCCGAAAAGGCCAAATCCAGCTCCTCCTCCCCCATATCCTCCCCTCCCGCCCAGCTCGAGGAACTTGAGGCCCTTCCCGCGCTCCCACAATCTGCGCCGCCCTCCCTCCTCACGGGCCTGAGGTTCTTTCCTGTACCTGGTGTTGCGAACCGCACACCACCGAGGAGTGCCTGACGCACTCTATGTGCCCGCAGTGCGGCGCCACCGGGCACCAACCGCTCACGTGCCTTGTCCTGGGCGACTCCACAGGGATGGTGCGGCGAGCGCGGATGGTGGAGAGCGAGCTCATGTGGAGGCTGTGGCCGCGACTACCTCGCGATACACGCAAGTGTCGAGACGACGAGGTAAGTCACACGTCCCCTTCATCGCTGGCTCCGCTAACCATCATAGGCCTTCACCTGGATCGACAACGTCATCACGAGAGGCTCGACCTGTGCCCGGTGCTGGGAGAAGGGACATGACTACAAAGCGTGCCCTTATATCCCGTGCGACTGCAGCAGGATGGTCGGGTTTCCCAATGTGCATGGCGTTCAATAAGAAAGCTTTTCGGAACGGCTGCACCTGCATCAGCAAAAGTTTCCGCTACTTACGGCGTTGGCGGATGCGGTGGTGGAGATGCCGGATGCGGAGATCTTGGCTGCGAGGCCGAAGAAGGCGCTGAAGAAGCGGCGCTGAGCGGGTGAAGAGGTCTTTGCTGGGTTAGTGATGGGGTTTCTTGGGTTTGCTTTTGGGCGTTATGGGATGGTGTTGGTCTGCCGCATGTTTCTTCGGTCTCCATGGCTAGGTCAAATTCTCTTTCGATAGCATGCAGGCAAAAAGTAAGATCCTTCGTCATGATCATGAGTCCACATCCTCCTGAGATTTGCCAAGAATGACAATCCTTATCGAATCATGTTATGTAAAACACTTCTGGATTCGAAACATATGTCCACTCAGCATCAGTAGTACGCGGTAATATCAAAAGGGGGTTTCAGTCACGTGCCTCTCCCTTCCCATCACCCTGAGAGACCTCATGGCCCAGCTTCACTCCTCAGAAACGCTACCATGAGATGCAGCTCAGCCCCAAAACATACAAACCGTCCCGCTCCTCCAGAGATACCGCACCCGCACCATCGCCCTCCTCCAGTCGTCCCGTGCTCGCCAACTATGCCTCGCACCACCTCACCATCGGCTGTGGTGTTGCGATCTTCCACGTCGCGTCTGCGCGGGTAGTCCTGTGCTTCCACAGTAGAGACCGATACTGGTTCCTGCCCAAGGGCCGGCGGGATGCGAACGAGGAAAGCGGGCCGGCGGCGGAGAGGGAGGGGTATGAGGAGGTAAGGTAGCTGGCCATTTACCTTCTTGCCTGACTACTATCTACACCCCACAGATTGGTAAAATACCCGCGGAGCTTTGAGTGATTGTGGGACATAGTCCGGCTACCGCAACCGCCTCCTCCCCCTCCCAATCCGGCACCGCCAACCACGCGCCCACGCTCCAGCGGCCGCGCACTCACCCTTCTCGACCGAGCCCGTCTGGACGCAGTTGATACCGCAGTCCGCGACGACGCAGTATATACTCTTCTGGTATATTGCTGAAACGCTGCCACCGAACCTTCAGCCCCCCACCACCGGAAACATCCCCGCTTCTTCTACCACCCCTTCCACAGACACTTCCCCGCCTCCCCAGTCCCCCACTGCATCCTCCACAGCCTCAACACCACAGAAACCACCCTACACACCACCCTCGACCTATCCCCCTACTCTGTCCCTCCGCACACGCATCGCGCAAGAGCCTCCGGGGTACGAACCCCCGAAAGAAGAGGGCACAGGGGTAGATGCGGAGGAGGCGCTGTATCTAAGCTCCCTGGTGCCGGTTGCCGAGGCGCGGGAGAAGCTGCGTGGGAGCATCATGGCGGATGTGGTTGCGAAGGGTTGGGAGGCCGTGCTTGCGAGGTTGGGTATGGAGGAGGCTGAGGCTGAGGCTGGTGGGTAAGGTCAAGGGAGAAAGCAGATGAGTGGAATAGGGATAGGGATAGGGCTGAGGGAGGATGGCGGGCGTAGAGGAAGTTAAGACGGGTTTTGGCGGGCTTACGAGGGTAGTTTCTAGCGCAAAGGATGGGAGAAAAGGCCGTCTCATGCTCGGGTTCGCCGTCATGCCCAAGAGGAGAGGAGCTCCTCGAGTACAAGTCACCACGCCAAGTACTCATACTTATTGATAGGCTCATATCCAATGATGTGTTCGTTTTTCTAAGTCGTGATGCCGTTACATTGTTTTCGATTCGTGCCCGTGTTCCGTCTTACCTAACCAAGTACGCAGCTCTTGACCGTTCCACCTCGCAGGTCGTCCCAAAAGAAAGATGGGGTAGAGATATACAGCGAAACGAATCTTTCCCTTCAATACCGACAGCCGAAAAGGAGACCGTCAATCCAGCCCAGCAGCTTGGCACACCCTTCCAGCACAACCCTCTACCAAGAAAAGCTCTCCTCACAAAGATCCACATTCCACCGCCCCTGACTCCCCCTCACGGCGCGCCTAACATCATCCGCCAAACTCCCCGTCCCACACACACTAACCACGGCCGCACCAACCCCATGTTCGAGCTCCCCTTCAACCAGGGCTCTAACATTCGGCCTCCCCGCAAACATCTTAACATTCCCACTCGGACTCTCGATCTCCGTGGGACTCCGCGGGCGGGTGACGAAGATGAGGATCTTGAGGACCTCGCGGCGGCGCGGCATGCACAGGATGCTGTTCATCCAGCTGGAGGTCCACTCGAGGTGCTCGCGGGATTGGATCATCCAGATGAGCGTCACGCGGCGGGCGGCGACGGTGCCGTTGTCGAAGCCTGCGACGAGGTGGCGCAGGTGCGGGACTTGGTGGGTTATTCCTACGCCGGCGGCGAAGAGGATTACGGTGCCGTAGGAGGAGAGGGATTGGTGGCCTGTGGGTGGAGAGGGGTGTTAGCAACGCACGAGAAGGAGGGAGACAAGAGTGGGCTTACCGTAGGGGCCCTCCACGAGGGCGCTAGTGGTGAACTTCCCGCTTGAGCTGAGGTCGGCCTTCTGGTACAGCTTGTCCGTGAAGCCTGTCCGGCGGCGGATGATCATGCTCATCGACGACTTCTTCACCTCGAGGATGTCCTGGTTGTGCACCACGAGGCCCTTCTCGGAGGTGAGTCCCTCCTGCTCCTCCTCGCTCCAAGCAAGGGAGAACGGGTGAGATGTCCACCAGCCGAGGGTAGGCAGGTAAAGGTAAGCATGTTGGCCGGGGTGGAACTTCCACGGACGTGCCATGCGGACCGTGACGCGGAGGGCGTCGCCAGGTAGCACTTCGACGTCGACCTTAGTGCCGCCTCTGCCGACGTTGCGGATTATGATGCGGGCGAGGCGGAGGGACCGTTCCATGGCCCAGAGAGCGATCACGCCCATGAGGATGCGCTGTTGAGGTAGGGTCTTCAGATGGATCCATACGGCGCCCACGGCAAGGCCGGCCAAGGCAATGTGGATGTGAAGGAAAGTCTCGTAGAAGGCGTGGCGAAGAACGGACGGCGATTGGAAGAGGAGTCCAAGGAATGCTACGGTGCCCTGCAATAGAATATTAGAACACCAGCTGGATTGCGGATCGTCATGTGCTTACTATGGTACCAGTCATGATCAACTGGCTGTGGGTCATGGCTGCGGCAACACCGCTCCATCCAACTAAAACCATCAGCACACAATCATCATCGCAGGCGTATGCCTCGTGGGAACCAACCTTGATGGACCTTGCTGACCATCCAGGCAAGTGTATGCGCCAGGGCCTCGAGCACGACAACACGACCGATCCAGCGGTGAAGGAGATTGAAGGTATCAAACGAGATACCGCACCACTTGATCAATGGATTGTTACGGCCGGCTAACAGGAAGAGAGGGAGCATGTTCATGACGGCAAGGACACCGGTGCGATTGCGCAGCTCGCTGGCGACTGATTTCTCCACTCCACTCCAGTCGATGCTCACGACACAGAACGCTACGTTCATCGCAAGGTAGCCGGCCAGGTATAGCGTCTGAATGCGACTGGGAAGAGTGCCGACATTGAGGGCGGCGGACAGCTTGAACTCGCGGTGATGCCTCATGTGGAGGAGAGGCGCGTCGATAAAGTCCCGTTTCAGTAGGGCGTGGGTAGGGCGGGACCGGGCGAAGAAGCGCTGAGTATCGTTATTGAGGCATGTGATGGTGCGCACATAGCGGACGCTATGGACAATGATTTGGTAAATGACGAGGGAACCGACACATGCGACCCAGGTCCAGCAGATAATCCTCGAGAAGTGGACGTTCTCGAAGTCGGCCTCGGTAGGGCCCGTTGGAGCGCCTGCAGGTCCTGCTGCGGATGCGGTACTCGCCAGCACTGCGAGGAGCGCCCAGCGCATCGTGGTTGGGGAGATCATGTCGTAAGAAACGCGAGCGTACATCGCCGCGTTAAAGGCTAGCTATGGCGACAGAGATAGTAAGGATACACGTGGTGGGAGTGATACGGGGCCGAAGCTTTTTGGCTAAGTGTTTCTGTCGAGCAATCGGCAGCAGGCGCACTGCTAACGAGTGCGGCCAGTCTAGAGGCTGGTAAGGTTAAAGATGATATTTTAGTACGTCAGCGCATCCAAGTCCTTCTTGGTGGGCTCGGGCTGTGTGATGTCGACAAGGCGGATCAGCTGCAGCGAGTTCTCTGTTGGCGGTAGAAGCCGGCGTCTTGTCCTTCTCGGATGTTTTGATGGTGGATTGTAGTCGCACAGCAAAGGCCTAGGCCGAGACCAATCTTCAGATACTGCGGAGAACGGCTGCTTGTGGTAACAGTAGACTTGGCAGCGGGCGATGGAAAACGGACAACGGGACGACGGAAGGAATGAGGGCGGCCTGGCACCTGGGTGGAGGTCGAGCTGTTGAACGTGGAATGCACTTCCGTAGGACAACACCCGCGTGATAGAGCGATCTGGTCAATGCAGGAATGCGAAGCGTGGAAATCGCGGGTGAGAGAAAATGAATGACAGTTGAAGCGCACGGCACTCAAGAGCGAAGAGAAGGACGGCAACGAAAACGAAGTCGGAAGGGAGTTGGGTCGAGATGGGTAAATCTGCTGCAGTATGGACGGTCGTGGTGGAGACGTCCAGCCTCCAGGGCTTCAAGGGGGGCCTGGCAGGTTTCAGCTGCAGGAACAGTGCCTTGCAGGCCGGCTCGCCGTCTGATTTGGTGAGGGCTAACCGCTTTTCCCCATTGAAACGCGCCGGCGAAACGGCAGGGCAAAGTGATCGGCGAGTTAGTCTGATCACCAACTGCCGTCATCTGCCGCCAGGCTATCACAATCTCCTCCAAAAGGGAGCCAGCGTTTTGGCCTGCTGCTGCCACCGTTGCGATGACACGCAGCCATACTCGACTGACAGTCTGCACACGTTTGATGGTAGTGTCGCCTTGAATCAAGTGTGCGCCATCCCCCGCCATTCCGCTCTAGACGCCAGAAAAGTTCGAAACGAGCACGTTTACGGCTTCAGTCTTCGTCACCCGATGAATCCATGCGCCTGGTCATCAACTCCCGCAGTCGCACAGGTACACGCCGTGCACGCCGGGGATGGACGGACCGTACGGATTTCTGCCGTTGGCCGCTTGTCGGACAAAGGATGACGGCCGTCTCCCTTGATGCAGGACGGCATCAAGCGGGTTGTCGTCAAGTCATGTTTCGCTCGGACGCAGGAAGCCTTGGAGCATTGCAAGCTTGAATGACGCAACGGGTAAACCCCTACTGCCTTACGAAAAGCAGAATGAAAATGTTTCAGCGCCTCTAAGCCATCACGTGACTCTCCAGCACTGATTCCAACATTGAGAGAACATTGCTTTGGCACAGCAACGACACTTCTGTCAACCCCTGCATCGAACGCTGTTGAGCAGTCCCAAACCCGACACGGACTCATTTCGAGGGATTTTGGGCTGCGGAATCCTGCTCAATCCGTCAGCTTCAGCTCCAGAGCCGCAGATCACCTGCAGTAGAGCACTCACCAGATACACCTGATAGAAGTCCATCTTGACCTTGCCTTCCTGCTTTACCAAATGTGCATGGGCAGACCAGTCAACATTCGCCTTCCGCCCGTCCTTGAGCTCGTAGTCCACAGTGCCGAACAGCATCACTTCGTCCGCGTTCGCGCCGTAGGGGAACACTTTCAGGGGCTTGTGAAGACGGCCTGAGACCTTCTCCCACAGGCCTTTACGGAGGGCAAGGATTTCTGTATGCAGAGTCTCAGCCATATGAAGCAAACGGTGAGGTGGGATTCTGGCAGATCACGTGCACGCATCTGGCATACCTGAGCGGCCTTTGGCTTTCTTAGACGCCATGATTAGGGTGGCGTCTTCGGTAAACGAATCTGCATATTTGTCGTGCGCATCGGGGGTGTCGGATGTCGCGTAGAACTCTTCGAAGAACTTTTTGAAGTCGGCATCGAAGTCTGTAGAGGGATAGTCCGATGTGTAGGACGTCATGGCGGTGGATAGGGCTTTATGCTATCGGAGAGCCGGATGGACGTAGAAGTAGATAGTATGAATTACGATTGAGGGAAGAATGAACCACCTCTGTTCTAGAAGCTCTTAAATTTATATCAAGATCGTGGTTGACTATCTTAACGTTGCTCTCTCCACCCCTCCGCCTTTCGGCTGTGTTCGGCATCGGATCGCGCACGTCTCAGATGTTCCACCGACCCCTTTTGCACGAAATTCGAAGAACCTCACTCGTTTTTGATCGCGGCGTGTTGATGTGCACACATCCTCGTATTGAAGATGTTGAGTTTCCGAGACAGAGGAGATCCTTGGGAAGAAGTCAGCAATCCGCACTTCACCATAATATCAAGCCGTCGCAGAGGCCGCCTTAAGGCCAACTTGAACCCCGAAGGACACCGATGGCAGTAAGATGGGCATAATGGCTTGAGTATCGAAGTAGAGGCTTAGCCAACATATGTCACAGAGCTTCCATTCGTTAGTCTCGATTTTTTGCAGTACGCTTCATGCCGCGTCTATCGTAGTCTTCGTTACTCATACTGGTTATGAAGCGGTGAAGGAACGCTTGTAGATTGAGCTCTCAGTCCTCCCACGCGCCACTAACTTTTGTCTCCTCCGCCTGTTCTCAGTCGTAGAACCTGTTGTGTGCCTCCGTTGAGCGATTCCCGAACGAGCAACTCTTTTAACGGTAGCTTTGTCTTGTGACTCTAAGTGTTCTATGAGTCTCATCGTTCGGCCGCCTAACAATGGCAGAAAGATAACGGCCGCTTGGGAATGGCCTCTTGACAAAGTGATCCACAATCGATGGTAAAGACCCCTCAACGTCCAGCTCCTTCTTACTCATTCTTCTGGAACTATTTCTCCTGCATCTTGAAAAAAAGAACACGCTGGCAACCACCACTTGATCATCTTTACGAAACAGACATCCACTGAACCATCAACATGTTCTACGTACTCGTTGATATCGTAATCGTGCTACTTAGCCTGTATCTAGAGAATCCGGGCTGTCCCTATACTGGCCTCACCAGATCCTCTCTTCTCACCTTGTCTCACGCCATAATAGCGCCCATTGCCACGGTAAAATCTCTCTGGACCTATCAGTCGGCGCTAGCGCCGCCTTCCAATGCATCGGGGAATGAACACCCCTTCCTGCAGGACGACCCGATCACCATCGTAGTCGATGGCCTCGGACCTGACAATGGTGCAGACACTGGCGCAAGCCCGTCAGTGGGCGTCGGCGGGAACGACATAATCTATCCAACTGTTTCCGATCTCGATATCTGGCAAGATACTTCCGCCTTTACCGATGTAGGCCCTGAGCTGACGTTTCTGGACTCTCTCAGTTTTCTTGTTCACCACTTCGTCAGCAAATGCTGGTTATGGATTCTCCTAGGCGCGGTAAATGTTATGGCGCACCTGCTTGTTTGGGTACTACGCACTCAAGATGTGCGTCAGATTTGTGGAAATCTGGTTATCATGCAGGCGGAAATGCAGAAGGAGGGCAAAGCGCTGAACCAAAGGGTGCGCGACCTCGAGGCGGAGAAAGAAGTGTGGAAGGTGCAGAAAGAACAGCTAGCGAATGCACTGGCCAGCGCTGAGGGCGATTCTAACAAGCTCCTCAGTGAGAACGCTCTCTTGACCAGCCAGAAAGCGTTGCTAGAGTTTGAGAAAGAGGGGCTGGTAAATCGACTGCAGGCTGCGCAAGAGGAGCTTCGCGCCGCCGTCGAGGGCCAGAAAGAAAGCTGGGCGGAGCAGATGGAGGCCGTGGAGGTATGAAGCTGAGGAAGCTTGATGGCAACATCACACGATGGCGGCTTATGCGACTGTGCTGCAGAATCTTCCTGCCGTGCACGAGGACACGGGTGCCCTCGTGGCCACGTTGCTGGAACGGTCGCAAGTGGTTGATGAGTCGAAGAATTGTTCGGCTCGCCCACGGTTGGCGCGAATGATAACCGAACTCTCGTCGCTCAGACACTCAAACAGGCTAAGCTTACTCCCCCCAACCACAGAACCACAGTGCGAAGATGTTGGAAAGGTTGATGAAGAGTCATATCAGCAGGTACTTAATGGACAGAAAGTCCCTCCATCTCCTGAAGCACAACATCCACACTCATACTCCACAAGCACAAAAACTACAAGCACTCTACAACCACCATCACAAATCTCAAATCCAAAACCAATCCTCCCTCACCAACCTCAAGAAGACATGGCTGCCATCATGAACAAGACCGCCGTCGCGCCTGCTGTCGCCAAGACTGGCATTTTCGCCAGCAAATGGGCCGTCGAAAGCGCCCTCAACACCATCACGTCGCCTTCGCCCGCGGCCGCTTCCGCCCCGGCCGCCGTGCCGGTTGTCAAGACTGGCATCTATGCCAGTAAGTGGGCCACCGAAAAGCCCCTCAACACCACCATGACACCCTCCTCTTCTCCCGCTGCGCCGCTAGCCGCCAAAACCGGTGGCATATACGAAAGCAAATGGGCGCCTCGCGACCCCACCACCACCACTGCCGCTCCGCCAACACCAGCACCCGCGACCAGCACCAAGGGTCCGACTTCCCAGCCGGCGCACACCCGCAAGGGTGGGGCAGCCACCAAGAAGTCGGCCCCGACAACCACCCCCGCCATCGTGTCCGGCTCCGACTATTCCTGGATGGCGTGCAGCATCCTCCCGGCGCCATCAACTCGGCCAGGCCGTGTCATCGGTAGTAGATGGGATCCTGCCAACGCCTCCCCCGGTCCGTCAGCTCCTGTGCCAGTGGAGGGCAAGGAGCTGGACGCAGCAACCAAACCGGCGAGCGACAAGAGTGGTGTTCATGCTTCGAGGTGGGCTTGCTAGCCGCCTGTCGCTGGCACCATGTGGCAGGATCCCGGAGGGGTTTGGGGGATGGAAGTGTTTCTTGACTAGGGCTTCGGTGGATGACGCATGTTTTCTTTTGTTCGTGTTTCATAGCGTTTGGATTCATGCGTAGGTTTTTTGTATTGCTTTTTGAGTTGGGTTTGCGGCGTTTGGCGTTCGGTGTGGTCTCCTATTCTGCATTTCTGTTCTGCTTTTGCTGCGTTCGGGGTGCTGCGTGCTTTCCTGTAATTAGCTCCAAAACAAAAGTCCAATCGTCTTGAACCATCGTCACTGCCGCGCCGTGCTTTCCGTGACCCCATCATCAATCGAAGTAATCTTCATCATGTTCTTATGCCCACCTACTAACCACACGCGGATGCTTGTCCGTTAGGCGAGAGTATACGGACGGCCTATCGAGCGTGTATTTATCACAAAACTTCACTCATTATCACACGTGAACGGAGGGACTGATGCAATATTTGCGACAGATAGTAACTATTACTACTGATCGGTCCACTACAGCGCATCGATCGCAAGTGTATACGCACCTCAAATCTGAGGTTGAGAGTTCTTTGCCCTCTTGGCGCTGGATGGGCCGCGGATCAAAGTTATTCCTCATCCCGCGTCAGTTCTACTATCATCACTACAACTTCTCACCATCAAAGACCTGACCTCCTTGTTAGTCTGGAATCGGCTTCAGCCTTTGTCCTTCGCAATGGTAGTTTATCAATCTATCGGCATGTCAAATTCTGAATAGCACACGCACTGTTTCGAGCGTCCATGTAAGCCAACGCAGTAGACGTAATCCCATAAAATCTTGGATTCACGATGGCGGTGGAACAAGATCTGCTTGCGAGCTACGGGCTCTTCTGGAACGCTTTGATGGCAGCAGGAAAGGATTTGCAAAGAATCTTTGAGGTATTGTGTCATTCAGCTTGTTGTTCCCTAGGCGTTGTTCTCATTGGCCGTAAATTCATCAAATTTCTCTGCAATCTGAAAGACTCTCCTTCCATTGTCCGCGATGCATCCTGAAAAAGCCAGATGGCCCGCGTACGCGTTTGCACGGGGCTCGTGAAGCAAAGTGAATCCAATACCAAGCACACCCGTGAATACATCAGCAGCACCCGAATGACCGACAATCCCGCCTTATCTATCGGAGCCTGCGTCACCCAATTCACTTCAGTGCCTCGCGCTAAATAACTTCACACGCACTCGCTTCAGCTATATGAGCAATCTCGTTTCTGCCGCAACACCTTCCACTTCCACAAACATTTTCCACACTAAGAACGCAACGCAACAACTTTGCCTGCCTTCTTGAACCACATTCTCACAAATTCTACATTGCGAATCGCGTCTGACTGCCTTTGCCTGTCTTCGACGATATCGTGCATTCGTTTTCGAGCGCTTGCGGGACTTCTACAAGATGTTTCTCAAGGAGATCATCGCGTGTGTTATGGGCTCGACCTTCCTCGTGCAGTTTTTCCCGGACATCTTTTCTCCAACGCGTGCCGTGCAAGGCGCCACCGACCAAGCGCTGCACGCTCCCATCTTGCTGGCCGAACAGCGCATCGCCAGTAACAGCTCAGCTCAGCAAATCGTCTTCCACCCCAGCCAGTTCGAGACGTCCGGCATGGCGAAGTGGACCGTGTACACTGATGAGAACGACCGGATCTACGGCTTCTCCCAAGAATATCCCTCTTCCTGTAAGTCAAGTCCTCTAAATAATTCGTTGAGCGCATCGAGAACTGACGTGCTGCAGTCCTCCGCGACCTGAACCGCGCCTTCGGTGACCTCTTCACTGTCTTCATCCAACACTACCGCGTCTTTCTCGTCCTCCTCCTCGTACTCATCGCCTTGAACGCGTGCCGTCGCACTTTCCTCGCATGGCCGTTCCTACGCCTCAAGACCCTCATCTGGGGCAACACTCCCGCACCGGAACCCACACCGGCCGTACCCGACGTCCTCATGCGACAGTTGTCAGCACTCCCCAACCAGTTCAAAAGCTTAAGCAAGACCAACCAGAACGACGTGAACCACCTCCAAGATTTCAACAAGTATATCAGCGAACGTCTGGACAGTGTTCAAGAAGACAAGATCAACGAGACACAAGCAGTTGAGATCTTCCGTGGTCTATCATCGGACACGATCACTCGAGTCACGCACGCTGAAGGTCAACTGAAAGACCTTTTGTCGGAAGGCACAACAACTTCCTCGAAGGTACAAGAACTTGAATTCCAGATCAAGGATACCAAGAGGAGCCTCTCCAAGCGGGTCGGGCTAGTGGAAACTGAGTTGAAATCCTCTACTCAGGACACTGTTTGGGGAGAAATCAGAAAGCTGACGCACCGGGCGGGCGATTTCGACCTTGCGAAACGTGCCCAGAATGTTCTCCTTGGCTTCATGTTCCGGGTTGTCGCAGCTGAATTCAGGGGAAAGAAAGAGACGGATACCCGAGTGAACTCCCTTGCCAAGAACCAAAAGAAGCTCAATGAGGGTCTTGAGAAGCTGCAGAGCTCGCTGAACTCTCTTCAAGGCAATGGCGATGACATGTCCCAGGAGCTGAAAGACGAGTTGGAATCCATTCGAGGCCTCCTTGCAGCTTTGGGTCCTCGGGTGAAGGGCACTGAAGACCAGCTGGAGCTTATTGGCGCTGGCAGCACTTCCGCGGAGATTTGGAAATTGCTTCCGACGCTTCACTCGGCATTCAATGACCTCTGGAAAGCCGTCAAGGCATTGGATTATAAGCTGGACGGAGTCGCTGGCCTGAAAGCACAGCAGCAAGAGCATGAAGCGGCCCTTGTCGACCACCAGAAGCGGCTCGAAGCCCTCGAGAGGAACGCGGCGCCTCCGGCGGCTGGCATCACCAAGGCTGAGGTGGAGAGAATGATCAAAGCGAGTGAGGACCGGTCTCGCAATGAAGCCGAAAAAATCCAGCAGCAGATGCACGAGGAGCTTGAGGTGGAGAAAGCCAAACACGAATCATTCCGGGAAAGGGTTGAAGATTATATGCTTCAGGCCGGCACACACTTCGCGACTCTGCAGGAGGATGTTGCCGACGCCACGTTCGAGAAATCAGAACGAGGCCAACGCATCACCATTCTTGAGGAGAAAGTGAAGGAGCAAGACAAGGCGATAGAGGCACAAGCCAAGGCCCTTCGAGAGCGTATCTGTCCTTGCTCCATCTGCTCCCAAGGCCCTGCAGGAAGGGCACATACTGTCTCGGCCGCTGGTGTCGCGGTCGAAGCTCCTGTTTCTCAACCTTCCGCCGCCTCTTCCGCTCCTCCCGCTCCCGCGCCGGCAATCCTGCCTGAGGCTCCAAGAGCTGAATCAGTGGCAATGCCAGCCGCGGATGCGCATATGCAGGATGCTCCCGCCGCCCCTTTTGTGCCTCTACCTCCGTCATCGGCAGCTCTGCCTGAGGTGGCCGTGGTGGAACCCGCGCCTCAGGCACCTGCAGTTGAGGACCTCCGCGACGTTCAGGAGGACAGCTATGTCGGCGATGGACCAGTTGGATCCTCCTCCGTCAGGGCTCCAATGGCCGCTCAGGCCCGGCCGCGAGGTATCAAGAGGCCAGTGCGGTATTCTCAGCGTGGGAGGCACGCACCGCGGACGGACACAACCGAAGCGGTTGCTACGCCTGCTCCTCGATTCCAAGCTCCTGAGGGATACGCTCCGGCTGTGTTTTCAGCCCCTGTCGAGACTCCTGCGTTTGTCGCGCCTTCTGGGATTCCCTCGTTTCCTCCGGCTACCGGGCTCCCTCTACCTCCTGCGGCGGTTGAGGCCGCTGCGTCTGCCACCATTGCTGGGTTTACTGCTCCTGGTGGAACTCTCACTCGAGGCACGTTTCCTCCTCCTACCACGCCTCTTGCGCCTCTCGGGTTTTCTGCGCTTCCACAATTTCCCGCTCCTCCCGCGCCTTCTACTCCCGCCGAAGCTTCTCCTGTGGCGGCAACTTCTCCTCCAAACAGCGCTTCTTTACTCTCTGCGGAGCAGATCCAGGCGCTGCAGGGCCGCAACAATACGCATCTTGCTCCGCAGCCTGCGTTCATTCAGCCCACTCTCAAGTAAGCTACTTCTCCTGAGCCATCCATAACGTTCTAGCTAACCATTCTGTAGTCCTGCGTCGAACTTTAGAGTGGTTCCGCTTAACGCCGGCGCCTCATACTTGGAATCGCAGCCATGGTCTCCATCGCCCACCATGCCCCAGGCGAACCAGTTCCAGACTGCTGAGCCCCCATCGATCGCGTCACCGCAGCTGGATGAAGACCGGGACGCTGAAGGGGAGCCAGACTATGAGATGCCGGATCGAGCCGATGACGACCGTCCTGAACAGGCTGATCAAGCGCGTGCTCCGAAAAGCCCAGATTGGGCTGCGGCTGCGCAACAAACTATCGTGGATGAGCCTGACGAGTTTGATGTGCCCGAAACCCCCACTCAGCCTTCCACGAGCGCTCCTCTGAATCAGCCATCCGTTTTGCCATCGAGGGCGACCGTGATTGACCTGACTCAAGAGGATATTGATGAGCACTTTCGGGGCGCAACGCCAACGGCACAGGATGGTCCATCCGACACCATCATGGGGGATTCTGAGCCAGTTTCGCTGGATCCACAACCAGCGACCCAGGCGGACCAGCAAACGGGGCAGGTCGGCTTATATGCGGACGACGACATGATGGGCACAGACCAGCCGGACCAGCGAGCCGGCCAATTCGACTCTCCTATGACGGACGATACACCCGCTGAACAGGGTCCTTGGTCGAGTGCACAGATGAACGTGCAACCACCGCAGCCGACTTCCCAGACAAACCCTATGTATGGGAATCTTCCAGGACTAGGCATGGGTAGATGGACTCCTCCTCATATGCGGCAGCAGAACGTTCAGCCGAGTCCTGTTGGAGGAGTGCAAGGGCAAGGATTCAGCCCTCAGACGCCAATGCAGTCGATGCAGCAGACTACACAGTCCAACTCCTTCCAGAACGCTGGGCCAAGCACACAGACAACGGCGCAGCCACGATACCTGCAGTCGGACCCTTTTGCAGCGTACTTTGAAACCGTAGGGAGCCGACAGACCCCAGTGCAGATGCAACAGCAGAATGCACAATACGCTGGACCAAGCACGCAGCCGACAGGGCAGCCTCAGCAGCAACCCTCCCAGCGCAACATCTTCGCGGGTTTGCCAGGCTTCGGGTCAAGCACGCAGACTCCATCTCAACCGCAACAGGCCGCGCAGCCTGGCCCCTCCGAGCAAGCTCCCCGGATGTACACACGAATAGTCAATGGCATGGTCTTCACAACGTCACGGCCACCGGCTCCAGTCGACTTCGAGGAGGATATCGAACTCGAATGATCAGAATCTTCCCGGAGACCCGATGGTAGGATTCGCGATTCAGCAACAACTCCTTAGCCACATTGCGTCGAATCAACAGAACTGGCATCTTCCCAGTGCCCCGCTCGCTGCACCAACGGACGACACCCAAGACACAGCGATGGGGGGCCAGTTTGACGACACCGAAGCACAAGATCAGCCTCCGAGTTCAACGGCTCAAAACCAGGGTCAAGCTGCGCAGGATGATGACGATGACGACGATGACGACGATGTGAATGCGGGCTGGGGAACTCTTGACAATCCGCTACCCGGCGGGTCGTTCTCGGGAGCGGTGGACCAAATGCTGGACGCAGCAGCGGAGGGCTTGGCTCAGATTAATAGAATGCAAAACCAGCCGCAGGACACCACGGCGCAGACTCAAGACACAGGCATGGCGGACCAGTTTGGCACTGCATCAGGAAGCCAGACGGAGAACACGGCACCGCAGAACATTCCTGTGCACTTGCCACCGGACGACGACGAAGCCGTGGAATTTGTTCGGCACATGAGACGGAGGCGTGATTGAAGTGGGATTTGCTGTGGCTGCAGCGGATTGTCAAAAGAACTTGATCGTCCGGAAAGGGCGGAAGGACATTGAGGGCACGACTTGCTTCGCGAAGAGGAGAGAAGTTGGAGAAGAGCACTGGAAGAGGACGACGAAGCTTGAGTCTGTGGAACAAGGCGGAAGAAGGTCTTGGAGAACACTCCTACGCTCGAAGAGAAGGTCAACTTGGAGCAGCATTTTGGAGCGCCGTTCTACTGCAGCGTTACTGAGCAGTATTCTGGAGCTCACATCGCTTTTGAAGAGACGGTCAGGGTTGTTTGATTTGGGAAAGCAACAGGGACTTCAACGGATTCAAGACTAGGATTTGCGGTCCTGTCGGAAGTATTCGCTTCATTGTTTCGAAACACTGACATCTGCCTTCGTGCGGCGTCATCGGAAGGCTACGCACAGCGAGACCTTGAGAGGACTCGCATATCAGCGTTCTGCTTTCCTGCAAGAACGCGGAAGGGTATCTGGCATGAGTCAGGCCTTTGGATGTAAGGACTGAGTCCGGTATAAGTAAGCACTTTTGTAGTTGGATGATGGGGTCGATCGAGGCTTTAGCCCGACCTCTTGGATGAGGGGATGCGGTCCCACATGAGTAAGAACTTTTGTAGTAGGATCAGGTCTTTGGCGTTAGCCAGACCTTTTGGATGAGAGGACTGAGTCCGGTATGAGTCAGGAATTCTGTAGCTGGCGGAGGTCTTTGGCGTTAGCCAGACCTCTTGGTTGAGGGGATGCGGTCCCACATGAGGCAGCCCTTTTGTAGTAGGATGATAGCTTTCTAGCGCTTGTAGCACACCTAAGAGGTGATGCTTTTGCTAGGTGGCTCAGATGAAATAAGAACTTCTAGAAATACTTCATCACTTGCCTTCTTACTTTGTGCATCTGCAACTGCGTGGAGAGAACGATTGAGAATCATGAGATGAACCACTTAACAACCTCACCCACCCGCCTCGCGGAGCTCGTGCCGTGAACTGGTAGGACAATGCTGGCACGGATGATATCGGCACGGATAGGAGCAAGACATAACAACTCTCTCAGATTTCCAGAACCCCGTGCTACCTAATTCGCCAGAATGTACAAACGGCCGATTTCTGTCCCTTCCGTTCCGAGACGGCCCCCCCTAATACATGGTCATTCATCAACACATAGATTCCCGTGCGCCCCTGCCTCCAGTTCCAGTAAACGAATGCCACTAAATGATTGATGCAGTGAATGCCTTGAGCCACGCGTGGTGCAGAAGCATAGATCCCCACTTTAACCTCGAACGCTCGATGGCGACAGCCGGAGATAAATATGTTGAGCTAGAGAGCTGGAGTGAGACTGTGCCAGGGTGCCTTCTCTTCGGTGCTGAGGATCTGTGTCTGCGGACGCGTGTTGTGATTTCTTTGCTGGATGACGGAAGATTGAAAATGAGACATAGATGACAGATTTGGGGTGGTAGCTTCTGCTTGAGGGACGCCGGTAATAAGCATGTTAGGGAGAGCTTGGCGGGAAGCTGCGTCTACTCTTCCATAGTGCCAAAGACACCCTCGTCCTCGTCGCTACGGCCCCTCGCAGCGTAATGCCGATCATCGTAGTCTTCATCCATGAGCCCCTCGTCGTCCATGTCCACATCACGGCCTTCGGACGCGTATGAAGTGTACTTCGGTCTCGGGGTCGAGTGCCGCTGGGGGCCGTGCGCAGCGATCGTGGAGTTACCGATCTGGCTGAGGAACCGCGCCGGCAAGGGTGGCACGGGCGGCACATCCGCCGGGAGGGTCACCGGTCCGCTCTTTGGCGTGCCGTAGCTGCAGCTCAACAAACCTACAGCGGCTGCCAGATCCGCTTGCTCTTCATCGTCGTAGTGACTGCCGGTCACCGAAGTTGCGGATGTGGTGGGCCGCCCATCATTGCTCCATTGGCGGTAATGCGACATGTAGTGCCCGTTGGGAGCGCTGTCCGAGAAGACGGAGTTAGATGACCGGTGGGATTGTGACAGGACACTGCTTTGGGTGCTGAAGCGTTTGCTTTGGCCATATTGCGAGTGTCTGGCTGAGTAAGAGCCAAATACATGCTCGTCCGCTTGTGGCGGCGGGGTGGTGTCGTTCGAGCTCGAGTCATCCTCATGAAGGTCAGATGACCCGGAAGCCGCTGGCGAGACTGAAGAGTGATCGCTGTCGCCGTGCTTGGCAGCGTCCGCGTCCTGGTTCATGGCGACCAACACCGAGGCCGCCTCAAGAAGCTGGACCTGCTGATGCTTCGAGATGAGCAACTTGGAGGTGATCGCCCATTCCGGCGTGTGCTCCCATCTGCATGAAGTGTCAACTCTCATTTCTGCTCAAGCTGCTGCACTGTGTCTTGATTGCATGCGGAGTGCGGAATCCGAGCTCAAGATATGAATGTATGCGGGATGCTGGCACAAGGGTTACTGACAGATGCTTTGTAAGACAGCTGCTGTGCTTGTATCCTTTCCCGCATTTTTCACATCTCAACTCGCTACCACTTGTCCTCTTCCCATCGCCTTTGCTCTGCCGAGCGCCCTCGCTGGCACGGCGTATCCGCGCCTTGCTGTTCGTCTTTGTGCCCTCTGGCATGGAGGCCAGTGGAGGACCATCCGTGACGGCGGTACCGTTCTTGGCATCTCCGGCGCCGTAGCTCCCTGGTCCGAAGCCTTCGCCGTTGTTCGGGAGGCTGCTCGGCATGGACGGGTAGCTGCCTGGGTCTGGCCCTCTGGGGCCGAAACTCGCCTTCGACGTCCGCCTATTCAATGTTCCCGGTCCAGGCGGAGACCCTTTCACGGCGGCAGCCATTGCGACGACGTTGTTCGCAGCAGTCGATGTCATGCTTTTCCGACGGGTCACGCGGTGTGCCGGATTGATTGAGCCGACGGACAGCGACTGCGAGTGGATGCGCGACTGGCGAGAGGGTAAGCTGGAGGCTATCGAGCTGGACGACGGCCGATGTTGACTCGACGGACGGGCCGAATGCATATCCTGCGAAACATCTATTATTAGCGTGCGGCTTCTTGAAGGGGAGTGATCAACAGCAAATTCCCCACCTTGGAGACTGTCATGATTATTGTTGCTGGAAGGTGGCTCTCAATCCCGGAGCTCCTGAGAAGCTACGAGTTGAGAGCCAGGAAGGATTAAGGCTGCAACGCTGACGTGCTGCACAGCCTCAACGGAGTGTATTGATGCCAGGTAGCAATTGCTGATGCGAGAAGCCGGCGAGCAACGACGGTGCAGTCGGACAGTAGTAGTACGGTGTGTTCTGATGGAACCTGACACTGGCACAGCTGTAGAAATTAAAAATGTAGGCAGAGGCCGCAAGAATGTGGAAGCAGTCCCCGCAGCAGGGAAAGTGCAGGAAGCCGCGCCGCACCCGCAAGGCTCGATTCTGATTGTGTCGCAGGCAGTGGAGCCGCTCGGCTCTTGGGCGAAGCGCCGGGCGGAATGACAGTATTAGCGGCGTCTCCCAGTTTGAATGCGAGTGGATGCTCTGGTGATGTCGACAACAGAAGAAGCTGGAATTGTGGGAAGCCCAAAAAAAAGAAGGGCAGCAGATCAAGGGTGGCAGGTGTTACTCGGGCATCGGGTCAGCAGTCCTGCAGTCCCCTCAGATCAACCCAACCCATGCTATCCATGTTGTGCAGGTGCAGCTGCTGGCCTAGCGCAGGGCTTACTAAGGATAGCGGTGGCTGACACCGGTCCTTCTTCTCGTGTATGAGTACTCATAGTTAACTATCGAGACAGGCGCAAAAGCATCATCTGGTTTGCAGCCGCTCAAATTTGTCCAGGTCACGTCGCTATGCGATTGACCGTTCAGTCCATGACCAGCACGTCCACTGTTACCTCCAAGGACCGCAGGTACAACACTTGGCTGCCCACCATCTGGACTTTTGCTTTGTGCGCCTGGCTGAACCCTCTCGCTCTGTCGTACCTGGCTTTACCATCGCACTAACTGCCGCGTGCTTCGCCTCGGCCGGGGCCTTTTGGTTCCCATCCCCGCGCCCTGATTGACTGGTGCAATCCACGTGCACGCCGTACCTTGGGACTGTGGGACTGTAGCGCGAGATCACCGGCTGCCACTCAAGCCGCACTGAGAGAGCCAGAGCGTGCGCGTTCGAAGTCGTTGGTTCTCGGTCAGAACTGTCCATCTGTGTCAGGCAGAGAGCCGCGCTTTGTAAAGAATGCCATCGGATCGGAGTTGGAGCGCTCGCGTCCACGTAAACTTGCGAGGGCAAGCCACTTGATCGCTCCGTCTAGCGATGGGAGAAAGCTAGTGGCGGGCGATCGGCCGCGCGCTTGAGAGAACCCTTGAACGGCAACGCTTGGACAGTGCCCCTCACTGCTTTTCCGCATGGATGGTTTGTCTTTCTGAAAGGCCATCGTGGCCTGACAACACGAGACTATCCCAGCAGTACCCGGCATCGGTATCGCGAACTCATGGTAGACTGCTGTCAAGGAGCCATGGATGATCCACTGAAGAGTTGGAGACAAAGCAAGGCCAGAATAGTTTATCAAGCGACGGGTGCAAGCCACCTCCTCACCTCGATAGCGGGGCCGCAACTAAACGGAAGGTCCGGAGGATTCCAACACATGACTGCGATGACGATGCTCGTGTCTTGGTGCTTGCCTGCCGGAGCTGGGCCTTCTCGCCTCTCGACAAACGGCAGTTCTTTGACAACTTAAATCCTCCGCCTGTGTTTGTTGGAGGGAGCTTTGAAAAGCGAGGGGCTGGACTCTGCGATAATGCTCGCTAACAGTAGCTCCATGCACATATTTCTGGAGGGCAGGCAAAGCAGCCCAGAAGCATTGATTTGCGGCTTTTCTCCAGTCCTCATTTGCTGGCCTTTTACCCCACAATATTCTAGATCCGGATGGGGCGGCGTTGCCGCTGTAAGGGCATGACGATCCGGGGTATGTGAAATGTTGTACCTCTTCATGCCTGACACGTCGTCGAAGAGCTTCAAGCGAGCATCTGCGTAAATCCCATCGAGGCGAGTCAAATCATGCTTTGAGAGCCTTCCAACCTCAGCGTGGTTGTAGCACCTGGATAACCCCAAGCATAACCACGAAGGCTGGCCAGAAGACGCTGGGCGTGAGACAAAGTCGCAAACAGGATACACTATCCGCGGGGTCATGCACAAGGCGCTGATTTCGACACTTGGAGTACCTCAAACGGTGGACGGCGACCTTGTAACTGTAGAGCAGTGACAATGCGTGCGACAGGAATGCTTCGTGGCGGCGACTTTATGATGTGAATCCTCCATCTCAAGATTATTAGAGACTTTTCAGAGTCACGTGACTGTGCCGGCTGTGGCAGGAGCCGCACCGCCACCGCTTGTGTCACATGACATCCACTGGCTTGAGGTGTGATAACGCCGGGAACGTCATGAAGCTCAACTTAAATATCTGTTACCGTTGACAAACCTGGGTTGTAATAGACCTGCGCACGATATTCTCCGAACATCTCCGTATATAACCCCCATACCAACAAACCTCGCAAACTAAGACCACTCTATTCTAGCAGAGATCGTGGGAGTCCGAGCTTGCCGCCTAATTCAGAGCCATTAGATCAAACACCCTCTACTTTCTTTCCATACCTTACACATACCGCGCTTCATGGCCGACTCGACGGGATCTGCGGCGCCTAAGCCAAGCAGCAGTGTAAAACTGGTGCTGCTGGGAGAAGCAGCTGTCGGAAAGGTACATATCTGCGCAATCTTATAATCACTATACGGACACACTGACACAAGTGCTGCAGTCCTCGCTCGTCATGCGCTTCGTGAACAACGACTTCCAAGAGAACAAGGAACCCACAATAGGCGGTAAGCTCTACTCCGCCGTCCGGTCTCCCCCGTCCAGTCTCCGCCGCCCCCTTCAATATTCCCTCCCGCTCTTAGGCACCTGCTAACGCACTATCCTCCTCAACAGCCGCCTTCCTAACCCAGAAATGCAACCTCCCCACACGCACCATAAAATTCGAGATCTGGGATACCGCCGGCCAAGAGCGCTTTGCTTCGCTAGCACCGATGTACTACCGCAACGCCCAAGCCGCGCTCGTCGTCTACGACATCACGAAAGCGTCCTCGCTCACAAAAGCACAACACTGGGTCGCGGAGCTGCAGCGACAAGCCTCGCCAGGCATCGTAATCGCGCTCGTCGGCAACAAGCTCGATCTCGTGAACGCTGGTGGGGCCGGCGAGAGCGAGGATGATACGGACGGCGTGCCGGACGAGGAGGGAGATAGCGACGCGAGGAAGGTGCCGACAAAGACGGCGAAGGCTTATGCGGATGAGGAGAGCTTGCTCTTCTTCGAGACAAGTGCTAAGACGGGGCTGAATGTTGCGGAGGTGTTTACGGCGATCGCGAACGCGATACCGGAGACACAGCTGAAGGGGCCGAGAGGGGTCGGTGGGCAAACGACGCTGGGATCGGGAGGCCAGCAGCAAGATGCGTCGAGAGTAAATTTGGCCGGTGCTGGGACTGCGGGTGCCAAGGAGGGTTGCGCGTGCTGATACATACAAGCTTGGGTTGGTGTATATGGAAGCGTTGGGTGTTTAGCGGCTATTTAATTCAGAACTTAAATGCTGGCCGACGTGCCATAACAAAGTAATCTCGTTTCTCATTGGCAACTTTTGTTAGAGCCACCTAAGTGCTGTGACCCTGAACGATGTGGACTTTGACCAAAATCCGTGCCTTCCACAGGCGAAGAAATACCTTGGACTGGCAGCTGAAACATCCCCCTATCAGATAGCTCGTGAAAGTCCGTCTCTTAAACCCCAGGCATACCCACAATAGCCCTCATAGCCGGGACGGCCCTCGGGAGGAAGTAAACCACCCACAAGCCCGAAAATGCCACCACTAGACCAGTCCACTTCTCGAACCAGGTGTGAAAGAACGCGGCCGTCATAAGCAGCATCCACCACATCATGCCCATAACACCCAGCGCGACCTTCATGCCCAGTCCAGGACCTTCCTCCGCCCCTCCCTCAACCCCATGGGACTCCCTCTGCGCCTCGCTAGCCGCGGTCCTAACCTTCCCATCGCTCATAACCACCCTCCTCCCATCCCTCAGCCCCTCCGCCCTGCTCACCGCCGGCAAGATCTCAAACCACAACAGCGCGCTCCCCAGCGTCAGCAAAAACACGTGTCCACTGATATCGTACCCGCCCTTCCACTGCCCGCCCACAAGCTTGCACCCGGCAGCGGTGACATACTCCCGCGTATTACTCATCTCCTCCCTCGCGCCCGGGTCCTTGATCAGTTCGCACTGGCCCCCCGTGAGCAGGAACCCGCGATCGATCAACGGCGCCCCAAAGAACCACTGCGTGACCCCCGCCCACCACAGCGTAACCAGCAGATACCTCAACACAGCCCTGACGCGTCGCGGCGTCAACACGGGCCGCATCGGCGGCCCGAGACTCGGGTGCGTGAGCAGAAACAGCACCAGCGCGGCCGTTGTCCACGCCCAGCCCTGCTTGACGAAAAAGAGGTTGAAGACGTTGCGTTTTTGCGCGAAGTACGAGGGCGCGAAGTCTGGTGGGTGGGACTGCAGCGTCGCGCTGTAGGGCGCGTGGCGTGTGGTGGGTGAGAGCGTGCTGAAGATGGAGCCGAGGAGGAGCGTCCCGGGGTAGAGGGAGATGAGGAGGGTTTCGAGGCGCGTGGGGAGGAGGGCGGAGGCGGGCGTGCGTGGTGGGCTGTTGCGCATGCTGGTTGAGGGTGTGGGCGTGCCGTTGAGGATGGGCTCCGTGTAGGTGTGCGGCGTGGAGGGTGTGGAGGGGTTCTTGCGACGTGCTGACATGGTGTCGGTGGTAAGAGGGGTGTGTTGAATTTGAGTGGGAAACTTAAGCGGTGGTTGTAGGGGCTTGGTGTTTGTTTTCAGGAACGACAGGGAAACCTTGGAAGGTTTGGATGGGATGAAAGGGCAGTGACGCAATCTTTTCGCGTCGCAAACGGCCTGGCAGCGGTGCGGTCATGTGATCCACGGTCTTCATCGGCGTGGGGTGTGTCCATTTCCGTTCGCGGAAAGGATTAGATATTGTTAAGCCTGTCTTGCTCTCACGATTAAGCAGCTTTAGCTCACTTGGGAGAGCGCCAGACTGAAGTTCAACTTCGGCCTAATTCATCTGTGCGGTGTATCTGGAGGCACTGTGTTCGATCCACAGAAGCTGCAGTCATTTTCTTTTGACTTTTTGCCCAATTGCATCAATCTAGATTAGGCATTTGTACCATCAAGCAGCAAGCCTCTCTTGTTTTTGAAGACCACTTAAGTGGGTAGTAGATGGTAGGTACTTAGTGAGGCATGGGTCGTCGCATAGTCATGATCTAGCAAAGACCGTCTTAGTGAAGATCTTTTTAGGCTCAATTGGATGGCCGTGGTAGGGTGTTGTAGACAAATGACTATGCCGATTCAGATTAACCTGTAGATAAAATCTGCGTTTTAAGGTGGGACGACGGTTTCCCAAATGCGGCCCTCATCAGGAGCGCTTCGTTCCGCTTCGTTCCCTCTCCTCTACAGTTGAACCAAGCTTCCTGCCGAATCTTGCACTTGCGACATCTAAGACCTCTACACAACTTTGAGACCTCGAAAGAAACGTGAACGATAGCTGCGGTCGCCAGCAGGTTCGGTTTACGCTCAGTCAAGCAGATTGCGGAGATCTGATGCGATCTGATGACACTGAGAGATTCTCTCATGGAGACCCTCCGGTACTGCCTGATCCATCAAATATTCCTCTAAAAGCTCATCCAACCGGTCGACTAGCGGCGCTATCCCGGTAATCCTGCCCCGCAGGTGAGATATCTGAGCACGCAGTTGTGTGTTCGCCTGCTGTATGCGCTCGTTGCTCCGAACAAGTCGGCTTGAGCTATCCGCGGCGCTTGTAGTCCATGGTGTGACCGGCTGAGACTCACTTGGCAATGTGGCAACTGCAGCTTGGTCTTGTGAAGCTAGCGTGCTTTCTGCAAATATTGTTGTACGCTGTTGGGCTTGATCCACTGCCACATGGGTTGCCGTGCATATAGCAGGGATGTCTAGAGTAAACTCTCCGTTGTTGGAATTGAATATTAGTTCATCCATGTTTCCGAAGCCATCTAGACCAGCGGCATCAAAGCTAGCGGCATCAAAGCCAACCGCATCAAACTCGAGGAGATCTTGTCCGTTGATGTCGCTGCACGCCTGTTAGCCTTCCCATAGAACGGTACCTACAACTCTGGACTCGGTTTACTGAGACGGGAGTATAAAAACTAACAACTACAGGGGATCCTGACCAGAGCCTTAGGAATGACAAGAGCGTACAAAGGAGTATTAAAAGGAACCTAACAGCTTCAAAATGTGCAAGAGCCATGACTAACCTCTGTGTTCCAGAAGGCACGAATTCTTGATTATCCATCGAAAGGGTTGGCTGCAATACCAGGTTTGGCGTTGCATTTGTGGCGCTGGATGTTGAACTTAGTGAAGGAGTGGGAGGAACTATCACAACTGGGAGTATTGCAGGCTTTTCGTAATCTTGCGGACCTGTTAGTACTGCACAGAGGAGTGAGTGTGGAGAACGCACAAGGTGAATAACGCTTTCTTATTCCATAGGGTCCATCTCTAGGTAGATCTGGGAGGAGCAAACCAAACAGATGATACCAACTGTCGTCACCATTACCGACGAACCTCGTTTCTTTCACCTCTTTCCTTTGTTGTGCAGTCATCCACCATTTGGCTGGTGGCGGGGATTGAATGCACCTTGCTACTTCTTGATGGCCTGCGACATCGTTCTCAGTTTTGAAATAGCACCAGCACCGATTGCACCGCACAAACGGGTCATGGTTTTTGAGTACATGCTGTCTAGTAAACAATGTCAGCTGGGGAAGATCGATGCCGTCTTGCGGCATCTTCAACTTACTTGACACGGTGAAAAGTTTCATAGCCCCCCTCGCGATTCTTCTGGTTTGGCATGCAACAATAAGGGCTGCCGATTGGATCGTATTTCTGGTACGGGCACGCATACCTAGAGCGGACATGTTTGCCGTCCGGGACGAGGAAGCTATTAGTGCGGGCACGCTTCAGATCCCTATTGTCGCCGGGGCTTTGGTCACTTCCCTCCTCTTGGGAACCGGTGGCGCGTTTGCCCAAGCTACTAGTGCGATCGAAGCCAAGGCAAGGGGCAGCGGATGAACTGCTATTGCTAGAAGCGCCAGCATCTGTCGGATTACTCCAGCCTCTTATACCTTCCGTTACTGTTGATATGGTGTCATACCTGGACTCATCAACATCGGCAATCGATCGTACGTCGAACCGGCTTTGCTGGTCCATCGACGGCAAGCGATTGTGGAGAATCCATTTCATACAGTGGGTGATATTAGCCTTAGCGTCATTGTCGTGCCCATCCACTACACGCCGCTGCATCTCTTGCCAAGGAGATGGTGGCCGCGGATACTCGGATGCACTGGACGAGTCGTCATCCTCCGCAGGGTTGTGGTCTGTCGCTGAATAGTCGCCTCGAGGGTACGCTGTTTCTACTGAGGGGGTGATCGGCAATGTCGCTGAGAACAATGACAGCTCCTCGACTTTCGCACCAAAGACTTCCTCCTCTTCAGTGACTGTGCCCCGGATGGTTTGAGTAGAGGCTCTTGTATCAGCTCCAGTAGGACGGGCTTTTTCACTTTCAAGTGGTCTGCCAACTACGGTTTCGGGCTCCCTCATGACCGCTGAGATAGTATCAGCTGATCGGTTCGAGCCATCGGCACCTATCGGCTTTGTTTCGTCTGACTGGGACAGTCGAGAATGCTTTTTTCTCTGGTGCGATCTGAGATCGGTCTCGCGCACGTAGCCTCTGGCGTTCCGCCTATCACACCCAGGTTCCAGGCACGGGAAAGGCGTCTTGTTGTGCATGCGTTGACGAAGGAAGTTCGCTTCCCGTTGACTGTCCCAAGATAGAAAGGGCCAGTTAGGTAACTCGGGTTCAGGGCATGGATTCGACGCCGTTTCACCCACTTCTCTCCTCTGCCCAAACCAAGCCTCATGGTCTTCTTCTATGGCTGGATGATATTGGACACTACACCATCCGAAACGGGCGTATGGCTCAACTGTCTTTAGAAAAGAGTTGGCTAGTACATCTGGCTGACTGATGGGCTTCTCAGGCGCTCTAGGTACGAGTGAGACGTCCGATTCTTTGTGGGTCGACACAGGAACTTTCTACGCGTCGATCGATTAGCTGTAGCGGCGTCTGAATCCTCTTGAGGCGACTCACCATCGTGAGAACCCTTTAGCTACTGAGGTTTCCTCGCGCGAGGCGGCCGCGATAGAAAGTAGATGAGCTCTCCTGAGTGACAGTCCATAGAAGGGCAAAAAGCCTTCCATGCTGCTGTAGCTCGCACGCGCAGTTGGGCGCAGTGCCCAGCGCGCAGCCGCTCCTGATCTCACTCTCGAAGGACTCGGGACGGCCGCTCTCATGAGCGCGCTTTACCTTTTCTGGTTTGCGTGTCTTGGTAGAGCTTGTTGCGTCTGCCCTGCTATTCTGTACACCAATTCAATCATATAATAAACTCAAAAATTCACAAACAATTCCCTTCAGCGCAATGAACGTCTTTTGCGATCTAGTGGTAGCAGCATTGAGCCTTTACTCCTTCCTATGTAAGTTGCCGGCGGTGCTTGTTGCAGGGCTGAACATCGCGACCTCTCCCGTGCCCACAAGGGCCATCTAAAATGTCCGTTGCCGCATTGAAAGCTTTCCATAGCCCTGGAGGGGAACAGTCAGAAAGGACGGTCAATGGATCAAAATCACCTTGCATGACTGATGCAGCAAAGACATAAACTGACGGACAGCTTTTACTCTCTATCGCATGAGATTGGTCTAGCTGCTCTACCATCAACAAGATCGTGAGTCCAGTTTGATCATGAATCTGGTGTTGAGCATGCTGGAGCAAGGATGCCGCAACGAGCATTTCGGATGGCCCCTGCTACTGAAAGTATGAACCCGCACAGCAGAGCGCGCCTGTCCGCGCATCTCACGAAGTATCTTGGCTGCGCGTCAATGCTTGGGAGTCAAAGACTGCAGGCCCGTCCCATACAACTACTAGGCCCTACTACATGGAGGCTCAAACCCGCGCACTACGAGGTGCACTCAGACGATCTCCCCACGCACCAAGGAATGTGCACTTTCCAGCATAGCGAGACTATATCTTACTTAACGATGGCCGAACCATGGTTCTATTCTTGTCTTCATTGTCCATCTCTTTCTCTAACGTTGACTCTTCCGCGGTTCCACTTATCATCCGAATATCTCAACTACCACGGTTCCTGTCAGCATGTTCAAAGTCGTACCACATACTCACCAACGCGGCTCCCAATGCCATTTTACTCTGCCGGTAGCCGTCACCAATGGCAGCCTACGAGGCTGGATCGAGTTTCTCGAGGTACCGCCGTCCGAAACAGCCGCTACTTTCATAGAGGCCCTAGACGAGTTGCATAGACGCCGCCGTGGGTCTCTCGTCCGGCTCTTGGAGCGATGGCTCCTCTTCCAGGAACCTACGGTCGGCTTTGGTAGCCTCTCTAGGGTAGGGCACTCGGAAGATCCCTTTCCATAAGTTTTGTCAAAGGCTGACGGCCTAGCAGATTGCCACTGATGTCGAGAGCCAAGATCCTCGTCGCAGCGTTCCACTGCTGGGATATCGGCGCAACGACGAGCTCACTGGGGCGCTACGTCACCCCCAGGATGTCAGCAAAACTGAACCGGTACTGCCTTTGCTGCTTCGCATTTTTGCGAATCCGGAGACCGACGTCCTTGTACTTGGGTCTGAGATTAGCCACAAAAA